GCAAACAGTAAACTTGCTCTGCATGGGTAGCCCAACAGTTCGTCTCTGCTGCTGGTGCGACAATGAATAATTTATAAACACATTATTCCCCCCCCCCCAAAAAAAAACCGGTGGAGAGGGTCATTAGCATTTTAATGAGAACAATACATGCGTTGTACTAAATCCTTTGCCTTCTGTTTCTTCTTCTCTTTCCTTCTCTTCCTCCAGTAAAACAATTCTGCCGAGGCTTTGGAAATAGCTGACGACACGGGATAATGTGCTGAGTGGCACTATGGGCAGGCGATACCCAGGGGCTCACTATCGTCAGAGCAATTCATGTATGTATGTGAATTTTCTCCCTACCTGTAGATTTGAAAGCAAAGCAAAACCTGGTAGCATCTCTATAGCCTTAGTGATTTTTGGGGGGCCAAATTTTCCAAGGTTAAACGTGCAAAGCGGGTAGAGGTTTTATAATCTCTGCCAATGGGAGAGCAAAGCGCTTGCCGTGTACTAGTTGCCAATATCACCATTTGAATTTCCCAGGTAACTTTGATAAGACTGCACGGTTGGAATCAGGTGCACTAAATTTTCATGCCATGTTTTCTCTTGCATTCTGTGGCATACGTCAGACTGTCCATATCCTTGCCTAAGCAGGTTTGGCTCCGCAGCTTGGGAGAGGAAGGTGTTTCCGTAGGCCCCGAGACCAGCAAAATGTCCACTATACCCCTAACATCAATGAGATAATAATAATAATAGTAATAATAATAATAATAATTTATACCCCACCATCTGGCTGAGTTTCCCCAGCTACTCTGGGCGGCTCCCAATCAAGTGTTAAAAACAATACAGCATTAAATATTAAAAACTTCCCTAAACAGGGCTGCCTTCAGATGTCTTTTAAAAATAGGATAGCTGCTTATTCCCTTCACATCTGAAGGGAGGGTGTTCCACAGGGTGGGCGCCACTACCAAGAAGGCCCTTTGTCTGGGTCCTGTAACCTCACTTCTCACAATGAGGGAACCGCCAGAAGGCCCTCGGTGCTGGATCTCAGTGTACGGGCTGAACGATGGGGGTGGAGACGCTCCTTCAGATATACTGGACCGAGGCCGTTCAGGGCTTTAAAGGTCAGCACCAACACTTTGAATTGTGCTCGGAAACGTAATGGGAGCTAATGCAGATCTCTCAGGACCGGTGTTATGTGGTCCCACTCCCAGTCACTAGTATAGCTGCCGCATTCTGGATTAATTGCAGTTTCCGGGTCACCTTCAAAGGTAGCCCCATGTAGATGATCATTTCTCATTAAGCGTGAGAAGATCAAAGGCAGCATGAGAATTCTAGTGTTGCACACCCTGCCTCTCCCACGAATAGGGGGCAACCGAATTTGCCTTGCTGAGATTCTCTAAAATCCTGGAGCTGGCAGTTCACAGACCCACACCCACACCCCCCATGCAGCCATACACACATACACACAAAGGAGTCCTGCTAGGTTTGAGGAGGTGCTGGGCCCTCTGTGTTACCCTGGCCGCTCTTTTTATCCCTCCGCTCCCCAGGCTACCCTGCTGAATCATTATCAACAAAACCTCCATATTCATCCAGACAGCCCTCTGGGCAAATGGAGATGGCTGATGCTTCATCCGTGTGTCCATCCAACCTTCCACCTGTTAAAAAGCAACAAAAACAGAAGGAGTGTCCGCCCCGGTATGCCTATGCAAGCTGGCAGTGCTACAACATCTGCTTCTTGCTTAACTGCACCTCTCCTTGCTATCATGTGCTGTTGTCTTTGGCATTCTTTGCCCCACCCCAGTCTGTGGGACTCCAGGATTAGGCCTTAAAGTCCGGCTCTAACAGAGGACACCTTTAGATCTTACAGAAGCAAAAGAGAGGCTCAAACATTTCTGGCCTCTTCTTTTTGTACTTCCTATTAAATGTCTGGAGCAGAAGCTCATGTATCTCCCACATAATGAGACCCGTAAGCTCCTGACAGAGGTAACATTGCTTATTCCCCTACACGATGCTGCGCTGCTTTTCTGTGTTGTCCATGAGTTCTTGCCCTTGCTATATGGACAGATGAAATATCAGCACAGACTTAGTGAGTTGCAAAATCAGGCATGTTGAATGAACACATCTAAGATACACCCATGAGGGACGCGGGTGGCGCTGTGGGTTAAGCCACAGAGCCTAGGACTTGCCGATCAGAAGGTCGGCGGTTCGAATCCCTGCGACGGGGTGAGCTCCCGTGGCTCAGTCCCTGCTCCTGCCAACCTAGCAGTTCGAAAGCACATCAAAGTGCAAGTAGATAAATAGGTACCGCTCCGGCGGGAAGGTAAACGGCGCTGCTCTGGTTCACCAGAAGCGGCTTCGTCATGCTGGCCACATGACCCGGAAGCTGTACGCCAGTTCCCTTGACTAATAAAGCGAGATGAGCACCGCAACCCCAGAGTCGGTCACGACTGGACCTAATGGTCAGGGGTCCCTTTACCTTTACTTTAAGATACACCCACATAACCCCTGTTCTCCATAAGCCGTGCCCCTGATCCAGCTGAGACATATTTTGTGTTTAGTTACCCCTTTCCAGTGTAAACTCGTTGCTTTCTTATTTCTTGTGTCTGTCTTGCTGAAAGGCAGTTCAGGTAATACCACCGCAGCTGACCTGGGTCTCGCGTCAAGGTCAGTTTTCCATAAAAGGTTCAAAGATCCCTTTAAAGTTTGCAGCCTTTCCCTTTCATCTCCTTGAAATGGCAGGTGACAAGTGGCTATCCCTGTGGCTACTTAACTGCCAGTGATAATCCTTGAGCCTTAAGGCTTGCTATATTCCAAGCTATGTCAAATAATCTTCTCAAGAGGCAGTACATGAAAAGTTCCTTGCGACTTCCCCGCTCCCCGAAAAGCCTCTCTTGTGTTAAGTCTTGGTATTTTTTTGTTTATGCCTTAGGCTACTATTATAATGCCATCTACCTTTTCTTCCCTTTACTTTCTTCCCTTTACTGTATTCTTAGGATCATGGAATCATAGATTCATAGAACTGTAGAGTTGGGAGGGACTGTGAGAGTCATTTAGTTGAGCCCGTTGCAATGCAGGAATCTCAACTAAAGCATACAGGACAGGTGGCCATTCAATTTCTGCTTAAAAACCTCCAAGGAAGGAGAATCCACTACCTTCTGCGGAAGTCTGTTCCACAGTCCAGCAGCTCTTATTTCAGAATTCATCTCTTCTGTATGTTCAGAATTTTAATTTTGTATTATTATGTAGATGAAATCTAAATCCTTGGATGCAGGCAATTTAATTATTACGGTGATATGAATAGGGGGGGGGGAAAGTAGAAGCAGATGCAGGTAGGGAAACTTAGCAAAGTTTTTCTTTTTGCTGTAGCAAGGCTTCTTCTGCATTGCATTTACACTGTTACAGTGATGCCAATGCTGCTTCAGGTCTAGAAGAAGACTAGAGTTTGGATTTGATATCCCGCTTTATCACTACCCGAAGGAGTCTCAAAGCAGCTAACAATCTCCTTTCCCTTCCTCCCCCACAACAAACACTCTGTGAGGTGAGTGGGGCTGAGAGACTTCAAAGAAGTGTGACTGGCCCAAGGTCGCCCAGCAGCTGCATGTGGAGGAGCGGGGAAGCGAACCCGGTTCACCACATTACGAGACTATGGCTCTTAACCACTACACCACACTGACTCTCTCTAGTAGTACAGCAGCAGTAAAGGAAAGTTGCTCTATGTTTGAAACCAGCTACTCAGAGTCTGCTACCTGTTTGCTGCTGCTGGGCAGTTCTGGGTCAAGGACAGTCCCCTTCGTACTTTGCTTACCACCCCGTGGTCAGATGCCACCACAGTGGAAGTAGAAGCAGCGGTGGAAGATGAACCAAACACTGGAACCTGCGGACGGGGATGTAAGAAAACTGAATGGCAGTAGCCAGAGGGCGTTATGAGGAATGGAGGCATGCAGTGGTACTTCGTTCACGTCACAGTCGCAGGTTGCCATGTAAAAAAGACAAATAAAAGAATATCTGCTTCTGCTACTGGCACCCGATTGTAAGAACCTCTTGGTGTCTTTTAAATCTGCCACCTGTGCAGAAAACCTAAATGTTCAAAATAAATTAAAACCTCAGTTTCATAGGCTTTCCAGTGGAAGGGAAAGAGCTGAAGTTTTTGAATTTTAGTTCATGTCTAGTAAGTAAGGTTGTTGGCATCAACCAGCAGTAATATATATTGGTTATACTTCACAAGCTGTAAGCTTTCTTCTGTTCGGTGTGATAATGCCCTCTCATCATTTTATAGCTGGCTGCGGGATATGTCGCTTTCCAGGAAGGGAATTGGTGAAAAATATTCTGATGTACTGAGAACTTGAAGCTTGAGAGAGTTTCAAATAGAAGACCTAATAAATTCTCTTCTTCTTAGATGTCTGCTATGAGCAGGCTTTGTGCTCTCTATAATTTAGTCCAACTTCAGCAAATTCTGCATGCCAGGAAATCCACTTTGCTTGTGTTAAGATTTTTCTCCCTTCAGTTTGTTTGTGAAGAACTGAGCTTAAAGGGCCACCAAGAATGCTTTACGTTTTCGTTTGCTTGGCAAGTATAATTTATTTTAAGAATTAGCATTAGAGAGAGATGCTTTGCAACATAAAAGAGCAAGACCGAGAATGCTTCTGCTACAGAGAAGGCATCTAGCAGCCGAAAATCACTACTTATTCTCCACTAGCACAACGCAATATTTTAACACTGTTCTTACAGTAAATTTTGCTTAAAATATGAAATACAATTGGGAGTTAACTCTGGGAAATTCCACCTTTCTGAAATGTACATGGATAATTTTTTTTTCTTTTAAACATTGCTAGTCCTATAGATTCTGCCCCCTGCTTCTGTATTTGCCATAATTATTTTTACTGAATAATTTGTCCAGCGCTGTGCTGCACTGGCTTTGTTTTGTGGCTTTCTTTGTTTTTAATTTCTTAAAATGATCCCTCTTTTCAGATTTCAAATAATAATCTATTTCCTGATCCATTGCTGAAGCCCAGTGATCCATGTCAGAAGTACCTCCAGGTCAGATGCCCTTTCAGATATTTTAATACTGTACGCACAGAATTTCTTTCTCTCCTTCTGGGCTCACGGTTTTTCATTTACGATTTAAAAAATATATTCATTCTTTCTCTTTCCCTTTCCCTCACCCTTTCTTCTGGTGTTTTCTCTTCTTTAAAACAACGCAACCAGTTTTTCAAAGCCAGTACAAGCACAGTACTTGCCAGTTTCTTATCTTTTGTTTAAAAGAATTGGGAGCAGGTTGCGGGATCAGGCAGAGACTTCCCCTTCTCAGCGCTCGGCTGGCCCAACTGCAGTTAACCATGCGGCTGATGTAACAGTTAACTGTAGATGGAACTATGCATTTCACTCGACAAAAGCGTGTTTCCAAGCCCATATATGTCAAGATAACTTGAGTACAAGGCCAGAATGGGCATTTATAGGGCAGCAACTGGTGGGCTGGAGTGAGAATGAAGGCTCAGCAGGCACCAGAAGAACTAAACAGTGTCCCCTTCTGCATCTTTCAAAGCTTGGAGATTCTGTAATACTCCAGTGAAGTAGTACTGCATAAAGCATTGTTGTGGTGTTAGTGGCTAGGACCCTGGTCCGAATCTCACCTCTGCCATGAACTCACTGGGTGCCCTTTTTCTTTTTCTTCTCCCTCTCCCTCTCCTTCTCCTCCCTCTCCTTCCTCCTCCAGCCTACAATCTTCCATGCTGAGATAATACCGTAGAGTTGTCATATATAGGAGTGTCTTGAATGTTCCACAGTGAGATATAAATATTCAGCATAATGGAGGATGAAGTGATATTTCAGTTGGTAGAGCACAACGCTCTTAATCTCAGGCTCATGGGCCTGAGTCCCACATTGGGCAAAAGATTCCTGTATTGCAGGGGGTTGACCTAGATGACCCTTGTGGTCTCTTCTAATTCTGCAAGCTTTATAGGGCTGAATCAGTACATTAGATCAAGTTCCTGCTTATTCCCCCCACCCTCTTGATTTTTTTTCAAAAGATGGGACATTTGCTCCATCATCTGCTCTTGGCACTTAGTCAGAAAAGAGATTCTGACCAAACATCAGGACGAACATTATGAAAGTAAGAGCTGTTCAACAGTGGAACAGACTGCCACAAGAAGTGGTGGACTCTGACCTTCCTTGGAGGTTTTCAAGCAGAGGTTGGATGGTCATGTGTGATTTAGTTGAGATTCCTGCACTGCAGGGGGTTGAACTAGATGGCCCTCAGGGTCCTTTCCCACACTACAATTGTACAATAAGTCTGCCTTCATCCAAAGGAAATGCTTCCTAGGCATGGCCAATTATAGTCTAGTTCATGGGTAGGCAAACTAAGGCCCAGGGGCTGGATCCGGCCCAATTGCCTTCTAAATCCAGCCCGTGGATGGTCTGGGAATCAGCGTGTTTTTACACGATTAGAATGTGTCCTTTTATTTAAAATGCATCTCTGGGTTATTTGTGGGGCATAGGAATTTGTTCATATTTCCCCCCCAAAAATATTGTCTGGCTCCGCACAAGGTCTGAAGGAACAGTGGACTGTCCCCCTGCTGAAAAAGTTTGCTGACCCCTAGTAGTTGTACCTATTAACTTAATAACATTGATTTGTTCAATTGTTTAAGTTTTTCATTAGCAGTACTGAGAGAGTAAGTAATAGCCTGTCTACCTCTCTCTAAAGTTCCTGTCAAGGCACTCAGAATTATTCTCCTTGAAGCACAAATTTATGTAGCATTTATTTTGAGGATGCTGTCAGGAGGTTCGCAAGATCACAGCCCCGGGAGCATAATTTGGATCAATAAGAATGTGCAGGAGTCAGGCACAATGTACACCTTGGGCATCTCTTTGACTTGCTAGGTTTTAAGCTTTGGTAAGAGAACCATCTTCCTGGTTTGATTCTTTGTGTTTCCATGTGGTCCACTCAGCTCTCCTTGCAGCTGAATCAGAAGAGAGCAAGGAAGATGAGAAATTCTGCTGTGAAAAAAAGCAGTATCTCTAACCATCAGTTTTAGAATATGATTTGGGCTACACAGCACAGATGATTCACTCCTCAGATAGGGTCAGTTTTACGGAGTTCAGCCTCAGGTGATTACTCCTTAACTCACCAAACTTTTTCATTTTTCTTCTCCTTCTCTACCTTTGTCTTTCAGGGGCACATGGGGTTTTGTCATTGCTTTCTTTTGTTAATAATGGATTAGAAAATGGGAAAGTGGACTACAGCACAGTGCTAAGGTGAAAGCCCTTGACTGATACAGGGTCTTTCTGGACCATAAATCTAGATTATCTTGAACCCCTAGGCACTGTTACACAGAAATATAAGCTTCCATCTTTTTATTAAGCTGTGCAAGGCGGTAAGAAAATTAGCAGCCCTAGCGCTGGTGAAGTTAGGTAATATTAGATTCTGGACTTCATGGTCTTTGAGAGTGTGTGTCTTTAGATGGCAATATGTATCACTTCACATTTTTAAAAATATGGTAGGCAGCTGTCATTTGTTTGGGGGTCCTAAACTTCTCCCCCAAAGTCCTGCCTCGGTGGCCCCACCATGTACTGTAGGCTTCCAACGTGCTTTCCAATATTCTGCAGATGAAAATACGGACACTGTGGTAGGATGTATGCAGAAAGGCTAAAACCAACAACGTGGTGAAGATGTACAGACAGGGCAGTTCTTAAATTATCATTTGAGGTACTAGTTCCACTGGCACAAATCCATTTCAGGCACTATGTACATTTTCAGGTCAACAGTAATGCCAGAAGGAAGAAGTCAAAGTAGAAAAAGGTGTAAGAAGCTTTATAGGGCTGAATCGGTACATTAGATCAAGTGGAGTCCAATTGCGGCTACACAGTGGAACGTGGGAAGGGACATAGGTCTGTGGTAGACCACATGCTTTGCATGCAGATGATCCTGAATTCAAGCCCTGGCATCTCTGGTACACCTGGGAAATACTCCCGTCACTCAGTGTGAACAATACTAGCTATACAGATCAATGGTGAGACTCAGTAAAAGGCAGATTCCTATGTTCCTAAATGCCTGAAATTTAGTTAGTTTTTACAACATCCACGTATCAGTGCCTTCCAACATAATAAATCCAAAGGATGTGTTAAAGAATAGAAGCCTGGTATATTATACAGTGATTTCCTCGGTGCAGCAGGACATAATATACTGTCACAATTTATTTGCTAAATAAGTTGTGTGTGTGTGTGTGTGTGTGTGTGTGTGAACTGATAAAGAGTGAGGAACAGAGAAATCAAAGTACGTAGGGAGGAGGAGAATATAGACAGCATCCCCATTATTGGCTTTGACAACTGGAGTGTGTCTTGATGCTGAATTAGTGTTCCCAGTATCAAAGCTGTAATGAAAGAGAAAACAAAGGGGTAGACAGCTGAAGTGATTCTCAAAGGTTTTTCAAAGGAGAGGTCCATGAAACCAGAAACTTTATCAAGCAGATCAGACAGTCTAGCATTTTTCTTGCTCCCCCCACAACCCCGCTTGTTTTCAACATTGCATAACCCTAAAATGAATGAGCCATCTGCTTCATGCAAATCTGTTTTGACAAACAGGAGAGCGCTAGCTATGATCTGCAGACTGACCAGCACCAGACTATTTATTCAGCTGGATGTGTTTGCCCGTCCCTGCCCCTGTTTTAATTAAACGTTTCTATAATCACATAGGTAATATAATAATACAATAATAATTTATTATTTATACCCCGCCCATCTGGCTGGGTTTCCCCAGCCACTCTGGGCAGCTTCCAACCGAATATTAGACATCAGATATTAAAAACTTCCCTACATAGGTATCTCTTTTATTATTCAGCAAACAGAAGCCCAAGAACCAGAACCGCTTCATATGTTTGCATGGCACCCTGGGTTTATTAGTGTTTTGCCATGACAAGCAAAGTATGAAAGAAGAGTGTGCGTCTCAAAATACTTGGGGATACAGTGGTACCTCGGGTTACATACACTTCAGGTTACATACGCTTCAGGTTACAGACTCCGCTAACCCAGAAATAGTGCTTCAGGTTAAGAACTTTGCTTCAGGATGAGAACAGAAATCGTGCTCCAGCGGTGCGACAGCAGCAGGAGGCCCCATTAGCTAAAGTGGTGAAAGTGGTGCTTCAGGTTAAGAACAGTTTCAGGTTAAGAATGGACCTCTGGAACGAATTAAGTACTTAACCCGAGGTACCACTGTATGTCGTAAACACCTACTGGAGAGAGCTAGGATTGGTGCTGAATTCCTGGCACATGGCCATTATGTGAAAGAGATTCACGTTTCCCATTCATGTTTCCCAAAGCCACTGAAGTCTCACACAGGATTTAGCCCTGTGTGTTTGCTGTAGGAAATTCCTGTGAAAACAATGGTGTATCTGCAGTGCCATGTGGAAAAACAATTATACCCCGTTTTGTTCTTTAGTGATACTGAAATCCCGCTGAAGCTCCTATCCTATTGACCAAGTCAGTGGCAGTCTTGATTTTTGTACCTTAACTGAAAAGTCAAAATAGCACCTGGAGAGTGTTAAGAGGACGAATATGAAGACGTTTGGTAATTTTTTTCTGATGACTGATGCTCAGAAGTTGTCAATTTAGCGTACACCACTTTTTCCATTTCATGTTCCTGAAACACCACAACCCACTTTCTTCTCCTTCCCTTCTTAGTATCTCCCTCACCCCACTTTATAAATGCTTCTCCTATTTTTATAGAGTTCCCACCTCTTTTTCCTTATTTGTGATGAATTGGAGGGGGGGGGCACAACTGTTAATTTTAAAAAGTGATAGGGACCGGAGTGAGGAAAAGCAGTCCCCTTCCGCATGCCATCTGCTGGCGAAAGCATTACCACTCAGTGGTGGTGGTTTATGTGCCTTTAAAGGGAAATTAGGCAAACCTGTGGAGGATGGGTCTATTAACAGCTCTTGAACCATGAATGTTATATGCAGCCTTCCACAGTCCTGGAAGTTACACTTCTGAATGTCTGGGGATAAACAATGAGAAAAGACACTTCTTTTCATGCCCTGCTTGTAGGTTTCTCTGGTTGTCCACTCTTGGAAGGAGGGTTCTAGATAAGCCCTCAGTATGACTGAGCAAAGCTTTTCCCTTAAATATAATGGTAAATGAAAAGTTCTGAGGAACCCTCTTTCTATTCTGCCCTTCATCAGAGGATCACAGGGTGGTTTACAATATAAAAACATAAAAATACATACCATGGTGACAGACAAAATCAATACCCGCTCTCCCCAATTTGAAAGTCCATATATTGTTCTTAAATACACCTTACCCAGAGCAGTGCCTTGTCAGTCTCCACCAGTGCACTCTTATTTTAGTATTGTTACACTGCAAAACAGGGTGAAAAAGCAGAAATCAGAAAGGCTACGGTGATATTTTGCCAGGTTCTTCCCCTACGTAGAAAGCATGAACCAGGGGAGGGAAACTTCTGGGCCTCCAGATGTGGTAGGCCAGGAATCCAACTCCCATCAATCCCAGCCAGCATGGCCAATGGTCAGGGATGAAGAGAGCTGTTATCCAAACAACATCTGGAACCACAAGTTCCCCACCCCTTACATAAACCTTTCAATTTCCCTGCTCATTTGTATGAAGCTTTGGAGAGATTGGCATACCTGGTTGCACCTAGGGACCATGAAGGAGAGCTGTACTGAATGAGCTCACTAAAACCATTACCCCTCCTCTTGTTATCTGCGACCTGCCATAAAATTCAAGACGTTGCTGCTTATTTCATGGGTGGATGTGCATGCAGGCTTTTCAATCCTGTTTCCAAGCACACTTAACACCTGTTGATTATTATGCTTAAGGATACTTCATGAGTGTTTGTTTCTGCTACCTCCCTAGTTGACTCCGGTGTGGAAACCTTGGCAGGGTTTATGGCAAGCAACAGCGCGACGGACATTGTGAATCGGAACGGTCCTGCCACTCCGCCCAACACGCTCCACCTGCGCTCCTCTCACAACGAGCTGCTGAATGCCGAAATCAAGCACACAGAAGTCAAGAACAGCACCCCTCCAAAATGCAGGAAAAAATATGCGCTGACTAACATCCAGACAGCCATGGGCCTTTCTGATCCTGCTGCGCAGCCCCTGCTGGGCAACAATTCTTCCAACATAAAGCTGGTGAAGAATGGGGAGAACCAGCTTAGGAAAGCAGCGGAGCAGGGGCAGCAGGATCCTAACAAGAACCTGACCGCTCCTACGACGACCGCAGGCATCAACATAACTTCTGAGAAGTTGGAGGGGAAAGAACCAAACCAGGAGGATTCCTCAGGCAGCGAAATACTACCCACGCAACGCCGGAGAACCAAGAGCTTCCTAAATTACTATGCAGATCTCGAGACATCGGCAAGGGACGTTGAGCAGAATTTGGGGAACAGCCAAGTGGCAGGGGAGGAGAAACTGTCCTCGCAGTGCAATAGCCAGGCATCCACAGTGATTGTTAACGGGGACGCCTTGCTTCGGAAACAAAACAAGCCAGCGAGTCCGGAAGATGGACAGGTAGCCACCGTATCGTCGAGCCCGGAAACAAAAAAGGATCATCCTAAAACTGGTGCCAAAACAGACTGTGCGCTACATAGGATTCAGAACCTGGCTCCGAGCGACGAAGACTCTAGTTGGACAACGCTGTCTCAGGATAGTGCATCTCCAAGTTCCCCAGATGAAACAGGTACAGATGCTTCTTTTGTATGTTGTGGGTGTGTGGGAAGGCAAAATGGTATGCGCTTGAGTAAATCCTTGCAAAGAGTGAAGTTTAGGCCAGTAGATCAGTTGGCTTCAAGGAATGCAGCTGAGATTGCAAATTTTGCCGAGCTTAAGTTTTTATCTTTATAGCGGGACTTTCTACCCTTTAGCGATGCAATAACTCACCTTAAGAAAAGTTTAATTCTTTTGGTCATATAAATGGCTGTGATAAAACTAAAGAAGCTAGCCTGTTAATAATGATCAAATGACAGCGTTACTGATTCTGTCCAGTTGCTACACAAAGTTCTTGTTTTAAAACTTGGAGCTTTTTTCCCTGGTACTTTCTGCTTTGCATTTAAATGTAAATTTGGACAGCTTGATCCTAATCACATTTATTTTTAATATGTGCCTTTGAGTTCTGTGGGACTTTGCTTCCTGATAAGTATTTTTAGGGTGGAGCTTTGAACTGTTACGGAATTGACAATCAATAATCTTCAATAGGCAAAGCGGTGCTGTATTAACATAGGATTGCATCCAATTCTGGCTTTCTGCTAATGGAAACACTTCCACAAGACGGGGTATCTGATATTTCTAAAGTCCTCCTATGCAGACTTCTGTCTCCTGAGGATTGTGGGATCCTCTGGGACAGAATGGGATATAGCATAAAGGGCTTCTGCAGTTGATCGGGTTATGGGGATTGTTTAGAATCCGCTAGTCTATTTATACATTTTAAAGCCACACTGTTAGCTTTCCTGTCTATATCATGTGAAGATAGTGAATTACAGACAATAGAAAGTGGACAGGCTTTCCCCTCCAAGCTTTTACTTGTCAAACTCGTGAGTGTAGGTATTGCAGGGACAAGTGATACTTTCAGTTTTATGGTTTGTTTGTAACCCGTGTGATGGCACGTCCACACAGCAAGCTGTTGGCGTGAAAAGCCTCTCCAACATCATGGTGGCCATTTTGGCTATGCCAACATGCTGCCATTTCCCCCCATTGAGTTATGTTGGTGTGATTCAAATGACAACAGCTGCATTTGGGGAAACAGGGTCTCAACAGCTTGGTGTATGATAATGCTCCTGCGTAGTTATGTTTCAAACATTGCCCGTCTCACTGATTCGGCCCTTGACGTTTGTTCTGCATAGGTGAGGTATAAGCAGCCGCAGGATTGACCACAAGCCCAGAGGGCGATCTAGCAAAAGCCTCTCCCTTCTTGGGTTGTTTTCTCCTTGTTCCACCTTTTTGTCTCCTCTCCATACCCCATATCTTAGTGTTGCTGCCTGCTATTAACCTGGTTATTTATCAGGTCTTGCCCAAATCACCCACTGCTGCTACTCATGCCGTGCTTCTCCCTTTCTTCCCTCTCCATTTACTCTTCCAAACCTTTTGCATCCCTTCTCTTAAATCCTCTCCTGCGCCTCTATATCCCAGAGGTGCTGGGCTCTGGCCCCAGCCCAAGTATCTGTTGCTAAGGAAAAAGAGAAGAAAGAGAAGGCGATCATAATTCAGACCACACTTTTAAAAACATGGTTTTCAGGTTTCCCCAAAGCTATGAAACAAGACATTGAAATATGAGTGAATTTGGCCTGATAAATCTATGCTTCAGCGTTTTTTTTAAAGCAGCATAGAATTCCTGCCAAAATTGTCTACTTGATATATGCTCCTAAGTGGATACTTAAATCTGTAAAAAGAAGGGAAGGGGCTGCCATTCCTCCCAATGGAATGGAATCCAGCAGCTGCTAGACTATCTAGCAAAATTAGAGTGCTTCAGTGTGTTTAAAACTGTGCTTCTGCATAATGTTGCATTAATGCGCAAGCGATCTAATTCCAATGGCTATATGCAAAGAGGATGCCCAATGCTGGGGCAAACCCATAGCCTTATTTCCTTTCCTGAATAGCAGTGTTAGGCACGTAAAAGATAAAGCTATCAGGTAAGTAGCCTCAAAATTGACTCACATGTGAGGGAAACTGGAATTACAAGTGTCATTCCTAGTGAGATAGAGCGCTGATTGGGATTGCCTTGTTTTTGCAACCCTCTGACTTACCCCAAATAGATTTCCACCCCACCCCACCCATGAACTCCAACTGAAATATGTCACAAAATATATATTGCAGATGAAATAATGAAGTGTGGGGACAAGAAGCATGAGGCCCCTGTGTGTTCTGTTCTCCTTGCACCTGTATCCTTGCAGAAGGCATTGTAGGAAACTGAACCGTTGACAGAGGCATTATCAGATGATAAATTGATAGCTTGACAGGTTTGCCCCTATTGATGCTTAGAACAAAGCATCCTTGGAACAAGTGCTGTGATGCAGACATCTGCATTGTCTGGTGGTTGTGTTTGTTGTGTTTATTTGTTTAATTTAGTTGTTCAGTTTATATCCTGCCCTTCATCAGTTCCGTTGATTGCAGAACTGGTTACGTCTTAGCACACATTTTATACAATAAACTATAAATAACTGCTATCCTCTAGCATACAGCAAATACCAATAGAATGGTCACCTGCACACACCATATATTTATAAAGCACTATTATGCCACTTCAACAATCTCAGAGGTTTCTGGGAACTGTAGTTTGTTAAGGGGGCTGGGACTGGTAGCTGAGCATCCTTAAAAGCTACAGTTCCCAGGATTCTCCCTGTTAGAGTGGCACAAGTGTGGTTTAAATGTATCGTGTGAATAAGATTACAGCAGCTCTTCAGCAGTAGCCTGCAGATAATTTACTCATCCCCCTGCCAAAAGCCTGGGCGAAAAGATTAATGAACAGCAAAAAACAAATAATGGCAAATGTGGTCATAAACAGGAATTGGTACCAAGCTTTAGTATAACTAATAAATATGAGGTCAACAGATTAAAAGGCCCCAGGTGGTAGGAAGAAAGCAAAGGAAAGAGAACAAAGAAATGATGCAACAGTCGCATCCTTAAAAGTCAGGTGACACCGCAGAATAGTTTATCTGAGGTGGCACATGTCAAAGCATTACCTGAGCACCTTTCAGTGTTCCCTAGAATATCCTGATCTCCCTTCCTCACCCTTTTCACTTTACTAGTCTCTTCCTTGACTTTTGACCTGATGAGAATTCCTGGATGCTAAAATCCAAACTGGGGACAAGTACTGTGTCAGAATATGCAGCAAAGTAAAGCATGGAAATATAAGCTGTTAGATCTTTAAAAGAGGCCCTTCTAAGTGAGTTCCAAAATGTCCCCTTAAAATGTGGCTTTCCAAAATTTCCCTCTTCCCCAGCGTAGGAGAAGACCACACCTTTGGTAAGTTAAAAATGGCTTACTTACAAACTGTTCAAAGGCCAGATTCATATGCTTCAGAAAAGGTTTCATGGGCAGAGAACTGAGCTTGGTGGTGAAAGTTCCTAAATGATTGGTTTAGGAACTTGAGTGACTGGTGAGAGCCATGCAGTTTGAGCTGGAGCAACTAGCTCAAACATCGTCACATGCTGAGCTTCTCAGGTAGCCTGGGAAGTACAAAGGCTTGATGATCTAGTTCCTCCCAAGGTGAGGGGAAGTAAGGTAAAGGTAAAGGATCCCTGGATGGTTAAGTCCAGTCAAAGGCGACTATGGAGTTGCAGCGCTCATCTCGCTTATGTTGAGGGAGCCGGTGTTTGTCCGCAGACAGCTTTCCGGGTCATGAGACTAGCATGACTAAACCGCTTCTGGAGCAACGGAGCACCGAGACGGAAACCCGAGTGCACAGAAACACCGTTCACCTTCCCGCCACAGTACCTATTTATCTACAGTGGTTCCTTGGTTTACAACCATAATCCATTCTGGAGGTCCGGTTGTAAACCAAAACAGGTTGTAACCCAAGGCGTGCTTTTGCCAATGGGGCCTCCCCAAAAAATGGGTTGTAATCCAAAAAAAGGGGTTGTAATACAAAGAATGGGACGCGTACTTCCAGGTTTGACGTGGTTGTAATCCAAAACAGTTGTAATCCAAAGCGGTTGCAAACCACGGTACCACTGTACTTTCATATCATCCAGTTTTCTTAATATTTTGTACACCTTGGTCACAATTTCTGTTAGACTGGATGTAGATGAAACAATGCAATGAAATCCTTGTGTTCCCTTGATAACTTTCATTCTTTCAAAGCGTCGTTTTAGGAACATTTCTTCTTTTTTCTGTATTCCTCATTTGTTGAAATTAAGAACTGGATAGAAGGGATGTTATCTTGGCACCAGGTTAACAGTTCCAGCAGTGTAATAATTTTGTTTGATACGTATTTTGTTGTAATGTTCATGAAATGAAGTACTAACAAGAATTCTTTCAAAGTGTTAATTCTATCATGCAAGCTATCACTCCGCTTTGGAACACATTTTTAAAAGAAAAGCCTGACTAGCTTTTCAGACACCTTTTAATTGAATAACTTTCTAAAGAAATGTCTGAAGTAACTGATATTATAGTTAAGTCTTTTTATTCCGTTACATTTTACTCCAAGAAGACCCATTTATCCTAAATAGAACCTAATAAAGCAGACATGTATGTACAAAATATTTTTTATATGATCCCATTGAGATCCCAAGATGAAATTTAGCAGGTAGCTCTTAGAAATATTAAATAAACAATACATTTTTTGAAAAATCTAAATCATATTAATTTTTTTTAAATTTGATTTTGTAACTTAAATTTAAAATTTAAAGTAAGTCCATCATGTGACATATCATATTAAAGCCCATGAAGTTCTGAAGGGATTGGTGTTTTTAGTTTTGATGTATCTCAGTTCTGGCCTGAGCTAATAAGGTTTTTGTGTAGTACAGCACAGCTAAAATTGTCATTTAATTTTTTTTTCAGACCCTCATAACTCACAAACGGAATGAGATAAATAATTAAAATTTTAGATTTAAACTTAGTTTTGATTATTCAGCAAGTGTACAAAATATTAAGAAAATTGGATGACACGAGGTAGATAAGTTGGATCACTTGGTATGGAATGACCCTGGTATGCTTTTGAAGCTGGGACAAACCAACGGGAGTTCACCCCATTTCACAGATTCAAACCTCCAACCTTCCGATGGGCAAGCCCAAGAGGCTCAGTGGTTTAGACCCTGAGGGGAAGTAGACTTAGCTAAGCCTAACAGGACAGTTCACTCTATGGTATTAACTCCTTCGTGTGTTATTTAGACTTAACCGTGTTGGTTATTTGAGACGGGTTATCCTAAAGTTTGGTCTTGCTTGAAGCTATTGGCTAATCTAGTCTGATGGATTATATTAATAATATTAATATTAATATTAATAAATTGCTTTATTATTAACTGTTCACCCCAAGGTGAACAATCTTCCAAAACAGAACATTCAAATCCAAAATCAAAACCACAGGAATAAGATGGCTCCCTAAATACATGCATCTTAAGTGTCAAAGGCCAGGGTGAAGTCTTAGGACTTTGCAGTCAGGAGTGTAATGCCCCTCTTGCGGCCGTTGTCTTAGCTGCTCTAATATCATAGAGAGGTTGATGTGACAGAGGGGTGTCAGCCCATAGCAAGGGGGCCTGAGTATTAAAGGACAGTGATATGGGCTGGATCAGGGCTTTTGGAGTCTTGTAAAAGTTTCCACATTAGTGGAATCCATCCCATGACTCCATCTCAGGACTCCATCTAAGAAGTTTTAGAAGGCCAAGAATTCTGTACTAAAATCAGTTGGACATGAACGTCCTGAAGGCAGTATAGAGTGTCAATCAGTGTTACTGAACATATGTATTTCAGCGAGACTGAAACCCTTAATGGGATTTCAGCCTTGAAATGTAGTGTTGTTTTGAGAAAAATTGGGGCAACGATGGGGATAGTGGGCAAAATGCTCAGCCTATAGATTTAAGATATTCTGTGTAACAACATTTTTATCATTCCATTAATTTGGGGAAACAGAAAAAATATGCCTCATTTCAGTATATGAGCAAAGATACCCAGAGTTTCAAAAAAACAACAGCAGAAATTTCCCATTCAGTTTTTAATTGGATTTTACTACTATTCCACAGAGATTTTTATTTTTTTTAAAGCCATTTCCCTGGTCATTTTGGCTGACACGATTCTTGGCTTTGCTTAAATTATTGATTACAGCGAGGGGAGGGACTTCCTGATGAGAGCAGCACTCTCCCTAATAGAAGCCTCTCACTAAATCAATTTCTACCATTGCTGCAATGCACCTTCGGGGAGTTGAAGGTTAGGAGCTTCAAGAAGAATTTCTTTTTTGCCTTCAAGGAGTGGATCTTTGCAATAAATTTTACTGAACTCTTCCTTTTTGTGTGTGTGGCTTTCATGTTTGTAAAAGCAGCCAGGAACAAGACATTTTAATGAATTTTTGGAGGTGGAAGGAGGGTTCTGGCATCCGTGCGCAGATGAGCTGATTAAATCGCGATGTGATTGATGCCTGTAGGCTGTGGGGTCTTGAAAGCTTGTCACTTTGAGCAAAATCAGTCAAGAAATACTTGAGCGTCTGGCAGTCTGGCAATCGGTTCAGTATTGCGTGCACCCACCACTATAATTCCTTTACAGCTGTCTTGGTTTCTGCCGTCTTGGGGAAGGTAGTCATTTATATGGGCAACATGTGGCATTTCCACTCTGAAATCTACAGGCTGCCAGGTGGCCTTCCTTTCACCCACCCCAAACTTCATTCCTTGTTAGACTAATTAAATAAATGTCGCCTACGTAGTGGTAGGTCCCCCAGCCCAACCCCATTCAGCTGGCAGACAGATCTGGAGGCTTTGCAAAGAGGGCGAGCACGAGCGAACATGAAGCTGTTAGAACATGTGCAGAACAAACTTAAAGGATGCTGGTGGCAGATCAGCTAAGGCTGAACTGCAGAGGAGGAGGAGCGAGCAAATGTGAGTAGCGAGAAATCATATATGTTATTTCTTTCCAGCTTGTCTATGCAAGCTGCCTATTTCTGTATACAGATGTTTAGCAGCTGTTGTCATTGGGGAACGTGGGGGTACTTTTAAGTCCTGTTTGCATGTTGTCTGTACCAATTGCAGAGAGAGCTTATCCACTAAGACTGGAGTAATCATCACAGTATGAACTTTGTGTTCTGCTGTTAGCACCTCTGTGTTAGCGCTGGCGAATCGAGTGATTAAGTTAGAAAGCTGTGATTTGCAGAGCTTGAACATTTTCACACTGGTTCTGGATTCCAGATTACCTTGGACTCCTCGTCTCCTGGTTTTCCTTGACATGCCCCTAATCTCTTCCCTGTGTCTACTTTGCTTCTCTAATCATGTTCTTCAACTTCAGGGTAAAGCAACTTTTTTCTATAATGGAAGGTTGGTTTTGAACTAATACTCATTTGTTTGGCAGTGTCTGATTGGTTTCTGGCAGATAAATTTGACAGTTAACGGGGAATCATTTTCCAGCTCATTTTTAGAGGGGTCACTATTGTTTCACACTGTGGGTTAATCACCAGGACAGTTAAATAAATCAAAGTTAGAAGTCATTGTTAATTCAGTGAACAGAAACTGATTTATAAATCAGTTACATGTTTTTATTCAGCTAGAATATAAATATTTTAAAAATATATTTTGCAAAGCTTAGTGAGTTCACCTGGCTCACATGGTTTGTGTGATATTTCAGGGAAAAAAGTCAGTAATATACTGTTAAAATGTGGAAGGTACAATACAACATTATTTACTATCAATTTGAGAATATCTCCTTATTCAGGGTTGACCAGTTGGTATAATTGCATTCATTGTGCATTAGCATAGGAATCTGGTGCCTGCAACTTAAAGCTTCAGGCTGTCTCATGTATTGTCATTCTACAGACAATTGATGAAGAGCATTGTCTTGCTTAATTGAATTCCAAAGCAATCAACTTTTTTGTGGGGGTGGTGGAGAGAAATGGGAGGCTTCTTTTTAAAAAGAACCAAGATTTTGCTGCTAGAATACATAGATTTTTAATGACAATATCCAAAAATGTTTTTACATTACAATATTAGCCACAGTAGTTGTAAGGTTTATACAGCCAGCCAATGAATAGGAAAGGATAATCATCTACTGCAGCTTTCCCAAACCTGGTACCTTACAGATGTTTTGGATTGCAACTATCATTAGCCCCAGCCTGGCCCAATGGTCAGGCACAATGGGGACCCTTCCCTTTTGTGCATAACGAGGGCTCACAATCCTAATAAAGCCCCAATCTGAGATGGTGGAATTATTGGTTAGAATAATAGGATTGTAGAGTTGGAAGGGATCACGAGGGTCATCTAGTCCAGCCCTCTAAAATGCAGGAATGTCAACCGATCATGGACCGAATGGGTTCATTTGAGCAATGTGTCACTGTGACCGTTTTACATTAAGTAGATAATTCTGTAAGTATTGCACACCACTGATGACATTATAAATACTGAAATGTAAGTATCACAAAGGCAGTCTACTGCTTGTGCATCTGTTCTCGGAATACAATATTTGTTGTGAAATTGTGATACAAAGTGTCAGGTAAGATATCGTACCTTGTTTATGGGCAGATGGGACAGAGAGGCATTATTGGGTCAAGACCTGCAGTTTTGGCAAATGAGTTGGCTGATTGTGCATGCATGTTAGTTAATAAAGCACTCGGATATTCAGTGGTTCAGAACAGGCAGTTTTGTCACCAAGATGGAAGGAGTGCAGGTTTGGAATTTCTAAATTTTCAGTTTGTCAGCAGACTTTGTAACGTAGAGCAAGACTCTGCCAGGGCAGCAAAACACCAACTAAAAATAATAAATTCTTTTTAAAATGGGAATATTCAAATGCTTTATTAGTGGTAACTAAGCTTGATGGTGAATTTTGAGTGAATCATAGGAGAGAAGCGACAGGAGGGCGACTTCTCTAATGTCTCTGCACATTACTGTAAATGGACTGTCCGAGCAGTCCGGTTTTTTATTCATCCATCAGCCAGATTACATCTTGGCACCACTTTTGTTTGCCCAGCAACAGCAGGCTTTAATTAGCGGGATGGATCGGATAAGTTAAAAAACAACCAAAAACCTGTTTGCAAAAATCTACAGTTTTATCAACAATGCAGCAATTGCTCTGTTGTGCACTTTCACTTTATAAAACTTTTGCTTCTTCATATTTGGTTTTATGATGATATACTGCTTCCCCATTACCTTTCCTTCCTTCCCCATTACTTATTTGGTTACAAAGCCAGGCTTCATTTGGAGCATGGCGAATTGCCATTTGATGGCTGCATAATATTTGCTTGGCTGGCTGTGAGCTGATGTTCCCTACGATTTCCTGAAGCACATACCTAGGTTAGATTGCCTGGTAGATACCTAGCCTGCAAGCACCATGGTGGCTAAAATTGTTTTTTAGAACAGTTTTCAAATAATTTATTGCATCGTACCTTGAACAGCAAATTCAGAGCCTCCCTTTAAGATTTGGATGCATTTGTTTCTATAAATTAAAACTAGCCTCAAAATTGCCTTGATAGCATGCTGCATTAGTTTTGTTGTTGTTGTTTAGTCGTTTAGTTGTGTCCGACTCTTCGTGACCCCATAGACCAGAGCACGCCAGGCACTCCTGTCTTCCGCTGTCTCCCGCAGCTTGGTCAAACTCATGCTGGTAGCTTCGAGAACACTGTCCCACCATCTTGTCCTCTGTCGTCCCCTTCTCCCTGTGCCCTCCATCTTTCCCAACATCAGGGTCTTTTCCAGGGAGTCTTCTCTTCTCATGAGGTGGCCAAAGTACTGGAGCCTCAGCTTCAGGATCTGTCCTTCCAGCGAGCACTCAGGGCTGATTTCCTTAAGAATGGATAGGTTTGATCTTCTTGCAGCCCATGAGAATTAGTTAGCTGAATTAGTTAAAAAGGTAAAGGTAAAGGGACCCCTGACCATTAGGTTCAGTCGTGGCCGACTCTGGGGTTGCAGCGCTCATCTTGCTTTATTGGCCGAGGTAGCCGGCGTACAGCTTCCGGGTCATGTGGCCAGCATGACTAAGCCACTTCTGGCGAACCAGAACAGCGCACGGAAACGCCATTTAGCTTCCCGCCAGAGCGGTACCTATTTATCTACTTGCACTTTGACATGCTTTCAAACTGCTAGGTTGGCAGGAGCAGGGACCGAGCAACGGGAGCTCACCCCGTCACGGGGATTCGAACCGCCGACCTTCTTATTGGCAAGTCCTAGGCTCTGTGGTTTAACCCACAGTGCCACCCGCGTCCAGCTGAATTAGTTAGCTTCCAGGAAAAAGCAAGTGAACTGCCACAGGGCTCCGTCACCCAGCACAGTGCCTAGTTAAGTGGTAGTTGTAAGAAACAACTTGTCTTGGTAAGTAGTTTTTCCTTTCCTCCCCAATTTGCCTTTTATTAATGAATCCAACACCTATAAAGACATTCTTCAAGGCCAGTTTCCCCAACTGGCTGGTCCCAAATCTGCAAAGGACAACAAGCTCCAAGCTTCTAGGCTTAATTGACTAATGGTGCAAGCCTAACCATGTCTACTCCAAAGGAAGTCTGGTTGAATTTACTCCCAGGTAAATGGGGTTAGAATTGCAGCCTAGGGGTTCCAAAGAAAAAGCCTATGTATGGGATCATCATTTTGGAAAACAGGGGCATTTCCCCATTAAGATGTGGGTCAGAACTCATGCAGCCTGGTGAATTGTTTTCCATTAAGGTTCTGATTCAGATGTTAATACAGTATGGGGATGCTGATTTTTAGCCTAGTAATTTTCTAAAATCATAAGTGCAGCTGATTAAAACTTCCACAAATGGGAAGACCAGACTGAAGAGTTTGGACTAAATACCACAATGGGTGGTATTCATCAAAGCTTAACCTCTTGAAAGTAATGAACCTAAGTTAGTCGTGTTCTTTAATATCATTGAATCTCCTCTGAGTAAAACTTAGTTGAATACCATCTACAATTTATTTTGTGGATTCGTTTCTCAGTTGCATCATTGGTTTTATTTCTTGATATTTACTAATAAAGCTACCTTTTTAATTTAAATACTTTAAAGTCCTGTTTTTGTGCAAGCATGATAAAAACCTCACATGGCCAGATGCTCAAGTATCGCTGTGTGGACATAGCAGTTTGAAAGCATACCAGCTCGAATAGATAAATAGGTGCCGCAATGGCGGGAAGGTAAACAGCATTTCTGTGAGCTCTGGACCTTACCACGGTGTTCTGTGCACCAGAGGTGGTTTAGCCATGCTGGCCACATGACCTGGAAATGCTGTCTGCGGGCAAAGGCTGGCTCCCTCAACCTGAAAGTGGAGATGAGCGCCACACCCCATAGTCGCCTTTGACTGGACTTAACCTTCCAGAGGTCCCTTACCTTTACCTACCTGTGTTGGGATGACCATTCACCCAGCAAAGCATCCGGGGGGACAAAGGTGGGGATACTCCCAAGCTCTAAAGCAGAGCCTTTTGTACACTCTCTCTTCCCAAGGCCAATTCCTTTCTACCTCTGAGTAAGAAACAGTAGTATGCTTTTTCCTCTGATAAATCCCAGAGGAGATTTTTTTCAGAATTTGCAAAGCCCTGTGCAAAAGGTCTCGCAAATAAGTTCCTAATACCCTTAATTTTTGTAAAGAAAACATGGGTTTGATCCATCACTTGTAGGAAGTGGTCACAGCTCCAGTTCAGTATTGCTTATACAATGGTACCTGGGGTTACATACGCTTCAGGTTACAGACGCTTCTGGTTACAGACTCCGCCAACCCAGAAATAGTACATCGGGTTAAGAACTTTGCTTCAGGTTGAGAACAGAAATTGTGCTCCGGCGGCGCAGCGGCAGCGGGAGGCCTCATTAGCTAAAGTGGTACCTCAGGTTAAGAACAGTTTCAGGTTAAGAACGGACCTCCAGAACAAATTAAGTTCTTAACCCGAGGTACCACAGTACCAGGGGAACCTCTCTGTCTGGCACTTGGGACTCCCCAGGACACCTCTGACCTCCCCTGCTCAACACAACCTCAAGTGCTTTTCCTTCTGCATGTGTCCTTGAACTGTGAAAATGTCTGTTGCATGCCTGGGTTAGATGTGTGCGTGCGTGCGTGCGTGTAAATCTATGGCTTTTGCATGGCTAGAATGTCACCCACTGTATAAAAAGGTAAGAACTGCATCTGTTGCTCTGGCCCTGTCCATCACTTTCATGCGGCCCTCGAAAGGTAACGTATGATAGAATATGGCCCTCGGACTGGAAGAGGTTCCCTTCCCTTGATCTATATTGACTCAGAATGATACAGGTTTGACTAATACATTTCTGTGTGTGAAAAAGTAAGACTTTTTGAGCACATAAATACAATATTGTCCAATGAAGGAGCACTTTTGCTACTGTTGCTGAATCAATTATCATTCTAAAAGTCATTGGTTTTATCTGTTTTTGGAACAGCTTAGTTCCTGAATGTTTTGGCTCCCAAACACAGCAAACCCGGAAGTGACTGTTCCGGTTTGCGAACTATTTTTGGAAGCCAAACGTCCAATGGGGCTTCTGGAGCTTCCAATTGGCTGCAGGAGCTTCTTGCAGCCAATCAGAAGCCGCGCTTTGGTTTTCAAAGGTTTAGGAATTCGAACCGACTTCCGAAACGGATTCTGTTCGATTTCCAAGGTACTGCTGTATATAAATAGTGTTATCTGTGGAGCAAAACTTGTTGCAGATGGCAAAGGAAGGTTTTTGAAAGAGTTTGACATGAACCGCAGTAGCCTTTTTAAAAAGTGTAGTGCTCGATGCCACCTGGTGGACAGCAAACAAAATACAAGTTTGAAAATAATTGTTGGAAAAAGGAAATGCTCATGTTGCAGGTTCTTGAATGATCTGTGAAGTCATTTCTGATTTCCCCCCTTTTTATTAATGTAATCCATAGAAACATACAAAGTACAGAATGTAACACATAATAAAGTTCAGGACATAAATAAAACTCGAGTCAAGACACAGCAAAAATCACACAATAATCTCTACCAAGTATAGTTGAAAAAACAAATATTGCTATAGTTTTAAATGTTACTACTGCAAAAACAGACAACTGTGAGTTCTACAAAGTAGCATTATGGGGATTTTTTTCACTCCAGAGATTAATGAATAAGGTTGCTAATTAAACTGTGCTCAAATGCTCATTAAATTACATACAGTGGAACCTCGGGTTGCGAACGTAATCTGTGCGAGAGGCAGGTTCGCAACCCACAGCGCCGCATCTGCACATGTGGGTCGCTATTCAGCGCTTCTGCGCATCCGAAACCCAGACGTAACCAGTTCCGGTACTTCTGGGTTCGGCATGGTGCGCAACCCAAAAACGTGTAACCTGAAGCACCTGTAACTTGAGGTACCACTGTACAACTAAATACAGTGGTACCTTGAGTTACATACGCTTCAGGTTACATACGCTTCAGGTTACAGACTCCGCTAACCCAGAAATAGTACCTCAGGTTAAGAACTTTGCTTCAGGATGAGAACAGAAATCATGCTTCGGCGGTGTGGCGACAGCAGGAGGCCCCGTTAGCTAAAGTGGTTCTTCAGGTTAAGAACAGTTTCAGGTTAAGAACAGACCTCCAGAACGAATTAAGTACTTAACCCGAGGTACCACTGTATATGTATATTTGTTATAGTGCAGAGGCTAGACTTAGACTGAGTTCTCACAAGCATAAAATAAGATGGTAAACGTGTGTCTGTAGACCCCACTGTAGACCCCAGCTAGGGGCTCACAGAATGGAACACTTTTCCTCCCTCAGTGTCATGCACAGAGAAAACTAGGTGTGCTAGAAATCTTCTCCCTGCCGTTGGATTTTCCGTGTGGAGTTGTTGTTGTTGTTGTTGCTGTTGTTGTTATGCGCATTGACATGATAAAGCCCAGATTCAGATTTACAGCTTCATGTGACCTCTCTTCACACCTTCTCACCTTCTATGCTTAGCGTATTGTGTGGGGAAGGCTCCCCCCATCCTGCTTGTGGAGGACGACATTTCAGACATCTGATTTGAAGTGTCATGAAAAGGCAGCACACTGATAACGATTATATTTTTTCCCTAATTAATATTATAACTTTTTGTAGTCAGTGAGTTGGCTTGCAGCGTCTAGCTTGCAGTGTCATACTTTGAAAAACAAAATGAAGAATTGACTGCTCTTTTATACCCAGTTAGTATATTGTGAAACTTGTAAAACTTGTATAAATGAAGTAAAATAGGAATTAAAGGTGCATGCGCGCAGCTAAGCATATACTGTGCCTGTGTGCGTGCGCACGGCAGATATTGTTTTCTAGAATTATTGTGGATTGGGAAATACTAATTGAAGGGAAGGGACAACAGACAGTGCAAATATCTCCCATCAATCACCACCCGCTAGTATGGATGGGAAACATCAAGATAGATTTTGGAGGCATTAAAAATGCTGAAAGCCCTGGTGTGAACTCAGCCTCTCTCTCAGATTTAGCTTCTTATTTATAATAGGGTGACAATGTTTTTATGTGAAACACAGCACTCTAAAACAACATATGCAGACACATCATCTTATAAAGTAGGCTCTCTAACTTTACATGAAGAACTTTAATTAAGTTGTCTTCAGTTCAGTTTGATGACTAAACTTCCATAGGTTTCATTGAGCTGGCTCTTAACTGTTGGAACTAGATTTTTTCCCCTCTTTTTCCTTTTTTGAACCATCGTTGGACTTCTTGAAGGTTGTTTTTTTTGCAAGGAAGAGGATCCTGTTGTCTTGACAACCAGTTGCACGCTGTGAAGGAGGACTGTTCCAAATGGCCAGCTTTTGGCTGTTTATATCTCAGTTTCTTGTTGAGTAATGCTGCCAAAATTAGACATGCTTGTTCGGCTTGCGATGCAGTTATTTGTCCTGTCGAATGTTGCTTTTCACCACATTTTAATTTTAGGGCAGCACTCAGGTTTCTTGCCATGAGTTTTTGAAGGACCTATCTGCTGACAGTCATTGTGAACTATGAGGATAGGTTGTGCTGCCGCAACGCATGCAGAGTAGTGGAAATATTTTTTAAATAAAATTGTTTGGCATTGAACTGTGATAATCACTTGCATGCAAAGTATGGACATTTGCAAAAGTGGAGTTACAATCTACAGCTATTACTCAATAGTATCTCTTTTGGCCTGTTATGTCTCCCTAGAGCTACTGAGTTTTATTTATGTCCAGAACTTTATTATGTGTTAAATGCACATTAAGGGGGGGGTGTCATAGTAAAGAAATAAGGTCAAAAGGGGGCCACAGTTGGAAAAAATGTTGGAAACACTGTTCTGTATCTCTATTCTGTATCACCTGTGGCCATCTTAGAATATTCGGGGGGGGGGGGCATATGTCCCCCAGTTGGGAAACACAGATATAGAAAATAGAGGTTCTCACTCTAGAACAATTGACTGAGTTTTGCCTCTCTTTTGTAGGAATGAGCTACTGAAACTTCCATGCTTTTTATAAATGTAATTTGTAGGATATCTTGGTGAGGAGAAACCTCCTTAAACCAGGGTTTAATTGTATGCCTTGTAATTTTAGACACTATAGTATGCATAGTTATATTCCTTTGCACTCAGTATTACATTATGCTTTCCTTTCTTGTATTCCTACTGTAATAATATTTTATATAAGCAACATGATTCTCTGCTGCTTTGAACCATGGAAGAATATACAGTACAGTGGTACCTCGGGTCAAGTACTTAATTCATTCCGGAGGTCCGTTCTGAACCTGAAACTGTTCTTAACCTGAAGCACCACTTTAGCTAATGGGGCCTTCCGCTGCCGCCGCACCGCCGGAGCACGATTTCTGTTCTCATCCTGAAGCAAAGTTCTTAACCCGAGGTACTATTTCTGGGTTAGCGGAGTCTGTAACCTGAAGCATCTGTAACCTGAAGTGTATGTAACCCGAGGTGCCACTGTACAATGCTGATAAATGTTATACAGTGGTGCCTCGCAAGACGAAATTAATCCGTTCCGCGAGAGTCTTCGTCTAGCGGTTTTTCGTCTTGCGAAGCAACCCTATTAGCGGCTTAACGGATTAGCGCTATTAGCGGTTTAGCGGCTATTAAAGGCTTAAAGGCTTAGCGGATTAGCTGCTAAAAGGCTATTAAAGGCTATTAAAGGCTTAGCAGATTAGATAAAGGGGGGGGAAAGCAAAAAAAAAATCTCTAGACTCGCAAGACATTTTCGTCTTGCGAAGCAAGCCCATAGGGAAATTCGTCCTGCGAAGCAACTCAAAAACGGAAAACCCTTTCGTCTAGCGGGTTTTCCGTCTTGCGAGGCATTCGTCTTGCGGGGCACCACTGTATAAGGAACAGTGATGTCAATTCACTAAGAAAAAACAGGGATACCTAAACCCGTTTTTGTTGTTGCATCTATGAGACTATTTCTGTTTTGTGACTGTTGACCTTGTAAAACAGCCTTGGGGTGCCTGCCATACTAGAAATGATATCTTCATGAAGTTGCAAAATAATGGAAGAGAAAATTGGCTCCATTTTACTGCACTTTCAGGTCAGTCGTGCCATACGGAGATACTGCTGCCTCCTGCAATTTTTATCTCTGTCTAATTGAATTGAGGCCAAGCAATGATTCATGTTATGGTACTTTTTGATTTGCTATCTTTTTCCTTTGGAGAAAAAGCAGTAAAAGAAAAACTGTTAAAATTGTACTATTATTCCAAACACTAATGACCACCAAATCCGAGGTATTGTTTACGGCACTGTCAAGTTGTAGTAGCAGTTGATTTCCATCTTGTTTTAGGAAGTCGTAGTAATATTTTAGTACAGTGCAGTAAAACCATCACAACTTGAAACACAAATTGAATTCCCAAATTTGCTTTCATCACCTTGCCAAATTCAGCATCTGAATTGGAGCATATCATATGGAATGGAGTTTATTGTAGCAATAAATCAGCTCTGTGGTAGACTGTGACAGCTGGGGGAGAGAGCTATAAAACAACAATATATTATTTTACTCAGATTTTACTGCACCTTACATTTTTTTCCAAACTCATCCCTAACCCTCTAACCAAGTGTATGCCCTGTGGTTCTAAATACTGTTATGTTGAAACAAGAAAAATATTGCAACAGAAACCGTATTTAGAACCATAGGGCATACATGGCGCTTGGGCCACATTCTGTCATCTTTCATGATGATGATTTAAGGCTGGGTTGGAGAGCCTATGGCCCTCAAGATTATGTTGGATTCCATCTCCAGGCAGCCTTGGGAAACACCATCAATGGTCAAGGATGATGGAAGCTGAAGTCCAGCAATATCTGGGCTCCAACTCATCATCCAAGGACTGCATGTTGCTCTCAAGGCATTTTTGGCAGCCCTTGGCATCATTTGACCACATACACACAACCCCACATAAGCAAGGCGCTGGGCTTTGGGAAGGAGGCATGAGGGCTCTGGCAGAGTCCTCCCTCCTCCTTCCCAAAATCTATTTAGTGCATTCCCAGCTTTGGGAAGGAGATGGGAGGCCTCCAAGACCCTTCCAGAGCCTTGTGCCCCCTTCCCAAAGCCTGGCTCCTCACTTAACTGGCTTTGGGAAGGCAGAGTGAGGGTGGGAGGCATCAGATTTTGGCCTCACTCACTCCTTTGTTCAATAATGCAGTCTTGTGGCCCACTTGGTATGAAAAGTTGGACCACTCTGATCTGGAAAGCTATAGGTCCCCAGGTAAGGTAAGCAGAGTTCGTCTTTCTGTCGCAAACTTCCTTTTCAAGTTGTTCATTCAAAATTTCAGACATCAACATGCATGTCTGGCTAGAATTCATGGGAAAAGGTCATAAAACAAGTAGTTGTTTAATGCTTGGGGTTACCTTTTCAGCATTCCCAACAGCAATCCCAAAAGGTGGATGGGGAGGGAAGATGGAAGGTGGAGGAATCGCCATGTGCAAAACACTGCAGGTTTGTGCCGGCCAGGCCAGGATGTTGGGAGAGGGCTTCTAACCAGACAGTTTCACCCCTCCTGTTGGGTCCTGTGAGAGGGAAATGTGTTATAGCAGCTCCAGGACTTACATAGTTTTCTTGCTGATCTGGGGGTGGGTGGATTGAGAGGAGGAGAATTTGGATCCCACATGTCCAAGATCTTCATTGATCTTCCTCTGGCATGCTCCTTCACTTGCACCATTGGGGCACAGCTGATGGAAGGGTGAGTGCTGTAAGTACAGTTGTACCTTGGAAGTCAAACGGAATCCGTTCCGGAAGTCTGTTGAACTTCCAAAACTTTCGAAAATCAAAGCACTGCTTCTGATTGGCTGCAGGAAGTTCCTGCAGCCAATCAGAAGCCCAGTCGGACGTTCGGCTTCCATTGAAAACCGGAACAGTCACTTCTAGGTTTGTGACGTTCGGGAGCCAAATTGTTTGGGAACTAAGCTGTTCGATTTCCAAGGTACGACTGTATGACAAAAAGGCATCCCAGGATGGATCTGCTGCACCTTTGGAATAGAGATCTGGCTCCTCAGCTGTCCTCCCAGGGGCCATGGGATTGCAGCCTAAATAAATACATTTTGTTAATAACCGTAATACTGTTTTGCTATTACTAAGTGTGTTGTTATGAAAAAAATAAGAACAAACTCTCAGTGCTAATAATTGGGTCGTTGGTCCCACATCTCAATATTAATTAAGATGGAGACTTTCATAGGCTACACTTGTAGAAAGCCACTCACCTGGTAGCCTATGGTAAATACAGTGGTGCCTCGCAAGACGAAATTAATCCGTTCCGCGAGTGTCTTCGTCTAGCGGTTTTTTCATCTTGCGAAGCAACCCTATTAGCGGCTTAACGGATTAGCGCTATTAGCGGCTTAGCGGATTAGCTGCTAAAAGGCTATTAAAGGCTTAGCGGCTTAGATAAAGGGGGGGGGAAAGCGAAAAAAAAATCTCAAGACTCGCAAGACATTTTCGTCTTGCGAAGCAAGCCCATAGGGAAATTCGTCCTGCGAAGCAACTCAAAAACGGAAAACCCTTTCGTCTAGCGGGTTTTCCGTCTTGCGAGGCATTCGTCTTGCGGGGCACCACTGTAATAATCACCTCCAGGCAACCAGGCCGTGAAACCAGTCGGATGCTGGCTCTGTCCTGAAGACCTAAGTAAACCAGACTTGGATTTCAGAGAAAAGGGAGGAACTAGCCTGAAGGCAGAATCATCAGGCTCATTCTGACTTGTGTGAATCTGATGTTCATGGCCAACAAGATATAGTGAATTTTTATTGTTTATGACTTCCCTGGCCTTCCCATAAACATCTTTGTTCACTTGCAAGCTGCTATTTGGAGCAAAACTGACAGTATATGAATTCTGGGATGCTTTACATAGTCTTTCTAGCAAGTGAGGCAAAATTCTTTCTCATTAAAGAACAACATTTTCAAGGAAACCCTGGATAATACACTTCAGTGCTCAGAAGGCCTTCGTTCAGTTTAGCAATTGAGGATTTCTGTGACTTATGGAAATAATGGGTCCATGAAATGTTTATCCTAATTCAGAAAGGGCCCTTATATTTCTGTCCTTTTCATTCAGAAGGCTTGCAGATTATGTTGTCTTTTGATATACAGCAATCTATAGCTGCCTGAATTAATAGAAAGATATTATTTCTCAGTGTGATTCCTATAAACATTTTTTCCCTCTATGTATAATAATAATTATAGTTGATATCCAATTAAGTCCTACTCAGAGTAGATCCATTGAAATTAGTTGACTTGTCCATTGAGTATGATTAATGCTGGATATAACCCAGTATATTTGTAATTAGTCTCAGAATCAACTAGAGCAGAATGAAGTGCTACACACTTTAATAAGCAGACATATAATGTTTATAGTACAAGATAGCCTTGTTGTATTTAAAAGAAAAGTATTCAGAGAATTGGACACAAGCCTTAAAATTCTGTTTAATAAATTTCTTTTTAATTTGGTGAGGCTGCTCACTTAAAATATTCTCTTGTCTTAATTGCAGATGTTTCTGTAATCAACTTGCAGTGTGTATTCTTTTGCTTGTTTAGTTATATTGTCCTTATTGAATATCTTACTGAAATCTGTTTTGCTTTTTTGTTTCCAAGTCAAAACACTGCTGGAAGCTTCTAAACTTCAAAGACATTCATATTTGGTTCTCTAACTTTTACGGCATACTATGCTGTAGTCATGAATAATTACATGTAATTTTCCTTTCATCTTTTGTTGGTTGGTTGGTTTGGAAGAAGTCGCTCATTGTGAGCAGCATTGTACATTTTTGCCTTTGTGTACATACCATGATTTGAATTCCAGCTACTACCACCAAAGGCCATTTCCTGCAAAAGGTACTGCGTCTGCAGTACTATACTGTATTAAGGGGAGGAATGTTTCGCAGCAAACAATCGAGGGTGCTTGGAAACTGGCTTGTTTCCAGAAACAATTTTCCCATTTCACCTTTTAAAACAGACAGTGTGTGTATAGAATAATTAAAACCTTTCATTTTCTGCAGATCTTCATTGTTGGCTTAGGATTATGAAGCATATCTGAAAGCTATGTACAACGTAATAAGGAGCCTTGCAAGTCACGTGGCAGAATCGCAATCAGTACACAAAAGTTAGTGTGATTCTGGCAGCCTTAATGCCAATAATAGGTTATTATTTCAGTTACTGCATGACCCGACATGTACAGAGTATTAGAAAATAATCTTCAGTAAAAAACCAAATGGTTAAGTGTGTTAGTCATTACAAGAGATTCTGGCTTCTTTGCTGACTCCTTTGTTTGTAGGTCCATTATACCTGAATACCCCTGGAATACAGGAAGCTGCCTTAGGCCAAGTTAGATCATTGGTCTATCTCAGCATTGTCTACACCAAGCGTGGACAACCATGTTTTTGTCCTGGGCCAAATAAGCTCAGGGATAATTGTTTGGGGGGGGCCATGCCAGTGACTGCTGTCTTCTTGTCTTCAGAAGCAAAATTGTGTCTTACAGATACCTTTTTCTTTATCCTTGCTTCACCGATGACAGAACTGTAGTGTTTCTGCAACACTTGATTTTGGGGGGTTTTGAACTTGTTTCAGATGCTAACAGTGTTTTGGGTTTTTTTGTTTCCTGCAGATATATGGAGCGATCACTCATTTCAGACAGATCCTGACTTGCCTCCAGGCTGGAAGAAGATCAGTGACATAGCGGGCGTCTATTATTGGCACATACCGACAGGAACAACCCAATGGGAACGTCCCATATCCATACCAACAGAACTTCAAGGCTCAAGAAAAGGCTCCCTTAGTTCGATCACACCATCTCCCACTCCAGAAACAGAGGTAACGTTTGTTTGTCTGCTTTGAGTCATAGCTGTCAACCGTCCCTTATTTGGCGAGAAACTCCCTTATCCCAGCGCCATGTCCTGCTGCTGTCCCTTATTGATGATGTCCCTTAAATTTCCCGGGTTTCAAAGGAGCAGCTCCCCTCTCTGCAACCCTCCCTACTGGCCAGGGAGGAGGGAGGCTCCAACTGTGTTGCTTGGCTGCCCGGCCCGCCCCCCTCTGGCCTCCTCTCACCAGCCTCGGCCCCTGGAGCCCCTCCCCACCGGGACTGGCGGGAGCCTCGGCTTCTTCCGCCGCCATCCTCCTTGCAGCCGCTGAACTGAGCTTCTCTGCCTGGGGCCTGCCCGCCCCCGCCGCTCTCGCTAGGCCGTACTGTGGCTGCGCCACCGAAGGACCCGGATGAGATGGGCAGCCAGATGGGCAGCCTGGCGCGGCCTATGAATTGGTGAGGAGCCTTGAGAGGAGAGCGAGGGCAACCATAGAGAAAGCAATTCAGAGAGAGGAGGAGGAGGCGCGGGGAGGTGTTCCAAGGGCTAACCATAGAGGGGGAAAGCGGAGGAAGGACCGCAAGCTCTTCTCCCATAGATTTGTAGTGGTAGACTAGCATAGATGGTCTGATCTGCGGGTTTACTTCGGGCGCTATTTTCCCCCTCCTCTCTTCCTCCCGCCCCACCGGATGGAACTGAGAGCTGCAGATGGAGCACGAGAGAAAAGATACAGAACTGCAGCAGCATCTTCGTAGCTTGGACTTTGTTTTGCACTAAAAGTGGTTGCTGCTTGTAGTATTTAATTGCAGTGTTTCATCAGCTGGTGTCTTGAGCAGCAACCTCTGGAAACGAAGGGCTAAAAACCGGCGCTGCTCTCCCAAATTATCTGGTCCCTTTTAACTTCATATTTCAGCTGGTTGACTAAAATCTCTTATTTTGGCTGCTGGTCCCTTATTTTCAAATCTGTAAGTTGACAGCTATGCTTTGAGTCTGTGGACAGGTGGGGAACCATTTTAAATAGGTTAACTTTTTTTTAAAAAAAAAGACTTTTGATACAACAGAAACCAAGAATATTAGCATATCTTTCCTCTTGCTTCATGCAAACTAGTGGTTGCCGCAGCCTTGTCAGTTAGTTGCTTTAATCCTGCATGGGATTGCCACTTCTCCATATTACTGCTACATGCAACAACAAATGGAAGAGTGTTGCAATCCACGTGGATTAGAGCCAAACTAAACGGTGGATCAGCTGGTCCACATACACACTTGTCTTGAGTTCAGCGGCACATCAAAAAGAAAAGTAGAACTTGTTAGGCCTGCAGAGAAGCCCCTGAAGAGAAACACCGGAAGCAAGAAGAAGCCCTAATAATCTCACAAAGCTGTTCCTCCAGAGCCATGCTTCATACTACATAGGTAGCATTGAGTTTAAGGACTTGTCATACCAGTATAAGTGGACCTGATGGGTTGGGAAGTGGTAGAAGTGATCTAGGTTGCCAAGAGGATCAGAGCAGCCATTCATTGCCATTGCACACAGGAGAACCTGTGCCACGGCGAAGCAGTTTGTAGTGACAACCACACAACAAATGAAAAGTTGTAGACATCAACCCTTATAGTCTTTGAGAGAAGCTACGAACTCCCCGCCCCCAATCCCCAAGTGTGCTTCCCCGCAAAGCATTAAAAAGTGGTCTGTCTTTTTCAGCTCAGTTGTAAGAGTTGTGCAATGAATATCTGCTAGGAAAAGTTCAATTGCAGATCTAGATCTCTAGTGTGTAGACCCCAGAATTGTTGCTTTTGTCTCAAATACAGTTTTTAAGTTACTGCCGCTTTCGTTTAACACGTGGGTGGGGGCTCTCAGTACATTAACCTCATTAATCTGAACTTTTGATTTTTTTCGTATGCCATGTTAAAGAGCAGAAACTGCCGTTCTTTTCAGATCTGCTTTAAATGTTAGTGCAAAACTTCTTACTAGTAGAAGGAAATGGCCCAAAAAGCAGGCAGTAAAAAACCTAATTGGGCAATATGACACCACAGACCATTCTGAATAAGATGTCCTGGCAGTAGCAATTGTTTGAACCTGGCAAGTAAAGCATAGGGAGGAATCTTTTGTGTTTCAGCTGGTTCTCCTTACATCCTCTAGAGTAAAAAATGTTTGTCCCTCAGCTAGGGGAAATGAAAACCAATAAATCCAAACACACACAATAGGTACCATCCATAACACATTATATTCCTCCTTTATATTTATGTATTTATTATTTAGATTTATATCCTGCCTCTCCACACATTAATATATGTAGCTTGATGGTTTGCCTAGACTCATCAGAGAATATTCTTATTTCCTTTGGCCTTGAGCTCAACCTAAGAATCACATTATTTTCTTTGTGCGTAGAATGTGCTGTGCTGTGGTTTTAGAAAAATTAATTTGTTATATATAAATTGCAAAGAAATGCTTTGAATCAAAATTGAGTTGGTGTTTCCCAATCCACCATGGAAAAATTGTTGGACAGTTTGTGTGTGGATACTGTTAAGTAAAAGGCAGGAGGGTGAGGTAGACTGCCTCAAGTGACAGATTGTGGAGTAGTTTTGAAAGGGCAACAGATTGTCACATACTAAGTTCATTATTATATTTTTACCACCATAGTGGGACATCATTTGGCTTTTCTGCCTTTGGCACCAGGATGTCTTGGGTCACCTCAGATAGAAATATTTAGAATAAAGAATTTCAGATGAGTTCCAATTTACCCTCCATTAAAAAATATTTTCTTCATATTTACTATTCAGCCCCTGTTAGAAGCATCTGGTATTGATATACTTAGTCTGAGATGAAGATGTTTGAACCTTTTAGCTATCTCAGAAACATGCTTGGGAATGTTTTATAACTGAGCAATTTGTCATTTTGCTTATTATTAGATATACTCTGTCTTCTATTATTTTCCTTCTGTGCCTTTTCATATGAAGTCTTGCTTTAAAAAGTAGCAATCTGGCCTGAGTGGAAAGCAATTCCATTTTAATTTTTTTTTCAGTGTAATAATAATGTTATTATTTATACCCTGGCCATCTGGCTGGGTTTCCCCAGCAACTCTAAAAACATGATAAAACATCAAACACGATAAAACATCAACCATTAAAAACTCCCCTAAACTTCAGATGTCTTCTGAAAGTCAGGTGGTTGTTTATTTCCTTGACATCTGATGGGAGGGCGTTCCACAGGGCAGGCGCCACTACCAAGAAGGCCCTCTGCCTGGTTCCCTGTAACCTCACTTCTCACAGTGAGGGAACCGCCAGAAGGCCCTCGGAGCTGGACCTCGTGTCTGGGCTGAACGATGGGGGTGGAGACACTCCTTCAGGTATACTGGGCCAAAGCTTTTTAGGGTTAAAAGATCAGCACCAACACTTTGAATTATGCTTGGAAACATACTGGGAGCCAATGTAGTTCTTTCAGGACTGATGTTATATGGTCTCGGCAGCCACTCCCAGTCACCAGTCTAGCTGCCGCATTCTAGAGTAGTTTTAGTTTCCAGGTCATCTTCAAAGGTAGCCCCACGTAGAATACATTGCAGTAGTCCAAACTGTAGATAACTAGACCATGCATCACTCTGGTGAGACAGTCTGCAGGCAGGAAGGGGTTCAGCGGGTTTGGGAAGGCTCCCTCACAGAGGGAAACATTCACCACCCTGCAGAGCCCATCACATTTATGAGCCCAGATGGGCAAGGATCAAGGAGACAGGTGGTCGGTTTCACTTGCCCAAACAGCCTGTCCACATCCTCGGAGGTAACAGATTGTGAGAAGATTTTAAACAAGAAAACTGAATATAGCATTCTGTGCTGTTGTGTGACGTGGGTCCCATCTGCACTATACTTTTAAAACAGTGTCATACCTCATTAAACAGTCATGGCTTCCCCCAAAGAATCATGGGAATCTTAGTTCATTAAGAGTGCTGAGAGTTGTTAGGAGACCCCTATTGCTATCACAGAACTACAATTCTTAGAGTGGTTTCTCAATCCGTCCCTCTTCCCAGCAGATACTGCATTAAATAGGCCTATGATCTGAGCCAGCAGGACTCTTAATACAGTGGTACCTTAGTTTGCAACCACTTTGGATTACAACCACATCAAACCCAGAAGTGTGTGTCCCTTTTTTTTGGATTACAACCCATTTTTTTTATTATTATTATTTTTTTATTACAACCCATTTTTTGGGGAGGCCCCATTGGCGAAAGTGCGCCTTGGGTTACAACCTGTTTTGGTTTGCAACCGGACCTCTGGAACGGATCATGGTTGTAAACCAAGGTACCACTGTACTGTATTTTCTTGCGAAGTCGTGGTGATTTTCATTGCAACAAGAAGCCTGTCTGTATTTCTTATTCCATTGTTCATTTTCCCTCCCTCTCCTTTCTATGTTTCCACTAACATTTTATATTGTCTGTTCTAGCAGTTTGAAAATACTAACTGATCAAACACTGGGAGATGGAAATAGTTTTCTTTTCTTTTCTTTTTAATTGATATTTCAGAGTAGGCCAAGACAATGTGGTCAAGCTCCACAATTTGCTTCCTTTCATTCAAATATCCCAATGATAATGCAAGCACATTGTGTGTTGTGTCTGTCTCTAATTCGTATGAACTTTCCCTTGTCCCAGTTACTTGTCTTGGTAAGTAATGTTAGAAGTGGTCCTCACTTCTACTACTTCCAAATACCTCTGTACTCAGGGCCGGCTCAACAATAAGAGACAAACAATAAGAGGCAAATAATTCAGGGGCACCTTCTTCAGTTAAGTAAATGCCTTTGAGAGGGACCCAGCCTACAGGTGCACAGGAGCAGTTTAACATCTCTCCAACCAGGAGAGAATAATTTCTGTGTTCCAGGGAATTGGAGAATCGATCTCTGCTGGTTACTGAAGGGAGAGGCACAGTTTGTAAAGGAGGTTAGGGCATATAAATCTAAAAACGATAAAATAACATCCCAACCAGCTATTACTTAATGTGCTATTATAATGAGGCAGAAGTGCAAATTTGGGGTGGAAAATTTTAATTTTAATTTTTAATTTGCTTGTTCAGCATCAAACGTTGAGCCAGCCCAGATTCTACAGCAAATTGAATGAGTTGAAACTTGAGGTGACCTGTTCCCTAACCCAACCTGCAAATATCAATGCTAACAACAGTGTTCTTGTGTTCCCCCTCCCTTTTCTTCCTTTCTTCCCTCCCTCCCCCTCTCCCTCCTTTCTTTCTTTTATTTTTTTATCAATGTGCTTCTTCCTGTGTGAATAATTATATATCTAGAAACAGCCATGGAGTGATTTTGCTGTACTGAATGGGGGAAAGATTAATAGTGACATTTGGAAGGCAAGTATATTGTCAGATTTTAGAACACTTTAATGCTTTTTTAACCTTTAAAAAAAAATCATTTTGCATGGCCATGGCTGTATTTATTGTACTTATCCTCCCAAAAATATCACTCATGACATCCAGCCAGCCAGAGAGAACAGGAATTTTGGTCTAGCTCCTTAACTTGCTACCTCATTCTGATATTTTTCACGCACAACGCATTTGTTCAAGTTGGCAGGGCAGATCCTCACCCATAACAGAATCATGCCTGCGCCTAACAAACTGTAGTGTTCAAAATATGTGCATGCCTTTATATACATATATATATATATATTTGCTAAAAACACGGTGCTGCTGCTTTGCAGGAAGAATATTATTTAAAAATAAAAGCAAATCCATAGAATAAAAGCCTCGCATCCTGTATAACAAGCTGTTTTCCCCTCCTGCAGGATCTCCATGCAGCCACGGTAAATCCAGATCCCAGTTTGAAAGAGTTTGAAGGAGCAACATTGCGCTATGCCTCTTTGAAGCTCAGGTATGAACAGTTTATCTCTTAATCATCTTTATTCCTCAGTTCTAGATGCATTTGCTCTGACAATAGGTCTCATTGATTTCTAAGGTATTTTCCTTGAAGTAAACGTGTTTTGGATTGCAGCTGTAGATTACTGTTCTCTTTTTTTTGTAATCCTATTGAAATAACTGGAAAACAGAGCTGGTCAGGCAGAGGGCCTTCTCAGTAGTGGCGCCCGCCCTGTGGAATGCCCTCCCATCAGATGTCAAGGAAATAAACAACTATCTGACTTTTAGAAGACATCTGAAGGCAGCCCTGTTTAGGGAAGTTTTTAATGTTTGAAGCTTTATCGTGTTTTTAATACTCTGTCGGGAGCCACTCAGAGTGGCTGGGGAAACCCAGCCAGATGGGCGGGGTATAAATAATACATTATTATTATTATTATTATTATTATTATTATTATTTATATTCTTAAGTCTGGTGCCCACATGCTTTAGCTCCAGGGTCGCCAACATGGTGCCAGAGTGCTCATCAGTTCCTCCTATGGCACCCACGAAAGGTGTCCCTTAAACATGCCCACGTTTATTTAAGACACTTATATGCCACTTATTCACATATCTATAACACAAATAGTCTTTTAGCTTTGGAAAAGTCTGGAAGGAACCACATTGACTTTTAATCAATGTTTCTGGGCTGGTGCTAAAGCCCTAGAAAGCCTGTATATGGAGTAACTGAAATAGTGCCTTCTTCACTATATGCAATGACATACGACAAGGGTGGGGCACTTGTGACCCTCCAAATGTTGTGGGATTCCCAACTCTGATCAGCTGTAGCCAGCACAGACGACAGCTAAGGATGATGGGAGTTGTAGTCCACTAGGATCTGAAGGGCATCTCCAGGCCCTCCTCAAAATCCTGGAGCCTACTATTCTCTGTTCATGTGAATCCAGCCAACATTTGACAGGTGTCTGCCACTCACATATTGTCTTTGAATTGTCCATTCTATTTGGCCCTAACCCTAACAGTAGCATTTCCTCCCCACAACAGAAATGCCCCACAGTGCGATGAAGATGATTCCTGTAGCATCAACAGTGATCCAGAAGCCAAGGTCTGTAAGCAAAATAACGTATTGGTTTTTTTTTAAAAAAGTCACTGATCTAGATGGACAAATAAATGCAGCTATCATATTTCAGTTTTAAGACCTGATACCCTTAGACCGCATTTCGCAAACTAAAAGCATTGCAAATGGAATTATGAACTAGTTTAGTGAATGGGGGTGGGTTATTGGTTTGCTTTGTGTATTTTTCTTAATCTTATTTTTTTGTTATTACTGCCCTAGATCTACTGATGGAGGGCAGTATACAAATCTAATAAATAATAAAAATATTCTGCTTAATTGAGAAAAATATTGAAAGCATAACATCAGCGTGGCATCTAAAATTTCACAAACCAAATACAGTAATTAATTGCAAAGAGCCCTATGCACATTAGGACTTATCTAAGGAATCTCACCTGCTTCTGCAAAGGGTGGTTCTCGCTCTCCCCACATGTGCAGTGGGGCTTTTCTGCACCCCATTCCTACTGCAGCCCCACCTGAAGCCAAACTGCTCCTAAGGTTGGGATGCTCCATACGGGGAATTGGACTTATTTCCTTGCAGTTTGTCAATTCTCAGTTGTGGTGTGTGAGAGAGAGCAGCTTGGGTGGGGATGCATTGGGAGGGGGGCAGAAAAGTCCCAGTGTGCATTATGCGTTTACTGCCTTTGGTCCTTTAGCTCCTGCCAGCATAATTTTATTTATTTGTATAGTACTTAGGGTAGTACTTGCAGGACATCTTTGGGAGAAGAAACGGCTTAAGGACCCTGCACAAATCTGGAGTGGAGTCCCTAAGGCCTTGTACATCTCTTTCTGGCAACTCCTGCAGATAAACTGGTGTCAAACATACTGCTCTGCTTTCCTTTAACGTACATCAGCGAGGCCAAGAGAGGGCTTCTTGTCAGGGCAGCCCAGGGCCTCCCTACACACTGCCCAGGGTTGTGCCCCATAGAGGTCACTTGGGTGCTACTAAAATAGCAAAACCAACACAGAAGGCAGAGGTTATGAGTTACCAGTCTCTGCAGCCGCAGCAGGTGTTGCGATTCTCCAGCTGTTTGACTTCACCCCTGGAGGCACACTCTATTGTCCTTCGTACTTAAAGGTAAAGGGACCCCTGACCGTTAGGTCCAGTCGTGGCTGACTCTGGGGTTGCGCTGCTCATCTCGCTTTATTGGCCAAGGGAGCCGGCGTACAATTTCCGGGTCATGTGGCCAGCATGACGAAGCCGCCTCTGGCAAACCAGAGCAGTGCACGGAAACTCCGTTTACCTTCCCGCTGGAGCAGTACCTATTTATCTACTTGCACTTCATGCTTTCGAACTGCTAGGTTGACAGGAGCTGGGACCGAGTAACGGGAGCTCACCCTGTTGTGGGGATTCGAACCGCCGACCTTCTGATCAGCAAGCCATAGGCTCTGTAGTTTAACCCACAGTGCCACCTGCGTCCCCTTTCGTACTTAGGGTATTTCTAATGTTATGGCTGGCAATTCCATGGCTCTTCACAGCTCTCCGAGCTCAGTTTCCATATTGTTCCTTCCTCTCCTCTGATAAAACTGACTCTGAGGTTAAGATGGCCACAGGTCAGCCAGCCATTTCCGGACCTCTGCAGATCTAAATTGACTTTTAATTGATTTTAACCTGTTTGCCTGGAGGTGAACTGGAGGAGAGGTCGAAACAAGGGAGCGCAGATGTGAACCTTGGCCTGCCCAACTTTGAGGGCGCAATGGGATGCTCCCCACAGCAGCTGGTCACGCCTGCCGCAGAGGATTTTCTAAAAGCCAAAGACTCTGAGGTTGACCCAGAGGAAAGGTTTCTAGTTTGGACCTATAGAAAAGGTGTGGGCCAGCTTACTCAGGGGAACAGCTTGTGCTCTTATTGTTGGCTTCTGCCATTCTAACCACAGAGCCGACTTCAACTGATCTAGCAGCCTGGGCAGAGAAGGGGTGGGTGGGGTGATGAAGTTCTAGTTAATGTAGGAATTTTAGAGAAAGTGCATTTTATTTTGCAAATGGGTGTTGCTGCCACCTTGTGGACATCTGCAAGACGTCTTCACAGAATACAAAGACTATTTTACTTTAGAAAAGGTCACTGTGCAACCTTGCATAAATCTTGAGGCAAAAGAAGAGGAAGAAGCAATTTAGAGGAGGATATAGCTAATTAAATGTTATCCACATTCCTGCAGGATTTGGATTTTAAATCTGATGCAATCCTGTACACATATACCTGGGAGGTGGGGTGGGGGAAATTGGAAAGATGAAATCCAAACAGCATCTCTGTCAGATTCAATTTTGGGAGCAGTTTGAGCTTGACAGGCCTCTACATGGGCTGCCAGAGTTAATGCATTTCAGATCTGTGCTTTGGACTGATTCCACATTGGTAGTGGCATTTTGAACAATATGTGCATTCTTTTGTTGTATGTTTTCTGTCCTAACGGAATATATAGCCATGTTGTCTCTATTGGCTCCCAAGGCAAACTAAACATCGCTGACTCCAAGACCACAAATGTGGACCTCGCCAAATCCATAGAAGTTACCAGTGTATAACATCAAATATTTTGCCAACCTCTCTGCTTGGACTTGCCCATTGCTGTAGTGTAGCGACATGCAAAACAATTCAAAGTAAATATATGCTTTGGATGCCACCCAAAGCTTCAGTCGTGTGGTGTCTTAATTTTTAGGGAGATTTTTTAACACCAGAGTTAGGCTTTCCAGACAACGTTTTGAAGGGGAAAGATAGAGAAAACATATGGAGTGGGTTCATAGTGCTGTTTTACAATTGAACATACAATCTTATTAGGGAATTTGAGCATTTATCAGTACTGCGACACCTTAAGGATAAATGGTGCCAACAAGCTTTCCTAATCCAGAACTCACTTTTTCAGATGCAGATTCCTCTTTAGGTATTGATATTCTTTCATTTTACTTGGCCTATTTATTACCAAATTGGATTGGATCTTTGCAAAGTGCCATACTTTAGTGATCCGTTGTTTCATTTTAGAGACTTAAATCTTGCACCAGTTTTGGGTTGTTGTTGTTTTGCAGTTTTTATTTGGGCTGCTGTCAGAAGCGTTAAACTCTAACCGCTTCATCTTATAAGTCCAAAAATAGCAACTAAAGGACACAATGACACTTTGTACACTGTCATTAGTTATTGGTTTTTAAAAATCTGAATTCAATGAGACTTTATTATTTGGTTGGACCATAACGTGTGGAAAAACTCTGTTAAATTACTAACATGTATGAATATTATCTCCATATATTTTATTCAATTTATGCTGGGTCAGATACTAATTATAGAGTGTTTTACAGTGGTTGTGCCCACCTGCCTACATGTATTTATGTAAACTATTTGTGATCCAACAGGGGGAAATCCACCATTTGTTAATCTTTGCCTGGCAACTAGGAGGAGATTGTCACTCACTAAAAAAAGTACATATTTACCGTTCGTGGTGCCATAAAATATCTAGCAGTCAGTGAAAAAGGCAAATTCCATGCTAGGGATCATTAGCAAAGGAACTGAAAGTAAAAGACAGAATTAGTAAACATTTTGAAACATGCATTGTTATAAGTAGAAGGGAATTAACGTGGATTTAATACACATCTTTTAGAGTTGTAAAAAAAATCATAACACATTTTTGGACAGAAATATTGACTATTATACAAACAAATACAGGCAACATCAGGAAGGTGGAGGTAAGGGTTATGCTGGTACATTTTGTGACCTTGTTGTTGACGGTTTGTTGTCTATATGAAATATTGCTGGACAGGTTTGCTAGCGACATCAATAACAGGTTTGAGTGTTGAAGAGTTTGGGCTGCAGTGTGAGTTGTAATGCTGTATTTAAATCAGCCCTCTGTCTTAAAACATGATTTGGGAAATCTGATATCCCATTGGCTGATTCTGTGAAGGTCTGTAGCTAGTGCTTTTTATTTTAAAAATATCTTTTTAAAATAAAAATGTTGGTAAATATGAGACATGCTTTTAAATTTAAAACATGCAGCAAATGCATAGCCTTTTGAAATGTTATATTTAAGCGATCTGTGTGCTTCAATTAACCCAGCTTAATAAATATGTCTGCTGTTATGCACCTTTGGACAGCCCAGTTCTCTGTGTGTGTAAATACGTGGCTCAGGGCCTGCATTGGCTTTTTTTTAAAAAAGCCAGCAACAATAAAATGCCACTTCAGATATCATTCAACCTACAAAACACCTTCATGAAGAGCAGAAAGGAATAGGGGATGTTTCAAAGTCCTTAGAGCATCGCAGTTAAAATGAAGAGGGAATATTACATATTTAACTGCAAGTAGATGCACGCTATTCTTGAAAACAAGTTTTTCGTTTCTGTTTTAATAATACCTGCAATACCGCTAGAGATTTGGCTCTCTGTGCCATAGCTTCTTTGATTCTGCCTTCCCTTTCATTGTGCAGATGTTTTCTAAACATCTGCTTTGATTCTGTATGGTGGAGGTCATCTTAATAATAATGACAATGATAATAATAATAATAATAGTAATAGTAATAAATGTTAATTTGTGAACAGAGTCTTCAATGGAAATGGTGAAATGGGAAAAAATAAAATATGTTTGGACCTTTTAGATTAAGTGATTTGGAATTTTAATGAGATTAAAGAGTCCGAGGACTTCTCAAAGGTAAAAGGTCCATTTAAATCTGGTCCAATCAAGTAAATGAATATCTTTTTGGTTCTCCACAGAAGTAAAGGATCGCCTCTTCCCTTCCCGCTCCCCTTTTGCATGAGCAATCTGTTTGACATTTTCTAGTTTTTAATCTCTATATCAGTGCCAGGGGAAGCTGTTCTAAATATTGTTCAGTCTAGCTGGTGTATACGTTTTCTTGCAGTGGGGAAATTGCTTAATCTTCTGCTCCCAGATTGAGGAGTCCTCTAGATTGTGATGCCTGAGTAGTTAATTTTCTGACCTAAATGCAGCTCCTCAGATACATCTGTTCAGCGTTCTGTAATGAAAGGACTTCTTAAATAATGTAATGGCTTGCGTAGAGTGTACATATAAGGAACCACCGTTTTCCATGTGAAATAAGAGGGGCGGTTTTCTAAAATATATAGTATTTAGATGCAAATGGGAGATCAGGACCTACCAAGGGTTTTCCAGAGCAGTGGTTGCATGGTAAGGGATGAAAAAAAATGTGTAGATAGCATATTGTTTATGTAATAGTAGTAACAAATATTTCCCATTTATGTAATTCTTCAGAGTGTTCAAAGCATTTTACAAAATTGCAGTCCTTCCAACGCCTATAGGTTATTGTTGCTGTCCCCATATTATGGAGGACAGCTTCAATAACCTATATTGGTGGTTGGCTGCTAAGGCTGAGAATGCGTTGCTTGCCTAAGGTCCCCTTATAAATTCACGGCAGGTTCAGAGGCGAGATTTGAATTTGTGACTTTGTGGCTCACAGCTGTGGGAAGAAATGCACATCATGACAGACATTTCACAGTAAATAACATTGCTCTATCTTTTTCTTCCAACTAAATACAGTGATACCTCGGGTTAAGAACTTAATTCATTCTGGAGGTCCGTTCTTAACCTGAAACAGTTCTTAATCTGAGGTACCACTTTAGCTAATGGGGCCTCCTGCTGCCGCTGTGTGATTTCTGTTCTCATCCTGAAGCAGAGTTCTTAACCCAAGGTGCTATTTCTGGGTTAGCGGACTTGTTCAGTCTTATTAGTTTTTGCCCCCAAGCTCAAAGCTATCAGGGCAAATGAAAACCAATATTTCTGTTTGGTAGAACTGCATGCAGGATGCTTTACCGGGTAGATCAATAAACATTACCAAGAAATCAAGGGCTTATATCTATATTGCATTACATGGTGCCTAGGGAACAACTTGCACCTTAATATCAGCAAGACAAAGGAGATGGTGTTGGACTTTCGGAGGAAGAGAGGAGAACTAGCCCCGCTGTACCTCAGGGAGGGCTGTGTGGAGAGAGTCTCTTCCTTTAAATTCTTAGGAGTTTATCTCAGTGAAGACCTTACTTGGAAAATAAATACAACCCAGGTGGTTAAGAAGGCCCAACAGAGACTCCACCTCCTCAGAGTCTTGTGGAAGAACAATGTCAATCAACACCTGATGATCTCCTTCTACCGGTCAACAATAGAAAGTGTCCTTTCATACTGCATCACGGTGTGGTACGCTGCTTTGACATCATCTGATAGGTTGTGCCTACAGAGGGTGGTGAATACAGCACAAGATATTATGGGCTGTCCCGTGAATCCGCTGGATGAAATAGCGGAAGAACGTTGCCTCAGGAGAGTGAGGAAAATTCTCAGGGATGATTCACACCCTGGCCGGCACTTTCTTGATCTCCTGCCCTCAGGCAGAAGATATAGAAGCATGATTAGTTGCACCAACATGGTAAAGAACAGCTTCTATCAGTGGGCTGTTAGGCTGCAGAATGAAAAGATAACAACAGGGCAACTGACTTTCGGGTTTGGTGGGTGTGCGTCAGTAAACGAGGGGAATTAAGACTAAGAGAGCTGAGTGGGGGGTGCTCATGTAATCTCACTGTATACAAATTGTACAAGTACAAATTGTACAAGTATTTCAATATATTTCAATTTCAAATAAACATTACCAAGAAATCTAGGGCTTATATCTATATTGCATTGCAGTAATGGTAATGGAAAAAGAAGTTTTGGGAGCGATCATGTGAACCACCCTTATGCCACAGGTAGATGTGTTTTTGATTGCCATTGGCTAAACTGCTTGATCCCAAGGGTCTCCCTTTGTGCCATTGGCTGAGCTGCTCGACTCCTAAAGAAGCAAAGCGCCCCCCCCCCCCGCAATGCCTAGGAAAGGAAGGTTGCAGGTGGCCAGTTTAAAAAGTGAAGAACCGCACACAGTGATTTGAAAAAAAATTGGCCAGAGTATCAGCTGCAGGGGTCTATTTTAAATTTAAAATGGAACACTTTAAAGATGTAAAGCTAAAACACTAACCTTCAGTTTAGCAGTCCTGGGAATTCCCTTGGCTTGCTAACCATCTGTCTTCAGCTTTTCTGGCTCTGAAAATCTTTAGAGGTTTCCTTTCCTTGCATTCCAGCCCCCCACCCCATGGCAGATATATCTATATCTATAGATATAGATAGATATAGATATATAGATATATTGCAAAGCTATGCGACGTGGGCAGGCATCTATAGCAGAACTCCAGCTAAAATCACTCAAGGTCCCTGCAGGATTGCTGAATTCATAGTGCATGCTAGATACTGGCAACAGTATAGCTTGTTAGTCACAGGGGGGCAGCAGTAGTGAAGAATTAAGAATATGCTTCGTATTTTACATGATTCACGACAGTCATGCAAAATGGATAGATATTTATTATTCTGTAGAAGTCTGAGAACCAAATAGCTCAATCCTATGATGCCCAAGGAAATTGCGGGGGGGGGGGATTCCAGTATTTTAGAACTCTGTTTATTAATGTTATTTTTATTTATTTATTAACATTCATATACCACCTTCTCTCCCAAGATGCTCAAGGTGCCATGCATGGTTCTGCTCCCCATTTAGAACCACAACAACCCTGTGAGTAGGTTAGGCTGAGAGAGAGTGACAGGCCCAAGGTCGCCCCGTGAGCTTCATGACCGAACGGGGATTTGAACCCGTGTCTCCCAGGTCCCAGTCCAACACTCATAACTGTTATGGCACACTGGCTTCTGAATGCATAGTTAGGGATGCTTCTAGTAATACTGACAATTCACAGAGTGTTTACATTTTAAAATACATTATTTTGTGGATACATTATTTTTGTGGATCTTGGTATAGTGGTACCTCAGGTTAAGTACTTAATTCGTTCCGGAGGTCCGTTCTTAACCTGAAACTGTTCTTAACCTGAAGCACCACTTTAGCTAATGGGGCCTCCCGCTGCTGCCACGCCGTTGGAGCACGATTTCTGTTCTCATCCTGAAGCAAAGTTCTTAACCCGAGGTAATATTTCTGGGTTAGTGGAGTCTGTAACCTGAAGCATATGTAACCTGAAGCGTATGTAACCCGAGGTACCACCAATATGTTGGAAAATCTACACATCTAAATAAAATTGACCTCTTAAGGGCGTAATTCACATCTTCACCGGGCTGTGTGGAAGCAGCTGCCACCGGCAGTGACAGTGTAGGCATCTCAGCTGGGCAAATCCACAGTCATGCCTTGTTGCTAACATATCGCAGCAGTGAAACACCATTAAGATTTCCTACAACCAACACACCTTCCTGTCAGGAGCTGGGGGGCGGGATGGCAGATCCTTCCCTCCACGAATAAAGACAAGGTAGCTGCTGTTGATTTAAAGCAGAGTCTGGTGCCCAGCGGAAGGATGAGGAATACGTGCTGCATACTCTATATTGCTTTATTTACAGTTCAAAGCTGGTATATTACAGAAAGACATCTTGCCTCTGCCGGAGCAGAAAATGCATCCTCTCTCCTCGACAGCTCGGAGAGAATCACACAGTGAAAAACAGGAAACCAGTGTACGTCACATCCAGTCTCCCTTTCCCGTGAGAAATTCCAACAGTACAGACTGTGGAATGTAAACACCTGTCTCGTGACAAGCAGAGCTGCACAGTGAAGGAAAGCAGAAACCAACATCCTCCACCTTTCTGTGAACATCACTGGGCAGCGTGTTTGTACAATATCAGTACAAACCCAACTTCTGCACATAGGTACAGTGTTGATCCCTCGATACAATCTTGGACAATACATCAGCAGGAATTTCATTACCTGGCATATAGGACACCGTTACGAGTCCCTTCTGAATACATTCCCTAGCATGCTGCAACTTTAATTGCAAGTGCTTTGTGCTTTGCTTACAACCTTCAGACTTCAGCAAAGCCAAACATGCTTTGTTGTCCTGGTAAACCTGGATTGGACATCTGACAGGAATTTTCATATCTTTGCACAATTGTACTAACCATTCACAATCCTTAAGTGAATAAGACAGTGCATTCAGTTCGGCTTCACAAGTACTTAAGCTAACTGTTGTTTGCTTCTTGCATGACCAATCGACAGACTCTGATTGTACATGTAGCAAACTCCAGACGTACTTTTCCTGTCTGTAGCGTCACTTCCAAAACTTGCATCTGCAAATATCTCAAGACCACCAGACTTCTGATTGTTAAATCTCAGTCTGTAATGCATAGTGCCTTTCAAATACCGCGCTATGCGTTTCAGAGCTTTCCAATCCTTGACACTAGGATTGTTGACTTGTCTGCTTAGCAAATTACAGCTAACAGCAATGTCTGGTCTTGAACATCTGGCAATGAAGTTTAGCTTGCCTAGCACACTCCTGTACAGTGTAGTGTCAGAAAATGCTTCTTCAGTGTCATCTACCTGATAACCTGTTGTCATCGGTGTGTTTACAGGGTTAGCATCCATCAGATTTAGTTTGCTTAACACATCAGCAATTTTCCGTGACTGGTGTACTAGAATGTTACCATCTTGATCTCTCTCTATTTCCAGAGATAGGTAGTTGTTTACCTCACCAAGATCTTTCATGTCAAAGTGCTCTTTCAGTTGAGCTAGGGCGCTATTGTACATTGCAACATCTTTCCAAAAGAATAATAAATCATCAACATAAAACAAACAGTACAGTTTCTTTTGCCCCTCCTCTTTGACAAATACACATGGATCAGCTTTCCCTTGCTGAAAACCTAGAGAAAACAATACTTCAGTGAGTTTTGTGTGCCAACACCGTGCACTTTGTTTGAGACCATAAAGGGATTTCTTCAGAGCACAAACAAATCCCTGTTTTACCTGTACGCCATCAGGTGGAAGCATATAAAGTGATTCATCTAGAGATCCGTACAGAAAAGCTGTATTAATATCATGGTGACTAATGTGTAGATTTTCCTCTGCAGCTAGCTTGAGCATAAGCCTAATGCTTTCATATCTCACTGTGGGTGAATAGGTCTCGTGATAGTCTTGACCTGGTACCTGTGCAAAACCTCTGGCTACCAATCTGGCTTTGTGTCTGACTATCTTGCCATTTTGATCTGTCTTCGCTTTGAAGACCCATTTGCTTCCAAGCAGTTTCATTCCTGGAACTACTGGAACTAGCTCCCATGTTTTGTTCCTTTCTAAGGAATCAAGCTCAGCCTTCATGGCATTTAACCATGGCTCAGCTTCCTTTGAATCCAAACCCTGGATTTCTTGGAAACTTGAAGGTTCAAATACCTTCTTGGAGCTTTTAACAGCTGTTACTGCTATCTTAGCAAACTCATCAGCAAATCTCTTTGGAGGTTTGCCTTTTGTGGCTCTCTGTGACCTACGAATTAGCCTTAAGTCTTCAACACTCTCCTCTTCCTTCTTAGGAGAAAAACGACCTATTGTGAACAATGGTTCCTCCAATTCTTGATCAGAGCTTTCAGAGGGTCGCATAGAGGCTTTCGCACTCTCGAAATCCTCTGAATCACCCGATTCAGTTTCAGATTCAGACTCAGAACCTTCATCAGTGGGTGTGGGTTGTTGTGGTTGCTTTTGACTATCCTCAGTCTCATCACCGTCATCAGGATAACATTGGAAAATTCCCACATTCTCCCCCACTTTGCATTGTACTCGACACTTCTCGTGAGCTTAATTGTCTTAGAGTCAGTCATCATTATTCTGTAAGACCCTTTCTGATAACCTAGAAAGATACCATGCAATCCACGCTTGTCTAACTTGGAGTTTTGTGGTGAGCGAACCCACATGTCAGAACCAAAATCTTCATGTGTTTGATGTATGGCTTCTTGCCAAACATCTTCTCATAGAGGTACAACCAATCGCTGAAGATAACCTGCGATTGTAACTGTAAACAAAACACGAGAGAGATTCGGCCCAATAACTCTCTGGAAGATTGGCATCATGCAGCAAGGTTTTTAACCCTTGAAGCAATGTCTGATTTGCCCGTTCCGCAAGTCCATTCTGCCATGGCGAGCGAGGACTAGACAAATCGTGTTGAATTCCTTTCTCAGTCAGAAAAGCTTCAAACTGCTGAGAAGTGATTTCCCCCCCGCGATCACTGAAAAGAGTCTTTATCTTCTTACCATGCACATTTTCCAACCAAGCACAGAATTCCTTGAACCTAGGAAAAGCCTCCGATTTCTGCTTGAGATTGTACACAAAAATATATCTAGAAAATGCATCAATGAGAACCATGAAGTATCTATTTCCACCCAAAGAGGGCGCTAGTGGTCCAACCAAATCAGCATGAACAACCTGGTATGGTTCTGTAGCTTTCCTACTAGACACCTTACCTTTCGCAGCCATTTTCACCTTGTTTGCTGCGCATGCTTTGCACTTCATGTGGTACCTGCAGGGTTTAATAGTCATACCTTCAACCAAGGCAGGCATTTTAGATACTGCCTCAAAATGCAAATGACCAAATTTTCTATGAAAATCGTGAATACATTCTGCATGCAAACTTTTGTTAGAACCTGCAATGCAACAAGTGTCATCCTGCACCACATCATCATAATACAAAACAAACAAATGATCAACATATTCTGCATGCAATACATAATCATTTTTCTTTGTGATGATGCACTTCTTGTTCTTGAAGGAAACGTCAATGTTCCGCTCATTCAGCTGTCCAACGCTGAGCAGATTATGTTTGGCGTCTGGCACGTAAAGCACATTCTGTATCGATAAGTCCAAACTGTGAAGAACAACAGTTCCGTAGCCTTTACTGGGAATAGTGTGGTCATCCGCCTGGTGAATCGCACCTTCCTGCGGTGTAAAAGACACAAACAGTCTCTTATCGTTGCACATGTGGTGGGTGGCCGCTGAATCAACAACGAAGAAAGATCTAGACGTCTTCTGGACCTCTGCAACCTTTGGAGTGAAGCGTGAAACCATAGCCTTGTGCTGCGTTGTCCTAGACACCGGACCTTTGCCTTTGCCTTGGCCTTTTCCGCGCGATGAGCTTTCGCTGCGCTGCTCTGTCTTGGCCCTGGGATGTCTGCATTCCCTCTTCATATGGCCTAGACGTCCACACGAGTAGCATTTCACTGCCTTCAAAGCTTTGGCGCCATCTGGTGGTTCCACTGCACTATGGGATGACGTCTGTGAAGACTCCCCTTGCCCATGCAGCTAGCACCCCGGCGATCTGCTTCATTTAAAATCACGGCAGTAACAAAGTCCACTGTCAGCTGAGCAGTTGGTTGCACAGCAATCTGGGTTGCAACAGACTCCCAACCTGAACCCAAAGATTGTAGTATCATGAAAGAATACACAGCCTCTGGAAAGTTGAGTCCTCTCTGTTGCAGCTCATGTCTCAGATTTTGCATCTCCATCAGATGTAAACGCACATCTCCACCTTCAGCAAGAGCCATATTGTGCAGCTTGTTAAAGTAAAACATAGTGGATCCAGCTTCTGTCCTTAAGTGAGCCTCTCTCAAAGCGTCCCAAATTTCTCTGGCTGAGGTCTTATCACGCAATAGACAGAGCTCTTCTGGGGATACTATCAATGTAAGAGTTCCCCTTGCTTTGGAATCCTTAGCTTCCCATGCATCTGTAACTGGAACTGGGGGGGTTTCTGTAATCACCTCAAACAAACCCTCTTTCCGCAGAATTGCCTCTGCATACTGAACCCAGTCGCTGTAATTTTTCTTGTTGAGCTTAGGAATCCCACAAGCATCCTGAAGGGCCATCATGACTCTGGCATTAGCCTTCAGCGTCATATGCTGCTTTAAATCTTGCTGCGTCACTGCTGCAGCTGCCTTATTACAAAGGCACACTTAAAAGTTACTTTCGATTTCCCCAGCATAGTGACTTGTGCCTGGGAGCCTTTTGCCTATTCCCGGCAAAACCGGCTTTAAAAGTTCAAAGTCCAGCCATAAAGCCATTAACTTGAAGCTGGCAGGCTGCCCGGAGCAGTAGCACATACCTCATCAATCACCTCTACGCGCAGAGCAGATTCCGTTCCGATCTGTCCCTCTGCATTCCGATCCTTTGCCGGCACTCCGATTCGACTTCTGGAGCCCATAACCACGTGTTGATTTAAAGCAGAGTCTGGTGCCCAGCGGAAGGATGAGGAATACGTGCTGCATACTCTATATTGCTTTATTTACAGTTCAAAGCTGGTATATTACAGAAAGACATCTTGCCTCTGCCGGAGCAGAAAATGCATCCTCTCTCCTCGACAGCTCGGAGAGAATCACACAGTGAAAAACAGGAAACCAGTGTACGTCACATCCAGTCTCCCTTTCCCGTGAGAAACTCCAACAGTACAGACTGTGGAATGTAAACACCTGTCTCGTGACAAGCAGAGCTGCACAGTGAAGGAAAGCAGAAACCAACAGCTGCATTGCCAGTCTTTCCTCCAGAGCACAGTAACCAAAATTAATACCAACGATTTGTGAAAATAATGGTTCCAAAAAAGTAAAAAACAAAACCGACTACCCTTCAGAATGCTGCAAATATTTGTCGTGACAACCGATGACATTCTCTGTGGTGATTCTCAGCTTCCCACCGTTATCTGATTGACCCATATGCTTGCAAGGAAATCATAGGCAGTGCTGTCAGGCAACTTTAGCACATGGAAAATTATTTCCATATTCTGTTCTATGCTTCTCATTCCAGCGCACCATTAGCAGATGGGATTGCAGGAGGCGCCTAAAGGAACAAGCTTTCTGCGTTATTCCTAATGGCTTCTGCATGTCAGATGATCTGCTTATTGTTCTCCAAATATTTATTTTTATTACTCCGCCACTGAGCCAGCTTACTATTTCAGCGAGAGTATCTGAGCTTTGCAGTTTACACTGATATGGGCACCTTTGCCTTCATCTCCTCACACCAAAGAGTCAGACAGACGAAACATATTGTAAGCAATAGCGTGTATACTATTGTTTAAAGCCATGGTTCCCAACGTGGGGCACACACCCCACAGGGGAGCAATTTGATTTTTAAGGGGGGAAATTTGAGAATGCGTTATTAACAGTGAATGGCCTTTTAGGCTTCCTCCACGTGAATAGGAGTTCACTTTTTGAATAATAAGAATTATATGTCACAGGGTGGGGGCATCAGAATTTTAGAGATGCTTAGGTGGGGCGTGGCCAAAAAAAGGTTGGGAACCACTGGTTTAAAGCTTCCAAAAGACAACTTCAATCCAGTTGAATGCTGCCTAATGGAAGCAGCTACTCTCTTCCCACCTTGATGGGTTTTTAAAATTTATTTGAGAGCTGAAGGTAAGGAAGGAGTTATAACCATCTGTCAGTGTGGTGTAGTGGTTAAGAGCTGTAGATTCGTAATCTGGGGAACCGGGTTCGCGTCTCCGCTCCTCCACATGCAGCTGCTGGGTGACCTTGGGGTAGTCACACTTCTTTGAAGTCTCTCAGTCCCACTTACCTCACAGAGTGTTTGTTGTGGGGGAGGAAGGGAAAGGAGAATGTTAGCCGCTTTGAGACTCCTTAGGGTAGTGAAAAGGCAGGATATCAAATCCAAACTCCTCCTCCTCGAGAGACAATGGAGTGCACCACCAGGAGTGAAGTTAAATCACTGGAGAATCACGGCGCCTGCTGTGGCTGCAGAGACCGGTAACTTGTAACCAGTCTCCTGTGTTGCTTTTGCTGCATTAGCACCACCGAGGTGAACTCCCTGGGGCGCAAGCCTAGGCAGTGGTCATGGAAGTCCTGGGCTGCCCAGATGACAAGACTCTGCTCTTGGCCTCGCTGATGTGGTCCAAAGGAAAGCATAGCAATATGTTTGACACCAGTTTATCTGTGGAGTTGCTGGAAGGAGGTGTACAAGGCCTTAGGGATGCCACTCCGGATTTGTGTAGGGTTTACTCCTTAGCCTCTTCCTCTCCCAAAGATGTCCCACAAGGCAGCAGAGGTTTAGGATCAGAGTTTTCCTTCTCCTACATGGGCTACTTTCTCAGGTTGACAATCCCCATTTGCCCCTAGGCAGTAGGGGCAAGAAAATAAGAGTGGGTTGAAAGGTTTTGATTTCTTCGAAATACTTATTTAAATTATCCATATTTTCCTTTGTTCTCTCAGTCTATGCTCCACCACTACATGTATAATTTATTGGAATTTTACAGTTTGAAGAAATAACCAGTTTTGTCATAAACCACATATGATTTTTCTGTTTTTGCTGCAACAGACTATTAGGAGTCCTTAAAGACCAAGTGATTTATTTATTAGTCCACAAAAGCTTATGATGTAATCAATAAATTTGTTAGTTGCCTACCTGCCACAAGACTCTTTATAGTAAGCTAGAGTTACTAATAATATACTCTAGCATTTTTCTCTCACTTGCCAAAGGAGCCATATGTCTTCAGTTTTCCCAAGCTGCAGCGACTGCATTAGTTCGGCTTCCTTCCGTTTTTATCATTTATAATCAACTGTCATGTGTTGTAAAAGATTGTGACAGGTGTCTCATATAAGTCCGGTTCTCTCAAACGCAATTTCATTTGCAATTTGTATTTCTTTGTCCAGCCGTCCTTGTAAAGTGTATTATAAAATGTTAAGTTTTCATACGGAAAGCAAGGTTTGCAGTCCTGTGGTCCCTGGGTGGGTGTCTCAGGGCCATAGGATTATTTTAGATCACCCTCTCAGAGTTCTTTGGTAAAAGCAAAAGGTGGGTAGGGCAGAGGAGAAGAAACATGGATTTAAAATATTCTTAGCCTTAGGATAGAAAAACACCTCTTCTACTCTGCCAGGGTGAGCTTGGCAAGGCAGTGGAAAAGATGGTTTTCCCACCTTTGGGTCTCTCTCCCTGATTGTATTGCTCATATGTTTCTTTAAAACACAGGTGTGAGATCTCTCCCAATCAGTGTTTAAGAACTGAGATATGAAAGCTAGGAGCTAAATATCACCTTAAACCTAGGTTATGGGCACAACAACAGAATGGATGTGTTTTTTATAACAAGAATACAAAGCTGAAAATGAATGAACTGCAGCTAAAATATTATGTTCATTTTTCACATGATCTAGTCCTTCCCCTGCCCATCCTCTTAATATTCTTAAGAGAGTCTCTTCTCCATTCTCCAGAGAGTAGCTGAAAGTGGGGAGGAAGGAAAAGGTCCTCCTTTCCTTCCACTCTGCAGTTTTAATCTGAAATCTTCAGTTCAGTACTGTGCCCAGAACTCAGAAACTGCTCACTCTAATGAAATTCCCTCTTGCAAAATATGCCTGGAACAATGAGAGTTCCAAACACTGCTCCCAATCCCAGATTGTCATTGCTATCTAAGGTGGGTAGGGCTTTTTGCAGTCCTGACACTGATTTCCCAGCAAAGTTAGAAACTCTGGTATATAAGCTTGGCACCAAATGGCTCCTGAAACAAGGGTTACAGCCGCCAAAACGGAAGGCTTGCCGTATTTTTCCTTCCATAAGACGCCCTTTTTCCCTCCTAAAAAGTAAGGGAACATGTGTTCGTCTTATGGAGCGAATGCAGGTGGGAGGCAGGTGGGGAAAGCCCCCAAGAGCCACACACACGCTCTGTGCAGCTCTTGTGGGCTGTTGTGGGAGGTGGGGGAATTCCCCCACCTTGTAGAAAAGCCCACAGGAGCTGTGCACCCTTCTCCCTCCTGGGGAAAAGCCTGCAAGCACCACACACAAGCTCCACGCGGCTCGTGAAAGGGAGCACGGAGCAGAGCCTGGGATGCATACAGGCTCTGCTCAGCGCTCCCTTTAAAAATATTTTTTTTCTTGCATTCCTCTTCTAAAAACTAGGTGTGTCTTATGGAGCGAAAAATACGGTAGTTGTCATTTTGGGGCCAAACGGCTTGAAAGTTATATTTTTTGTTCTAGTGGTTCAGCAATAAAACTGCTAGCACATTTGCAAAGCTAAGCAGAGTCCAGAATGGCTTCAAATTGATGATGGGCCGTGTGTTGAAATTCCTGCATTGCAGGGGGGGCGGGGTTGGACTGGATGACCCTTAGGGTATCTTCCAATTCTATGATTCTACTCTCAACTTGCCTTGTTGAGCAAAAGATGACGACAGTATAAAGGCTTGACCGGCTGTCCTCAACATAAATGTGGGTTTGCATAAAATAAAATATGACACAATCGTGCGGAGGCCATTAAGACGTAAAAGGTTAACACTCCTTTTCATTATTCCTTTACAGTGCTTTGCGGTTCGTTCTTTGGGATGGGTAGAAATGGCAGAGGAAGATTTGGCTCCTGGGAAAAGCAGCGTTGCTGTGAACAATTGCATCCGACAGCTCTCTTATTGTAAAAACGATATACGGGACACGGTTGGCATTTGGGGAGAGGTAAGAAATCTCTCTGTCTTATCGTACTTCCCAGTTCTCTAATGGCACCTGCTTTTTCTTTTTTTAAATTGCATTCTTTATTATTTTATTCACATAATATACAACATAATATACAAAATAATTCACATAATATACAACAAACAACTCCAAAATAAACAGACAACTCCAAAATAAAATCATATGTAACAAAACCATAAGTCTCATGTTTTCATTTACACTTATATCATCTCCAATACCTTTACTTGATATTTCTTGCTGCTTTCCTTATAGAATCTTTATGAAAATTTTAATCTCTTGAATCCTATACCAGTCTTTAACAGTTTCAATTAATCCCTTCACCTCCCTTCCCCACAGCCCAATACTTCCCTCCACCTGTGTGCAATCTTCTTTACCTACTATTATTTTTGTTATTGTTGCGTTATTCACTTTATTTGTTATTCCATCCTTAATATATTATTATCTTATCTCCTTGTGCCTTTTAAACTTTTGCATATTGATTTTTAAGCTCCAGCAGTGACTTTTTTTCATGTATTCCTTAACGCATTCCCACTCTTTATTAATTTTTTGATTAGAGTAGCCTCTAATTGATTCTGTTAATTTTGCCATCTCTGCGAAGTCAAGAAATTTGATTCTCCATTCTAATAATTCTGGTATTTTATCGGTGACACCTGCTTTTTCCTGCACTTTCATGTTTCGGCAAAAGCAGCCACTGTCGAGAAAGAACAAGGAAGTAAAGCAGCTAGTTTGGAGCAATGGCCTTGTTTGCTCTGGCAAGGAAAAAGAAGGTGCATCTGAGTCAGCTCTTTCCTTTCCCAAAGTGCAGGACAAGTTAAGTGCTAGGAAGGGGCTCTTGGGTCGTGTCCCCTTGTAATCAGAGGCCAGTATGGTTACAAGGGGGCTCAGTACCTGTGGTCTCTTGAGTTGAAAAGGTAATACGGGTGCTTCCCTTTTATAAAAACATAAGAATTACAAGCATCCCATGTAGTCCAAGGGTGTAAGTTCACCCTTGTTGCTCATTTCAAGCATGTTATCCAGAGATAACGTAGGCTCCATAGCTCCTGCTGTCCCGTCCCCCCCAATGATTTTGCCTAACTCTTTAAAGCCACCTGCATTAGCAGCCATGGTCATAATTTAGAAATAATGACCGCATTGCATGAGATGGTGCTTCCTTTAACCCTCCGTTCTCATATTATATGGAAGGGTGGAAGAGACTTAAGTGGGTGGAGGAAGGCTTAAGCATCCCGCAAATGCCTTTCTTAGTAGCATCTTGCGTGGTGGGGCAAAGCCACCTGAATTAGCATTACATAGGGGCAAACACTTCTTTGAGTGAGTAAGAGATTATAGCTGTTTTTGCTCTTCACTTCATCAGGGAAAGGACATGTATCTTATCCTGGAGAACGACATGCTAAATTTGGTTGACCCCATGGATCGCAGTATTCTTCATTCACAGCCCATCGTAAGCATCCGAGTCTGGGGTGTAGGCCGCGACAATGGCCGGTGAGTTTGGAATACATTTATTCTATGATGTTAAAATCCGCTTCTGTAGAATGCTTGCGTTCTAGATGAAACACAGCATCCTAGTAATAAATGTTGTCTTTTAGCGCTTCTATCATATAGTTGTTCACAACAAGATGTTTTTCTTTTTCTTTTTGTTTTTTAACATCTTTACTGAAAGTTCAAAAAGTACATAATTATATGTGCACTAAACATGGTGAGATGTAAATAAAAGAGAGAAAAAGAAAAAGAGAAACAGGACCCGTGTAGCAGGGAAAATAAAGAGGGGAGGGGTGGAAACCCAAAACTGTATACTTTACAAGGTTGTTATTGTACTTTACCATATCTTAACCAATTACAGTATTTGTAAGAATGGATTCCAAATATTATTGAATTTGTTCATGGCAAGTTTGCATTTATATGCAGGTTGTTCATATGTTGCGAGTTCACATAGGGCTTCAATCCAATCGTAGGAAGGAGCCGCATTTTTATTTTTCCAATTCATCAGTATCAGTCTTTTTGCTGTGGTAAGGCACGGAGAGTCCACTCGTATTGCCCTTTTGTAAGGTTCCATGTGCTGGGTATAATTCAAGAGGATATTTTGCTCTGTAAATGTAAGGTTGTTCCATAGAGTTCTGTTGATAGTTTCCATTACCTTCTGCCAAAAATCTTTCAATAAAGGACAGTGAAAAAAACGATGTTTTAGAAAAGCATTATCCCTAGCAATGGGTCTCCAGGGTTTCAAATGGAGGACATTCCCATTGCTACTTGCTGGTGCCAGGGATTGAACCTGGGACCTTCTGCATGCTAAGCCTATGCACTACCACTGAGCTACAGGCCTTATATTAGACTGAGGGATGTGGGTGGCACTGTGGTCTAAACCGCTGAGCCTCTTGGGCTTGCCGATCAGAAGGTGGACAGTTCGAATCCCCGCCATGGGGTGAGCTCCCGTTGCTCTGTCCCAGCTCCTGTCAACCTAGCAGTTCAAAAGCACACCAGTGCAAGTAGATAAATAGGTATGGAAGGTAAACAGCGTTTCCGCGTGCTCTCCGTCACGGTGTTCCAGTCACGGTGTTCCGGTGTGCCAGAAGCTGTCTGTGGACAAACACCGGTTCTCTCAGCCTGAAAATGAGATGAGCGCCACAAGTTACAGGGAACCAGGCAGAGGGCCTTCTCGGTAGTTTCACCCACCCTGTGGAACGCCCTCCCACCAGATGTCAAAGAGAACAACAGCTACCAGACTTTTAGAAGACATCTGAAGGCAGCCCTGTTTAGGGAAGCTTTTAATGTTTAATAGGTTATTGTATTTTAGTGTTTTGTTGGAAGCCGCCCAGAGTGGCTGGGAAAACCCAGCCAAATGGGCGGGGTATAAATAATAAATTATTATTATTATTATTATTACCCCATGGTCGCCTTTGACTGGACTTAACCGTCCATTGGTTCTTTACCTTTTACCTATACAGTGGTACCTCGGGTTACAGATGCTTCAGGTTACAAATGCTAACCCAGAAATAGTACCTCGAGTTAAGAACTTTACCTCAGGATGAGAACAGAAATCACAGCGGGAGGCCCCATTAGCTAAAGTGGTACCTCAGGTTAAGAACAGTTTCAGGTTAAGAACGGACCTCCAGAAGGAATTAAGTTCTTAACCCGAGGTACCACTGTATCAGACAGATGCTCTCCCTGTAAAATATTTAGAGTAGTGCAAATGACCCCTACTTTTTGTTGCTGTTAAGTCTTGTTGAATTATTTCGGCTTTCATTTGAAATGTCTCCTGCTTTTTGCCTGAAGACAAGCCTCCAGATTCACCAGAGTTTACTAAGGTGAGTTGCTTGAATAGGCCTGCAAGCATAGCCTGGAGCCATGACTGATTCCTTAAAGTCTCTGGCCTGAAACTTAAAGACAGGTGTCCAGCAAATAGAGGAAAGAGAGGGGTGGGAACTTCTGGTGCTTGCTTGTTGCCTCGGGGTATTAGTATAAGGAGAAAAGAGTTGGGTTTGAGAGAGTGGCTCAACATGCATGGATATGCTGTATATAGGAAGAGGCAGAGGAAGACTGGGAAGGCTAAATTTGTTGTTGTTGTTTAGTCGTTTAGTCGTTTAGTCGTGTCCGACTCTTCGTGACCCCACGGACCAGAGCACGCCAGGCACTCCTGTCTTCCACTGCCTCCCGCAGTTCGGTCAAACTCATGCTGGTAGCTTCGACAACACTATCCAACCATCTCGTCCTCTGTTGTCCCCTTCTCCTTGTGCCCTCCATCTTTCCCAACATCAGGGTCTTTTCCAGGGAGTCTTCTCTTCTCATGAGGTGGACAAAGTATTGGAGCCTCAGCTTCAGGATCTGTCCTTCCAGTGAGCACTCAGGGCTGATTTCCTTAAGAATGGATACGTTTGATCTTCTTGCAGTCCATGGGACTCTCAAGAGTCTCCTCCAGCACCATAATTCAAAAGCATCAATTCTTTGGCCATCAGCCTTCTTTATGGTCCAGCTCTCACTTCCATACATCACTACTGGGAAAACCATGGCTTTAACTATACGGACCTTTGTTGGCAAGGTGATGTCTCTGCTTTTTAAGATGCTGTCTAGGTTTGTCATTGCTTTTCTCCCAAGAAGCAGGCGTCTTTTAATTTCGTGGCTGCTGTCACCATCTAGGCTAAATTTAGAATTAAGCAATTAGAACAAGTCTTTCCATTATATTTTGTGGACTCCCGCACATGACTCTTTCTAGCAAGTTAGGTATTTGGTGATCAGGGACAGAAGCATGACAAACAGCAAGGCCCCCGGGTATGGGAACCAGAGCCTCTGCCACGAGCAGCTGCAACATGGCAGAACAAGGGAGACAAATTGCATCAGCGAAGTGCTCTGTGGGGGGAATGATGCGCTTACCGTAGTCTTTCTCCTGCCTACTGCTTTGAACAGCAAAGAGTCGCTTTTGAACATCTCACGTGTCCCTTGCTAGCGAAAGGGTTCTCTCCTGTTCATTGTCAGGTAGACAATAATTATGATGACTAATGCAGCAGCTCCTACCTCTTGAATATCAAGTTATTTGAAAGTCATTGCTATCTTGAGGTCCTTGGATTTTTTGATTTTTATTTTTTTATCAGACTTCCTTGTAGTAATTTATTTGGTTGGATTTCTCTTTAGAAGATGAAAAGCCTTTTAATGGTACCTGACCAGATGATTTTCTAAGCCTTGTGCTAATGAAAGATTGATGAAAAACAGAGATCTACTGATGGGAGTTTAATCTAAGGGTATGTCTGCTAGTGCACGAGGCAGAAAAGCCTTCTGGGAGATTAATAATTCCCTAGGCACACACTAAGCTGTTATCTTGGACTCCAGCATTAACTTCTTTTTACCACAGTAGCTTGGTAAGAAAATGCTTCATGATTTACTCCAGTCTTTCCCAACCGGGGCCCCCCAGGATATGTCAAGGAGGCCACAAGTAAAAATTACATAAATGGGGGGGGGGACACAGCACGAGACATGGGGACCCCAGAGGGAAGTGAGAAGAAAAGGGGGGAAATCATTTTTATTTTTTAAAAATCCTGATTGGCTGGCTATCTGTTTGGCCAATCACAAGCAGGTAAGGGAGCAGCCCTCTAGGAGGCGGGTTAGCTCTTCTTTTGGCTATGTGCATTTTCTTGGAGCAGGCCTGGTTTGTTTCCAGCGGGAGAGGGCGATCGCTGAGTGTCTACTCAGAAGAAACCCACACTGTTCAGTGGGCCTTACTCCCAGGTAAAGGTGTGGAGGGCTATAGTGTTTTATCTAGGCAGGCAAGGCTCCTCCGGATGACACGATCTTTTTGCAACAGCCTAGTGAGGACTACAGTGGTACCTCAAGTTAAGAAAAGTGAGGAAAGGCTTGGAGAGAGTGGGTCATCCTAATTTGCACACCACATTTTGTGGGAAGGGTCAGTGCTACATTTGCAGCCAACCTTAAAGAAGACCTTTGACAGAATTGTGCCCTAAGAGACAATCCAGGTTATGAGTTATATTTTGTCAGATCTGTTCTATCTGCAACTGCCACTGGTTAAGAAAAGGCTACTTGGTTGTGCATTTTCCTTCAGCTGAAACGACCCGTCGTCCATCTCAGTCATGAAGGAGCAGACTCTATTTGAAAGCGACAAAACGTTTATTCTCTTTCCCACTTAGTTTTCTATTTTTGTTGATTGTGTGGCACTTGTTCACTATCCGCCGTGGCTGCTTTTTCTCCCCCAGCTTCCATGCGTGCAACAAAATATTTTGGAATATAAAATTGGCAGGTGGATATTAGCAAGGAAATGTGGCAGAGCTAAGATCTACTCACACACTGTTCCTTCATCTTTCTCCTCTCTGCTGTGAGCACAAGTGGAAAATTTGCATCCTCCAAAATAGATGTCATGTGCACATTAATCCATCCACCTCCCCCAACCCCACTCTATCTTTTGCTTCTCATCCACTTGAAAACTAGGTCATAGTCCACTATAGGCCTTGATGGTTTGCTTTATCCCACTGGGGCTTTCTGTTAAAAAAAAGTGACAGTCCAGCCCTCACTTTGCCTTCCTGCTTGCCTCATGGGACTTGGCTTTTCCTTTAATGTAGAAGTTCTCTGGCTGCTGCTTCTCTTTCCCCATAAACCTTCCTGTCAAGCTGACTCCTGGACAGTTTCTAAAAAGTTGTATTCCCAGAGGTTCATTGTGCACGTCCTATGTATTCTCTTTTGTGTACCTGTAGGCGCCAACCCCATAGGGCTGCCTGAGACAGAGGCGTTTGAATACTGGGAATAAATCTTACCTGGAAATGAACACAGAACTTGCTCGCATAAGAGGAAACTAGGGATGGACTGGAGTGCTAAATAGAGAGGACTTAAAAAAACAAAAAACCCTCCTTGATTGCAATTAGGATCACAATCCCTCGAAAAATCGCAGTATGGGAATAAAAATACTTGCCTTACAGGGTGGTTGCATGTATTTCAAGAAGCTCAGGCATATGAAGTGCTTCTAAACACTTAAAAAGCTTTATAGCAATGCTAAATATTATTGGAACGATTATGGCGTAGCAAAACAGTACTCAAGCCATTAAATATATTTAAGTGTCATCTATCTATCTAAGGGACGCGGGTGGCGCTGTGGGTTAAACCACAGAGCCTAGGACTTGCTGATCAGAAGGTCGGCGGTTCGAATCCCCGCGATGGGGTGAGCTCCCATTGCTCGGTCCCTGCTCCTGCCAACCTAGCAGTTTGAAAGCATGTCAAAGTGCAAGTAGATAAATAGGTACCGCTTCAGGAGGAAGGTAAACGGCGTTTCTGTGCGCTGCTCTGGTTCGCCAGAAGTGGCTTAGTCATGCTGGCCACATGACCCGGAAGCTGTACGCCGGCTCCCTTGGCCAATAAAGCGAGATGAGCGCCGCAACCCCAGAGTCGGTCACGACTGGATCTAATGGTCAGGGGTCCCTTTACCTTTACCTATCTATCTATCTATCATCTATCTATCATCTATCCATTTTCCCATGGTTCTTGCCACATGGTGCATAGAGCTGAAATACAGCTCTCCCTGGTTCTAATTTTATAGTTTTATTTTTTGCACTCCTAATTTGAAGTGATTTTGTTTATTCTTGCTGTGTACCCTTCGTTGTACACAGCTGGGGAGACATAGGGAATAAAAATATGGTTCCAGGAAGGAAGAAGAGGGTACAGCATAAAAGAAATCCCACGAAAGTGGGTTTTCTATAATGCTAGAAAACCCAACAGAGGAAAGAAGCGACAGAAAAACAGCTAAGAAAAATAACTCGGCAGAATTAAAATAATAGGGAATGACAGTGAATAACTGTAAGAAACCAAAGCCTAGCACTAGGCTTCTGTTGAAGGAGAAAGCCAGGCAAGAAAATGCAACAAGGGAAAAACTGGGGAAATTAAACAAGCAAAACCAGTGAGAAAATTAAGAATCATGCAACATTTTTCTTTCCTCAATATAAGATGCCTAGTGTTTTAAGTCCCAAATGTTAAAATGCCATTATATGCCCTTAGAGCCCATGATGTCAGTGGAAAGGGGATGTTCAGGGCTCTTTGGGGGACAGCTGTCCCATTTTATAGCATCCATGTTTAGCCAACAACAGCGCTCATAGGATTTTCTGTGGCTAGTACGCAGTATGTGGATTGGGCCCTCCACCTCACCTGCAGAAGAGGAGACAAATTTGTACGCACCAATTTGGTTTATTACACCATGATTGGTTAGAGTGATGGTAAGCCTTGTGCCTTCCCATTTTTGCGTAGATTATTAAGCCAAAGTTTCCCGTTAAATTTTGAACTGGGTCTCCATATTGAATGCCCACAGATAGTAAAGTATTATTGCATTCTGCAACATTGATATAAATAATTCAGAACATAGCATAATGATGGGTTGAATTTAGGGGGTGTTGGTTTTGTTGGCAGCTTTCCCCGTTTCTTTATATGGAAAACTGAATTTGCAGGGTTCCCATATGTTAGTAAGCAACAGCCGAACATGGCTGGGCCACGTCCCTCCTGCTGTAGTGTACCATCTGGCTGCCAAACAGTGGCAAAATGAGTTTTGGATGATATGACCACGTGAGTTGCATGCATCCATTTCAGAGGTGGCAAGGAGCAGCGATTGTCTGGCTGCCTGACTGAGGTAGGCAAGAGGTTGGCCCTGCAGTTAAACTAGTATTGACAAGCATAATTTGCTGTACCTAAGTGGCTTCCTGCACCCAATGCATGAAGAGCAGATTAGTGTAAGTTTAATAACTAAATAATAATCAATAATAATAAACTAAATAATAATCAATAATTTCTGTCCAAAGCTTAGAATATATTGCTACTGTAACATTGCCATTCAACAAAATGACATAAATTAAGTTAGAAATTTATTTAAATTCAATGGGCTACACTAATTGGCTAGCTTAGAGGCCCCTAGATAATTATTTAAACTGCTTGCCAGAATGCCCTGCGGTTTAGTGCAAATAGCACCTGTAACCTAATTTGCATTCGGAATATTTAACTTATTATCGAATAGCAATCAAGCAAGTCAGAACATTCATGAACTACAACCTGGGTTTTTATAGAGAATAATATAAACCTAGCACTTTGTAATTTGTTTATGACTCACTTGGTCGTCGTTCACATTAATATGCCTACGGATATCAAATATGCTGCATATGGCATTCCATTTGGAGTCTGTCCAACACTGGCTTGCATTTCCTACAGTTGTGTAATTTGAAGAGAAGCTAGTCTGCTTCTGCCATGATTCACATCGTCACTAGTGCTGGCCCAAGACGTTTGCAGCCTGCAGCAGGTCCAAGTGTTGTTACCCCACTGCTATGGCCAGTACGTCAAGAAATTTTAGTGTGCAGTGCCAATTCCTGCCTTTATCCGTCCCTTGCATAAGAGTGGGATATGGCATGGGTAGCTCTGGCCTTCACTTTCTTTTCCCAGCTGCAGAATCTCCATTATTTGAACCTACTATACCTGAAACATGCAGTTGCCTACAAATGCTTTCTGTTGTTTTTATAATCCGGTTTTTGAGCTACAGCTATAAGAAGCCTAGGAAAAGCTTTCACAAAATGTCAGGTCCATGTCCGTACCTGCCTATGTAGCCATTTGTTATTATTATTATTATATATTTATTATTATTACTATTATTATTTATTGAGTTTATATACCACCCTATACCCGGAAGCCTCAGAAGAAATCACAACATATATAATCAGAATAAAAACAACACACACACCCCAGAAAAGAGCCACATTTTAAAAAGGTATAGGATGTATAGGATTTATGGCACTTAAGAAAGCTGAGATAAAGGCAAAAATAACATTTCCACTTTTATGAGTGCTTCCTTGCTTATTCACCTACAGATAATTCTTACACACCACAGATGACTAGATGAGTGTGTTAATCTCAGGGGGGTGGGGTTCTCTCTCCAAAATTATGATTATCCCAATTTTTAATGATTCCCCAGGCATGGTTAGTTTTTCTGTGTCTTGCCATACATCTTCATAGTCACTTCTTAGATTCATGCGACTGCGCAGAAGTAAACATTCCCTGTGTAGATTGCAACAAAATATTAAAAACACACTATACAATAATTTGAAAACAACTGTAAACAATAAAAGACAGTGGGGTGAGAAAATAATGTACACCCTGGATTTCAAACACTGATGAAAAGTATGAGTTAATACAGTATGGTGTTGCTAGAAACACAGTATCAAAATACATCCAGGTGTGGGGGATCCCCTGGTCCTGAATGGGGTAACTCTGTCCCTGAAGGACCAGGTGCACAGCCTAGGTGTCATTTTGGATGCACAACTGTCCATGGAGGTGCAGGTCAATTCTGTATCCAGGGTAGGGCGGCTGTCTAGCAGCTCCATATGCTTCACCGGCTGAGACTCTACCTGCCCGTGCACTGTCTCACCAGAGTGCACTGCTTATCCCTCAGTTGGACTCCTGCAAAGCGCTCTACGTGGGGCTACCTTTGAAGGTGACTCGGAAACTGCAACTACAGTGGTACCTCGGGTTAAGAACTTAATTCGTTCTGGAGGTCCGTTCTTAACCTGAAACTGTTCTTAAGCTGAAGCACCACTTTAGCTAATGGGGCCTCCCGCTGCCGCCGCACCACCGCCGCACAATTTCTGTTCTCATCCTGAAGCAAAGTTCTTAACCCAAGGTACTATTTCTGGGTTAGCGGAGTCTGTAACCCGAAGTGTCTGTAACCCGAGGTACCACTGTAATCCAGAACGCAGCAGCTATACTGGTGACTGGGAGTGGCCGCCGGGACCATATAACACCAGTCTTAAGGGATCTACACTGGCTCCCACTACATTTCCGAGCACAATTCAGAGGGTTGGTGGTGACCTTTAAAGCCCTAAACGGCCTTGGCCCAGTATACCTGAAGGAGCTTCTCCACCCCCATTGTTCAGCCCGGACACTGAGGTCCAGCACCGAGCGCCTTCTGGCGGTTCCCTCACTGTGTGAAGTGAGGTTATAAGGAACCAGGCAGAGGGCCTTTTCGGTAGGGGCGCCCGCCTTGTGGAACGCCCTCCCATCAGATGTCCAGGAAATAAACAACTATCTGACTTTTAGAAGACATCTGAAGGCAGCCCTGTTAAGGGAAGTTTTTAATGTTTGATGTTTTATAATGCATTTATATGTGCTGGAAGCCACCCAGTTTGGCCACACATATGAAACACATACATATAACAAGAGCATTATGCTTCAGTCTTCTTTTTATGCATTCATATATTTAAATAATGGATGCCCTTGAATTCCTTTGAATGTCTGTTATGTTTAAGATGTTTAAAGCATTTATATGATGAATGCATACAGTAGGAGATCTGGATTATTGTTAGAAAATTGTTTTCTAGTGCTACGTTTTTGAAAGATAGGTACATGTTCTAACTCCAGGCTCATAATCGTGAGGATTATGTGTCGGCCCATTTCCATAACTGAGCTTCCACAAGGGGAGGGACTTTTGATGCTTCATGCTATTCAACGCGATGTGCCCTCTGGCAACAAATCTCTTTCTTGAATTGCATTTGATGACTGGAGTTGTCTGTGTGCGTGTACTTAAGGTCTCATTTCAGTTTTTAATTTCTCAGCATAAAAATTCAAATTACTTAAGTTGATGCATTAGCTAGATGGCAAAAAAATAACAATTCTATGAGTCACAAATGATTTCTGCATGAATAATGTTGTGTTTTAGTGAACCTGAAAAAATGGCCTGCATTATATATCTCATACAAGATTGCCTAATGAAATACCATCCATCTTTATGCATCAGAGTCCCTTAAAACACATACACTCATCTGACTATTTAAATGGTACAGTAAACATTTTCTGAAGGATAATTTCAGTAGGGGGTTCACCTGCTGTGTTCAATCCTCAAGTTATTTTTTTGATGCAAAACAAGTCCCTTCACTCATGCTTTGAGTCAAAACATAGTATTTCCATTGAAGAAAAGCACTGGGATCAGAAAAAGCTTCCATTCGGTCATGTCTCTTTTCCCATCAGTGACCAGCCAGGTTTTTTGGTTCTTGGCCTCTGCTTCTGACCATGGAGATTTTCCAGTTTCCCCCAGTGTGCCAACTGCATGGCTCATGTCTTCCTCTCTGACAATTCAGGCTGTGACATCTACCAGTGAGCCAGTGGGTAGCCAACTTACACTTGGGTAGCCAACTTACTTGCAAAAGTAACACAGACCCACTTTGATACTGGAGAACCCTGCAGAAGCTTATCAAAGGAGAAATCGTGGCCTTTTCTACCTTAATTCATCTCTAAACCTAAACACGCCGTGTAAGGAGCTCAGTGTTTTGAACTACTGAGCAGAAAAAGTCAGGTATCACTCTTGAAAGTTCCGTGTGATCAAACAGTCAGATGCAAAGACACTGAACGATTCCCTTGTTGCAACAAGGGTTCCTTTGTCTCTGTTTGTAGATTTCAGACTTGATGAGATCTACTGGATGATAGGCAGGACGAGGAGACTGAATAGAGGCAGAGGAGTGGGAGGTTAGAAATCTTGGAGATTCAGTATTCACAGCCCGCCATACTCATAGGCCCTTAGCTAATTAATAAAAGAACAATACTTGCCCATTCCTCTGCCCCAAGCAGCTTGGATCCAGGGATTGTGCAAGCAGAAGCCAGTTACGCAGTGAGTTCCTTGCTTCCTTCTCTCACTCCAGCCTCCGTGCCTCCTGAAAAGTCCCTCCAGAGGAGTCAGAGGACCCTTGGGGAAAGGCCTGGCCTGTGGTTTACATGGGTGGGATTATAATACAGTGAGGGGGGAAGTATTTGATCCCCTGCTATATTTGCCCGTTTGCCCTCTGATGAAGAAATGACCAGTCCATAATTTTAATGGTTTATTGTAGCTGTGAGAGACTGGTCATTTCTTCGTCAGAGGGCAAACGGGCAAATTTATCAGGGGATCAAATACTTCCCCCCCTCACTGTACATAATAGGTTTTGATGTTTTATAGGTATAAGACATATTTCCCAATTTTTGCTGAAGATTGCTTTTTTGGGGGAATGCAATAAAAAAACAACTTAAGTTTTCTTTTTTTAAAATAAACAAACAAATAAATAAAAAGCCTCATGGGGTCTTTTCGCTTGGTTTTCAAGACATTCTTTTTGTTACAAGTTACCAAGATAACTGTCCATCCATACATCGCCCTACAACATCTGTGGCTGCAGGGCCATGGATCACGCTGAAATTTGGATTTTATTACTAGCTAATAGCCATGGATAGGGTTTGATTCTTACTCAAGTTGGGGTTCATGTTTCCATGGTGTTTGGGTGGGAGCACGCTCCTCTTATATGTTCCGAATGCAACATGGCTGCTCCACACAAAAGGCTGTGTACAATGAAGGCCATATCACCTTTCAGTTGAAGGAAGTGGTCTTCTGTAGATGCAGGCAACCACTTGGTGCACTTACAGTATGTCACAATTACATTATGTCTGTGGCCCACATTTGCTTTTCCATCCCAGGAATAGATGCTTAGGCCCAGGCGTGGGTCCCAATCAGACCAATAGGCCATAGCTGGCCGCTGATGTTTGCATGTAATACTACCCAGTCTAATACAGTCGTACCTTGGATCCCAAACGCCTTGCGAGTCAAACATTTTGGCTCCCAAATGCCACAAACCCGGAAATGAGTGTTCCAGTTTGCAAACGTTCTTTGGAAGCCGAACCTCCAACACGGCTTCCAATTGGCTGCAGGAGCTTCCCGAAGCCAATCAGAAGCTGTGCCTTGGTTTCCAAAGTTTTGGAAGTTCCGGAACGGATTCCGTTCGACTTCCAAGGCATCACTATACACTGAAAAAGAAATGGGACTCCTCTTGAGTCAGTGGTGTCCCTGCACAGCTAGTTTGAGAGTTAAAATTAGTATGTTTAACACATGTCACTGTTGCTTTCTGGCTTAAGGGAAGAAACGCGAGAGGAATATTAACAAGCCTGCTTAGCAGCCTTGTAAGACTTGGAGGGGATTCAAGATTTGTGAAGGACTTTAGGAGCATCTCTAAAGCCAACTCTAGCAAAGGACTGTGGCAGTAGGCTAGGCAATGGAAGTGAAAGTTTACAGCTGGAAACAAAAGCCCTATTTGGCATGAGATGGGCATCTCGTACTGAATCTGCGGCAACAAAAAAATCTTATAATGACAGCCATTCTTGCAGTGGGGCTCTTTTGTTGTCTGTTGGATTGCAATGTCTGGGATTGCAAACAATGTTTATAGCACATTCAGGTCAGAAATCCGCGTAACTGTACATTAATAAAGGTTTGTTTTTCAGCAGCAGGCAGGCTCTCATTTGTTAAACAGTAGATCTGTTTTAACAGTGACAGAAATGAAGAGAAACAGTTCAATGAGAATCTCTCCTCCAGAAAGAGAGTTTCTCAGAGCACACTTATTATCTTAAGCCAGGCAATTCTTCATGGGGGGTTGCTAGGCTTTGGCCCTGAACAGTAGTGAACCATTTGTATCTTCGAAATTATGTAGTATAAAGCGCTGGAAAGGGGACGTGGGTGGTGCTGTGGTCTAAACCACTGAGTCTCTTGGACTTGCTGATCAGAAGGTCAGCGGTTCGAATCCCCACGATGGGGTGAGCTCCCGTTGCTCTGTCCCAGCTCCTGCCAACCCAGCAGTTTGAAAGCATGCCAAAAAGTGCAAGTACACAAATAGTTACCGCTCTGGCAGGAGGGTAAACAGCGTTTCCATGCACTGCTCTGGTTTCAGTGTTCCGTTGCGCCGGAAGCGGCTTAATCATGCTGGCTACATGACCCAGAAGCTGTACACAGGCTCCCTCGGCCTGTAAAGCGAGATGAGCGCCGCAACCCCAGAGTCGTCCGCGACTGGACTTAACTGTCAGGGGTCCTTTACCTTTACCTTTTTACAGCGCTGGAAGGAGAGAACTAATACTTTAGAAATCAAACAAACTGCAGGTGTGTACTTTATGCAATCTTAGGTATACCTTTTTGCAACCCAGTTTAAGTATATTCTCTTCTGAAAAGTGAGATGCAAACAGTTTGAGTAATTTTTATTCCATAGAATCGTAGAGTAGGAAGGGACCCCAAGGCTCATCTACTCCAACCATCTTCAGTGCAGGAATCTTGCCCAATGCGGGGCTCGAACTCACGACCCTGAGATTGATAGTCTCACGCTCTGCTGACTGAAACTTTCTCCCCTACCTTTGGAGGCAAGCCCTTAACAACAGAAACGTTAGCAAAACATCCGGCATTGGCTCCAGCAACCAAAACAGAGGGCCTGTTGTTGTTTTTTCTGCACTATTTTCCATTCACAGTGGTACCTCAGGTTAAGAACTTAATTTGTTCTGGAGGTCCGTTCTTAACCTGAAACTGTTCTTAATCTGAGGTACCACTTTAGCTAATGGGGCCTCCCGCCGCCGCACACTTTCTGTTCTCATCCTGAAGCAAAGTTCTTAACCCGAGGTACTATTTCTGGGTTAGCGGCATCTGTAACCTGCAGCGCCTGTAACCCGATGTACCACTGTATTGTGCAGCAGGTGTATGATTTCTTCTGCACACTTTTGACATCGGTATCGGAAGCTTGGCAGTTCCGTTTGGCTGCCGAAAGGAGGATCATCTGTAATGCATAGATCTGTTAGGGAGGTGATGGGAAGGGCTCAGGGATTCTCATTGCACGGAATATAAAAAAAAGTACTCAAAAACAGGGTGGGGGGAAAAGCAAGGTTGAGAGGAGAGCAGCACCCCCCCTCCTTCACAGCTGCATCCAATCACACAGCTGGGCTGGCTAAGCGAGGACAGGAAAGAAGGAACGAGGGAGGGCATCTCACGGAGGAGAGTTGCAGCTGAGAGGGTCTGCTCCAACTTGATGCAAAATGAATGAGCTGCCGCCCCCCCACGGGTATTCAACGCATGTCGCCGAAGCAGGAGCATGCATATGGCTGAGCTGAGAGAGCACTTTGCCCTGCCGATGCCTGTGCAAATGGGGAATCGGGGAGTGTTGGGGGCTGCCTGGTCAGCCTGACGTGCCAGGCATTAAAAAGCCCTCTCTGCTGCAAGAAGGAATAAGGTAAGGAACTTAAAAAGGGGACCGCTCCCCTCGCACCCCGTCTGATTACTACAGATGCATACAGTATAAGCAGGAGCAAGTAGCCTTTTGTCTCCAGTAGCGCTCGTCTTCTCTGTGCAAATTCAGGGCAGAGATTCTTTAGGTTAAAGATTGAGGGCAGGCAAGCAGCTTCTTAGAGTGATAAGGGCAGGTTGAGCCTCTTGCTTTCCAAGAACGACAACTTAATATCAGAATCGCAGCTGTAATGGCCAGATGGGACTTGCACTGTAAGTACAGTTTATTCGCCGTTTCTGCTTTCAGGAGCTGGTGGTAAACTGATGGACTGTTAGCTGACGACGAGACCCGTCTGATGTTCAGCTGCTCTTATTGTTCACTGTTCAATTCGCCCAAATATCTGCCGTTCATTGGCTGCAATTACTAAGCTCTCTTATATCGACTTGCCTAAATTGGCAGTTTTGTAAGCTCGGACGTAATTTGTTCTCGATCGCAACCGTGGATGTAATTGGGGAGGGGAAGAAAATGCAATGAATTGCCAAGTTCACAATGACTTTCTGGTGATAGTGCAAATGGGCAGTTACTTGTGCTCGTGGCAGATATAATTGTTGGGATGAAACCTATCTTTACCATTAGAGATTTACTAATTATTTTTCATTCATAATCATCTCTTATTTGATAAGCATGTAAGAGAACTTGCTCTTTCAAGAGGTGGAATAACTTTATTGTTCCTTTGATATATATTTCTAATGTATATTTAATAATGAATATTATCAGCTTTAGTATTTAGATACATATGTATATGCATAGGTAAACAGGGCAGCTTTCCTTCGACACGAGAAAGTACATGATGGAAAGATTTTTGGATTCAGTTTGATCAGTGAGAAAATTCTGCTTTCTTAATCCTTTCTGTATCTGCTGAAGAATGTGTAACTAGGGAGTTTATTGACTTATTAGCTGATGTATGGCTGCTAGGAATCTTTATTAAGCTGTTGGAGAGGGAATGGAAGAGAGGAAAAACCCATCAATCTTCTGCTTTTCTTTCTAATCACTCAGCACGTTCATTCTTCAACTTGGAGTGTGACATTTGTTGGGGGAAAGCTATTTGGATTGCCTGTTGTCTCTGCTTATATATTTGTTTTCTGAGCATAAAAGAATATTAAGTGCTGCTGAGTTTTTGTTCTACTGCAATAAAACCCACAGCAAACGGCATATCTTAGAGCAATGGCTTTAATTACGTATTTATAGTTGTTACTTCAACATTAACATAATTTTAACAACTGGGAGAAGATGGGCTTTTTTATTATTCATTCCTGAAGCATTTCTTGGGAGGCGAAATAATAATAAATTATTTACTCTGGAAAGGGAATGTGCTTTCCTTTCCCTAACTTAATCCCTGTGCTGTATTTGTGGAACGTGCACATCGGTGTGAAAAACTGTACATGCAATTTATGGTCAACAATAACCCCAACTCTAGAACCATTTTAATATTGCAGCCAGGCAAGATTTAATGAAAATTGCCAAAAGGATGTTTAAAATTTGTAACATAAATTAATGTTTGGGCACAGTGGATATTTCAGTTAGATCTTAAAACCCATTATGGGACTGGTACAGATTATTTTTAATTCCATTAAATTGAATTTTATTCCAGTCTGGGTGTGGTAATAAAATGAAAGCTACAATTTATGTTGGATAAAATGCTGAATATCCTGGGCCATGGTGCTAATTTTAAGTTACTGATAGAGGCAGTGATCCAGATTTACTATACCCATATTATGGGCTGAATAAATTGTCCCATTTTAGTTTAAAGGCTTGTTCCAGACCCCTTGTGGCTTGTCTTATATGTAAATGAGCCAAATAATCAAAAAGGGGGTGGGTGGGTGGGTGGGCGGTGGGTGTAATTACTGCCTCTCCCATATACTATTGAGATCCTTTTGGGGAAGGTTGTGATATAAATCAGATAGGTAGATTAACTTCTTTGCATTTTTAACATTTGATTGTAAGCTGCTTTCTAGGAGCCCTCAGGACTGAATAAGTAGCATATAAAAAATTGTACAAATAATTTCAATATATCAGAGCCAAAGGCGCTTGATCCGGCCCAACTGCCTTCTAAATCCGGCCTGCGGATGGTCCAGGAATCAGTGTGTTTTTACATTAGTAGAATGTGTCCTTTTATTTAAAATGCATCTCTGGGTTATTTGTGGGGCATAATAATTCGTTCAGATAGATAGATAGGTAGATAGATAGATAGATGGATGACCGGCCCCCACAAGGTCTGAGGGACAGTGGCCTGGCCCCTGCTGAAAAGGTTTACTGACCCCTGGTCTATGGCCTCCTTGACCATCTTCACTGTGGTCAAGACATAACCCACTGCCTGCAGATCTGATCTGATAAATCTTCAAAAGAGTTGTCACTCTTAAAATACTTGTTTTCAAAAGGCCCCTAATTTCCATCAAATGTAGTTGATTGTCCCAGGCCCTTTTTAAAGACAGAGAGGACTAGACTGTTCATTGGAGCTCCCTCTTTCTTGCTTCTGACTGCACCTCAGCTGGGGAAAAATGTGTAATATCCTTTCAACAACCATCTATACTTGACATCAAAAGCAGTGTGTTAAGACTTTGTCTCCAAAACTGAAAATATATATTTATAAATACTCTACACAATAGTAGAATATAGCTGGACCAGAGTTTGGCGATGCAGTGCTGGACTGGAACCTCTCTCTGCTTGGCTGCGGGTACAGCTAGCCAGAGTGGGATGGAGGCAGCACTTTGGGAAGGAAAAAGAAAAGCAAAGTTGGGTGTTCAGCTGGATAAGGATATAGCTCATTCTTCAACATCAGCTTCGTTGGACTGGTCATGTTGTGCGGATGCCTGATGATCGTCTTCCAAAGCAACTACTCTATTCCGAACTTTAAAATGGAAAGTGTAATGCTGGTGGTCAACAAAAGAGGTTTAAAGACTGTCTAAGGGCAAATCTAAAAAAAAAGTAGTATAAACACCAACAATTGGGAAACACTGGCCTGCGAGCGCTCCAGTTGGAGAACAGCCTTTACCAAAGGTGTCATGGGCTTTGAAGACACTCAAACTCAGGACGCAAGGGAGAAACATGCTAGGAGGAAGGCACGCTTGGCAAATCCACACCATGATCAGCTCCTGCCCGGAAACCAATGTCCCCACTGTGGAAGGACATGTGGATCCAGAATTGGCCTCCACAGTCACTTAAGGACTCGTTGTTAAAACCGTGTTTATGGAAGACAATCTTACTCGGCTACAAGTGATCACCAAAGATCGCTCCTGGGCTGTGGGGGTGGGGGGGTGTAATTGTAAAATCCAGTCTGAGGAAAATATAGCCAGATAAGGAAGTCTCTGAGCTTAGTCTGAAACGCAGTAATTAGTGTCTTTTTAGGAATATACAGGCAAGAGAAAAACTGGGAAGCTGAATTGGGGACAGGAGAAGTAGAGTTAGTAGGGAAAACTCTACTTGGGTCTCAATTCAATAATAAAGGGATAGAACTTCTGGAAAGAAAAGGATCCCAAACCAGTGTGGTGTGGTGAACCCCTGGTCTGTTATAATACTAGATAATGTTCAGGAGTGTGATTTATAGAAGTCAGGGAAACCAACAGAAAATACCACCTTGTTTAAGAACCCAAGTATTAAGACCTAAATATCTTCGCAGAAGCTTACGAAAAGCTTGGCCTATCACTCAAAATCCAAAAAACCAAAGTGCTGCACCAACAAGCACAAAACTACCCCTCTGCAGCACCACAAATCCAACTCAATGGTGTGATGTTGGAAAGTGCCAATCACTTCTCCTACCTGGGCAGTTATCTTTCCACAAGGGCCGACATTGATGCTGAAATCCAGCATCACCTGAGCTCTGCGAGTGTGGCTTTCTCCCAATTGAAGCGCAGAGTGTTTGAGGACTTTTGCAGGGAAACCAAAATGCTTGGGAAACCAATAGCTTTACAAAGCTATTGTACTACCCACCTTGCTGTACCCTTGCGAAACATGGACCACTTCTAAACGCCATCTCCAACTCCTCAACGGTGTCTCCGAAAATTTTTACACATCACTTGGGAAGACAGGCGAACTAATGCCAGTTTACTGGCAGAAGCAAAGATCACTAATGTCGAAGAAATGATTTTTCAACATCAACTTTGTTGGACTGGTCATGTTGTGCGGGTGCCTGATTATCGTCTTCCAAAGCAACTACTCTATTCTCAACTTAAAAATGGCATGTATAATGCTGGCAGTCAACAAAAGAAGGTTAAAGACTCTCTCGAGGCAAATCTTTTTAAAATGTAGTATAATCGCTGACAATTGGGAAACACTGGCCTGCAAGCTCTCCAATTGGTGAACTGTCTTTACCAAAGGTGTCATGGGCTTTGAAGACACTCAAAACTCAGGACGAAATGGAGAAACATGCTAAAAGGAAGGCACGTTTGGCAAACCCTCACCGTGATCAACTCCTGCCCGGAAACCTATGTCCTCACTGTGGAAGGATGTGTGGATCCAGAATTGGCCTCCACAGTCACTTACAGACTCGCTGTTAAGATTGTGTTCATAGAAGACAAACTTACAGTGGTGCCTCGCAAGACGAAATTAATTCGTTCTGCGAGTTTTTTCGTCTTGCAAATTTTTCATCTTGCGAAGCAATGCACCCTGAGTATTAACGGTTTTAAGAAGAAGAAAAAAAGAAACAAACTTGCAAGACGTTTTCGTCTTGCGAAGTAAGCCCATTGGGAAATTCGTCTTGCGAAGCAACTCAAAAAACCAAAAACTCTTTCGTCTTGCGAGTTTTTCGTCTTGCGAGGCATTCGTCTTGCGAGGTACCACTGTACTTGGATTGATCGCCAAAGAAGAAGATTGAGACCTAAGCTGTAGCACCTATACAATTAGCTTAAGATGCTGAAGTGAAAAGAAGCTGTGTGTTTACCACCTTGTTTAGAAGCTTGTAACATCCACAATTTTTTGAGAGACATCTCTTGCAACATCTTTTCTTTTATCAATTTTGTTCTTAAAATAAATTGTTTTTCTGTTTAACTTCTCTGTGTCTCCAATTGCCAGAGCTTTTTCTTTAAACAAACGAAAAGCCAATAGTAAAGGTTTGCCTCAAATGGTTTTGGTTGCCGTGCTTAGCATTCCTGTATCCTGCGTCTCTTTCCATGATTCATCATGAAATACCACATACAAAGTTACGAAACATGTTCACACATAACAAATTATATCCAGGCTCTTGTAGCCAATACCCCTTTTCTGATCTGCTTGGTTGCAAATTCAGATATGAAATTACAGAAGAAATTTCTCTCAAAAGATCCCATTCTGTAGAGAGAACAGATAGTGAGGACTGCCTTGATGGAACTGTTGTTGACCGTAATTTAATAAGGGATTGTTGTTGGGGTTGGCATACTTGAAGAAGGCGGGAAACCATGGCAACATTAGGAAATGATTCAGCCAGTTCCTTATTGTACATTACAGTGGTACCTCGGTTTACGAACTTAATCCGTTCCAGAAGCCCGTTCTTAAACCGAAACTGTTCTTAAACTGAGGCGCACTTTCCCTAATGAGGCCTCCCGCCGCCAGTGCCCTTCCACCATTCAGATTCCATTCTTAGACCAAGGTAAAATTCGCAAACCGGGACACTACTTCCGGTTTTGCAGAGTTCATAAACCGAATAGTTTGTAAACAGGGCTGTTCTTAAACCGAGGTACCACTGTATTTTGATTTGGAACGATCTCTCTCTGGTGATTTATCTGGCCTGTGGCCTTGACTCTTTCCAGGAAAAGCGGAACGAGACAGAGGGAACCACTTGCTACTTTTGTTGATGAATTGTGTGGATTGTCTCACGCACAATAGCTCCAGGTGCCCCTTATTTATTAAACATTGATTTAAGGATTCTTCAGACCAGCCACACGACTCTGGTCCCATTAAGCGGAAAGGGGGAACCCCACTTGTGGAAATTTCCGTCGGCTCCAGTCAACATGGGGAGTCGTGAGTGCTGATGGCGGTTGTAACCTAGGAAAATCTGAGCCAGACATTTCCCAATATTCCTTTAGATAATCATTACTGATAAAAATATGAAAGCCATAGTATTATCCCTACCAGGGTCCTTTAAATAGCCATGGATTCTGTAGACACCCACAGCAACACCAGCTGTTTCCATTTCAGATCTAGTAGCTTGATATTTTGATGCAAGAAACAGTTGCTGGCCCTACAGGGGCTTGTTCATTTTGGGGCTAAAAACGGCTTAGATGCATTTCCCACAGTGCGCTCAGTATTTTTTCCACAGTCTTGAAAAAGCCATGGTTCATTTACGATTAAGGCAGAGTTGAAAGCCCCACTTTTTGCCTTCTATAAAATATACGATTCGACTTTAGCCTTGAGGGGAATTTCTTGAAAAACACAGACATTCAGCCAAGCCTGGATCATCCAGCTGTGAAAGTATGCCAGCTGAATGGGTTTCTATCTTGTGTGGAATTAATTATTAAGTTGCAAGAAGTCCACGACACCACATAGAGAAATAGGATTAATTTCCAAACTGTAACATCCCCAGCAGTTACAAAACAGCTTTTCAACCCTGATCCAGAGCATATTTACTCATAAGTAAGTCTTAATGAGTTCAGTAGGATTTGCTTTTGATTTCAATCAATGGCTGCAACCCTGCGCACACTGATGTGGCAGTTAACTCCATTGAACGCAGTGGGATTTGCCTCTGAGTCCCTGCTCCTGCCAACCTAGCAGTTCGAAAGCACGTCAAAGTGCAAGTAGATAAATAGGTACCGCTCCGGCGGGAAGGTAAATGGCGTTTCCATGCGCTGCTCTGGTTTGCCAGAAGTGGCTTAGTCATGTTGGCCACATGACCTGGAAGCTGTACGCCGGCTCCCTTGGCCAATAAAGCGAGATGAGCGCCGCAACCCCAGAGTCAGTCACGACTGGACCTAATGGTCAGGGGTCCCTTTACCTTTACCTAAACATATTTAAGGTTGCACTGTTAGAGATTCAGGCATCATTGGGGAAGTTCTGCTGTTTTCTGAGCATCTGTTTTTATGGCTTGAATGCGAGATAGATAGATAGATAGATAGATAGATAGGAATACTGAAATTCTCTTGGATCAGGAGAAATATTGGGAGGGATTTGGAGAGCAAGCTTTTTTTTTCATTTTCTTTCCCCGTTGCCTTTCTCTAAATAAATATACGGACCATGAACATGCCTTCAGCAGCAACTGGTAAAGGTAAAGGGACCCCTGACCATTAGGTCCAGTCGTGGCCGACTGGGGTTCCAGCGCTCATCTCGCTTTACTGGCCGAGGGAGCTGGCGAACAGCTTCCGGGTCATGTGGCCAGCATGACTAAGCCGCTTCTGGCGAACCAGAGCAGCGCACGGATATGCTGTTTACCTTCCCGCCAGAGCGGTACCTATTTATCTACTTGCACTTTGACGTGCTTTCGAACTGCTAGGTTGGCAGGAGCAGGGACCGAGCAACCGGAGCTCACCCCGTCACGGGGATTCGAACCGCCGACCTTCTGATTGGCAAGTCCTAGGCTTTGTGGTTTAACCCACAGCGCCACCTGCGTCCCTTCATTTTCTTTCCCCATTGCCTTTCTCTAAATACATATATGGACCATGAACGTGCCTTCAGCAGCAACTGGTAGAAACAGGCAAGCTGCATCATTGGAGCTGCTGACATTAGAATGGCTACGTTGATTTCAGGCAAGGAGCAAATGGAAACAGGAGGTGTGGTCATAGGGCACACACAAGGAAATGCTGTCAAACATGTAAAGAGCTGCCCACAGAACTGCGCCACCATAATGTACTTCACTACATTAACTGTTGGGCAATGAGCGTTTTTACAGTGGTTTTCCCCCTTATCAGAGGATCAGAAGAATCTGGATTCGGTTCCAAAAAGGTGTAGGCTGGCATTTAGATAAGGATGCTAGGGGCACGTGTGGCATCAAATCCACATTAATCTTTTGTATGGACCAAGCCCTTTCCTTCCATTTATAAAATAGCCCGTTGCCCTATTTTTTCAGGATGGATGTACTTGTTCAGAATGCATCACCCTACCTGTGTCACAAGTATTTACATTATATATATAGATTACGTGGGAAAATATTATGGCAAGAAAATAATCGTAACAGGCTGACAATACTCAGCAGTAGAGGTTACAATGTACAATGTACAATGTAAGGTAATGAAAACAACTTAGTAGAGAGAAAAAAACACAGTTGAAAACATAGCAGATAGGAAACCAGAAAAAGAGTGGGAGGGGAGTAAAAGTTAAGATTTATAAGAGTCAAATCAGTTGGAGGAATAAGTTATATTACCATTAATATTTGTGTGTGTGTGTCTTATATTTAGGTAATTTTCTTTCTTATTATCCTGTGTATATATGAGCGCCACAACTCCATAGTCGCCTTTGACTGGACTTAACCGCCCAGGAGTCCTTTTTTACCTTTTACCTTATGCGTTGATAATATGATAAAACAGTAAAGCAATTGAAATTATTTTTTAAAGAAGAATTTACATGTTATTGATTAGTAAAGAAAAGTCAGCCTGCAAAAAAATTTTCAGCAGTATATTAATAAATTTATTTGATGAGACCTCTAGAGCAGTTATTCAGTGATCTTATGTGGCACTTTTTTTTTTTTTTTTAAAGCAGCAACTCCTGAGAGCGGAGGAAATAGGGAAGTTATGAATTTGAGATCTTGACTATTGGAAAGACAGCAGAAAGCAATAGGTTCATGTTTGCGCAAGGGCTCCAGTGCAAACTACTGTTAAAACATATGCAGTTGGTCAGCCAGTCACTATAAGCAGTGGAGCAGAGTTTGCAGTAATGGAATATTCTCTTTTGGAGAAATGGTGTAGTCCAGCCTTTCTCAACTTTCTTCCCTCCAGGTGTTTCGGACTTCAGGCTGGGGCTGATGGAGAAGGCTGAACTAGATCTAAAGTATGGATCTAATTTATGTCTGGATCTAAATTATGTCATGGAATATTTGCCAGTTGACAAAAAGAAGGGTGTCGTCGCATGCTATTTATGGCAGATACTTCAAATTCTTTACATGTCTGACTGTTCCTGGCTTGGGTACTGATAGAACTGGAGTGAAGTGACCAAAGGTTCGGAGGAAGAAATAACCATTGTGATTATAGAAGGGAGTTTCATACAGTATTGCAGAGACACAAGTTTGTAGTTGTGCTTTTCGATTCTCTTTTCTTGTCCATATGTTTTTGTGCTATACAGTGGTACCTCGGGTTAAGGTCTGTTCTTAACCTGAATCTGTTCTTAACCTGAAGCACCACTTTAGCTAATGGGGCCTCCTGCTGCTGCCGCGACGCCGGAGCATGATTTCTGTTCTCATCCTGAAGCAAAGTTCTTAACCCAAGGTATTATTTCTGGGTTAGCGGAGTCTGTAATCTGAAGCATCTGTAACCTGAAGCGTATGTAACCTGAAGCGTATGTAACCTGAGGTACCACTGTATATCATTAACTTGCTTGTGTCCTTTCTACTCTTGTGTTTTGCACATTTGGCATGTTCTGGAAATAAGTGGCGGCTTATAGCTAATGCAAATAAATAATATTTGTTTATTTATGATTCACCCTTCCTCAGAAGAGCTCATGGTGATGCACATGTAATGTTGGAAGTGCCAGCAGAAGGACTGTTCTAAAGGTTAATTAGCCACTACAGGGAAGATCCATCTGTGGTTTCGAGCATCCATAGGGACTTAGCATGAAAAGGACATTGCAGATATTGCAGCACCCCCACCCCCACCCCAGTTCTTTAAGCATTGCAAGCAAAGGGTGTGTAAAATAGCCACAGCGACTTTCGCAGAAGCGGCAACATTTTTTAAAATTTGTATGCTGCCTTTCCATACTAAGCCATGCTCAAGATGGCTTAAGTAGGAGATGTTAAGTCAACTCTCCCCCCCCCCCCCGCTAAATTTATTCTTCAAATCTGTAGCTGGAAACAGTCGGTGTGGCATTATCTTTCAGACATCTGCCTCTCTGCCTTCCTAACTATCAAACAATGAAATTAAGTTACCCGCGTGTGAAATGCTACCAAGAGCCTGAAGCAATAGTTCTGCAAATAGTGAACTCCATGCACTCAGTAATATCTCATCCAGTTTTGATTTAAATTCCATTATGTTTGCCGTCTTAAACACTAGGGTTTTTTTTTTTAATGCTGTGTGAGCCTGAATTTCTATATCCACATGTAACATTAAGCCAAGAAACTTGGCTTGGTAGACCATAATATGTGTGGGATGTGTGCTAGTGGACTTTACGGCTTTACTCCCTCCCCTTAGAGCAAAACAAACTGCAATCCTGGGTTGAGCCCGTAACATAAAGCTATCTGCTTCTTGGTTTATTTAGGCTATTACTGAGCTTGTGGCAAAAGCAGGATTTGAACCAGCTGAAACTGTTAACTACTGCACTTCACTATATTTAACTTAAATTTATGTTTCTTCTTCACTGGCTGTAACAGCTAATACAACTTCCTTTGCATTTCCCCCCTTTTTAAATAATCCCAAATGTCTATAAATGTTACATCTTCTACTTTACATCATTTTTTTTAAAGCCCAGCCATTCTCTTTCATCCTCCAAAGCCAAAGCGAAAAATAAAGAAATGCAAATAACAAAAAATGGATGAGAATTTTGAAAAAGCGTAGGACGTTCGAAATGCTGAAGCAGCCTTCGTGCAGTAGCGTTAATGCCATGATTTCCTTGATGTTGTCTCTTTAAATGCAATCTTCTTCTGCAAGCGCAAGGATTGTTGTGACTGGCTTTCCGTAGACACTTCTGCCAACCGCTTCCCTTATTTGTGTGTGATATTTTAAGCCTATCCTCCACAGCTGATATTTCTGGGCTGCTGGTCTTCTAAATTCAACTGATACCTGTTGGCCTCAATTGTATGTTTCCAAAAATACTTACAGACTCGGTCATAAAAAAAGAATTTATCCTAGAATAATGGCTGGATGGAAGCAGAATAGATTCAGTGCACCTTCGTAAGGAAAACCAGGCAAGGAGCATCGAGTGACTGGGGCTGTCTGTGTGAATGTTTTCTAACTCTCTCTTTCTGCTCTGTTTTTCCATGCTTTTCCGGGATTCAGAGAGAGGTAAATTGTTTTTCTCTATTCTGTTTTCTTCCTGTCTTTCATCACCAGCATTAGCTGTTGTTGCCTTGCAAATCCATACTACTGACGCAAATGTGTTTCTTGCCATTAGCACCGTAATCAAGTAAGTTCCCCTTTTGCCTTATCAAATGGCAGTTCTCCAGCCCCTTTAGATAGATGCATTTTAGAAGCCAACTCAAATGTTATCTGAAAGAAAAATATTAAAATACCCATCTCCAAGGTGGGGGAAAGGATTTTCCATTCAGTCTGGTTTTGTTTGCATGATCCTAGATATTCGGTCCCAATGCTGAATCTAGCTGAATCTAACAGAAATATATTTTAAAAACCCATTAAATTATACACCTAGGCTGTAGACCTGGGAAGAACATAGGTGCCTGCCTCGCTCCTGATAAACAGGTATTCTTCCAGTGAGCCTGAGCTCCTGATCTGTCTCTAGAAGGAATGTTTAGGCTCCCTCAGATATCTCATGCTCCTTTTTTAAAAAAAGAAATAGGGGTCTGGGTTGGGTCTTAAAACAAGGATTGCCCTCCTAAAACTTGCCTGCTAGGCCTCAGAAGGGTCATTCAACATTTCTTTGGGAATCAGACTTTATCATTTCCTTTATAACCTTACAGACTTCTGGAAACGAGCAAGACTTTGCAATTTGTGAACATTCAAGTCATTTCCACATATTACCTTTTTCCCCCAGACACAAAGATTAAACTTATAATCAAGAGACAGAGAAGTAGCATGAGATACAATGAGAGCAAAAGAAATGTTAAATTTGCCACAGTGTATGTATCACAAACCCTGTTGCTTGTCTTTTTCCATTATTCTTAAAAGGCCACAGATTTGCATTAGGAAAGGATAGAGAGTTTGGACAAGTGGGAACTGCAACATAATATTGCAGCATGGAGCCTGTGTGTTCAGGATATTCCGTTCCCTTCCTCCTCCTTCCTGGTTTTCCATTTCCTGCTGATACCTCCCTCTTGTGCCTGAATGGTCTTTTGCAAACCTGCTGTTAGCACTGCATTGAAATAGTGATGCTTTTATACCATGCTTATTGAATTAAGGTGAATATCTTTTTGCTAGTTTATTCAGTCTGTGAAGGGGTGGGTGGCCTGGCTAGGCCTAAATGGCCTCTCTGATCCCTTTCATCTCTGCAGTCCACCTTTCAATTATTCTAAATTTCCAGATCCCATTGTATGTGTTGCAGGACTGGTCAGGATTATTTAAGAGAAGTCTGAGGTTGTATTCTTAACAGAGCTCAGTACTTTTAAAAGTCACTGGCTTTGATACCATCAGGGAGTTCTTCTCTTCAAGGCTAAAGCTCTGTGAGCCACAACAGTACAATCTTCTTACAATGCCCTGGAGGGAACAATGCCAGGGGGATAAGATAGCGGTTTTCCTGAGTATTTATTTTTCATGGACTTTATGGAAGAATTGAAAATCCACTGTTTTGCTTAAGGTGGAAAAGAATTGTAGCGCTGAAATTCTGAAAGACAGATGAGAAAGCAGAGATCTGACAGAATTGCACAAGACAATGGATAACTCAGGCTGAAGGCTACAGTTTGATAGGAAGACATTATTCTCTGTGTGATTTGTTTTGCTCTGCACCAGAACAAAACAAACACCAGGGCATGTTTACATGAGTGTCAACTTTTGCAGAATCAGTGTAACTTAACGCACAAAATAGTTAATAAGCTTTCATTTAACCATGAATTACAACTCGACTGGCGTGCTGATGAAGCTAGAGAAATCACATACAGAAATGATATAAAAGGATAAGCGGTGAAATGTGTTGCGCTCTTGAGGGCATCTAATTTTCCTCAGATCAAGCAAGTTTCTCATGAGCAGGAAGGAAGCGTCCATGTGGCCGACATGGAAACTCAAGTATGTCCATGAATTAATGACCCAACGTACAAGGGACAGGGCCCTTTGCACCTCTCAAAACACAGTTGCATGACAATTCAGGGTTTCTCTATGCAGCATTTACTTCCACAATATAAGTTCTTAGTGTGGCCAGCATCTCTGAACCAAACCCACCGACTCTGTTGTTGATGAAAAGTAGGAGGGGCCTGGAGAAAATGAGCCTCTCGCTGAATAACTACAGGGTTGGTACTTATGTTGCCAATCTCACAGGTCAGGTACTAGGGCCAATTGTGGGTTTGGGTTTTTTTAAGTGTCTAATACAGTGGTACCTTGCTTCTCAAACTTAATCCGTTCTGGAAGTCCATTCCAAAACCAAACCGTTCCAAATCCAAGGCGCGCTTTCCCATAGAAAGTAATGCAAAATGGATTAATCCGTTCCAGACATTTAAAAGCAGCTCCTAAAACAGCAATTTAACATTAATTTTACTATTTAACAAGACCATTGATCCATAAAATGAAAGCAACAATGTACTGCAGTCACATAATCAATCAATCAGTAGCTGAACTGGGTTCCACATAGTCACAAAAGCAAAACAAAAAAAGAGCCACAAAAACACAAAATAAATAGAAAAAACAGACAGACCTCAGCATATCACTCAAATCGGAAGTGTGGCACTCAAAACGGAAGTGTGGCACTCAAAACAGAGCACATTTGGCTTCCGTAAAAAGTTTGCAAACACTTACTTCCGGGTTTGCAGTGTTTGGGTTCCAAGTTTCACTGTAGTTAATTCGTACACTATACACTTACCTTGTCTGAATCCACTCTGAAGCTCATCGGCCACTCCAAGAATAATCTTTAAATCTACACGTCATTTTTCTTTGGAGTGTACCGGTAGACAGAAAAATATTTGACGGGAAGAATTCTTAGCAAGGTTAGCTTATTGTTGTTGGTTATAAATGAATTCTGCAAGCAAATGGATTTGTGACATGTTAATGCTAAGCAACAATCGACAACAAACAATAATGAAAAAGAAGAGTGGGACTGAATCTCCAAAGGCAGTTTAAACGCCACATGTGAAAACAGTCATTGTTTGCAAGACAGTGGATCAATTGAGAACGCAGGAGCAGGGAATGGCTGCGCCCTTGGGAAGCTTCCTATGTGCAATGTTTTAAAGGCTTATAAAAGTGGGACTTCTTGCTAAAACCCTAAGCATGAATTTGTGGCTGCAGCCCCTTCATTTTTCTAATAATAGAAATTCTTTCCGGCTGAATTTAATCCGGATGTCTCAAGGGGCAGTAGTATAATGACGTTCATACCAGGCAGTGGTCACATAAATTCTGTTTTATGTCGCTACATAACCATCATTGCATGGTTAAATGATGCCTAACTGGGTGTTAAATAAGCACAGCCATCCAATTAGTCCCAAAGAATAACCATTTAAAAGAATTAAAGTAAAAGAATGGAGTATCTCTTCCCCGCCCCCAATATTTGTTCTATTTCATCATTTTTCTTTCAGTCGAAGAGGTTATTTTTCTCCCCTGGGCACCTTGTTCTGTAATAAGCTGACCAGAGTACCTTAAATTAAAAGGATTATTTTGTGCTTGGGCTAATCAACAAAGCCGCAGCCTTGCATACCATAACATGTAATTGATTCTCTCCCCTCCAGCCCTGCCAAGAAATCTCCCTTGTTTTCCAGATTCGGTTCAGAATAACAGCTCAGTCTAGTTTTAGCTGATAATTGCCGTTACTACCAGGCAGAGTGTATGCATAAAGAATTAATATTTTGGTGAACGGCTGTTTCTGCATAAAACAGTACGTGGCAGGTGTTGGAAAACTATGCTCAGGGGCCTCGTTTGGCAACCGTTTTTAATAGGAGGCATATTTTGCATTGAGCAATGTTGAGAGAGCAGCCACGTTGACTCCACCTGTTAACTTGTTCCTGAACCAGGCGAAACAGATAGACAATGGTTTCTTCTAAAGAGCAAAATAGGTTCCCTCAGTCACAGCTGTGTCCCTTTTGTCCGGACTCCAAAGCTCCTTCATGTGGCGCTCAGTTGCCTATCTAGCTGCTGAGGGTGAAATAACTGCATCCCCTCTCTTTCCGGGCACTCCTAGTTGCGATTTAAAGAAATGAAAAAGGCGGAAGGCTCACCAAATTCGACACACAAACCCAAAGGGCAACCAACTCCCAGCTAGAGGGAGAATCAGTGGGCCTGACTTAGGAAGAGCATAACCAGCAAAAAGGGATCGTAAGAAAAGCGAAGCGAGGGCTCTACCATGTAGCCTTGGGGCTGGTCTGAGTTTACAATTTGAAGCAAACAAAAGTAGTTGCACAGGAATGTAAGTTATAAGCAGCATGGCTTATAACTTTTGTCACACTTGCAGCGCCTGTTGTTTCCTCTGTGGCCTCCTCTCAGCGCAGAACCGCATCCTTCTGTCCTGTGCCCTTTAGCAGATCTTGCCAAGCTCACTTCAGCCATTTCATTTCTCTCCTCAGCCTCTACACAGTGAACACCCCCCCCCAAAAAAGACCCAACCCAAATACAGTGGTACCTTGGTTTACAAATGCAATCTGTTCCGGAATCCATTCTTAAACCAAGGCATTCTTAAACCAAGGTGTGTTTTCCCAAAGCAGCAGGGGAGTCAGTTTACAAATGGAACACACTCAACAGGAAGCGAAACATGTTCTTATTCCAAGGCAAAGTTCGCAAACCGACACCTACTTCTGGGTTTGCAGCGTTCTTAATCCAAGTTGCTCATAAACTAAGCTGTTCTTAAACCAAGGTACCACTGTAATAACTTAGGTGCATTAGGCCAGGGTTTACCTAGTCTTAACATACTACCTCTGATAAGCTTACAAGCTGGGTATGAAGGTCGTCCCATGTTGTTTATCCTCTGCATCCAAGAAAGCCAATTGTACTTCTTTTTGTCACAGCTTTTTGCTGAGAGTGGGGACTATCAAGTATAGGAATCCAGCAAAAAGGGAGTGAATACTGGGTCCATGTTAAAGAATTTCTAGATTCATCTGTGACCTAGCTGGACCTTTATACAGCATGACCTTCTTTTTTTCTTTTTTCTTTTTTTTTGCCTCTAGGACTTCCATAATCCATAATCCGACATTTTCATTGCCCCTGCCCCTCACTCCCTACTGAAGTACTATTGTGGTGAATCTTTATTTATTTGTCAGTTTCCTCTGAGTAGCTCAAGGAGCCATAATTCTCCCCCTCCCAATTCTACCTTCACAACAACCTTGTGAGGGAGGTTAGGCTAAGAGACAGCCACTGGCCCAAGATTGCTCAGTGAACTTCCCAGCCGGTTTCACCAGTACACCACACTGGCTCTCATAGCATTGGACTGGGGAGACTGGTATTCAAAAGCCTGAAAGTTCTTTGTGTGACTAGGAACCAGTCACTTCCTCTCAGCCTAATCTCACCTCGGGGCAGTTGTGAGGATTAAATGGAATATATGCATGCATGCCACCTCAGCGAGAGCCAAATGCAAAAAGGTTTCTGATCTCCTTGCCTTACAAAGAACTGTCCCGATGCAGACGTCTGCCTCTTCTTCTAAGTTTCCCAGCATGGAGCTGGGAAGCCTGTAAATTCCTTAGTAAATCAGGTAAACAGTTTGCCCATAAATCTCTCCTCGTATTAATCCGTTTGAAATGAGCTAATGCAGAATTGAGGTTAACAGAGCAAATGACCCAGAAAGGATTCCACAGTAAGAGAGATAGATAAGAAAGCCAAGATGAAGGGCTCCGGTGATGTATTCAATATTGAACACTTCTGTATCTGCAAAGACCGTAACCTTTCCCCCTCCCCGGCCTTTGTGCAAGAGATTAGCATTGTCACGGATGCTCAAGGTCACCATACCTTGGTGGCAGTACAGGGAAGGGGTGAATTGTTGCTACAGAACGGCTTACATGGGAGGAAAGTGTTTCAGGCGTAGCAGCTTTCGAACCTATCTCTTTCTCTCCAGCAGCCTTTAAACAGAATCTACTCCAGGGGAGTGCCCTTGCAAACTGCGCCTACGGATTTTCCTGAGCCTCCCTAACTGATAGGATTAAATATTGAAGTCGCCCTATCATTTGGACCTTGCCAGAAGGAAGGATCCACATTTGATTGCTAATGCTGATGGATAATTTTGCAGCAGATGGTTGCCGGTCCCTTCCGCCCTCCCATCCCCAGTGATACCTGCCGTTGCCATTTCTTTGCTTGTGGTGACAGCTTTGCCCCCTTTGTGGAATCATGGCATGTATAGAAAGATGCACTTCTTATAGCCTTTAGCATCTCAGGCCTCCATGGGGACTTCTAAGGAAGAGAACTGAGGCAGGGTGATCATTTCAGAGCAGCGGGGAGCAAACAGTGTCTCCCTAAGCAGATTCTCTGCAAAGGTTAAAGGCCTGGTCTTGGATATGTTCAGGATCAAGTGACAAAAAACGCAGTCTCCATTAAGAGCATTTGTTGTGATTACTTTTCATCTGTATTAAGAGCATCTGATTGTGGTTATTATAACACGGATATCAGTACATTCCAAACCTTTATTATTATTATTATTATTATTATTATTATTTTATTTTATTTTATTTTATTTTATTTTTTGATCATAGGAATCTGCCTTACAGCAGGTGAGGCCCTTGAGTTAAGTATTGTTGACTGATTGGCAAGAGCTCCCAAGACTTTTCAGGCCCGTGTCCTTGCCAGCACTCCCTGGGGACACCAAAGGTTGAACCTGAAACCTTCTGCAAAGAGAGCATGTGCTCTGCTACTGCGACAAAGGGAATTGTGCTTTGGAATCCCTCACTAAGACGCAGGCCCATTTAATTGTTTTTATGGCGATAGATAAGGGATGTGGGTGGCGCTGTGGGTTAAACCAGAGAGCCTAGGACTTGCCGATCAGAAGGTTGGCGTTTCGAATCCCCGCGACGGGGTGAGCTCCCGTTTCTCGGTCCCAGCTCCTGCTAATCTAGCAGTTTGAAAGCACATCAAAGTGCAAGTAGATAAATAGGTACCGCTCCAGCGGGAAGGTAAATGGTGTTTCCGTGCGCTGCTCTGGTTCACCAGAAGCGGCTTAGTCATGCTGGCCACATGACCCAGAAGCTGTACGCCAGCTCCCTCGGCCAATAAAGCGAGGTGAGCCCCGCAACCCCAGAGTCAGCCACAACTGGACCTAATGGTCAGGGGTCCCTTTACCTTTACCTTTATGGCGATAGCTAATAATTATGTGGAACGGGTAAGTTCTGACCATTCAGTTGTCACCTTTAAGAACCTAAGAATAGCTTGCTGGATCAGGACAATGGTCCTGTTTTGACAGTGGCCACCAGGCACCTTTGGGGAGCCTGCAGGCAGAATGCAAGCACAAGACCACATTCCTCTCCTGTGGTTTTTATTCAGAATCTGGAGGCAAGAGCATAGCCGTCATGATCTTTGTTTCTTTGCGTTCTTTTTGAAGCAGGTATTTCCGTGGGTGATACTGCTTTGAATAAGGTAATTAATTTTGTTTGTACAGAGACTTTGCCTATGTAGCAAGAGACCGAGAGACGAGGATTTTGAAGTGCCACGTGTTTCGATGTGACACGCCAGCAAAAGCCATTGCCACAAGCCTGCACGAAATCTGTTCTAAGGCAAGCTTTCTTCTTGTTGTTTTCATTCTATCCTCTCCCCTTTCCTGTGCAAACATACCCCCATACGACACTCCCGAGCGTGTTACATGAAGTCTCCCTGATTTCAGGGCAATCTATTTCCGTGCCATTTAAGAGTATAGGTCCAAACCAAAGCTTCCACACAAACAGTTGCCCGGCATACATTTCTGTGCAGGAGAAACTGCTTCTAAAGATAACGTTTAGCAGCAGAGGAAAGAGGGCTCAACACATTCTAGGGCTGACCTGTTGACAGTATCCTATGGGAGGCTATGGAAAGAAATGGCCCACATAAGGTGTGTAGCGTTTTATCAACACCGCTAGCTCAGAGGGGAGACATAAAAGGTATTCCAATGGTACGTGAAGTGCCTATAGCCTTTGTCCTTATCACTGCTTACACTGCGGACAAGATCTCCGTACTCAATTGTTCTGCCCCCAAAAGTCATGGGGGTTGTTACAGAGTACCAGATTGCACATAACTTTTATATATTAAGCTTTTTGATGTGGTGCATTTGGTAAAGGTAGCGAAAACCTCCCATCCCTGTAAAGTTTTCCACCACCTCAAATATTTGCACTGCAGCTGTAGGGTGTCAAACATGCCTCTTTAAATTTAAATGCAGGCAGCCCAATCCTTTTGGGAAAGAAACTCCAACGAGTTCTATGAGGCTTACTCCCAAGTAGGTGTGCATAAGATTGTAGCCGTAGTTCCTTAACCCATCTGAGTTTTGGTGAAAAAGAGAAACACTCCTTTTTAAGGGCTTTCAGGATTAGGATTGTACGACGAGATCTATGGATGACGGGCGGCCTACAAATTTAATAAATAATAATCGTAATAATATGATCACTGTCTTCTCCAGATTATGGCTGAACGGAAGAATGCCAAAGCTGTGGCTTGCAGTTCGTTACAAGAGCGGACAAACGTCACCCTGGATGTTCCCTTGCAAGGTACTGTGTGACTGGGATGTTGTCTTCACTATGTAGTCTCAAACAGGTGACTTATTAATTAAATACTAATAAATAACCACTTTTTTAAAAAAATTAAAAAGAATTTTCACAGCGTGTTTCCAGAGGGGTAATGTTAAGTCTGTTGAAGCATGAACATAGGTCAAAATAACTTCCTTGGTCTTTAAGATGCCACAAGACTCTTGGCTTGTTTCTCTGGCTTTATTTGGAGCAGGCCAGACCTGCTAAACAGATTTGTCTGTTTTTACTTTACAAGAATAAAAGATGATGATGTACTTTTTTAAAAATTCCCCAGAAATTACTCAGGCTCATTTTTAATGTGCGATAGTAGGTAGAAGGAGTACAGATTTATTAGAATCGATAATGATATCCCTAAGAGATCGACTACCTGATGAATTATTTTATTCTGCCCTTGAAATAAGGATATTTTGCCTGATGTGAATTTTGATAAGTTGAAATTGATTTTTTTGTTCCCATGCAGTAGATTTCCCAACACCAAAGACTGAGCTGGTCCAGAAGTTCCATGTACAGTACTTGGGCATGTTACCTGTAGCTAAGCCAGTGGGTAGGTTGAATCTTTGTCCATAACTCCCTTAATATTTGCTCGTTAGCATCTGAGCGCTCTGTTCTCCATTGACAGAGGATTAAAATAGGTGACGGATACGCATCTCAATTTCTCCAAACTTTCAGTGTGCATACTTTGGGTGTTATGGTTATTCAGATCTGTTAGCGATATTAACTGTGGGGCCAGACAGTGACAGTTATATTCCAAATTAATTATGTGGCAGATCCAGCTTCTACTAGATTAGGGGTTACTGCAGAGATGTGCATGGCATGAAAGATAAAATTAAATTATTTCAATTTGCTTGTCAAATGTGAAATAACATGGTCAGAATGTTAATATGTGGATCTGAACTTATTGCTTATTAATTGATATGCCACTTAGATGTTTGCACAGAGCTTCGAATTGATATTTCTCAGAAGAGCTGACCTCACCCAATACAGAATGGCAAAGCCTTTTTGACTGTAAAACGTGGCTTGGGGTATGGCATGTGGGTGCCCGCTTTTCCAAGAGAGAAAGGAAAGTCCAAACCTGTCAGTCTTGCCAAAACACTTGGACACAGCTGAAGTGGCTCTTCGGAGCCTGGCCAGTTCCATGTTTTGCAAGTCTGTTCCATCCTAAATACAGTGGTACCTCGGGTTAAGTACTTAATTCGTTCCGGAGGTCCATTCTTAACCTGAAACTGTTCTTAACCTGAAGCACCACTTTAGCTAGTGGGGCCTCCTGCTGCCACCGCGCCGCCGGAGCACGATTTCTGTTCTCATCCTGGAGCAAAGTTCTTAACCCGAGGCACTATTTCTGGGTTAGCGGAGTTTGTAACCTGAAGCGAATGTAAGCTGATGCGTTTGTAAGCTGAGGTACCACTGCACTGAAAAAGTGAAGAAGAATGGACCATGTTGATTCCCAGTGGTGGCATACGAGAGAGGAGTGGAGGCAGGGGCAGACTTTGGTCGTGTTGGTGCCCCAAGCGAGGCCACAATTTGACGCCCCTCAAATGAATCTTCTCAGTGGCGGATCTTTTCCTTTTTGCGCTCCCTCAACCCAGCGCCTTGTGCAGGGGAACCCCCTAAATCTAGCACTGACAGAGGTACTGGCGTACTCCTGGCAGGTGTGGCATCCTTGTTGGGACAGGGATGTGGCTAGGCAAGGAAAAGGGGGGGGGGGTTCAAGAGAGCTCTGGGTTGGTGGCAGCCCTGCATGTGCGCACATACCTGTGGGGCAACTGCTTCGCCCTTCCTGTCACCACAAACACAGTGCCGCCGCCACCAAGGGAGCGCCACTTCCTCTGCCCCCCCTCCCTCCGGCCAGCCACCACCACTGCTTCCCCCTCTTTCTACATTAGTGGCCAAAATTGTGGAAACCTTTTGGAAAAAAGGGTATTTCTGTTTGGGGGGGGGGGGGGTTCAAAAAAATTATTGGTTTCCACATTTATCACATGGGGGGGAAAGAAAACATTACAAAACACAACAAGAAAAGAAAAAAGAAAAGGGGGGAAAAAGAAAAACACAAAACAGAATTCTTACTTCAAATCTCTAATTCTTGTTACATTGATAACTGACTTCCTCAAATCCCCTCTAACTGAATTTCATTATAACCCCTGTATAGCAGTTCTCCAAATTCATATTTCTAATAATATTCACTCCTTTCATTTACTATCCTCATCTCTTTTATTAATATTCAAATCCTTAATATTTACTACCACCTATTCTTATTCTGCCCCTAAGCCTATTTGTTACTTCCAAGAATTTTCTAATTATCTTATATCACAATATTTAGCTAAATATTCTTTAAATTTCTTCCAATCCTCTTGTGTCTCCTCTTCCTTCTGGTCACGGATTCTTCCAGTCAGGTCGGCCAGCTCCAAAAAATCCAAACATCTTCATCTGCCAATCTTCTATTGTTGGTATTTCTTGCGATTTCCAATTTTTGGCTAATAAAAAGTGTATTTCTGAGGTTTGATGGCTCATAACACCACTTTTTTGGAGTATTACCATAAAATGATGTATCAATGGAAAGATAATTTAATGAAGAATGTAATGCAGCAAAGTTTGTTCAATTATCTGTATTCTATCAAAAGTTATAGCCAAAAAACCAGAAAAGGGAAGCGCAACTTGCCTAAGTTGATATGCCGTAGCTTTCCTTCATTTGAATGTAGCCAATGAGCAGGAGTGTTTAGACAGCCAATCAGGTGCTATGAGCCATCAAACCTTGGAAACACACTTTTTCCAAAAGGTTTCCACAGTTTTGGCCACTAGTGTATATCAGCGTATAAATGAAGGAATGAAACAGCTGCTTCAGCTCAGATTCCTACATCTTTGTTGGCAGCTTCTCTTGGACACCCCTATATTTTATGACTTTTATTAGCATGCTTAGTCTGCCCTTCCTCAGGGTAGCATATATGGGTTTCATCTCATTTTATTCTCCCAGAAAACACCCCCCCCATGTGAGTCAGGCTGGGGGGGGTGCCCCAAAACCGCAGTGAGAAGAGAAGAAAAATAAAAAGGACGTCCGATTTTACATCTGTCAGTTACATAGAAGACATTATTCAAAATATTCACTTTAGAGTGACACCCGACTATTCCACTTTCTACTGGGCAATATTTTCCCAATCTTCTGACCTACATAGATTAATTCATTTTCCTTTTAACGCAAAAAGTCCAAAAGGGGTTCTCTAATTATTATTACAGTGGTACCTCGGGTTACATATGCTTCAGGTTACATACGCTTCAGGTTACAGACTCCGCTAACCCAGAAATAGAACCTTGGGTTTAGAACTTTGCTTCAGGTTGAGAACAGAAATCGTGCTCCGGCGGCACAGCAGCAGCGGGAGGCCCCATTAGCTAAAGTGGTGCATCAGGTTAAGAACAGTTTCAGGTTAAGAACAGACCTCCGGAATGAATTAAGTACTTAACCCAGGTACCACTGTATTAATCATAAATGTCAGCAATAGTTTTTCTCTATCAAACATAATGCTTTCTTCTATTTTCTGGGTTTTCCTTTGGTGTTTACTCTTTCTTTTCCTGTTTTTGTTTTTATTTAGATTCGTTCAGTGCTTTTCTTCCTTTAATTTTCTTGCAGGAGGTACTCTCGTTTTCCTACTCCTGTTGAAATACTGCCCTTCAATGAGGCCAAACTTAGATTCACAAAATGTTTAGGGGTATGCGTCCCCCCAGAAAAAAGGACTGGATTTGTTTCTTTTATCTTACTGTGTCATGAAAAAGCTTTAATAAAATCTTACTTTAAAACACACCCACACCCTGTGAGCTTAATGCCTGATATTCTTCCTGCCATAAAACGCTGACTCTCTGTTAGTGATCTTGTCTCTGTTGCTCTGCAACTGCAGGTATGGACACCCTGAATGCCGCTATAGAAAGCCTCATCGACTCCTCCAGCCGAGACGACTGGGTGCCTGTCACCATGAATGTCGCGGATGCTACAGTGACAGTCATCAGCGAAGGCGTAAGGCACAACCTGGCCTCTCTAAAAACCAGAAATGCTTCATATGTAGTTGATACTAGAATGTGGGCCTTCTTATTTAGCCAGTGCTTTTTCTTCAAACTTTCCTTTTAGTCGATTTTATTTGAGATAAATAGAAGCCGCCATATGCACCGCCAGAGCAAATTTGGCAACCGCTGATGGTATGCATGGCATTTTAAAGATATTCATTTCTGCCATATGTTGCTATTTTCTCCTGTAAAAATAACAAAACTACCAGCTTAATAAACAGAGAAGAAAACCCACTTGCCTAAGATTTTAAGGGAAATGTAATGTCTAGTATAGATCTCAGTCATGATCTAACAGTTCAGTGAGCTTAACCCTCACACACCTTTTTGGATAATATTAATTAATAGCTAGAAATACAGTCCCTGTCTGTTTTCAAGAATGACTGCCGTCTAACATAGAAAAATGGATTTTATTAATATTCCATTCCAAGGTGCATCATACCCCACAATATTAACCTAAATTCCTTATTGGAATATCAGAAATCCCTGGAGAAGAAAACAGATGATGTGTTATATGTGCAATACAGGCCTCATAACCGAAGAGCAAGCAAATCAGAAACAAACAAAAAATGGCTAGATGAAATACTGGACTCATGGTAGAAATATATACAGTGCAACCTCTACTCACGACCACAGTCCGTTACGGAGACCTGTCCTTATGGCAAAATAGGTTGCTGGGAGAGGCGCCGTTGTGCGCATGCGCAGGCGGCGATTGCCCATTACTGCCCATGCGCAAACTGCAACCACCGCTCCTGCACATGTGCAAACAGCAGCAAACCCGCCGGTTACTTCCGGGTTTGCCGTGGTCGCAACTTGGAACATCCGCGAGTGGAGGCGGTTGTAAGTAGAGGTTATACTGTATATATACAGTGGGTCCAACATACCCCAATAGCCTAATAGGGTTTTGTTTTGTTTTTCAAAGGAACGTTAGCAACAAGAAATCAGGTTTGCACTATGAGATGGTTAATTTGTGTCAAAATAAAGCCAGTCTCACAAAATAAACCTTACTGGGTTAAAATTTACTCATTGAGTCCAATGGTTCCCTGTAGTGCTTTGTAATAGGCTGACTGTTGTTGTTGTCATTTATAATCACCTTCTAAACAACCATCTCAAGGCGATATATGCACAGAAATGTACATGGACATAGAGCAGAGATCTCCTCTAGTCCCCTTGAAATGGTATAGCCATAAAAAACATGGAATTAATAGTATGGGCAAGATGCTTGTATTTTTCTACCCTACTTTGAGAAGTTGATGGGCACAGAATGGACCCCAGGTAGCTTAGGACAATAAGTAACCTCTAGTTTTTGGTTAATGCCCCTCAAATTAATTTCTTGCATATCTGCATACTGATTTAAGGTTGATTTTTTAATAAAAGAGAGTTGTTGTTGTTTATTAAGATGCTTGGCAACCTTTAAAAAAATAAATATGAAAGAGTGTTATCATTGTGTGTGAAACTGCATGACCCTGTATGCCTATTTGCAAATAGGCCTCCAAGCTCAGGATGTGACAGTTAGTCCACCTCTTGGTGCATTTTGGAAGGTTACACCAGGTTTGTTCCTTGGTCCATAACTGGTGACCTTCCAAGAATCAGAGCTTCCAGCGCTCAGACTAATAATTGTTTCTTCAGTGCTACCTCTGAAACTTTTTATTTGTAGTAACATGAATTCTTCCTTCCTAACTAGAATGAAGAGGAAATTGTGGTGGAATGTCGTGTACGGTTCTTGTCTTTTATGGGAGTGGGCAAAGATATCCATACGTTTGCCTTCATTATGGATACGGGGAACCAGCATTTTGAGTGCCACGTTTTCTGGTGTGAGCCCAATGCAGGCAACGTATCAGAAGCCGTCCAGGCGGCTTGTATGGTAAGTGACCACAGAAAACTGTAGTACAATTTGTAGAAATATTAGAAAATTAAAATAAACCAGTACATGAAACCCCTCTCAAATATTACCATATTTTTCGCCCCATAGGGCGCACCAGCCCATAGGGCGCACCTAGTTTTGGGGGGGGGTAATAAAGAAAAAAATTATTTCCCCCCCCAGGCGCGGGGCTGGGGAAGCCCAAGCTTCCCCCGACCCCAGCCCCCAAAACAGGCTGCTATCCGCAGGGATGCAGGCAGCTCTCCGCAAGCCGTGGGAGCCCAGCGCGACGTCGCGCCGGGTCCCACAGCTTGTGCAGAGCTGCGCGAAGCCTGGGGCACGCTGAGCTCAGCGCCCCAGGCTTCGGGATGCAGGCAGCTTTCCGCAAGCCGTGGAAGCCCAGCGGGAACTCCCGCGGGCACCCAAGGCTTGCGGAGAGCTTCCTGAAGCCTGGAGAGCGAGAGGGGTCGGTGCGCACCGACCCCTTTCGCTCTCCAGGCTTCAGCGAAAGCCTGCATTCGCCCCATAGGACGCACACACATTTCCCCTTCATTTTTGGAGGGGAAAAAGTGTATCCTATAGGGCGAAAAATACGGTATTTTGTAGTATTTAGCATGAACGCAAAATGACAGGAAAACAATAATGCTATTGATTTTTCAGAGCGCCCTGATAAATTACAATTCTCTCCCCAGTTCTGCGCTTGGATCTTAACATTTAACACCATGATTCTAAATATTAGTGTCAGCTCTCTCCCCCTCCTCTGCTTTAATGCTATTAGCAGTCAATATTGTGAACTGTTACGTGCACAGACTGAAAACCAGATAAGTAGCATAAAGCATCAGAGTCAAGGAAACAAGCGCCAGCCTTTTGCAAGAGAACAATGTGTCTTCATAGAAAGGAGACAATGGGAAGAACAAATTATAAGATTGATGAGAATAACCAGAGTTCCCTGCTTCAGTGGTATTATTCAGCATCTGCTTCCAGAGAGTTTAGTGGGTACCATCCTTCAAAATTGTCATCTGTTCCCTTGGGCTAATAGAGAAAATACTAGCACTAACCTGAGCAAGTTCTAGCAATCAGAACACAATAACGTTCAATCCCAGGCACTGCCATCAAATTATATTCTTTTAGATTTAGAGGTGGAAGACTTAAAACAAATCAGCCAACATGTTGAGCTGTTACTCCTTGTATTAGAAAGGACGGTTGTGTATCCAATATCTTAATGATGTGTTGTCCCCGCTAACGTGTAATAATTGTGCAGAGAATGTAAGAAACTGCCAAAATGAGGAAAGACCTGCTCTAAGGATCTATGAGTGCCATGTCTAAGGGCAGATTTGCAAAACTTGTGACAAACCAATCCCATGCAGGTAGCAAAATTAGGAGGTTGATGAACCACCATACATAGTTGCTGCTTTTAAATTTACCATACATAGCTTGATGGGTCGCATTTAAGCTTGATGGGTCATGATATGTCTGTGTGTTGCCTACTCGGAAGCAAATCCTAAATGATGTTGCAGAACATAGTGAGGAAAGCTCAAGGTACCGAGCCTTGCTAATGATTGCAGAACATCTTTGCTTTCTTTCAGCTACGATACCAGAAGTGCTTGGTAGCCAGACCTCCTTCACAAAAAGTCCGGCCGCCGCCTCCTCCTGCAGACTCGATGACCAGAAGAGTCACGACTAATGTAAAACGGGGGATGTTGTCCCTCATTGACACTTTGAAACAGAAACGTCCCGTTACGGACACGCCATAGCAGCCCTGCAGGAAAAGAAATGGTTTCTCAGAAAACATCTAGCAGAAGATACAGTAGCCACGTTAAAGAAGATGAACTGATTTTTGGCCTTCCAGTTTAAATTGGTGATGCTTTGTCTTCAGAGAATTTACCCTTATCAAATAATATTAGACAAAAGCATGTTCTCTCGTTCTTGCCACCATCATGTGATATGAAAAGAAGCATGAGTAATTTTTTTGCTGTGAGGTTTCGCACCATGAAGTGGAAGGTCTGTTTTCCAACTGTGTAAATATTATGAACGTTACTTAAATTCACACATACACCAGAAAGGATTATGGCACATTGCTCTTCGGAGAGAACCATGCCCAAATTGATATTCATCCCCATCCTGGTTGGGATTTGTCACAAGCAGTCCTTGTATCCTGCAGCACTTTGTCCTCATTTTTAACACTGAAGTACATACCAAGTATTAGTTACCATTGTATTATTGTAATATGAATATTGAGCTGCTTTTTTTTTTTTTTAAGAAACTGCATTCATTAACCAATCTTCCATCTTGTGCACCCTAGTAACCATTTTTCATCTTCTGTCGGCCAGTTGGGTTTGCTTCAACACGACAGTTTCCTATGCAGATTGCAGTTTGATTGGAAGGAGCGTGCAAACAATATTATAATTGTGACAATCACATGTGTATCAGTTTCAGTGACATGCCGGTGCTGGGAATGACCCTTTCCCAGGCATACGTATGCACAAGAAAATAGATGTGCTCTATTGTCGCATGGCATTAACTACATTTGGTTTGCATGCTTTTTTCTCGTAAAGAAGCACTGCCCCCGTAGCAGATCATCACCTTTGAAATGGCCTTCAGTTCTGAAATCGAGCTTGTCATTTAGGAGTTCAGAGAGCAGTCCAGGAGGATATGCTGGGATTTTTGTTTCAAAACATCAATCGCAGCACTGGTGACACTAAGGCTCAACTGCTTCTTAGCATTTTCTATAGATGCTGGTCTATGCTTTTAAATGTTTCTACCCTGATACAGGCAGGAAGCAAAGGTAAAAGGACCTGATAGATGCATGAGGTTAAAAATAGTAAAGCCAAAATGTACCTTAATCCTTGACCAGTCGTCTACAAGGATCATTGCATCAGAAATGGAATTTCAGCAATACAGCATGAGTAAAACCTCTTTAACTGAAAAGGGGAAGGAAGATTAAGGTATCCTTTGTTACTTTTCCTATGACAGGGTTTGCATTAGGTGACTGTGAATGTGCATGGGTTTTTCCTTACTTGAGTTCTATCACTAGAACTATGTCCTCCATTTCATTTATTCCCACAGAGGTTGGGTGCTGAGCGCACCTAAATGACATTTTTGCTGTGCAAGATCCATTTTAATTTGCAGCCTTCCAAGGAGCTATAGTTTACTTTGATTTTAAATTAAGAAATCATGTGATCTCCCAATAGATTTTGTAACAGCCACCGACCACCACATTTGACCTTTGCAGTGCCAAGTGAAACTTGTTGCAAATCCCACGACCAACTCCACATGCTAGTTCCTTCTAACTGCACCTTATGCTGTGTTTTGGATGGTTTTTAATATTTTTCATGTGTAATGTGTAGCACATTTTCACTTGCGCAGCTGCCAAAGGAAAAGCCTTAGAACACATTCATGCCTTGGGGCCGTGGCAGAGGCCCCAGAGTGTCGAATGTACAATTGAAGAGGGTAAGGGAAGGCAAGCTTGTGTTTGTGCACTCTCCTCCAAAAACTATTAAAGAGGAGATTATATCAAAAACTACTAAAGAGGAGATTATATCAATGCATACAGGAGTAAACCACAAAACCTCCTGTTTGTTCACAAGTGCAATGTGGAGTCATGTGTGAATCAGTCTGTAGTAGCCCCACAATCTGTAGTATAAGGAATTAGGCAGAATACTATACTACTGTCAATCAGTAGTGTCAGTCCTGAAAGGTGTCAAGATAAAAAATGCTCCTTCCAGTTATTTCTTGCACAAATAATTGCTTCCATTTAGGAAAAGCAATGCGCACAATCATGCAAGTGTGTTTTGACAGAATTTGTACCCAATTGTAGCTTGACACCATGAGTGCACTCTGCAAAACAGACATCATTCTGTCGGTGCTGCAAGTGCAATTTCAGTACACAAAAATGTCTGTGTGTGCAAGAGTTTCTTGTGCTTCTGAAGCAGACAGACAGGTTGGCGAATGATAGGAAGAGGAGCAACTAGGAACAGTAGAGAGTTGGGGGGGGGGATGATGTCCACTGCTCAAAAAAAACCCCAACCACATCTCAGCATCCACAGCTGCTTCCATTTGGCTCACATATCCTAAAAGTTTTCTCTTCCTTTTCCCTCCTCTGCTGAGGAACAGCTGCTGCCAAACCAAGCATTGTGCTCACTTGCTTTTACCTCTCTAAAGGCAGCATTGGGCTTGCTTTCATGCGCATGTTTATCACCTGATCAGTACCACCTCGAGCAGTGGCTTGCATGTGTGACTGAGACACCGGATCAAAACCCCTTCCATATCACCTCAAATGCACTGCTTCTCAGTGGAGCTAGGGTCACACATCCAACTGCAGGTCATCAGTTGCTGAATCATCAATTCAGGCATGTGTGAATTAGCCCACAATGTCCCAAGAGCTACAAAATGGAAAACTTAGCAACTCCCCCCCTCCCCATTTTTATTATGTATAGTTTGCAGGTTAACAAGACCAGAAATGAGCCTATGCATAAAGAGATTTTTTTTTAAAAGTCTGACTCAACCCTTATTATTTTCTAGTTAACTTTACAGAGGTAATAAGATTCGTTACCTTCCAAGAGAAGTAACCCTAAGGAGTGTAGCCTCCTGGCTTTATTGCTCTAAAGGTCACATCCATTGTGCTCCTAAAGTAGACAAATGCTTGGATCTGCCTTTGCTAAGGTATTACCATTCTCACTTCCCTCCTGAAGAAAATATTAGGGCTCACTCCATTTTTAGAAAGTACATGCTGACTACCAGCAGCTCTCCTCCTCAAATAATAATAATAAAAAAATCATAAAATTGCAAACCAATAGTTTCTGTTATATGGCTATGCTCCATTCTCATTAAGTACTCAAACCCAAGCAGGAAACCTTAACTCATTTGTGTCTTAATTGGCATCAAGTTTTTCTAGAGTATGACCTTTTCACATTCAGAAGAAAATGCAAGACATGCTTGCTGAAAACATTGAGTAGACCAAGCATTTTTTTTCAAGTAGCTTTTGGATTAGTTGCAAAGTTTCAAAAGCTTTAAAACCTTTTTATTATTCTTTTCAGCATTTTAAGTCCCACCAGCTGAGAGTTGCATCCCACTCCTTGAAAATCAAACTTGTTATCAGCTTATTTTATCTGAACCTTCTTTATGGAATCTCCATTGTAGAGGTAGTGTCTCTGAATACCAGATGCTGAGGACTAAACAATAGGAAAGGCCACACTTGTGAGCTCCCAAAGGGCATCAGGCTAGCCACTGCTGGAAACAGAAAGCAGCAAGGCAGTTCTTACCAGACAAAAAAAACAACAACATAAAACATTTCTCAATGATGGCCAAAATACATGTATGGGTTGAATGCGAACAAATGCCAATGACTTACTCAATGTTGTAGTGACACTTCTGTTATCTATGCATTCTTTATAATTGCACAAGGCAGCCATGTTCACTATGCCTTGGACGTTTCATGTCTTTTTTTGATTAACTTGTTAAATACAGCTTAAATATTTTTATTTTATTTATTCTATTTTTACTGAAATATTCTTCGATTATGTTGACATATCTTTATTACTGGATGTGATCGCACACGATAATCCAGTGCTAAGTAATCTCAGTGTACTATAGGTTGCCTAAAGACAGAGGATTTTTGTAATTATTTGTAGTCACCTTTTTAATTAACTGAATATGTAGAAGTAAAATGGCAAAAATAACATGTAAAGCTAACTTCTATTATTTTTTAAAAACACAAAAAGCAAGTTAGATGCTGCTCTCACGGACCACCTCATTTGCGTACTCCGTTGAAGGAAGGGAGATTGTTAACCAGTCATTTGTGATAGCTTAATTAATGCCTTTTTTCTGCCCCAACCCACAGCAGTTCTTTGATGCTGCTTGTTGCTTCGTTTATACAAAACAAGTACTATTTCTTTTAAAACATGTTTTTTCATAGAGATGAAGAAATGCCTAAAAACGGAAAGAAATTTGCATGAAACGCCATCAATCCTACTTCTGTAACAAAGAGGTCTTAATGATAAACTTTGTGTGCAAAGCCTTTAATAGATGAGTAGAAGAAAATCTACAGAAAGCTGAATACAAAGATGGCACCGTCTACAAAGCTTTAAGAACTTGTTTATTTGTTAAAGAACTCTGCAGTCAATTAAACAGATCACATATGGAGGGAAACTGCTATTTTTATCGCATTAGCTCACAAAAGCTGAGCCTCTCTAGAGCTCTATCATTACCATCATTAGCTCCTCTCTCTGGCAGGCATAGTTATTTTGAGGGAGAGAAGTGTGAATAGCAGAAGTAGGTTTGATTTATTTCACTATCTGCAAAAGAGAAAGGAGAAAATACACACAGTTTATCAGTAAGAGCTCTCGCTATTACGTGAAGTAGTTGATTTTAAAACAGGAAAGTTTTTTCCACCATTGTCCACTTTTTACACATTTAAATGTAATCTGTTGCAAGAATAAATTTAGCTGCATTAACTGCTGGCCTCTTGTGTTTATGTCGCTGGGAGAATCGTGATTCCACAAGAAAAGCCACCATTCTAAAAACACTCGTCTTAGCTTGGTAAAAAGAAATGGTTATTATTCCTTTTCAGCTATGTAATCTGCAGATTAAAATCTAAAATAGGGCAGATTTTAATGAGAGTAGGTTTACTAAAGGAAAAAGATGGTTTCTGAATATTTAATACAAAAGTATGGGAAAACCCAGCCAGATGGAGTATAAATATTATTATTATTATTATTATTATTATTATTATTATTATTATTACCTAACGCAATAGTACTCTCAACTGTAGATGCCAGCCAAAACACTTCTGGTTTGCCACGTTATGCATCCTCTTCAATTTACCCACCACCAAATGCTTAATTGCTCCTGATATGTTATATATAATGAAGACTGTTTCATACGGAACAGAAATTTTCTTCCAACATCTGAAAAGATACCTAGGCATCTCAGTTAACTATGCCTCATGGGTATATTTTACAGATGATATATGAATGCCCTTCAAACATTACAGAAATAATATAGTCAACCTATAAGGAAGCACAGAACGTTTGTCTTTCCTGTAATGATCTAGGACTAATGCATATGTGTTACAACTGAGCCCATAAAATCCTTAGTTACAAAAGATACTAAGTGGCTAGGGCGCAGGGACACAGAAAATAACAGACTAGAGTTATGAAAGGCATTAATCAGCAATTGTTTAATAGGTTTGTTTCCATTTAACTATGCTGCCTAATGAGCCAAATATTTATATTGACGTCCTAGTAGAGTTCAGTGTCTAGCCGCAGCAACATGAAACCATCCAATAATTATGCTCCCTCACAAAGAAAGCCCGGAAATGTTCTTGTCCTTTTTCTTTGAGGTTGTGATGTCCTATTCTTAAAGCCAAAATGGTCACAATTTGCTTTTTTAAAATAAAAAAACCAGTCCTTTTGGAAGAGAAGATTTGAGCAGATTATTAAACAGGCTGAAGTCTTGAAAGATCACTCTGCAGACTGGAACCAATTTTAGAAAAAGATACAAGGTAAGGTATTCAAAATTCCCAAGGCTTTACACTGAAATATCTAGAAAATAAGAACTGAAATCCACTTCTACTTTTTAGAAGCCCTGTTCTTCTTTACAATTGTAACGGCTAGCCCTAAAATTCAGTACCTGTAAGTTTTTACTTAGACAGAATCTGTCTGCTGTATTCTAAGCTGATCATCTATTGCCCGTGAAACCTCTGGTTTACCCCTGTCTGCATAATCTGATACTGTATATTAATTTAAGCATTTTGACATTCAAAGTTCATTGAGATAAAAGCCTTTCTGCAGAACAGCCCCTCTGCTACCATAATAATAGCTTTGGAAAAGGCATGTGAGCATCTTAACTGCTGCCTAGAGCAGTTTGGTCCCAATGCAGATGAATACTGAATGCCCAAGGGTTTTTGTTTTTTACCATTAGAGGAATGCAAGTTTCAAATTTTGAAAGAATTACGGTTAAAAACTGAGTTACAAAAGGCAATCTTCAAAGCCACGGACGAGAATGCTTGACTGTAGAAGAAAGTGAGGGCTCTTTTGTCTTGATCAGCTTTTTGGATGTAGAAGGGCTAAGCGTGCCATGAGTTCCACCCCAATTATAATAATAATGGTTAGTCGAAATATGGGATCGGTTTCCTTGTGGGTTGAAGTATGGCACCATTACCGGAGGCAGGACGATTTCGACAGGTTTCAAGACCATCACACTATCGTCAAGCTTTGGTTTTCTGATGTTTCGATGCTTTTCAAACATCTTTTGCATGGAAGCTGCAGTAAGAGAATTCTTGGACATCATTGGCAGAGACGAGTTCGAGGGGGGTTGGACTGTTTTCTTCAGGGGAACAGAACTATTTGTCTGGTTCACAGATTTTTGAGAGGCACTGGAAGCTAAATTAGAGACGGAAGTATCTGACTCAATCATGCCCGGTTTCATTTCTCGATCCAGGAACTCCTGAATTTTGGACTTTATCACTGCCTCTTTAGTAGGTGTCTTTGGCTGGGTTACTTTCTGTTTCTTTTTCTTTTTCTCTTCTCTCTTAGCTGGCTTTGCTAAGTCAATCCCTTCCAATAACCCTTTTGCCGCAGCACGAGCTAACACATCTTTCACAGACACCGTCTCTGATGGATCCCTCTGTAAAGTTAAAAGGGACACATTATCAGCAAAACCAAATCACAGCTCTGAAGAAGGGCAGCCGGTGTCATCCACGGTACATAGAAATATAGGAAAATGACACCCTTAGTTCTGAGAAAGTAATTCACGTTAGCATTTGTTGTGCATTTCAGAGGAAGTAGCTGCTGTTCTAAGTATCTATTGTTACCACCATTCTGCAGACTTCATTGTCCTATAAGATAATGAGCAGGAGTAGCTAACCTTTGACTCTCTTCAGTTATTGCTGGAACTACAGTTCTCAACATCCCCAACTACTGGCTATGCTGGTTGGAGTTAACGGGAGTTGGAGGTCAACATCCCCTGGAGAACCAGAGCAGGGGCTCCCTACCTGGGCAATTCTACCCTCCCTGCTTTCCAGCTTAACTATACAGTGATACCTTGAGTTACAAATGCCTCAGGTTTCAAACGCCGCTAACCTGGAAGAGTTACCTCGAGTTGAAAACTTTGCCCCAGGATGAGAATGGAAATCGTGTGCCGGCAGTGCAGCAGCAGCAAGAGGCCCCATTAGCGAAAGCACGCCTCTAGTTCAGAACAGTTTCAGGTTAAGATCAGACCTCCGGAACGAATTAAGTTCGTAACTAGAGGTACCACTGTACTGTAGTAACAGTAAGGAATAATAACCTCCCTAGCATCATATTAGGTAAAAGGTGAAGGACCCCTGGACGGTTAAGTCCAGTCAAAGGGGACGGGTTGCGGCGCTCATTTCACTTTCAGCCCAAGGGAGACGATGTTTGTCCACAGACAGCTCTCTGGGTCATGTGGCTAGCATGACTAAACCGTTTCTGGCGCAACGGAACACTATGATGGAAGCCAGAGTGCATGGAAACACCATTTACCTTCCCGCCACAGCGGTAACTATTTATCTACTCGCACTGGTGTGATTTCAAACTGCTAGGTTGGCAGGAGCTGGGACAGAGCAACAGGAGATCACCCCATTGCACGGATTCGAACCACCGACCTTCTGATTGGCAAGCCCAAGAGGCTCGTTGTGTGTTTACACCACAACGCCACCCGCTCCCCTTAAGCATCATATTACCAGATGGCAAACATACGATTAAAGTAAAATAGCTTTGAAACAGATGGAGATCTTTCAATCTCACCTCCACCATGGAATTGTTTGGTGATCTTGGACGACTCAACATTACCTGCGTTCCGTTTAAGAATACTTTTAGTTCTCAGGACACAACAAGATAGTTTTTAGACTAAATAACGTGAATAAGCAGGCACTCCCAATGGTCCTGGAGGCTGCAGAGGAAGTTCTGCTGGCACAGCGTGAGGCCTGCTTCTGGAAAGCGGCCTCGGGGCAGCCATTGACATTCTGCGGCTGCCCCTATGCTCTGTGGGGTGGTAGGAAGGGTGAAAAGAAGGCTGCACTACAGGAAAAAAGGTTAATCTTTATCTGGGACCCTGACATTTTCAGCAGATCAGTGGGGTGGTATGTTGGGGCAGGTGGGGGGTGGACACAGATTGCATACTACTGAACCGGGCAAAGGAAACGAGAGCACATTTCTTGGAGAGATGACATAACGGCCAAGAAATTTACAAAATGCAGTTGAGGGAGATTATGTATATCGACTGGGAAATCTGCACAATGCCTTCTTCGTGGACAGATTACTTGCACAATGGTTGGCTGTTACGCATGTTAACTGTTAAATCTACACTACCTTTCATCTATATCCAAGAAGTCACTAGCAAAAAAAAATCAAAATATCAAAACACTTCATTTTATTGGTTATATTACTTTTTTTTTTTTTACTAGTACTTACCTCTCGGGATAGAACAGCTATAAAACAGCTATTAGAAATATCTGATGGCTCCAGTCGGAAAAAGTTTGCTGCAGACAAGCTTATTTCTGATTTGCAACACAATGGAAGAACAGGCGGACAAAGCCTACAATGGATATTAACACAAAGTATTGAATCACCACCATGTACCCTTAAGTAAAATGCAATTTTAGTCAATTGTGGCCTCCCTGTAGTTTTCTTAAAAAAACAAAAGCTAAGAGCTGTCATGAAAGGTTTTTCCTAAGTATATTAAACACACTGTTTTCATTTAAATGGCCAGCAACTGTTCCCAGTTGTGGTGGGGTTTTTTTTTAAAAAAAAAAATTATTAAAGATTTCTTAGTTTACAAAAATACGTGCATTGTCTCTTTTTTTCAAGTTGCGTTTTCTACAGATCAGTTTCATTTGTTGTGAGACATTAGTGTTGCATACAGTGTTAGGTTAGCAAGAAAAGGGGGGGAAGGGGGGCGAGGGAGGTGGGTGACAATGCTTCTATTCTTCTACATGGTACCTCGGTTTTCAAACGTAATCCATTCCAGAAGACCATTTGAGTTCTGAAATGTTCAAAAACCGAAAACTCAAAAGCTGACAGTTAGGCCTCATGATTTTGCACTCAGCAGAAGCCGCGTGGCATATTCAACTTCCAAGGCATATTCAAAAACCGAAGCATTTACTTCCAGGTTTACAGCGTTCAAAAACCGAAATGTTTGTCAACGGAGATGTTCGAAAACCGAGGTACCGTTGTACTTAGTGTATGTGTGGGGTTTTGTGTCAGCGTCACTTGTGTGGGTTCTCTTCCTATTCGCTTGTTGTATTTCCTTGGTGGTGAGAGAGGTTGGGGGTGGCCTAGGGTGTGGTTGATTGACTTTGGTTGGCTGTAGTGAGATTTGTTTTTATGTCTGAGCAGGGTAGGTGTGTGTTTGGATCAGGTTAGCCAGATTGATTTGTATGCTGTCAGTGGGTTCTTGTTGTTGTCTTGTCGGGCTGTGTATTGGGGTGAAGGTGTCTTCTTCTATTTGTCCCCATGTCATTTTCAGTTTGTTGGTTAGTTTTTCTAATAAGGCTGTTTCCTATACTATTGGTTCATGCTTACTCCTGACAGGTCTCTCCAGTGTCTGGCTATGATGCTTCTGGCTGCTGAGAGTAGGTGGGTTATGAGCTCTTTATGTTGTGAGTGGGCATTATTATCTTGGAAGATGTTTAGTAGGGCCAGTTCTGGGGTGACTTCTAATACTTGCTTAGTTATTTTGCATATTTCTATTATGATTGATGTCCAGAAGAGTTTTTCACTTGACGTACTTAGGTTTAGGGCAGAGCTTTCCAAACTTTTCAGATCAGTGACACACTTCTTAGACATGGCTCCATGTCACAGTAATTCAGTTTTACTAGCAAACCAGAGGTTAAACTTAACCCCTTTGCAGCTCCGGGAGGGTCACCAAATCACATTATGTAAATCAGCAGCCTAGGCAGAAATCCATTCTGGGCATCAGTCATTTTGCCCATTTTTTTTAAGTTGTCACAATGTGTAAACTGCCCTCAAAAAAAGTACTTGGGATTTTCCTGAAGAACAGCAAATCTGTTGTTTCTGGTACAAGAGAAGCGTTAATGACCAGATGGTGCAATAGCAATTTTGGGGACCAACCCAATATAAAAGTGATAAAATCCTTTTCTCTGTATGCCACAACCGTACAATCAAGGGCTTGGTTCACACATCACAATAAACTATAGCTTGAAATAAACTCAAACTTCTGAGCATCTCAAACTACACAAAAGTTTCCGCCATACTCCTCCCCTTCTCGAACCCAAGTAACAGTGCATGGACTGGGCTACACAATAGTATCAACGGGGGCCATGCACTCTGTTTTTTCTAGTAACATCTACATACTAAAGCAGACATGCAAAAACTGACATATGCAGATGGTCATCCTGACAGAAAGACACATCAATTTCATGAGTAGAAGGTTTGGGGGTTTTTTTAAATTCACCAGCTACTAATTTCATTGAATTAGCTACAATAGGTATTGCAGCTTGACAGGATTTTATGCTCAAGCTCTGAGTACTCTACAGTTCTGAAACAGAATGATTGGGATAGGGACTATATGGCACTGTAAGCTCTGCATCAGCAGATGAATGTAATTCACAACCAATAAAAGCCTGCTCTTTACTTGTAAGGCTGAGCCTTGGGTCCTTCTGCTCCAGATGCCAGGGCTTTGTTCACCACAACTTCATTTTCTTCTGGGTAAACTGAACAGGTGCAGTAGACAATAGCTTGCACTCTGCTAACTGTAAGAATTCAAGTAACGAGAAAATCCAACTGTTAATAATTTTTGTTTAAACACACTTTAAATATTAAACACATGTCACTAATTGATGTTAAAAACATTTAAAGTTGATCCAATTTGCATAGATGTATTGAACATTACCATCTTATAACTAAAGCAACCAGGAATTCATTTTTTGTCACGAGTAAATCATATGTTCCATTAAAAGCCCACCCCAACTAGGGACCCACATGCTGATCCCCTTTCTTCTATATAATCTAAAACCTTTTCACATTCCCTACAACCATATTGTGCCTCTAACATGCCCTACCATCCATTTCTGGCTAGGATTATAAGTTTATGGCTGTGCCTTTAATAGCAACTTGATTTACAGACATCAGCAAGTAATATTTATCTCACTTCCTAGTGATGTCTGTCTAGCACCCTCTGATGGATTTCCACTGACATGCAAGTACCTTTTCATTCAGACAGACTTATGGGCCACACTTTGATCAAATGCTTTTGCCACTCCATTTTTAATAAGTTTTAATTTGCAATTGTTTTATTGATGAGTTCCATCTTTTTATCTGCTCTGATCCTGTTTCCCATAAAGACCATTTAGTCCAAATAATTTGCAAGTTAGCTGCCTTGGGAACCAAATCTTAAAACCTTACTTTAAAATAAAAATGAACAATGACTTTCTCACAATTTTAGAAATATTATTCAGCAGAGAAAAGATTTTTTTTCTATTTAATGATTTTCAAGGGAGGGCATTTATTATCCCTTCCAGAAGGCAGGAGCAAGTGATGATTAGCTCATAAGGCTTTGCTAGAGTGGACTGGAAAGATCAGGGATTCTAGTTCTAAAAGGAACATAAAGAACAACAACAGCTAAAAGAACCAATAAAGACTGCTAGGCTAGGCCTGTTTAGTACATTGCAGACTCCTCCTTTCCTGGAATAGTCAATCATCAGCTGTCCTTCCATCGCAACTGCATGGGAAAAGAAATCCCAAAGGATAACAAATGCCCCTAAAGAAGGCCACTGAGATTCCTTAAAACAACGAGGTAACTGATCCTGTTGCAAGATTGTTTTCAGATGCCAATCACTATTTGTGACATTTTTTGCTCCAGGAACAATTTTCTCTTCCTATAGTTTTCCTCTCAGCACTTTTATTTCTCTGAATACTCGGGGGTTGTCTATACACAATATTTTACTCTAATTCTTACCAGTTAATGACAAACTTACACTGCATTGCATGTGACAATTCTTTCAGCTGCTGTTGAGCAAGGGAATTGAGTTTATCTTCTGCTACAGAGCCCTGAGAGAGATCTCTCAGTAATTCTGCATCTGAAGAGAAAACAGTGAGTAAGTTCAAACAAAACCCAGTAACTGGCCATTTCCTCATTAAAAACTAAACCATGGCAATGTGCACTGCCCTCAAAAAAGAACTCTCCCCTCTCCTTTCCACATGACAAAAACAAATACTTTGGAAGTGTTTACTTCAATTCTATTAAACCAGTTTGCTGCATCATCTGGACTCGGAATGATGGTTAACACAACTATGATTGGTTTCAACAAGCCAGTTTCAAGCCACTTTGATCATATTTTTATGCACCATTTATTACATCTTAGCAACTTCCACCCAGATGTATTACAAAGTTTTTCTTCTGGTCTAGGATTATGCAGGCAAAAGGGGGAGAAATTGGCAACTTTTCTGAGGACAGATGGGAAGTAAGAGAAAGACTGAGACCAACTGACCAGACTGCCAACCCCTAATTCTTATCACTCTCGTTGGCTGATTTAAAACCAGATGAACCAACAAAAAACAGAGTGTGTCAAGTAGTGCAGCAATGCATCACAAAACATTGTGCTTGAGTTGCAGGTAGAGATAATGGAAATTGTTTAGGATTCCACTAATTGTTTAGGATTCCACTAATGATGGTTCTCTAAAATGAGCATAAAACCATCAACACCAATAATGCCAAGACAGGCAGGAATGCAGATCAAACATTTCATTTTACGGCAATCTAAGAGAAATATTTCAAAAAGTTACCTTCATGTTCTTTTAGAATGAATTCTATTGGGTTGCTAACCCCCAGGCCTGAACACCGAGGCAGTAGTAAAATAACTTTAACTTTCTGCAGCTTATCAGTTGGTTCAATGTTTGCAAAATCTTCACGTAGTAGCACAATATCTGAAGGAGAGGGGAGAAGAACCAAATAAGTCTGCAAGTTAGGTAAAGGTAAAGGGACCACTGACCATTAGGTCCAGTCGTGACCAACTCTGGGGTTGCGGCGCTCATCTCGCTTTATTGGCTGAGGGAGCCAGCGTATAGCTTCCGGGTCATGTGGCCAGCATAACTAAGCTGCTTCTGGTGAACCAGAGCGTTCTAAAACAAATGGGTCAATTTTGAATTTATTACTTAATCATTAATTAGTGTATATACCCTTCCATGTCAAATGGCTTCTAAGTGGTATGAATAGTGCTAACACATGCTTACTTTTACACTCCATCTGTGCAAACAAGTCCTTCAGTTCAGCTTCCTTTGCCAAAGACTTTACTCCACATACAAACACTTTGGAAGTCATCTGATTTGTCAGCACCGACATATGAGCCACAGTGAGCCATGAACCCATGTGTGCTATTAAGATGTCATCATCCATATTCAGCAAGGCCTTCGCCGAATGGACGGCAAGACTCCTGGATTTATCCTAAGAATTAAGCAGAGATGCCCAATTAAGAAAAGGGTGATTGACAAATTATTTAAGCGGCAAAGCTTGTTTATTTCTGCAGGACCAACACCCAAGTAAAAAAGTATTTCAGGAAAATTGAATTTGTCATTTTGAATGTGCAGTCGTTACTAAGTTTCTGCTTGCAATCTAAACCAACTACTTCACATATGGGCCCAGCCATGTGATTATATACAGCCCCGTAGTATGGAAAGTGTGGCATGCAGTTCGGGAAAATTTCCTGACAGAAGGGGCTTCAAACATAACATTTGCTAAATTCCACACATGTTCCAAGTGATCATCCATGTAATTGCTTCCATATGATAATCACACTGATGTTTGCAAGGCATATGGTGCCAATACAGAGGCAGGCTGGTGACTTCCGGTGCTCCCTGCCTTAATGGGTACAGCTCCCACATTAGCGGAGGTCGTTTGCAGAGAAAAACAAGGATGCTTTTGAGGGTAACTGTCCTTGCAAGCTCCCCCCAGGGCCCAGGGGGAGTGAACTTCACCCACAGATTGTCTTGATACCTGGGTTCTTGCTCCGGCATGGAATCCGTGAGACAAGAAGACGCTGAGTGCCAAAGCACTTTGCCTATCAGTAACCCCCAGACGCAGCCATTAAGATGCAGAGGCTCTTCTGTTTATTAGGATGAATCATAGAATCATAGAGTTGGAAGAGACCACAAGGGCCATCGAGTCCAACCCCCTGCCAAGCAGGAAACACCATCAGAGCACTCCTGACATATGGTTGTCAAGCCTCTGCTTAAAGACCTCCAAAGAAGGAGACTCCACCACACTCCTTGGCAGCAAATTCCACTGTCGAACAGCTCTTACTGTCAGGAAGTTCTTCCTAATGTTTAGGTGGAATCTTCTTTCTTGTAGTTTGGATCCATTGCTCCGTGTCCTCTTCTCTGGAGCAGCAGAAAACAACCTTTCTCCCTCCTCTATGTGACATCCTTTTATATATTTGAACATGGCTATCATATCACCCCTTAACCTCCTTTTCTCCAGGCTAAACATGCCCAGCTCCCTTAGCCATTCCTCATAAGGCATCATTTCCAGGCCTTTGACCATTTTGGTTGCCCTCCTCTGGACACGTTCCAGTTTGTCAGTGTCCTTCTTGAACTGTGGTGCCCAGAACTGGACACAGTACTCCAGGTGAGGTCTGACCAGAGCAGAATACAGTGGCACTATTACTTCCCTTGATCTAGATGCTATACTCCTATTGATGCAGCCCAGAATTGCATTGGCTTTTTTAGCTGCCGCGTCACACTGTTGGCTCATGTCAAGTTTGTGGTCAACCAAGACTCCTAGATAAATTGGCTCTAATTTACAGACGTGTGCAGGATGGATGGGACAAGATTATAAATTGCCAAGTGAATCAGCTACTGAGTTGCAATGTTTCAAATTGGAAAGATTTCCTTTGTAGAAAGATACAGTATGTGATGGGGGAGGGAAGCCTTTACCCTTTCTTTATATACACCATGTTTGCTACATAAACGATTTGGCAAACCTCCCCCTGAATGCCAACAAACTGATAAAAAGCAAGAGGAGAAAAAGAGAATGGGATTATATTTATGGATTAATATGAAAATAGAACTGTGTGAGAACATCAAAAGACTTGAACCACAGCTTCCCAGATTATAACTCATGTCTCTTAGTCACCTCAGACCCTACACTTGACACTGAACAAAGAAAACTCTAGCAAGTCCAGAGTAAAGCTGCCCCCAATGAAGCTGAAGTTTCATGGACGTCATAGCTAGTTCTTCTACTCCAGCATTCAAGGTTATCACATTTAGTTCATAACCTGAGGGCCTTTCAGAATTAAAGGACTTACTTACAATTAAGTAAATGTGCTTAACTTGCCTTAAGGTCATCCAGTGTCAGTTGCATGATATCCCTAGAACCCATATAAGGTGAAAGGGGCTTAGTAGGCTTGATGTTCAGAGATGAGGAACAATGGGCCAAAAGAAATTTCAAGGAGTGTGTGCATGAGTGCCTATAAATCACCTTGCAAGAAAAGTGGTACTCCAGTGGTAGGCTGTAATGAAAAGCACTATCTCCAAAGACTGAAAAGAGACGATGTCATAGGACAAAGGAGAGGCAAGAACAGAAGACAACAAATACAAGACAACAGAAAACAATGGTTGTGAACTGAAGTTAAAACAAATCAAAAGCTAGCAATGAACTACTGAAGACTGTAGAGAAAGATAGTTCCACACCCAGAATTTAATGTAATTCAAGCCAATGATATTACTGCAAAGTTTCACAAACAGATTTTTTCAGTTTTGAGCTTCTTGCTAAACAGTTTGGTGACTACTGACAAGCAAGTCTTCCGAGCCAACTGTAAAAACTGCACTACAGCTGTGGTCAAATTAGTGATGTTCTTTGTGGAAGAAGATAAGCATTCTAACAAACACATGCAACACATCAAAACAGATTTTGCAGAAGTTTGTAAGCACAGCCATAGCACCACAATTTATTTAAATTGCTTTTTTCTTTTAACAAGACATTGAAAAGAAATAAAACATGCAACACAGAAAGACTATGACGCATGAAGTTAGGACATTCATTTCAGTTTCATGTTAACATACCTGCAATAAGAGCTTGTAATCAGAAAACAGCTGCAGAGTAAGAAGCTTTTCTTTAAGAGTTGAAGGGAAAATGAGTACGTCTTCACAGTGCTTATCTAGGCAATATGAATAGCCACCAAAACTGGAGACCGATTCCACTCTAGTGAATCCCTCCTTGTGTAAAGTGCTATGAACATCTTCAAGGCTATTGCAGAAACACAACTGTTTAATATAAGTGCTTAATATAAAAGTAAGAAATCACTTGTACTTGCATCTGAAACACTACAGATATGTCTGCATTAATTTAATTTGTTGTTGCTCACTACCCTGCTACACATAGTTACACATTTCCTGTACATACAAGCTTCCTTCCCTGGGACTTGCAAATTCAGTGGTACCTCGGGTTAAGAACTTAATTCGTTCTGGAGGTCTGTTCTTAACCTGAAACTGTTCTTAACCTGAAGAACCACTTTAGCTAATGGGGCCTCCTGCTGCCGCTGCGCCGCTGCTGCACGATTTCTGTTCTCATCCTGAAGCAAAGTTCTTAACCCGAGGTAATATTTCTGGGTTAGCGGAGTCTGTAACCTGAAGCGTATGTAACCTGAAGCATATGTAACCTGAGGTACCACTGTACAAAGTTCTTAAAATGCTGAATATGCACCCCACAGAAATAATTCTCCATGGTTCTACCTGTACCAGGTTCAACAAAGTCTGAAGCTACACTTCTGTTCCCTTTCCCGAACAACTTTCTCAGATCCCTTACTGGAAAGATCTGCTCTTCCCTGGAGCAACATGCCACTGCTAAGCTGAGTATAAAGATCCACATGGCCTAGTTCAGCTCTAATCCCTCCAAGCTTGCATACTCAACTTGGGGTTGCTCCCAAAATAGTGATGCTGAATGTATAGTAGCAGGTAAATATCGAGACGCTGAATCGGACAGCTAGACTTTGGGGTCACTTCCAAATGACCTTTTTATCAAGTAGGCATCCTCATCACTTTACACAAAGTTTGTAAAGAAGTAGATGAGTTCCCGTTGTTCGGTCCCTGCTCCTGCCAACCTAGCAGTTCGAAAGCACGTCAAAGTGCAAGTAGATAAATAAGTACCGCTCCAGCGGGAAGGTAAATGGCGTTTCTGTGCGCTGCTCTGGCTCGCCAGAAGCGGGTTAGTCATGCTGGCCACATGACCCGGAAGCTGTACGCCGGCTCCCTCAGCCAATAAAGCGAGATGAGCGCCGCAACCCCAGAGTCAGCCACAACTGGACCTAATGGTCAGGGGTCCCTTTACCTTTACCTTTAGAACAACACTGGCTTTCTATTAAGTATTCTGTGTTCCTTATAGTAAAAACTCAAATTCTGGGGGGAAGTGGGTTTGTTGTGCAAGGGTGCCAAATCAACTTTAGTTGTGCAGCCTGAAATTGCCAGTATGTGATTTAATGCCACCTAAGAAGACACAGTCTGAAAGGCCCTTGGGAGAGCATTCATTGTTTTTGGTATCTAACAAAAATGTGTACTCTCGTTTGGCAAAGCTTGTATCTCCCGTTTCTGTTTGCTGCTCGTGTCTAAATAAGACTGATTTTAATGTGTCGCACAGGAATACAAGGAAGCAGTTGCACTGTTGGGCATCCAGATGTAGAAATATGGTTCTAAAGTCTCTAGGTGAAAGCCGGAGCTGGTAAGAATTGGCAGGAACAACATTTGTAAGTTGCAGTTGCTGCTGCTGTAAGCAAGGGAATCAGTAGATTCAACATAAAGGGTGCAATGGCACACACAACAGTGTGTTTTGGTAGTTAAAATAGGCAGGTACAGACTACCAACAAAAGAACATTCCACTCACATTCACCACTAAGTTTAGAGTACTAGGACAATGTTATGGAGCTTTCAAGAAAACCATTTAATTTACTTGCCACCAACACATTTTCACATGGAGAATATGCTTATATTATCTATGAGCATGTGATATAATTATGGAAGAAGCAAATATTTAAAACATACATGCTATACTAGCAAGCTTTCAACCTCACCTTATTTTAAGTGAATTGACCCACACATACAAGGGTAGTGTGGAAGCCCTTTGTTCTTGTTTCCTTATTGTTTCTGGCAGAATGTGTTCTAGAGAAAGAGCATCGTGTTTGATTCGACATCTTGCTAACGCAGCGGCCAGTTTTGTCTTAAAACTATAGATTAAAAGAAGGATATGGATAAATCTTGTTATAAGCTTAATTCGTGATTATTTAATCTTGCAAAATCCTGTTTCCTTGCAACAATCAATACTGGTATTGAAATACATAAGAGAAAATTATGGCCAACTCCCCTGTCCCCAGGGCATTTACAGCTAGAGAAATCATCAGAACAGATTCAGGTTGTGCTATAATGGACTGATCTGCTCCACGTTTACTAAGCCAGAGGTGGGGAATATAACCCTCCAGATCTTGTTTTTCTATTATTCCCAACAACACTGACTATGCCACTGGGGCTCAAAGACCAACATCTGGAGAGCCAGTTTTCTCACCACTCTTCCCTCTATTCCCTAGTTTAGCAAGCCAGGACCTGGATCAGAGCATGATTAGTTTCATCCTTTATCAGTTGTCCGCACCCACACCCCATGACATCTCCTCTGCAAATACTCCAAAGCCTTTTGCTTTGCTCAACAAAGGGTAAGTTGTCACTCAAGTCCCCAGCTCTCTTACAACTGGCCAGCAGCAAATGCTCTTCCCTCTAGAGATCATTAGACACATCTCTGTGCAAAGCTGCAAAGCCTTCCCCCATTCCTAGACACTCGCCAGGAAGATTTGATAGCCCTCTTTGTTGACCCTTTGCTCCCAATCCTCTTGAACAAAAGTTCATATGGTAAGCAAGCAGAAGAAATGTCAGTAATTACTTTGGTCCACTGAACAAGAAAGGGGCTGGATGGGCTGCTGAAGAAATGGGCGTTGGTAGCTTTTAGATCCAGCTGTACGACTGCATCTGTTGATATAGTTTGCCAATCTAAAAATGCTGTTTTTCTTAATGTCCAGTGGGTTGAAGGAGGGTGATACATGCTTCTTGATAATAACACACTCAATAATTTAAACCACTTAGTATGAGTTCTTTTAACCCCTAGTTCAGTATGGTAAAAACTGCCCATGGTCCCTTTAATGGCCCATCCACGTCCCACCCCAAAGCCTCATCTAGGCTAGTGAAGAACAGCTTGTCAGAAGCAGGTGGGAAGGGAAAGGAGCCTGTCGCCAGGCAGAATGAAAAGGAAGGGAAAGTGCCAGTGAGAATCTCGGCATATGAGCCGTGTTGAGTCATTCTTCCCCTGCAGCTCTGTTTCTAGGCTAGCAGCAACAAAAGAAACCAGGATACGAAACCTGCATGCTGCAACAAGCCAGAGTTAATTCAGGCCAAGATTCACAACCCAATGTTAAGCTGTGATTTTCGATCCCAGATTGTTGGTTCCAAATGAAACTAGGTTTTAGTAAGCCTGGTAAGGATCATAGATGCAAACAAACCAGAGACAAGTTAAACATTAGAGCAGCCCTGCTGGATCACATCAAAAGACCTATATTGTCCAGCATATTGTCTCAAAAGTACCCAGTTAGCTACCTCCTAGAAGACCACAAGAAGGACATAAGCGCAATGTCACTTGTAATGTCCCCAAACTGGTTTTCAGCCATCATGACTAGAAGCCATTATCCTCCATGAATTTGTCCAATCCCCTTTTAAAGCTGTCCACATAGTTGGATTCCATGGTTTAGATATGTCCTGAATGAAGTTCATTTTTTCTGTCCCAAACTTCCCCCCATTCAGCTTTTATGGATGACCCCCTAGCTCTAGCATTATGAGAGATAAACTTCTGTCCACTTTGTTCACACAAGACATAATTTTATGCAGCTCTATCATATCCTCATTACTCATTTTTTTTCTGAATTAAAAAGCCCCAGAGCTATAACTGAGCCTCTCTCTCTTTGCAGTTTTTCCTGCTCCCAGCAGTCTTCCTAATCTCCTGAAAAGGCCGTCGGGGGAAGGCTGGAAACAATTGGTAGCAACACCAAGGAAGTCTATCCTCTGTATTCTTGTGGAAGCATTTTTCTCTTCTATATAGAAGTGAGCAGGGTGTTGACTTACTTTCCCAAGATAATATGAGATTGAAAGAAACAGAGTTCAGAACAGAGTTAATATCCCATGGAGGGAGCAGCACCAGTTGAAGGCAGGGCCCCTCTGCTCTCCCCTCTTCCAAATGCTGAAGGGAGAAGTGGGGGCACAGGGAATTTGGTGTTGCACAGGAACATAAGGTCCAGATTGGTGGATTGGCTCCACCACACAGCACTGATCTTCCCACACCTTGCCCCACACCCCTCTGGTAAGCGCCAGAGACACAATGCGTTTGGAAGTCAGGGAATCAGCAGCACCCCATCTCTGCACCAGCCACTACTGGGGGGCAGCATTATATTATTCTAATCAAACTGAAATCAATCAGTCTAACTGATTGTGAAGCCCGACATGAGATTTCACATCCGAAAATTGTTCAGTACTTGCTATCAGATGAGAATCCGTCTACTTTCTTGTACATATACCTGCAAAGATAACGCTCAACTTCCTGGACTTCTGCTATTTGTTCTTCATCATCAATGTTTTCGCGAGCTTCAAATTTCCGATCTTGGAGATCATACAGCATCACAACAACTAGACTGGTCAATTGGTCTGACTGCAAAAAGAGAGAATCTCCATGTGGCAAGATAGGAAAGCAACAAAAAAGAATACCCAAATGCTAAATCTGCAGCACAACCCTCCAAACAGACAGAAGAGGTTCCTACATATTATAGTGACATGGGTGGTGTTGTGGTCTAAAACACTGAGCCTCTTGGGCGTGCCAATCAGAAGGTCGGCAGTTTGAATTCGCACAATGGGGTGAGCTCCCATTGCTGTCCCAGCGCCTGCCAACCTAGCAGTTCGAAAGCACACCAGTGCAAGTAGATATAGGTACTACTGCAGCAGGAAGGTAAACGGCATTTCCGTGCACTCTAACTTCTGTCATGGTGTCCTGTTGCACCAGAAGCAGTTTAGTCATGCTGATCACATGACCCAGAAAAGCTGTCTGTGGACAAACGCCAGCTCCCTCAGCCTGAAGCGAAATGAGCACCGCCTTTGACTGGACTCAACCGTCCAGGGGTTCTTTACCTTTATACATATTATAGTGCAAAAAACACAACTGTTCAGATGCTGACTTTTAAAAATGGGGACTAATAAAAATGGGGCACTAATAAAAAATGAAAACTATTTTTCTGAACCTTTTGAAATACTTCTAATTGTTAAAATAAACCAGAAGGCTCTCTTCAGTTTTAGAACCACTAGTTCCCAGTAGGCCATGATTTTTAATTTTTTATTTATAGTACACACGCACAGTGAAGCCAGCAGTCCAGTAATCGCAGCATTTAAGAAAGCTTTTTAAAATGCAGTTTACAACCCCAGGGCACATGTGGAGCAGCTATGATCTTCAGATCTCTTGAATACAATCAACTGCAATGCTAGCCTTCCAATAGCAAAACAAACCTGAGTGTGGGGTATCATTTTCTTTGTTTACTCAAAATAAATTGCTGTGCACTTTCCTCATTTTTATTGGCTTTTTCCTGTCCACCACTACCAATTTTTCTAAAGTTACATTGAAAGTGTGAACTGATAGCATTTTATTTGCTTAAAATAAATATGTGTTGTTTCTTTTTTCATGTTGTATAGCTCTAGGCTTGCCATATGTCAGGAAAGTTCCTGACATGTCCTGGTTTTCAGGTATAAAAATGGCGTCAAGGGGAAATTTTGCCAAATTGCCAAAATGTCAGAGAAAACCTGGATGTATGGCAACACAGGGGGGAAAGCAGCAGAAACAGCTCCAAAAGCTTGGTCCCCCCCCCCAAAAGCTCAAGAATTTGGGTTTGTTCCCAAAAATAGCCCAACAACTTTGCGGGTGTCAGGAATTTTACTTTCTCAAATATGGCAACCCTATATAGCTCAGGGAAAACCTAATTATCAGTGATCAAATCGGCAGGCTTCTGCCATATATGTTTATGAATACATGTGTCACAGGTATGTTGTGTGTTTGTGTGTGTATAGAGGGGGGGGGGATTCTGAAACTCAAGAATAAGACACGCAAGTCCATTTTTCTTTGAACACAAGCCAGTCCTTAAAGCTTTATATTCATCTGCATACAAAGAACATGGATTATTTCCTTTTTAAATTAGTTACTCATCTAGTGATGTGTAAAGTGAGTGCATTAGTAAGTTATCTGCACAGGGTAATTTAAGCAAACAAGGTACAACAAACACAAAACAAAATATTTACTCACTATTGACTGCATTGGATAAATGCCACTGTCTAGCAATATAGTTTCAAGAACATCTTGATCTACAGACAAAAAAGATGGTAGAAGCGATCTTCAAATTATTACAGCATTTGCTTTTTAAAAAAATTGTAGCAATCAGTAACATTTAAACATTTCTAAGGTGAATTCTGAAAATATGTGTGAATAAGTGTGAATAAAATTTAGTATTCCATGAGTATAAATCATGTGTTTAATGTCACAAGATGTACAAGACCATAAGTGGCAATATTTGCACATCTCACTAAACAATGTGCCACTCAGAGCTCGTCCCACCGAAACTATGGAAACTGTCTATGGTTCCACAGAAAGAATGGCAAGCCATTTCCCAACTTTACTCATAGGTTGATTTAGTTACATTAGCAGGCTGTGATCACTTCTCTAGCTGCAATTTTTCCCCTTGGGCTCAGGAAGCAGCCCCCTCTCAGTTGCTGTCTCTGGTCATGATGCTGTCCCTGAGTAACACCATGGTTTAGTGCAAAGTGCATAAGGCATAAATCTAGAACTAGATTTCTCCTCTACCCCTTCCTCCTCCTGCAAAGGAAGGCTTTTGGCTTTAGTTAGCCGTGTATTCCCATAGGAATCTTCATTTACACCAGCTATGGTCAGTTTCAAAATGAGCCAACTTCAATGTAATTTATAGTACCTGCCTTTAAAAAATACACACACAAGGTACACACAAACTTTTATCCCCATAATGAAATACAATCTGTTGGCTGAAGTGGACATGTAAGAGAGAGGGGGGGAAACCTCTCTAATTGTGTACACAGGTTCTTAAAAGTCAAGAACTGCAAAACACAAGAGCAGGAGTGCACACAAATGTTGTTGGAACACATTCCTTATTAATAGCACAGTACATAACATCTTGTTCAAAAGAAAGCTTGTGTCCATGGAAAGGTAGAAGGAAAATCACAAGGCAGCTCCCCCCCCCCCCCCGCCCCCAGTGTTTAACAACCGGATACCTGGCCTTGTTCCCATCCATGGTACTTTTAATGGACTATTGCTGTCTTGTTGATTGTTATAGTTTCAAGAACACAGAAGCACAGCACTTACTAAGTTTAATTTTTAGATTCATGGAAGTATTTGTGATTACGCTTTGCCTAGGATTTTCCTCTGTTTAAGCACCACATTATATTCAATTTCAACTAGGAATGTGGATTATTAATGCTGGGCAGAAATAGTTTCTCCTCCCTGCATGAGCGATAAAAGCTGATGTCACCATATTTTAGGTTGTTGCCATGGACGCCAATAGCTTTCCCTCCACTTCTGCATACCAATTCAGACATGCTTATCTCAGTTCAGCAAGTTGGCAAGGTAACCTCCCTCACCCTCCTTAATTTCCTATTGGCATCTCAATGTCTGAATACTGTGCACTTTCCACCACAGCTTGTCCCTCTTAAAGATAAAAAGAACTGACTTTTGAGGGAAAGAAATATATTTTGGTGACTGCCTACATATGCCTGTTTATTAGCTAAATGTCACTTTTGTCAGAGACTTGGTGTGTGTCTGCGTGTGCTCTTGTTTCATAAATGCATGCAGAAAACCAGAAAGTTCTCCAATCAATGGATCTACTAGGGCTGGTTCATAATAAATTAAGTTATGCAAAGCATACACCAGTTTTCTTAAGAAGAATAACCATGGACTTTTTAAAGACTTCTTTAAAAGTCTTTTTAAAAGCATGTATACGTGGTTCTGATTGTTTCCCCCACATGTTGTGTGATGTCCCTGCTACAAAATTAAAATTTGGCAGATGGGCAGAGTAGGGAGCTCTTTTTCAAAGATCAAGGAATGTTTCAGAATTGGACTAGGGTTGGGTTTGACAGTAAAACCAACCCTAGACCATAGGGCTGGACTATAATTAATTTGTGGGAAACAGCACTAGAGCAGTCACTCAAACAGTCTGTCAAAAGTGAAGGCCAGCCACTTCTCAGCAGACAGACAAAATAAAAAAGGATACATATATGTGCTGAAGGTGATTCAAAGCAATGCGGAATGTAACATATAGATGAGATAGAGGAAGATACAGATGTATGGAGGAAAGGGAAACGCAGATTATGCCAAGCTTACAAATAACCACCACCACCACCACCCCAGATCACCCAGTGGTTACATCCAAGTAAAAACCGAAATAGCGTATCACCTAAGCTGTATGTTTTGTTAGCTGAGCATTGCTCAGGCTAAATGTACTGCTCCAGAAAGCCCGAGCCAAACATGCACACATCCTGTCTTTTTCCCCTCTTTTTTCTACTTAAAGCTATTAGCCCTCTAAGGAAGGAAAGGAATAGAGACACAAGACACATGTAATGTGAAGTAGTTGATTCTCCCCTAGAAAGCAGTGGTCTCTCAGGAGCAGGCTGTCCTTCATCCCTTGGAAACATATATAACCTGCTTTTTTTCTTTTTAAGCCTTGGGCAGAAAGGCAGAGAAAAATCTGCCAAGCACGCAGTCATAGTTGTTGCACATATTCTTGATTAAAATAAACTCATTCAAGCCCTAAATATTCAAGATTTGCAAAAGAGAAATGAAACACCATTGTGTGGTTGAAAGAGAGACAGAAATGAGACTCTGCTCTCTATGCCAACTAGATTAGCTACAAATTACATAGTTCTAAACACAAAGGTGAATTATGTACACATTTTAGTTTAATGGTTGGGGTGGAAAGTAGAAAAATTAGGACAGGCTTTCTACTTACATTTTAGAGCACTAAAAGCCAGTTCATAGGACAAACGCTGGAATTGTTCATCTTTGAAATCAGGAAGAGAAGGTAGTGGCCCATGTCCATATTTTACCAATATTTTATCTTGAGGCTTTTCATTATGAATGCCCTGAAAGATGTTGGCAGCGTTTAGGTAAATGGAGTCCTGATAGCCATTTTTCTCAAACAGGCTTGTTGAGCTTTTTTCAGAAATTACTTCTCCATTTGAAAAATTCATCTCGTGGAGACTTGAAGTGTCACTTGCAATATAAACATTTGAATGCCCCAAGCTACTTCTGAGAACCGGCATTGTTTCGGTATTGATGTATCAGTATATAGAAGGGTAGCAAGTCAGACTCCGAAGATCCCTGTGGAAATATGAGTTGTATATTAATTGCAACAAATCAGTTGACAAGCATGTTGTTGACTTTTTTTTGTATTCTTCTTTGAAAAGATAATCATCTAATCATTTTGTCTAAGTGGCTAACACAGTAGACATCACTATCAGGAACAAATATTATTATTTATTATTATTATTATTATTATTATTATTATTTATACCCTGCCCATCTGGCTGGGTTTCCTCAGCCACTCTGGGTGGCTCCCAACAGAATAATAATAATAATAATAATAATAATGTGATAAATTTCCCTAAACAGGGCTGCCTTCAGATGTCTTCTAAAAAAGTCAGTTGTTTTTTTCCTTGACATCTGATGGGAGGGAGTTCCACAGGGTGGGCGCCACTACTGAGAAGTGTGGTACACCCTCTGCCACTGCAGAGAGGTATGGCAGGACCCTCTGGCCCCGCGGTGAGGCCCAGCAAGGCCCACCACCACCCCAGATACATATTGGGATATATAAAGATATCATTCAGGCCTTATCATGGGACTGAAACTGCCTTGGTCGCACTGGTTGATGATCTCCGGCGGGCTAGGGACAAAGGTGAGAGCTGTTTCCTAGTTCTGCTGGATCTTTCAGCGGCGTTTGATACCATCGACCATAACATCCTTCTGGACCGTCTTGAGGGGCTGGGAGCACTGTTATACAGTGGTTCCGCTCCTTTCTCCTGGGCCGTGTTCAGAAAGTGGGGGGGGGGGGATGAGTGTTCAGACCCCTGGGCTCTCACTTGTGGGGTGCCTCAGGGTTCTATCCTCTGCCCCATGCTTTTCAACATCTATATGCAGCCGCTGGGAGAGATCATCAGGGGGTTTGGGCTGGGTGTTCATCAGTATGTGGATGATACCCAGCTCTACCTCTCTTTCAAATCAGAGCCAGTGAAGGCAGTGAAGGTCCTATGTGAGTGCCTGGAGGCGGTTGGAGGTTGGATGGCAGCTAACAGACTGAGGTTGAATCCTGACAAAACAGAAGTACTGTTCTTGGGGGACAGGAGGCGGGCAGGTGTGGAGGATTCCCTGGTCCTGAACGGGGTAACTGTGCCCCTGAAGGACCAGGTGCGCAGCCTGGGAGTCATTTTGGACTCGCAGCTGTCCATGGAGGCACAGGTCAAATCTGTGTCCAGGGCAGCTGTTTACCAGCTCCATCTAGTACGCAGGCTGAGACCCTATCTGCCTCGCGGACTGCCTCGCCAGAGTGGTGCATGCTCTGGTTATCTCCCGCTTGGACTACTGCAATGCGCTCTACGTGGGGCTACCTTTGAAGGTGACCCGGAAACTACAACTAATCCAGAACGCGGCAGCTAGACTGGTGACTGGGAGCGGCCACCGAGACCACATAACACCGGTCTTAAAAGACCTACATTGGCTCCCAGTACATTTCCGAGCACAATTCAAAGTATTGGTGCTGACCTTTAAAGCCCTAAACGGCCTTGGCCCAGTATACCTGAAGGAGCGTCTCCACCCCCATTGTTCTGCCCGTACCCTGAGGTCCAGCGCCGAGGGCCTTCTGGCGGTTCCCTCATTGCGAGAAGCAAGGCTACAGGGAACCAGGCAGAGGGCCTTCTCGGTAGTGGCGCCCGCCCTGTGAAACGCCCTCCCATCAGATGTCAAAGCGATCAACAACTACCTGACATTCAGAAGACATCTTAAGGCAGCCCTGTTCAGGGAAGTTTTTAATGTGTGATTTTAGTGTATTTTTGGTTTCTGTGGAAGCCGCCCAGAGTGGCTGGGGAAACCCAGCCAGATGGGCGGGGTACAAATAATAAATTATTATTATTATTATTACTATTATTATTATTATTATCATGATATTTAGCGGGTGATATATCGCGATGTTGAAAACCAGATATCGCCTAGTTCTACGTATATTTTCTAGGAAAATCCCTATACTGATCCTGTACCACCTTCCAATACCGAGTCCTAGACCTAGATCCTCAAACTGAAACAACCAAGGATACAATGCACCTGCCGAAAGATGGGACACACACTAGAGGTTAATCACAGAATCCCCCCACCCCAGACCAGGGCTGGATTTGGTTGAATTTAAGCTGCACACAAGAATGAAATGAGAATGGGCGGACACACCTTGCTCTGCTCCACAGGTCTTCAAGTACAAGGAAAGTTTTCATAAAGAAAGTTTAGATAGGCAAGTTAAGTACAAAACACTTGAGAAACACTGTGGTGCTGCCAATTGGACCCCCATCACCAGATGTTGTTGGACTCCAACTCCCATCAGTCCCAGCCGGATTTATGATGATGGGAGGGCACCACACTAGCTATCCCTGGCAGGTACATATGTCAAGTCAGCAGGTGTAAAACGAAAGCAGCTTGCTACCACTCAGCTCTGATCAACTAACTGAGCCTGGTGACAGATATATGTATGCACAAGCAAAATGTTTTGACTGGAAACCTTTAGTAAAATGGAGGCCAAGAAGAACCTCTTCAGCAACCTGATCCTAGGAACCACAGGACCAGCAACTACCTATGCTGGCTCCAGAACAAAAAATACCAAGCCACTGAAATGCTGCAGCTTGTAATATGGCCTAACCCTAGTTACTGCAAAAATATAATCATGTACAATAAAGTCATTCTGCAGAGCCAAAGGCGGTAACGGTGGCATGACTGGAGGCAATGCAACACAGGTTTGTATTTTGTGATCTGTTGCCATTATGCTGCATACAGATTGAGGTAGAAAGCCAGGAAAGAGTTATAATATAACAATAGCCATCCCTAAAAGCCTTGTGGCCAGCAAAGAGTATGTCTAAGCAGGGCTTTTTTAAAGCAAGTTTTAGAACAGCACAGTGGTATGAGATTATAATTCACACATAAAGTGTGGACCACAACACCACATCTGTGTGCTTTCTTCCTGTGGGCATGCATGGTTTATTGATTAGTCACATTCCAGGACATTTGGAAACCTACATATACCTGGATAAAATCTTCAGGACTAGTACTCTGACAGCACTAATGCAGAAGAGCGTTATTGCTTTCATACTAGAAACACTGGTGAACACTCTGTATAGTAGCAGCGGACATGTCTTTGGCAGAGGGAGGAGAAATGGATATGCTTTTAAAATCCCTCTGTTTAAGTACTGTGCTTGTAGGTTGCTATCACAGGATTGTAACCAAGAGGCTGCTAAGACAGGAGATATGTCCACACAAGATGATGCTGTAGTATAGCTATGTCAGTGTGAGCCAGTATTTGAGCAACCGTAGCTCTGCTCACATAAAGGACTAAGATTTATTATTTGGGGGGAGGTGACTGAGATGTGACCCAAGGCCATTTTCTATTTTAAGTAAATTCAGCTGTCGCACTTTGCATATGCTGTCCCCCGATTCGTATAAGTTTATGTTGTTGATGACAAGCACAGCATTACAAGAACCATTTCCTCATCAACTAGGAAAGTGCAATGACCGTTTAATATAAACAGCAGCCACAGCATCAAGTAAAGAAGTAAACAAATCTGTTCAAAAATAAGGTAATTGTAGAACATTATATACCTGGTCAAACATAGGAAGCATAAACTGAAGTGCTATCCATAGAGATATAATCATTTGTGAAGTGGCCCTTGAAAGAATTTCTAATATTCCAAAACCTATTTACCACATTCGCTCCATAACACGCACAGACATTTCCCCTTACGTTCTAGGAGGAAAAAAGTGAGTGTTATGGTGCAAAAAATACGGTAGTTGCTTAGTGGGACCATTCCCAGTACAGTACTAAACAATATGTTTCCTATTTTTAAAGAAACCTTCCTTACACTTTGCATGTCCACAGAAATTACATGCAGTCTACCGCAATGGAAAAGGTGGTAATGTCAGGTGAGCTGCCTTTCTGAGACACCCAAGAAAGAACATCCAAGGTATTACATCAACACGCACAAAAACTGGCAATTAGAAACTTAGATCCTGCCCACCACTCTTTCAGATTATTTCACCCCCAAAATCCACATGGATTACGCATCCTAGCAGAATAGCTTTCATGTTTCTTCCATGTGAATTTCCTCCCATCGCTCGTTTCTCTGCACACAGAAAGCATTACGCCTTAATAACTAAGGGATATTCGTCATTGCCGATCCCAAAACTCTTCCATCGCTTGGAAACCGACGAGACCGAAGGACAACAAGGAAATGTACATACCCACTGTTAAGAAATGACTGGAGTGCTTTATTTTCGTGGCGGTGCTTTCCTTGGTGAGACCTCTGTACTCTTCTGATCAGCTTAGAGAAAGAGAAAGGCAGGATTAAGGAAGCTTTCCCTGATCGATGAGGGAGAATACTGCACCTGTCGAATTTCTGCCGTCCTGCAGCTACTGCGTTTTAAGGTTGCCATCTTTCAAAAGAGTAAAACCAATCCCAAAGCTGTCAAGCTTATATATATATATATATATATATATATATAGTGCAACACCAGGGATGCTGTGTCCAGATTTCCCAGGACTTCAGGATCCCCTTCAATCGAAAGTCCTTTTTTTGTAGAAAGAAAAAAAAATTGACAACTTTGGGGTTTGTAAAAAAAAAAAAAAGGTTGACAGTTTGGGGGCGGTTTTGTCCTGGACCCTTGACAAGTCCATCGAAAAATCCAGTTTTGTTGGACTTGTTGAGGGTCCAAGACAAAACAAACCCCAAAGCTGTCAATCTTCTTTTCTTTTCTTTTTTCTTTTTTACAAACTAGGACTTTCAATTGAGGGACGCGTGGATACCTCCCTGAAGTCCGGGAAAATCCGGACACGTGGCGCGCACCGGTGCTGCACCTGTTGAATTCCTACTGCCCTACCAACTCCCGCGTTTAAAAGCTGTGAAGGGGGTCTGAGGAGAAAAGCGCGACGGTTCGCCTCAGCAGTGAGGCGGTTTTGGCCCCGAGTCCTTCCCGTCCCCCCTCACCCCGCGACGGACCAGCGCAGCCCTCGACGCCCTTCAGGGATGCTTCTGGGCGGGAAAGCCGGCTCGCTCTCTCCCGCTTCTTCCCTCGGTCCTCCTCACCCGCCCGCCGCCGCCGCGCGACTCTCCCGGGCGGCCTCGCGCATCTCCACCCCTGGCCGACAGGGGGTGGGGGGGATTGATCCTGCTTGACCAGCGACGCGCCCGACGCTGCTCCTCTCGCGCCAGACGCCGCCTCCCAATCTCCCCCTCCAGGAGGGGAGGGGCTAGGGCGTCGCCTCGCCCCGCCCACGTGCCGCACCCGCCACCGCCGCGAGCCAAAGCCGTTGCGTTCAAATCTGGACTCGGCCATTCGCTCACCCGCGGGCGGGTGTGCGCGAGTAGGCGCGCGCGGGCCGCGGTCGGGCTTTGGTTCCCATCATTTCCCCGTGCGTTGAAACTCCCTTCGCCCTTTCCCCCCCTTTCTTTGCGTCCCTCCTCCGTGTCCTCACGCGCGCTTGTCGTCGCATTGTCCTCGCTCCTTCCCTGCGTGGACCGACGCTTTGGTACCGCCCGGCGATGTTCTTTTCTCTCCCCCCCCCCCGGGTTCTCTCTCTGAGGGCGGGCGGAGGCCGAGGCTTTCCGCGTAGCTCTACGCTGCTGCTTCCTTTCGCCCGTCTTATTTTATTTTACTTTTATTTATTTTTTAATTATTCATTTGGCTTTGCAAATCACAATTTTACAATCACATATCCAACATACAACATAAAAAATGGGAGGGGGCGTTATTGGATTACTGTTTTTATTTTGATTTTATGTCTCGTGATCTTTTTTGTGAACCGCCCTGAGATCTCCGGCTATATATTGAATAAAAAACAAGAGTCCAAGGAATCACCTGGACTTCGCTCCTCCCCTTTGTGGGTCCTATTGTTGGTCATTTTCTCCTGCATCGTTTATTATACTAATCCAAATCTTTTACATCTCTATTATATCCAAAATTCACCATTAAACTACAAGTGTGCTTCCAATCCTAGTAACAATTTAGTATTATTATCACCGTTATTTATTTATTTATTTATTTTACTTACTAACAATTTTAACTGCTTACAATGGTTTTTAAGATAAATTACAAATTTGCCCCATTATTAAAATTTTGGCCTTCCCGATTTCTGATTCTTCCAGTCATTTTTGGCATTTCTGCATAATCTATCAACTTAAACTGCCATTCTTCTCTGGTGGGGACTTTAATCTTCTTTCCATGTCTGAGCTGGCAATATGCGTGCAGCCGTGGTCACATACATAAATAGTATTTTCTGCTCCCTTGGGATTTCAGCACCTAAAATTCCTAAAAGAAAAGCTTGGGGGGGGGTTTAAGAAAGAGCTTATTTTAAACATTTTTTTCAACTCATTATAAATCATTTCCCAAAATTCTTTTACTACCTTACATGTCCACCACATTATAGAATGTGCCTTCTTTTTCCTTACATTTCCAGTACAGCCCTTTTCTGCACACTTTTTGATGCTCTTTATAACCATAGTCACGATAGTCATGTTTGGGGTGGAGGCAAGAAAGGTGACGACTCTGAAGAGATCTCTTTTAACACTTTTTGGAGCAGAGAACAATAAGCTTCATAATTTAATTTTTGCACGTGCAACGCAAGAAGTGTGCCAGCAACGTAGGTTTCACAGTCTCCTTTTCTTTTTTGATAATTTTTATTAGTTTTCAATTACAGTCCAATAATAGCCTCATTATAACAATGCCAAATTACTAATACCAATCATTTTCACTGTCTCCTTTTTTCATCACCGCATTTAAGCAACTGCACAGTAAAAACTCCCATTGCAAGTGCTAACCGCACAAAGATGTCTGAATGCTGGGCAGAATTTACGTGAAGGCAAATACCACCAGCAAGGTAGTGCGTTAAAAGGAAAAGGGAGAGGTAAATTGTTTGCCCATCTGATGATTTTGAGTTTTTGATGACATTTGTGAAAGTATAGAATTCTATTTTGAAAGCCAGAAGAGCTTCTGGAGCTGTTATCACAACCAACAGATATGAACATTTCATTTCTTTTGTTTAACCCTAAAAGTCGCATGTAAAGGAGGTGGAAAGGTAAAGGACCCCTGGACGCTTAAGTCCAGTCAAAGGCGACTATGGGGTTGTAGCGCTCATCTCACTTTCAGGCCGAGGGAGCCAGTGTTTGTCCGCAGAAAGCTTTTCCGGGTCATGTGACCAGCATGACTAAACCGCTTCTGGTGCAATGGAACACTGTGACAGAAACCAGAGCGCATGGAAACAGTGTTTACCTTCCCACCACAATGGTAGCTATTTATCTACTTGCACTGGTGTGTTTTTGAACTGCTAGGTTGGCAGGAGCTGGGACAGACCAACAGGAGCTCACCCCCATTGTGGGGGTTTGAACCGCCAACCTTCCGATCAGCAAGCCCAGGAGGCTCGGTGGTTTAGACCAGAGCATCACCCGTGTCCTAAAAGTCACCTGTACCAGGAGCAAATCCCATTGAACTCAGTAGGGTTTACCTCTGAGTAGACACATACGTATAGGATTTCACATCTTGAAGGAACATCTTGAGAAGTCTATACCAGGGATTGGGAACCTTAGTCCCAGGGGCCAAATGTGGTGCTCAATGCCATTTTCTATGGCCCTCAGGACTTTTCCCAAGTCATACCCCATTTCCAGGCCACATCCTTCACCCGACCTTTTATTTGTCTAGAATGTGTCCTTGACCTTGGATCATGTTTCTTGCTCACCTGGATGGAGGAAAAAGAGTTGGGATGCAGGGGTAGCCTTAAGGAATGTCCTCTATTTTTGTGATTAAGTCCTTATACACAGAAGATTGATGGGAGGACTTGATCAGGGAAAAGGTGTGACAGTGTTGAGGTGACAAGCCTTTGATGCGTATACAGTGGTACCTCTGGATGTGAACGGGATCCGTTGCAGAGCTGTGTTCGCATCCTGAAGCGAAAGCAACCCACGTCTGCGTGTGCGCGGGTCACGATTCACCGCTTCTGCACATGCGCGTGATGTCATTTTGAGTGCGCATGTGTGAGCGGCGAAACCCAGAAGTAACATGTTGCGTTACTTCCGGGTCGCTGCAGAGCACAACCCGAAAATGCTCAACCTGAAGCAACTTCAACCCGAGGTATGACTGTACAGTGGTACCTCAGGTTAAGAACTTAATTCGTTCTGGAGGTCCGTTCTTAACCAGAAACTGTTCTTAACCTGAGGTACCACTTTAGCTAATGGGGCCTCCCGCTGCTGCTGCGCTGCCGCCACGCAATTTCTGTTCTCATCCTGAAGTAAAGTTCTTAACCCGAGGTACTATTTCTGGGTTAGCGGAGTCTGTAACCTGAAGCGTCTGTAACCCGAGGTACCACTGTACCATTTTCACAGTGTCCACACAATTTTTTTTCCATCAAAATGCGATCCTGTGTTTTTTCTCCACTTAATCCAGATTTACCTTTTTCGGGGGGGGGGGGGACCCATTGATAGCAATATGCTAGCTCCTTATTGCGTTCAGTCAGAGGCGTGTCAAGGTTTTGAAGTCTCTTTAGTGTTCCAATATCCTTGTAGCTTTTGCTTGAGTGTTTGGCTGTTCTGTTTTCATTAGGAAAACTCAAGGTTACACAAGAATAAGCTATCATTTTCCCCCTCCCAGCCTGCATAGATCGTCTAGAATCTCTCTCTTTAAAGGCAGATGTGCAAGTCCTCCAGTGCAAATCTAAATATTTTTCAGATACCATATATTTTATCATGCACCATCCCTCCTGCAGTACCTATAGTTATCCTGTTGGGTTTAGCCTGCCTCTTATGGCCGCAGACAGATCAACACAACCTGGCCATCCATCTTGGCAACTATCGGGTCTGAAATCTCCTTGCAAATAGATTTATTTTCACAACATTGGCCGCTATTGAAGCCATCCAACTAAGCCAGATGGATCATTAGCCGTACACACAGTGGCAGTTTTGCTTGATGTAAATTGGCAAGGACTGACTGACACAGTGACAAAACACAATCCCTTAGGTGTCCAATTTGTGCAACGAACTTTTTGTCAAATCTCAGTGGCCCATTGTGTCTTAACAAAAGCCTTTACTTGACTTAGTAATGCTGAGTGCCTTGTGCCACACTGAAAACAGACCCAGTAAGTAATTATAAGTATTATAAGCTAAAATCAAATTTTGTATGATGAAAAGCCAATTTAAAGATCACAATGCTTTTGTTTTTGAACTCCCTGCCATTGTATTTTTCAGCAGCTGAACTGATGGCTCTTGTAAGGTAAAGGTAAAGGGACCCCTGACCATTAGGTCCAGTCATGACCGACTCTGGGGTTGCGGCGCTCATCTCGCTTTATTGGCCAAGGGAGCCGGCGTACAGCTTCCGGGTCATGTGGCCAGCATGACTAAGCCGCTTCTGGCGAACCGGAGCAGCGCACAGAAACGCCGTTTACCTTCCCGCTGGAACGGTACCTATTTATCTACTTGCACTTTGACGTGCTTTCAAACTGCTAGGTTGGCAGGAGCAGGGACCGAGCAACGGGAGCTCACCCCGTCACAGGTATTCAAACCACCAACCTTCTGATTGGCAAGTCCTAGGCTCTGTGGTTTAACCCACAGCACCACCCGTGCCCCGATGGCTCTTGTAAGCAGTGTAATTTGAGACATTTTCTTTGCTTAACTGTAATACAAGCTACACAATATTTGTCCAGCCATTAATTAGTAACAGAAGCTCTTGCCAATTACATCCAGGAGTCTTTCTCTTTGTCCAGTAGAAACAAATTTATACAAGCCTTCTATTCAAGCTATTCAAGAGCTGTAATTAAACTCGCCTGATCCTTTACCGTATTTTTCACCCTATAGGATGCACCGGCCCATAGGACGCACTTATTTGGGGGGGGGGAATAAAGAAAAAAAAATTATTTCCCCCCGAGCCCCAAAGAGCAAAGAAGCCATGACAGCGAGCGGGATGGATCCCGCTCGCTGTCCTAGCTTCGTTTTTAGCCCGGGGCTGGGGCTCCGGGAGCTAAGGCGAGGTTGCGCAACCTCGCCATCGCTCCCGGAGCTTGCTTGGGGGGCGGGGGAAGCCCGAGCTTCCCCAGTCCCCAGAACGGGTCTGGGAGCGATGGCGAGGTTGTGTAACCTCGCCATCGCTCCTGGAGCTTGCTCGCGGGGTTGGGGGCGGGGGGGGGGGGCGGAGGAAGCCCGAGCTTCCCCCGACCCCAGCCCCCAGAACAGGCTGTTGCCCGCCCTCCTCCGGAGGGTGCCCCATGCTTCGGGCTGCAGGCTGCCACCCGCAAGCCTTGCGAGCCCGCGGGAACTCCCCCCGGGCTCGCAAGGCTTGCGGATAGCTTCCTGAAGCCTGAAGAGCGAGAGAGTCGGTGTGCACCAGGCTTCAGCGAAAGCCTGCATTCGCCCCATAGGACGCACACACATTTCCCCTTCATTTTTGAAGGGGAAAAAGTGTGTCCTATAGGGCGAAAAATACGGTAATTGCTTCTCAGTTTAGAATTTTTATCTCCCATTTTGGAGACTGTATTTTTTCCAGAAATAACGTTCAGACATAAGTTCAAATGATTGTATTGTGTCCCAAAATAAACATGAATACAAGTTTGATGTTAGATTTTTGTGTTGTTTTTATCCTACATGAAAAAAAAATTAATAGAACGCAAAAAAAACATATATGATGCAAAGTAAAAATGGCCATGATAGGATATATTTTGATTCTCTAATCTGTTCAGGAAGTAGCATATGAAAATGATATTTATTAAGAAATTTATTAAGTGGTCTCTTGAGAACCATTCCCCCCCCCAAAGATTTTCAGGTAGATCAGATGGGGGGTGGAAAGTCCACTGTCCTAGATTGCCAAGACTGGATGAAAGAGAGAAAATGCTAATGCAAGAACCTGAAATTTTACTGGTGTTTTACATGGCAAAAGTCTGCAACAGACAAACCCAAACTCCCTGAAATAAACACCACTATCTTTATGCAGATTTCCCATCTCTTTAATATTCATATCCACACCATCCATTTAAACCACATGACATTCCCAAATAATTCTGGGAACTATAGTTTACCACTCACAGAGCTACAATTATTCCTGGCACCATTAACAAATTATTAGCCTGTTAGCTCTTTGCAGGAGACGTGCTTCAAATGTGATTTATACCTCTGGTATGGCTGTGATCATATACAGTAGAAGACAATTCACAATAAAATACTTGTAAATTATATAGCGCCTATCACTTAAATACTGCTTTTACAGTCAGCACCCGCTAGTCCACCCTGTGCATATTTGCTGAGAAATAAGCCCCAAGGAGAAACATGGGATTCGGTCCAAAGCACAAATGCTATGCTGGGAGAAGCATCAATAAGCTGCAATCCAAAGACTTCAGACGTCTCCTGTTGATATCCCATCTTCATTCTCTGAAAGGTGTCTTTCAGGCTAACAATATTATTTGACATGTCTTAGATTTCATAACTCAGGAGTAGAGGGGGTGGGCAAGAGAGCAATTCTAATCTCCAAGTAGCATATTGGATTTCAGCTTTGGCATCATATTCTGGTTTCTTGATGTGCTCCAAGAGTTCCCACCAATGTCAAGAGGTTAATGTCGTTTAACGTCCAGATGAATGCTGCTCATATATGCAAAACTGGATATCAAAGCTCCTGTTCTTAATGCTTCCAGTTGCAACCGAGAACACGAAGCAACATCAGCTGTATTGTAGCAAGTCAGATCCTTGGGTCCTTCTATTTTATAAATTTATTTATTTGGTTTTTCAGATTAAAATGTTACAGAGCTGTATCAAACATAAATCATAAAAACAAGATTTCAAGGAATTTCCTGGACTTCCATCCTCCCCTTTGTGGGTTCTGTTATTTATCATTTCCTTCTGTATCTTTTATGATAGTCCAAATCTTTTACATCTCCATTGTGTCCAGAATTCACCCTTAAACTACAAGTGCTATTCTAATCCTACGAACGATTTTAACTGTTTACAATGGTCTTTAAAACAGATTATAAATTTCCCCCATTCCTTATTAAAATTTTGGTTTTCCTGATTTCTGATTCTTCCAGTCATTTTAGCCATTTCGACATAATCCATCAACGTCACCTGCCATCCTTCTCTGGTCAGGACTTTATCTTCTTTCCATATCTGGGCCAGTAACAATGGCACAGCCATGATCTCGTACGTAAATAGTCTTTTCTGCTCCCTTGGGATTTCAGCATCTAGAATTCCTAAAAGAAAGGCTTCAAGCTTTTTAAGCAAAGTTTATTTTAAACTTTTTTCAACTCATTATATATCATTTTGATCCTTGGGTCCTTCAGTATTGTCTCTAGAATGATTGGCAGCACTTCCTGGGGGGGGGGGGGGCTGTTCTTTCCCAATCCTATTCAGAGATGCCAGGGATTGAACCTTCGACTTTCTGCATGAGAAAGATGTGCTCTGCCAGTGATCTGCTGTCCAGAGCACACCCAAGGAGGACATTCAAACCCCTTCTACTGATACGTGTGTGACAACAGCCGCATGGATGTTGTTAGCCCAGAGATGGGAAGAAGATAAAGTCCCTACCAGAGAAGAATGGCAAATTAAACTGTTGGACTATGGCAAAATGGCAAAACTGACTGGAAAGCTCAGGAACCAAGAAGACCAAAACTTTAATAGAGAATGGGGAAAATTTATAACTTATCTCAAGAGACTACTGTAAGCAGATGGAAACATTAGCAGGGTTGCAATCACACTTGTAATGTAGCAAAGACTGTGGAGACAATGATGTTATATAAAATATAGATTATTGGAAAAGATGCAGTAGAAAAGGTTTAATAATAGGACCCATGGAGGGGAGGTGGGAAGTCCAGAGCTTCGGAGAAATCTGTAAATGTTGATGTGGATGGTTGTATTGCTATAATTTTATACTTGTAAAATCAAATAAACATTATTTTTAAAAAAGGACCTGTGGCGGCTGAAAGCTTTCCATGGCAGTCCCGAGAAAAGCAGGACTCTTGGAGGCCCTGCAGCCGCCGTCCTTTTTTCTAGCCTCCCCCTTACAGCCCCTGATCTGGCCACCCCAGAGGGTTTGTAGGAAAGTAGGCGGTCTTTCCGGTATTTGGGGCCAACCTGAAGCACGAACATGATGCATCTTGAATTGGGCCTGGAAACGAATTGGCAGCCAGTACAACTGTTTCAGAACAGGTGTCCTCTTTTATTATTTTACCCAGATAACTATCCAAAGTTTCCAGCTCGGGAACAAGTAGAATTTTTATTTTGCCTTTTGTGAAGGATTGCAACCAGGTGACCAAATTAAGTGGAAGGTGGAGAACCAGGAGGAGGGATTCGCTCCAGCTACATCAGGCAAGTCATCCCAAATCCTACAATTCACATCCACCCTTGAACGTTGGAAAATTTAATCCTGAGTATCGCTTTGTCCATCAAAAGGACCCTCTTCATTATACGCAGGATTCCAAGCAATGAGATGTCTGTCAAATCTGATAGTTTTAGACAACTATGAGCAACAGACAAAGAGAGCAAAAATAATTTGGGGACATTAACATAGATGACTGGAAAGGGGAAATAAATTTATGGTACTCTCATGCCACAAAAGCAGAACAAAATAAATCCACAGGCTTCTCTCCAGTGTTGGAGGGACTGTTTATCTGGTTGTTTAGTGAGGATATTTGGGGCAATGATTTCAGAAGAAATCTCTGGATGCCAGGCGGCAGTTCCGGAAAAACCACCCAAAAACTTTTGACGACACCAATTAAATGTGATTTAAAAAACAAACAAACAAACATTGAATCTGTGAAATGAAAGGAACATATTGCTCAACCTGTGACTCGTGGGCGTTTGTGGTGTGGTATTTTTGGGCAAGCTTCTGGATCTCACGAGGGCGGGTGGTTGCGAAATGTGTGCAACGGTGCTCATGTGACCAACATTAGGTAGCTTTGGAATGGTGACTATCGGCCGTGCAGAAGGGACTGATTCCTTCCGATAACTGTTGATTGCGTTGATTTGGAAGACGTCAGTCTTGAAGGAGACCCCCCCCTCCAGTCATGGAGATATTGGGAGGAAGCGAAAGCTTCCTCTGACACACAGCGGTAGATTGCTTCGCAGTTCCTCACCGAGGTTTCCAACTGTTTGGGACTTTGGTGAGAATGAGGAACTGCCCCTGGGGAACTGGTCAAGAAATAGCATTAAGATAAATTCAACAGTGTAAATAAGTTTTGATGGAGGTAACAATGGAATACTGAATGGTTTAGTTCATGTAAAATATGCAGGAATGTATGGTGTGCAAAATGAACCACAGAAAGAGAAGAAGGGAAGTCATTGATTTAAGGCTGTCTAAATGAATATTTTGAAATGTAACTTAGAAAAATTTAATAAAAATTAGAAAAGAAATATCACCAGATAGGGACTTCTCAAGGAGTAATTCAAACCAGAAAAGCAGTAAGCTTTGGGTAAGGCTTTGAGGGGTATGCAAACTTTCCCATTAAGTTCACATCCCACTTACCTTGGATAGATGGATGGGATTTACGGTAATTTGCTGCTGCGAGTGCCAGAAGGAAAACCTGTTCCCTGCTGCAAGACCCACATCTACCTGGCCTAGGAGGTGGAGCCCAAACTCACCTTGAACAGCCAAAAGAGGCTCCTGGGAGGCCTGAGGGACATTGCGAGAACAACTCTCGGGTTGAGGCGACTGGCAAAAATGTTTTAAATGTTTCCAATTTTGGTTCCTCGGTTTTGTTTTTCTTGGGTTGGTTACCAGTAAATGTTCTGTTGGGCTTGAAGAAGAAGAAGAAGAAGAAGAGTTTGGATTTGATATCCCGCCTTTCACTCCCTTTAAGGAGTCTCAAAGCGGCTAACATTCTCCTTTCCCTTCCTCCCCCACAACAAACACTCTGTGGGGTGAGCAGGGCTGAGAGACTTCAGAGAAGTGTGACTGGCCCAAGGTCACCCAGCAGCTGCATGTGGAGGAGCGGAGACGCGAACCCGGTTCCCCAGATTACGTGACTACCGCTCTTAACCACTACACCATACTGGCTTGGAGGTTGTTTTAATTGGGTATAACTGTAAACTGTTTATTTTTGTTATTCTTGTTGCTGCTGTTATTGATTTCCATTGATTTATTGGTTGGTTTGTTGCTCATATAGGAAATTTTGTTTCTTAATGTTGGATGTTTTGTTGTGTTTTTATATATGTTGTAAGTGTGGGCTAATAGCTAATAGCTCTGCCCAAAGCATGATGGAGAACAGCAAGAACCGGGGAAAAATAGGCATAATACATATTTTACAAGGACAGGAAGAAACATCACGGACAGAATAATTGCCACACACAGGAAGAGCAAGGATATACAGTACGTTTGTTTTGTTTTTTGTCCCTGATCATGTGAACTCCCTTGTGGGGAGACACCTTGACAGACACCCTGAAAGGGAGGCTAAAAAATCTAGTAAAAAAATTAATAAACCAAGCTTTTTTAAAGCAGCTCAGAATAAAAATCAGCAACAGCCATTGCATAATACAATTTAAGAAAACAATTAAAACAATAACAGTGCAAAACATTGGGGTTTTTTGTTTATTTCTACAAACCTTTATTAGGCATTGCAGATATAATCTTAAAACACCCATATACAATTTTTTAAAAAATATAAGCAAAGAAACAACCACATGAGATATATAGCAACATAATTTTTCATTGGAGTGTCTTCCTGCTAAACTGTGCCATTCACCACTCTAAAAGATACTATTAACAGAAACTCAGCCACCCTTGCAGTTACCTCCGGGTTAATATCACAGGTAAAGATAAAGGTAAAGGGACCCCTGATCATTAGGTCCAGTCATGACCGACTCTGGGGTTGCGGCGCTCATCTCGCTTTATTGGCCGAGAGAGCCGGCATACAGCTTCCGGGTCATGTGGCCAGCATGACTAAGCCGCTTCTGGCGAACCAGAGCAGCGCACGGAAACGCAGTTTACCTTCCCGCCAGAGCGGTACCTATTTATCTACTTGCACTTTGAGGTGCTTTCGAACTGTTAGGTTGCCAGGAGCAGGGACCGAGCAACGGGAGCTCACCCCGTCTCGGGGATTCGACCTTCTGATCAGCAAGTCCTAGGCTCTGTGGTTTAACCCACAGCGCCACCCACGTCCCTAATATCACAGGTAGAATCCAATATTTTAATTGTGCCACGATGTTAAACTATCCAAAAAGGGGGAAAACACACGTTTATTTATTAAACAAATGTATCAATCTCTTAAAGGCATAAAGCCATCAAAGTAGTAGTAGTAGTAATAATAATAATTTTATTTATACCCCACCCATTTGCCTGGGTTTTCCCCACCACTCTGGGTGACTTACAGCATATCTAAAAACATAAAGCATTAAAAACTACCTCAAACAGGGCTGCCTTCAGATGTCTTCCAAAACTTGTGTAATTCTTCATCTTCTTGACATCTACAGTTAGGATGCCACTGCCAAGAAGGCCCTCTGCCTGGTACAAGTTTAAAAGATAAGGAAACAGAAAAACGTTAAGTTCTTAAAAAATGAAGTCAATTCAACAAACTCTAAAATTAAGTTTCCCAAACTTGAGTCTCCAGCTGTTTTTGGACCATAATTCCCACCATCCCTCGCTAGCAGAACCAGTGGTCAGGGATGATAGGAACTGCATAGCCTCCGCCTTTTCTCCAAAGAAAATAGGGACGTCCCATTCCACAATTATAATTTTACTATTTCTACCCCACATATTTGACTGCGTTGCCCCAGCAACTCTGGGCAGTTTCCAACATATACTGTATAAAAACATAAGAAAACATTCAACATTTAAAAAAAACCCTTTCCTATACAAAACTGTCTTCGGACGGCTCGGGGGTCGAATAACTCCATACCGTCCAACATTTCTCCATTGAAAATAGGGGCATCCAAAGGAAAAGTGGGACATCCCGGGATCAAATGAGAAACTGGGACGGCTTCTCTAAATCAAGGACGTCCCTGGACTTGGAGGGACTGCTGTAATCCAAAAACAGTTGGAGACCCAAGTTTGGGAAATGCTGTTATAGGGTATTATTAGAGTCGGAAGGGACCCCCAAGAGTCATCTAGTCCAACCCGCTGCAGTGCAGGGATCTGCTCTGTTTGTGTCCTGCGACTTTTCTGTATAAGGTGTTCCTAATTTCCCCAAGGGGAATGTTCATGCATGCTGTTATTATGTTTTTAGATAGAGTAGTACTGTACCTTGGTACTCAAACGCCTTGGTTCCCAAATGCCGAAAACTGGGAATTTTTCTGGTTTTCGAACGTTTTTCGGAAGCCGAACATCCGATGTGGCTGTCGGCTGTTGTTTCCAGGGTGCCTGAACCAATCAGAAGCTGCACCTTGGTTTTTGTACATTTCAGAAGCCAAACAGACTTCCGGAACGGATTTTTGAGGCTTTTTCGGTTAATTTGTTTTTGTGACTGTGTGGAACCCAGTTCAGCTAATGACGGACTGATTCTGTGACTGCAGAATTGGATAAAAGCCCCCCATCCAAACAATGACAATCATCAGTGCATGTAAGAAAAAATAATAATTTTAATTTTAATCATCTACAATACTGTCTTATTCAATAGTACAGTACATTATTGCTTTCATTTTATGGATCAATGGTCTCATTAGATAGTAAAATGCATGTTAAATTGCTGTTTTAGGGGTTCTTTTTAAAAGTCTGGAACGGATTAATCTGTTTGGCATTACTTTCTATGGGAAAGTGTGCTTCTGTTTTGGAATGCTTCCATTTTGGAACGGATTTCCGGAACGGATTAAGTTTGAGAACCAAGGTACCACTGTATAGCGAAGTTTTTTAAAAAAACGTTTTAAGTTTTAGGATGTTTTTAGATACAGTATGTTGGAAGCTGCCCAGAGTGGCTGGGGCAACGCAGTCAGAAGGGCAGAGTATAAATAGCAAAATTATCATTATGAAATGGGATGCCCTTACTTTCCTTGCAGAAATGTCAGAGGGTATGGTACGATGCCCCCATTTTCATTGGAGGGTGTGGAGTTATCCAACCCCCGAGCTGTCTGAAAGCATAGCTGTATAGCATAGGTGTCAGAGCTGGCTCCAGGTCCCAGCTCACAGAGGACCAACGCTAGCCGGCAGTAATGTACAAAAGTCTTTATTGAAGTACAGTTTCCATTTTCAAGCCGGAGCGCCCCAGCTCTACGTCTAGGGGTTAGATCGGCGAAGCTCCATCTGAGTCTCCGCCCCCTGTACACCAGTTTAAGATTCTAGCCTTACTCCACCTCTTACGTCTCTCCTTTCTCCTCTGGGTCCTGCTACCCCCCGGGGTCCCTTCCTTCCTGGATTCTTCTGACGCTGACCCCGCTGACTCCTCCCCCTCTTTTCGGCGGGCTTTGGGACCTGGCTCCCTATCCGGGCTGCCAACTGCGCCGCCCTCCTGTACATTTGAACTTGGCGCGCGCGCCCAGCCTTCAACCTTCCTCTCGACCGTTTCCTCGCTCCCCGATGGAGGCGTGGCCAATCCTGACTCATGTCCTCCCACTGGCAGTGCGCCGCCTGATCCCGATGCCTGGGACTCCTCCCGCCGCCTGCACTCTTTTGTGGACGCTGGTCCTGATTTCCAACTGCTGCTAAATTAGTCCCCGCAGGCCCCATCTTCCTGGGGTGTCCCCTCGGCACCCCCTTGCTCTGACCAAGGGAGCCCCTTTCTGTGAATCTTCCGATTCGCTGGAAAGACTCAGAGACCTCGGACCGCTGTCATCGCTAACATTTCCTTCGGACTCCTCCCCCTCGCTCTCTATTTCCTCCCTTTCCTGTGCCTCTGCTCCTGAACCCCTGACAATAGGGGTTTTTTTTAACGCTCAATGTTTTATTACATTTATATGTGTTGGCAGCTGCGCAGAGTGGCTGGGTATAAATATCAAACGTCTCTCTTTTCATCGGAGGGTGTGCTACAACTCCCACGGTGCCCAGCCGTGGAAATGCTTTTTAAAAAACTGCTTTGAAAGATACGTCAAATTTGCCCTAGCTCACCGGCGCCACCTAGTATCGGCAAGTTACACTGTGAAGCGTTTCCTTCACAGCCGCGTGGCCTAGTCCGCTTATATGTAACTTGAGGCCGCTCAACTGTGAAGGAAGAAGCCGCGAGAAACGTCGCCTTCTCCCCCACCCTTCAGTTCCTCAGTCAGGAACTCGGACGAGGCCGCTCGGCCCTCAGGCGAACAACGGCGCTTCCCGCCTTTTTGCGCGGGCGGACGTCTCGCGCGCCCGCTTCACGTAACGGAGGCGGGCCTGCCAATGCGGAAGAGGTCATGTGATTCTCGAGGCCCCGCCCCTTCTACATCTTCCTCGGCGCCTCAGAGCGAAGCTCCCACACGGCAGGGAGAAGCTCTGCGCGCCAAGTCGAGAGCAGGGAGATGCAGGCGCCGGGGGTCTTCGTTGTCGTCGTCGCCGCCGCCGTCGTTTTGGGGGCTGCGGTGGCCAAGGACCCGGTAAGTTTCTCTTCGCGCTCGCTTCCTCTCCTTTCTTCCCCCCCTCGGGGAAAGCGGCGGAGTTAAAAGAGAGAGAGAAAGAGACGCACGCGCACAAAAAAACCCAACACTCCCCACTACCCCCGCCGGCCAGAAGTGTTCCTGAGCAGGTGCAGAGTGCGCCTTCGGTGTTTGTCTCGGCGCATCCGCGGAAAAGGTTGCTGCTGCTGCTGCTGGTGAGCAGGCAGACTCTCCCTTTCCTTTTCAAAGGATCCCAGGGTGGTTGGAGTCGGAAGGCAGTCCCAGGGTCATCTAGTCCAGCCCCCGCCATGCAGGGATGAATATGCAGCTTCCCCGCACCGGGATCGAACCTGCGACCTGGGCGTTGTCAGCACTGCACTCTCACCCACTGAACCCTCCAGGCTGAAAGGGAAGTTCATTTTCTGTTGCGAACCGACCTGCGATCTTCTGGTTTGTTTGTTTTTTTATTTAGCTTTTCAGATTTTAAGAATTAAAAAACAATTAACAGTCAACATAAAAAGAGGGAGGACCCAAAGCAATCTGCTGTTTACCATGCTGACCATGAGCAGAGCAGGAAAGGCCAAAGGACTTCCAAGGGATGATTAATCCAATTGGTCTGTATATTTCAGAGGAAGGGAAATAGGCAGCCCTATTGTTGTTTCTCTTCACTTTTTGCTGGGGATGCTGAAGTCTTCCTGCTTTGTGCATCTTTCAGGCAGATGCAGGGCTAGTAATGATTTTCCCAGTGGGGAGGATTTGTGTCAGTTGCCTACATCTTTGGAGACTCCTATCCTGAGTCAGAATCAGCTGGACTATGGGTGGAGGCGTAGTTGGATCAACAGTTGGAAGGTCGTGCTGAACAAACAGCATTTGTGTGTATATTCTCCCCCCCACTTGAGCATAGTGCAGTGGCTCTCACTGTTTTCCCTGGGCTATAGTTTCAGAATAAAAATTTCCTTGCGCCGCACCCATTTTTCTAATTTGATAACTTATTGGAAAACACAGCTAGGATTGTGCTCGGTATCACTTGATACTGGTGCTCTCATTTTAACAAGATATCCCTCCCATATTCTGCTATTTTTTAAAAAAAAAATTGATGCTATGCTATACTGAAATGTTTGAATGTTTTTTTGAGCGAGTCCTGCCACACTTGCCATCCTCTCCTGCACACCAGTGTGCTGCACCGCACTGTTTGAGAACCACTGGCATAACGGTTGTAGGAGTGCTTTACAATTTGAGGCGGTATTTTAGGCAGTAGGTTCTTCTTAGTATCTCATGTACAGAACGTATGAAGCAGTGATAAAAGGGAGTGGTTTGGAACATGTCAAAAGTCCTTTGTTCTTTCTGAGCCATTTCCACAACTAGGTAAGATTGGGGAGGCAGATGGATTTCTGGTCATGACTTTGGAGCTCTCGTCTTAGAAATTAAGCAGTGGCACAGAGGTTGACGATTGTTATCGTTATTATTCACTGCATAGTTGCATTTTTAAAATACAAATACTCTGCCTATTTCCCAAAATGTTGCAGCGGTATAGGAAACAGGGAGCCAGCCATATGATGAAGCAGTCAGCTGTCTGCTTTGCAGGTGACCATAGATGAGATGAATCTCCTTGCATATATATGTGCGATAGCTCAGTTCGTAGAGCATGAGACACTCCCCCCCCCCCCCAAGGTCATGGGTTTGAGCACCATGTTGGGCAAAAAAATCCTGCATTGCAGGGGATTGAACTCAATGACCTCTGCGATCCCTTCCAACTCTGTGATTCTATCCAAAGTCCTTAGTCGTGGATTGGAGCTTAGTCGCATACATTGCTCAGGCCATTCATGGTACAGGCAGAAGGCCTAAATGTCTAGATGTTCAGATAGCTGGAAACCATTTTTGTGAGATCTTTTCATAGGCTGTTATAAAATAAGGTGCCTGCTTTGACGGTGCGGACTCTTGAACAAAACATCTGTACTATATTAGCCAGAAATGTATGTGTGGTTTTAAATGCCTTCCTTCCACTTAATCCTTTGCACCAGCTAAGTTCCAAAGTGACATATGGCCGTCATGTGTGAAAATACCTTTCCTTTGTCTTTCATGAACTGATCCACTAATGATTTAATGATAATCTTTTTCACTTGATGAGTTTAAAGCCTTGACGTTTACATCAGAGCCCTCTGGATCAAGCCAGTGACCCATCTAGTTCAGCGTTCTCTTCTCACAATAGATAACCAGATGCCTCTGGTAAACCTACAACTGTTAATCTCTCCCATCTTGTTTTCTACATAGTGCCTTCTTAACATTGCCTTTGCTTCTGGAGGTCAAGATAGCCAGGTGACTAGATGACTAAATGGGTCTCTAAGCACCTAGTTTTAGCCATTCCCTCTCTCAAAATATTCAAGAGCTGTTTGACTAGTGTTGCCTATGATGATCTGTAGCAGCAAAGCTACTATATTTCCTTGAATTTCTTGTATACTGTTGTATGTTTCTATATTTCCCCATTCTTCTTATATCCAAATACAGGAGCACTTTTCCCCTTTGTTTAAACCACATGTTCTTTGAGTAGGCTGATCTCTCAAGTCCAACTTGTGAGGAGCTCAGATCTGCTTAGGCTGCATCTTGTGACTTAGCAGAGCAATTACCTTCTTGTTTTGTTTAGAGAAACGAATTGCTGAGTGCGGCAGTTCATGGATGTGTAATCTTTTCTTGAAATGTATATTCCTTCTCTACAGAACCAAACGGACAACATAGATGTTCAAATGTGGTCTTAGTTAACGCTTAGCTATGGCAAAGTGTATTAACAAGTATCACATGACAGTTTATTATCACCAGAGTTGAGTCAGAGGAGCTGCCCTTCTGCTTCAAAAATTTCTTGCACTTTTTTTGCATTTTGAGTCTGTTTTTTTATTTAACACATCTGAATTCTTCCTCTCTTACAAAATCGGTTGCGACTGATCTTGAGATAAATAAATGTTTGTTTGTACCTAATAGAGGGGAATTTGCAAAGGGGCTGAATCTCACATTTATTATGCAGTCAAGTTATTTCTAATACATATTGTGAAACCGACTAGTTTTTCCAAGTTTGGAGAGCAAAGGAAATCTGCTTGCATCAGTTTCATGTGATTCACAACAGCCCTGCTGGTTCTACCTGCCAAGTTACTATTTCTTATATTAAATAGGGTAAAGATTGAGTGCATGTCAAAGTAAAAATCAAAAATTGTGGCTCTGCAATCCCCAGAACAGGTCTTTGAACTTTGCTGCATATGTTTATCTGTCATAAACACTACTGTGTTGTGAAATAGTGCCTCTGGTGAGAAACTTTTAATTACATCCTTGTGTAACCTCATTTAAGGTGTAATATCCCTTATATTTTCAGCAGGGTTCTTGACATAGTGCAAATATTACTTTATCGCTGGCAAAACAATTCTCTCCATTTTATATCCATTGGCAATTGCAAGTTCTGTCTTCTGAAAAACCAAAAATTAGTCCAAACCGCACAGAAGACACGAAGATTCCAAAACAGTTAAATAGATTTTGGGGGGAGGGAGAAGCAGGGGGAAAGGCAGAGGAGGAGAATTTTGAACTACACTTATGTAATTCACTAAAAATAGCAAAAAAAAAAAGAGTTGCCTTTCTCTTACATCCATTGTATGCACCTATGTAAAGCACCTATGTTGAGCTGACAGTCTGAGTTAGTTGGATTACCACCCGAAGTGTTGTATAGAGCCAAAAAGGTAACATACTCCCTGATGGCAGATGCTCTTTCTGATAAAAGAGGAAGGCAGGCAAGTAGAAGTGTACCAGTTCTTGAAGTTACGCAGTGTACCTTTACACAGGTGTCTTGTGAAGGAGAATTATGCATAAAATTGCGTGAGCATCTGGCCCATCCCCTGTGGTAGCATGAAGCCATTGGGCTGTGTGTTTGGCATGGATATTGAGAGTGGGCACAGAGTTGCAGCCCCAGTCTGTGCATGATAAGAGTTACGATTGCTGCAGTATTGTCTGATCTGATCAGGAGGGTTGCCTCTCTTTTCAGCACAGGCATCCCCACACTTAGGTGAGGGTTACGTTCTGGGGGGCCCCACCTGTATGAGTGAAATTGCGTAAAGCGGGGATCACCCTGAACGCCCTCTGTGCTGCTGTCTCTCTTCAATCCAGAGCGAAAATACTGAACCCCAAAATATCCACAACTAGAATTGAAGCTCTGGGGCCAGCAGGAGACTGGGGGACATGCTGGGAAATGGAGGGTCATTCCCAGAGCGTGTTTTTTGGGGTATGTTCTTCAGCCCCATGGAGCCTTCAGTGTAGTGTTCCTCAGGATTTAATCCCCCCATGCTGTTTAACATAGACCTGAAACCACTGGGTGGGGTTATCCAGAATCTTGGAGTACGTTGTCAGCAATATGCCAAAGACACATAGCTCTACTTCTCCTTTACATCTGCAAGTGAGGCAGTGGATGTGCTGGACCAGTGTCTTGCCTTGGTAATGGACTGGATGAGAGCCAACAACCTGAAATTCAAACCAGATAAGGCACTGTTAGTGGGTGGTTCCGTAGACCAGATGGGTGGGAGATCGCCAGCTCTTGATGAGGTTACACTTCCTCTGAAGGAGCAGGTTCGTAGCTTGGGGTTCCTCCTGGATCCTTTGCTGTCACTTGAGGCTCAGTGGCCCGGAGTGCCTTCCATCAACTTCGGCTGGTGGCCCAGTTACACCCCTATCTGGACAGGGATAGCCTAACTTCTGTTGTCTACGCTCTGGTAACCTCTAGGTTGGATTACTGAAACACTGGGAGCTGCCTCTGAAGACAGTTCAGAAACTTTGGCTAGTGCAGAATTCGTCAACCATGTTACTCACTGGGGCAAGATGGTTTGAGTATATTACACTGATCCTAGCCTAGCTGCCAGTTAGTTTCCATGCCCAATTCAAGTGCTGGTTTTGACTGCCCAGAACTGCTATACATCAAGGACCACCTTTCCCCATATGAACTGACCAGGACTCTGTGGTCATTATCTGAGGCCCTTTTTCGTGTGCCTCCATGAAAGGTCTGGAGGGTGGCAACACTAGAATGGGCCTTTTCTACTGTGGCTCCCCATCTGTGGAATGCTCTCCCCAGGGAGGTTTGCCTGGCACCTTCATTAGGCACCAGGCAAAAATGTTTCTCTTTAGCCAGGCCTTCGGATAATTTGTGGAAAGGGGGTTATTGTTATGTTTTTGGTTTAGTTTATTAAGTATTTTGTGTTCTCGGTTTTTGTTTTTTCTGTTGTGAACCACCCTGTGGTCTTTGGATGAAGGGCGGTTTGCACGTTTAATTAATAATAATAATCATCTTTGCCTCTCCCCACCCACTTTGAGGGTTGCTCAACATGTTAAGACTTTAGTAGAGGAGTCTGCTTTCCTGTGGAAAGTTCTTTGTCCACACTTAAGATATTGTTGAGTAGGACCATCATGTACTGACTGCCCACACATCAACAGATGAAACACCACAGATAGGAGTCGCAGGCTGGGAAGCTCAATGCAGCATGGTCCTGGCTCACTTTGTTAGCCCTATTCCGGTGCTTGTGTAGAAGTCCTCACCCAATTTAGAACCCTGATTAAGGGGAGCCTATGCGGACACATCCCTGCTGCAGATGTCCGCCCTCCAACATGCCATGTAGAGGGAGCCAGTCAGAATTGTCCACAAACTGCCTAACCAGATGGGGGAAGCTAATACCTTAACAGGGCTAGTGAGCTCTGCTAAATGGTATGGCAGAAAGTGAAGATGCAAAATATACATCATAGGGAACATACAGTCTTTTTCTTTTTCTGGAATGCTAGTTTAAAAGACAGAAATAAATTGAAGAGGGGTCTGTTGCCACTTAAGGAATTGCCATTCCATCAGTTAAATAGACAGCTCCCAGCCTACAACAGTGGCATTTCTGTGTCTGTTTACTGGTACATAATCCCAACTGTTTGAGTAACACCTTTGCTAATCCTATGGTTTCATTCTTCTTTCTGCATTAGAGGCAGAGTGGCTTTTTTTGCAAGTGCTCTCTGCTTAAGTACCTTCTCACTGTGTTTCAATAAGAAGCTTGAAAACTCTTTATTTCAAATACAATGGAGCTAACCAGATTTGACTCCAGGTTAGGGTGGTGGCTCTTACCGATGTTGCTGGAGTACAACTTCCATCGTCCCTGGCCAAGGGCTGATGAAAGCTGGAATCCAAATGAGGACCACAGGTTCAAGATCTTACTCTCATGGTTTTTTAAAAAAAATGCTTTTCAGCAGTAAGGACTCTTGGCTACCCACGATCAGATGGGTTTCTACATAAATGTGACTTTCTTGCCCAGCCTACCTCTCTTCTGTAGTATATCTTGCTTCACAAGCAACGTAAAAGTTCAGACCTGTACTAGATCCAAGAGGCAAGCAAATAGCAGAAAGCAAAAGCTTCATGTGCTAGTTGAAGCTCAAAAAAGAAATGTTAGCACTTCCCTACCTGCAGCGTTCAAAATTTGTCAGGTGCATTTTGCACCTGGCTATCAGCCACTACCAAAAAGTTCCTGAAATTGAAAAATATGACTTTCGAGCCATCTGCCACAAAAATGACAGCTAGGCATTCTCTTTTGGCGACCGTAACCCTAAGGAGCCATTTGGCACCTAGCTTATATATTTGAGTTTCTAACACTGTCTGCCTGTGTGCTGCTGTTTCTATCACCACAAAAAAGCCTCCCACTGCATAGCAATTTGGCTTGGGAAAAGATCCCACTACTATGAATGGGACACTTTTTCATCATCTTCACCTGACCACCACATAGGGCAGTTTTTTGTTGCCAGAGAAGGGGGCTTCTAGGAAGGTAAGGACTAGCTGTTCCCCACTTGTCTCCTCCTTCTGACATGCATCAAAAAAGAGGCGAGAATGCTCAAAGTCAGAGGCTTCCCGCATGATTCAGAATTATGCCCGAACCAGCCCATTTTAAACATGCATAGAAAAAAAGTTCCCAGCTAGTTGTTTGCATTTTTGAACCCTAACCTTGACACCTGCAAATGGAGAGTTCAGGTATACTGTAAAAAAGTATCGCAGTTCAATCCTAGGCAGGGCTCAATGAGTTTTGTCGGACTTTAGTCTTTGGTAAGTCTGCATATGACTGCAACTTTAGTCCTTCAGGGGTTTTTGGTTTTTTGTTTTTGTCTGCAAAAGCTGAGAAGGCAACAAGAACTCTGAATATTTTTGCATGAAACAATTATAAAAATGTTTGTTCTCAAAAAGGCTTTGTCTTTTTTCTTTTTTTTTCTTTTTTTGCAGTATGCTGAAGAATGCAAAACACTAGCATATCCTCCCTCAGGACCAACGTAAGTAACTTATTAAGGACAGCTCAGTAGCTGATAGTTGCTGTTTACTTGTGATCCCGTTGACTTACAAATTTAATTAATATAACATAAACTTTAAACTTGGCACATTGAGTCAGGATTGTGGTGCTGCTATTACCTTACTATATATCACTGACCAAACATTCAGCTAGAGAACATTGTACCTAGTTTGAGACAGTGGTGATTTTTGCAGAATGAGGGCACATGGAAAAGAATTGTGTAGGTTAGCTTAAAGAAGATTCCTAAATTGTCTTCAGCGATCGTAAAAGAAGACCGCTACTAGGTGTAAATATAGGTAAAATGTGCTTGTGTTAAATATGTTTGTGTTAAATATTGATGGATGAAAGCTAGGCAATGTAAATATAAATTACTTAGAAATTTTTAACCAGAAAGACGCCTGAAGGCAACAGCCACAAAATAGTGGTTTAAGTGTAGCTACACCTTTCTGCGTTTCATGAAAATCGCTCCTTTTTCAGGTACAAAGGAAAGATTCCCACCTACATCATAAATCTTGACTTGCCACCAAGTGAGAGATGGGTCCAGTTGGCACGTGACAAAGATGCAGAGGTAGGGAACATGGTGGGAAGGAGGTCAGGATCAGAGGCTTTCTTCTGGGCGCCTTTTTAATGAGATGCAGGCCTTAATTTCTGCTAACATAGGTGTACTGCTTAATGAAACAGGCTTTAATCCTGCCCCTAAAGCTGGAGGGAAATATTTTAAGTTGTGCTTAGGACAAGATGCTTGAATTCTGCATTGCTTTTTATTTCAAGGCCAAAAATCCTCAGTCAGAATGCCTAGTAAAATGGCTTTAACTGAGGAACAGACACAAGCTGGCATTCAAGTGAATGTGCATAGGTTGTATGAGAGCCAGTGTGGTGTAGTGGTTAAGAGCGGTGGACTCGTAATCTGGTGAACTGGGTTCGCTTCCCCGCTCCTCCACATGCAGCTGCTGGGTGACCTTGGGCTAGTCACACTTCTCTGAAGTCTCTCAGCCCCACTCACCTCAAAGAGTGTTTGTTGTGGGGGAGGAAGGGAAAGGAGAATGTTAGCCGCTTTGGGACTCCTTCGGGTAGTGATAAAGCGGGATATCAAATCCAAACTCCTCCTCCTCTTCTTCTTCGGCTGTGAATTCACTTTCTGTCTTTGTTCTTCTGGGGTATGGTCATTGATTCAGTCTTGTGCAATCTTAATAGACACAACTCTCCACTTCTGCTCTCCTGCCTGGCCACATTCCAGTTTGTAAGGGTGGGGTTTTGCTGTTGCAAAGCTGTGAAGGAGGCCTTGTCAGGATGCAAAACAGCAGAGGCCTCATTGGGATGGGCAAGCAAAAGCAGATAGAACAATTCATAGAATTAGGGTGTTCCCTCTTCCCTCAGAGCACCCATTGATAGCAGCTGAGACTTGGAATGGTCACAACATACAGGATAGGCAAGGCTTAACAATGTATGAAGTCTGCCTAAAGAAAGAACTCTCTACCTTTACAAAAGATGTTTCACATTGCGTCAGTGAACATAGTTGAAAGTGTCAACTCATCACTATTAAAGACCCCTTGTTTCAGATGTGCTTCGGCACATATGAAAGGGTTATATGTTTTAAGTGGCTCTTGCATTACCCTAAAAGTGTGTTCACCCGAGCTTTTTCTTAAACTTTTCCAGGTGAAGGATGTCCTTAAGATTATGAAAGATATTTTAATCACATTCCTTCATAGTGGAAAAGCCGTAGCATCACTGGAATCTAAATTGGTGAGTACCTTTCCATTTTCTCTAAAATTTAGGGGGAAGTTGAATCCAGCTTGCTGAGCCTGTCTGAACCGCAGCTGCTAATAAGCCAAAAATGGGGAAATAAATGCACTAGTTATCAACAGGATCTGATGCTTAGTGTGAATTCTGGCAGGAGTCCTTGGCATCATTGCAGGCCCCTTAATGAAAATCTCTTCGGTGTGCCACTGCACTCAGAAAGCCAGTCATGATTTGTACATGTACAAGTTTGTACATTACTGTGCAGAGATTTATCACCGCTCCAGGCTATCTGGCTGTTGCTTGGAAGCCAGGATGCTGCCGTATGCAGGTTGAGACTGTCAACTTTTGTCAGGCAGGAGTCTACCCCAGCCCTGCTAGGAAAACCTCAGATTGAATCTAGCATCTTCCCCAGGCAAAACATGTGCTTTGCCACTGAGCTGTGTGGGGAAAAGCAACTAGAAGGGATTCGGAGAGATGCAGGAAGGATTCACGCAGGCAAATCCTGTGATGAGCTAGAAAATGATAGGCTCCCGAGTAACTTAAGGGGGGTATCACTATCGTTGGCCCAGATCCAAAGAGGCTTTCAGGTGATCGGGGGCACTGGAATGTTTTTCAGATCTATGCAATCTTGTCAGGGTGTTACACGCATGGGGTATACATTTGAAACAATATCATGCCACGTCGAACATTTGTGGCTTTCCCCAAATAATCCGGGGAACTCTGGTGTGTTAAGAGTGCTGAGATTTGTTAGAAAACCCAGAGTGGTTTAGCAGTCAGTCCCCTTTCTTGTGGAATTCTGGGAACTGTAGTTCTGTGATAGGGAAGAGGGTCCCTTAACAAACTAGTCTTCCCAGGATTCTGTGGGGGAATCCATGACTGTTTAAAGCGGTATGTTACTGGTTTAAATGTATCGTGTAGATGGAAGATTAGACCATATAAATTAATGGGCCTAACTTAGTCATGTTCATTCATTTCAGGGGGTATACTCCAAGTGAAACACAGTAGAATTGTCTTCTAATTGTCTACTAATGTTTCAGAGTGTCTTCTTATTGAACTTCTCCAGGGTCCACTTATTTCAGCAGACGTTACTCAGAAATAAAAGGGAGCCTATTTATTCAGTTTACATTTAAACCAGAGTTTGAATTGGAGTTTGTTGTACATTGCTCTGGAAATAGCTACTGCAAGAAGGAAGCGAAATCTGAAAAAATAGGATGTTACGCAGTAAGGGTTGCAAAAATGGTAGAGAGTGAGCTCAGGGACCTTGAAATAAGCGTCCTAACTGGTCTGCGGATTGTGGCTGCAGTCTGTGCAGGAATGAGTAAATAAATTTACAGTAGTTCTGTTTTGAACCTCCATCTTCCACAAGTTCTTTCTCTTTGCTGCATGAACTGTGGTGTTCAGATTAATGTAAAAATGCAAAGAGAAGGATATTGGAGCTCCAAAATGCCAGCCAAACCACAGTGCCTTGGACTTTGTTAATGGAGGTCATCCTGCAGCTAAATTCTTGATAAGCAGGTTATTTTTTTCTCAAGGTCTCAACAGTCCACAAAGTCTCAAATGTCTACTGAGGCAACTACAGACCACTTAGCACATAGCTTTTTTAGTTAAGTGTACACCTAAAAATTGTAGAATGCAATTGCAGCCAACGTGTGTTGTTCATATGTACCCATTGGGGAATCACAATTGGCTGTGCTGCCTGTTGATCAGACTGCAAAACTGAGTTTGTCCCTTTGTAGTTTGTGAAATGACACTAACCCTCTGTAAATGTGCTCTGTTTACACCAAGAGATAATTGGGACTGAGAAGGAAATATATGGAGACAGAGCAATAAAAAATAGAAAGTTATTTACTATGTTTTTCAGGTTTTAATAACTTGTGGCTTTTCTTCTTAGGCTTGGTTAGGTTCCACCCTTCCCTATCCTTTCAATGATGAGATCAAAGGCATTGCTTCTGCAATTGATGCTCCTTTAGGTAATTTCCATTTTGTTATTACTGTGTCTGGCTCTGAAAGCACACTATTAAAGGCATAATTTGGTGCAATTGAACATTTCAGCCACTGTAGCAATACATGCTGAGGTTATAATACATTTGTGGAACAGGAGTGCTTAAATGTTTGTAGCAAAGATGAAGAGCAGGTGTCTATTTAAATGTAAGACCTGACTAGGAAGACTGACCGGGTTTTCTACTGAGTGAAAGTCTGTACAGTAATATCCTCACCTTTAGTATGCCGGGAGCACAATATTTGCATATCTGAACAGAGAATAGGATCCTGTAAGCTTATTCCTGGATTAAAAATCATCAAGCTATAGATTATGCACCTTGTGTATTGCATAATTCAGGAGAGCAAGTCAATTTAATTCCTATATCAATTCAAAAGCTGAAAAGAGGGGCATCTCACAGAGGTACTAAAATAGGATTGACCAACAAGTTGCCCATCCTCTTTGCAGGCTTCTAAGAAATTTTTTGAAATGGCAAGTCTTGTAGATTTCCTGCTCAGTGTCTCTGCCTTGTGGCTTGCAGTCCATAGACATATGAACCAAGCACAGTAAGAAGTGATACTCTGAAGATATTTCCTGTCTCCATTTTCTTCCTTTTAAGTGTTTGCTTGGTTTTATCCGTTGTTTTTAATGGTCACTTTGATGAAAGGTCTCTCTTTCTCCCTCTTCCCTTTCCACCTTCCAATTTAGGTGACATTGTTCTGTTCAATATCTTCTATGAAATCTTCACAGTGTGCACTTCAATAGTAGCAGAAGACCCCACAGGTAAATGACTGCTTAGCCAATGACATGTATTTTAAAGATAGTGCTTAAGGTATTTTTTCTTTGACCTTAATTTCATTTCTCTCCACCACCCCCTTTTCCTTTCCAACCAGGAAAGCTCTACCATGCCAGAAATCTTGATTTTGGATTGTTTCTTGGGTATGTATGTACCAGTGAGGTCCAACCTGCCCTGGTGGATCCACAAACTTTCTAAATTGGTGGGGGGGGGAATGAAATGTTTTTTACCTTACCTTTTTTATTGCTTTGAGACTAAGCGATGAGCAGAGCGTTTAGTTAATCTGCAGCACCTTTAACTATGGCCTGCCTTTCTCAATTTCTTTGGAGCGTCTTTAGAGGGAAAAATATGTGTGCTGTCATAATTTTCACCATTTTCTATAAAAGGGAGAAGCTCTGGGGTTGTCATTTTCAGCACAGTGACTTTTTTTTATTTATCAAAATAGATTTTTATTAAGAAAGAAGCATAGTGAATATATATATATATATATATATATATACACACACACACACACACACACACACACACACACACTGCACCTTTTGAGAAAAAGTATTTTATCTGACCTCCAAAATCACTAAACCATCTATCCCTCCTATCTCCCAAAAAGATACCTTTGATACCATCTGGGCTCCCCTTTTCTCTTTTATTGAAGAACAGGATATTTTAATGCCACTGTCATCACAGAGCTGTCTGCAGAGGGGATTTACTCATTGAAAAAGTATTGTAACTGTATTGTAACTTTTGAATAAATTGTTAAAAAAATAAAAGGCCCATGACTTAGCAGTGTTCCATGAAGACTGTGGGTAGTATCTAATTGGGGTCTTGCTCTCACAGAAGGGCTTTTGATTCAGCAGACTCCTCCAGTTAATAGAAGTGGAAGTGGGGTGATTTTTGCCAACTTCAGCCCCCTGCAGCCCCTTATGCCACCTTCCACCCTGTTCCACCTGATACCCCAACTGGATTCCATTTTCTGAACATACAGGGTAGCAGTGTGCATTGACCACAAGATTTGGTTCAGATCTAGACCCAGCACTTTGTGCAGCAGTTTAATTTGTCTGTTCAGAGGCTACCTGATTTGCTTCATGGCTCCTAATCCACTCCCCCTCCCTTTAGTGAAAACATTTATTCTGCCAACAATACATCTCATTTCCATCACCGGAGGAGTTCAGACAACAAAATTATAAACAGCTTCCTTAACAGAAGAGCACTAAGACAATGTAAAACATTGAGCAACCCAAAACAACCACGCCTTTGCTTAGTCCATTCGAGCTTTCAATGTTCGGGTCGTTATCTTGAAAAAGACAAGATAATGCTCCTAGTCTACTTGATTGCCTTCCAAACCCAATCTATTATAGTGGAACCTCGGGTTAAGAACTTAATTTGTTCTGGAGGTCTGTTCTTAACTTGAAACTGTTCTTAACCTGAGGTACCACTTTAGCTAATGGGGCCTCCTGCTGCTGCTGCTGCTGCTGCGTGATTTCTGTTCTCATCCTGAAGCAAAGTTTTTAACCTGAGGTACTATTTCTGGGTTAGCGGAGTCTGTAACCTGAAGCGTCTGTAACCCGAGGTACCACTGTACTGGGAAACAAAAAAATAAAGTCGTCCCCCCCTTCTTTCTGGCACAAGTAAGTACAGCCAACCACATCAAACGAAAAGCCCCTAGACCCAGGGTTTCCCAAACTTGGGTCTCCAACTGTTTTGGGACTACAACTCCCATCATCCCTAGCTAGCAGGACCAGTGGTCAGGAACGATGGGAATTGTAGTCCAAAAATAGCTGGAGACCCGAGTTTGGGGAACCCTGGCCCGAGGGGCTTTTGTGCTAGGCATCTTTGGGGTAGGACCCAGCAGAATTCTTCCTCCATGTCCTCTGCTCCCTATGCTGATACCTTCCTTAAATTGGGAGACAGTTTGGCAAAGCTGCTCCCTCCCCTGAAGCCCTTGGATTGGAGAATGCTGATGCCAGTCATTCCTTCCCAATTATAAGCACTGTCTCCTTCATCACCCCGCCCGAGCATTATGGTAAACACTCTCACTTCTGGGTGTTTGCTGCAATGTTTTGACATCTGGATCGCTGAGGTGCTATGAAGCACTTTATGGGATGGGTCTCTGCTTCAACTTGTGCCTCCCAGAGGCATTCTGCTTTGCCTCAGGATTTGCCCGAATCTGGTACTTGCTCCTGTTGTGGAGGGGAGAGAGATGAAAGAGATTTTTATGTGCTCGCTTTTTCCAAGGAAAGCCACCCAAATGTTAGCTGTTCATGCATCCAGCTTGAAAGACTCAAAAATCTGAGAGAGTCCATTTTACATTGCTGCGGATTAGTTGCAATTTGCATTAGATAGACAGTTCTTGCTGATGTTTAAGTGGTATTGCTTTTCCTGCAGGTGGGACGTGAATGCTAGTTCTTGGAGGACAACGCAGAAACTGAAGCCGCTCATGGTGTCACTGGATTTTCAAAGGAACAATAAAACAGTGTTCAGGTCTGCAAATTTTGCAGGCTACGTGGGAATGTTTTCTGGATTGAAGCCAGTGAGTATTCCTTTATTTGGACAACACTAGGTGCATTCTGATGTAACTGTAAACCATAGCTTGCCATTATGAGTATGAACAGGCCTGAGACACAGGTTTGCCTGCTTCATCTTCCCCTTCCCTTAGGAGCAAGCAGGTGACTTCAGAGGCTTCTTTTGCTAGTGGCATCCACCCTTAATTTTCCATTGCATCTGATGTTGCAAACTTTGCTGAAAACAAAGCCAGGCATATTAGTGCCTTGTAGAGAAAACAGAGTCTCAAAGCACCTTAAATGCGTAATAGTTTATTTTACGATTGATGAAGCCTTGGGAGAGTGGCGTTCACTGTGTGCAGAATGTGTATTTTGGCAAACATCTATATGAGCATATGATGCTTGTGTCCTCACCTCACCTCACCTCACATCGCTAGGTATGCATGTACAAAGAGGAAGAGCATTTGTAAAACATTGGGGCCCAAAAACTATAATACAATGGATAGCAGTGTTCTGTCGCTCACAGTGGCCTTCTTAAAGCACTACAGAATTAGCTTAACTCTGTCTGTTTTCTAACTGCTGGGTATTAATAAACACTGTTAACTGACTTTTTGTATTTTAGGGCATTTTTACTCTAACCATGAATGAGCGGTTCAGTCTTGATGGAGGTTACATTGGTGAGTATGCTTAATGCTCTGTTCCTGTGTCTTTGGGGGTTTTTTAGCTTTAATAAAATGGGGAAATTTTAGTAGCATTATACCCCACCCCACTCAAATCACTGGAGGTCCAATTTCACAAGATGCAGGGGAGAAAGTGGAGAAAGCAGTGTGATGCATGTTGTAAGAAACTATATGAGAAGTTGTGTGGCATGAAGCAATAGCAGGGCACGCCCAACCATTGTCCAAGAAGCAAACCACATGGAAATGGTTTGGGATGACTTTCAGCTCGGTTGAATTAAACTGAAAGATGAGATGCTTAAACAATGCTAAGGCTGCGTGTGGTCATAAAGCTCTTTGAATTTGTGTTTCTTGCAGGAGTCTTTGAGTGGCTCCTTGGCCAGAGAAACGGTTGGTGGATGAGTTTTCTCACCAGATCTGTGTTGGAAAACAGTACAAGGTAACAGTTAAATTGTGAAGCGGTTTATCTGCATATATGGCCAAGCCAGGGAAATTAGGAATAATCCCAATCTCATTTTATAATGTCTCTTTGTTTAAGTCTGTTCTTTCTTGTCTTGACTACCGCCATCTTGGTTCCATGGAAATTTTACATTGTGTGATACTAAGGAAAACTTGTTTAACGTTCAGACCCGCCTGGTACCATCCGTGGATCAACAAGGTGCTGTGCAGTGGGGTTGTGTGTTTCACGTTTTACCATTCCTCCTTCTCTTCTCTACTCAAGTGGTTCCCACCTCTGACATGGCAGGAACTTTAAGGTTGGGTATGGAGTGGGAGGTATCACTCCTTCTGGAGAGAGGCAACAACAATGGGAAATTCAGAAGCACCTGGAACAATGTTCTGATGGGCTCCAGAGACAGCTTTTTTAAAAAAAATATATATATATTTATTACTTTCCAACAATTTGGACATTACATAGAAAAAGAAAATAAACAATACAATACAATACAAAAACAATACCTAACACTAAACTAACAAAAACAATTTAAACTAAGAAAACAAAACAAAAACAATTTAAAACACATCAAATAGTTTCAATCTTTCATTCACTTATTTCCATGACCTCCTCACACCTCCCTTTTTGTATTCCACTTCTATTAGTTGTTTCAGCAATTCCTTTCCATCTTCCTCTGCTTTCTATCTTATAATTATCTTAACACATATTAACCTTATTTTTCCCTTTAATTCTCTATTAATCTGTTTATACTTAATTCCTTATAACATTTCTGCTGAAGCCATATAACTTCATTCCAACATTTTTCTAACATTCATTAATTTTACAATATTTCTGTAAATAGTCTTTAAACTTTTTCCAATCTTCTTCCACCGACTCTTCTCCCTGATCTCGGATTCTGCCAGTCATTTCCGCCAATTCCATCAGCTTTTGCCCTTTGGTACAAGCTGCTGCAGCAGAACAGCACCAGAAGAACTGGCATGATTTGGGAAGACTAAATTTTGAACTCATGCTTTCCCCCCACTAACTTGTCAGCAGAGAACCAGAGGCAATGCTTCATCCTTCAGATGCATTGTGTGTTCCTCGATAGAGGAAGTGCTTGGCTTACAAGAGCAATGGGATGAGTCTCTCTTTTTTCTTTCTTCCTGTAGTTAAATTATTATTGGTTTTATAAACTTAAAAACACTTTTCTTAACAATTTGACTTCCCGTCCTTGCATTCGTGATGTCCCCCCCACCACAGTTACCTGCTGCCTTATAGACAATACTTATTCTGCTCTGCATTTCTTTATTTACAGCATTCTTACTGTCCTCCTGTTGCGTATATTTCAAGGCCTGCTGGAGATTTCATTTGGCTAGAATGCTTTTTAAAAAATAGCCCAAAAGGAATTTCCATTCTTCCATATGCTTTCCTTCTTTTCAGTCTCATATTTTGGCTGTCAATCTCGCCCTCTCCACATTAACTTCGAAATCCATTCCTCTTTTGTTGGAACCTTGTCTTCTTTCCTTCTTGCCTTCTTTGGCTGCTGTGGTCACATACATAATTTGGGGGGGGGGGGACTTCTAATCCTATTATTCCTAATAATAATGCTTCTGGCCATTATAAAGAAACTCTGACCTTGGTATGCCTTTTCTCCCCCTTCTCAATTTGATTCCCTGGCACCATATTTGTATAAATTAACTATCCCAAAATACAGACGTTCCTTCACACTGGCCAGATTGGATGTGATGCCCTCTGCCATACCTGAGGGCAGATACCAAAAGATTCCAACTGAGAAACGACTCTGCCCCTGTGGAGATGGCAGTCGGGAAACAGTGGCTCATGTTCTCCTGTCCTGTCCCCTTTATAAAGATCTGAGGAATGAGATCATCACCCCACTCTTACTTACCATCCCAGGCCGCCCATCTGTGGCCACCTTGTTCTTTCTTTTATCAGATCAAAATGATCAGACAACCGCAAAGGTTGCTAGGTTTATCGAGGGTGCAGTGAGATTAAGGGCCACTATCTGAATGATAATCTTGGTCATTTGATTGCCCTTTTTACCCATTGTTGTCTTTTTAATTGTATATATTGCTTGTTTTATGTTGCTATGGCCATTGGCTAATGCGAATAAAGTTTATCTAGCTATCTAATAAGAATGCTTCAGGCATTTCTGGGAAGAGCGTTTTCAAACATCTTTTTTTCATTATGCATCATTACAACTGTTGCTTGTTGATAGGTCCATCACATATGAGTCTCCTCTCTTTTTTTTCTCTGCCTCTTGATTCTCCCACCTACCACCCTTAAACAAGGTCTTTCCCCCCTTTGCTCTCTTACACAACTCCCCCACAATACACTTCCACACTAGGCAGTGACTGCTTTACATGAGAGTATTTTGAAAGGCTCTAGCCTACCAGCTTCACAATTTCCAAGCAATACCTGGTTAACACGCCTGTCTCATTGCTATTTCTGTTCTTGCATGTAGTTACGAAGATGCAAAGGACAGACTGGCTCATTCAAAGCTTCTGGCTCCAGCTTACTTCATACTAGGGGGAAACAAATCCGGCGAGGGATGTGTCATTACACGTTCCCGTGTTGCAGTGTTGGATATCTGGGAGTAAGTATGCCTGATGGTAAAACGATTTAAGCAGATCCGTTGCCTGTAAGAGATTTTGCTACAGCTGCTACACCAACCGGCTCTTGTTAATGCAAAGGATTCGGTCTCTCTACAGTGTCTCTTCCTTGTGTACATTCCCCCATGCTTTTATATCGGTATCAGTATCCTCCTCAATTTCAATAAAAATCCACCATGGCTTCTGACTTTACCATTCACACTGGTGACATGAGACCAGTTTTGGGGTGCTCTGCTTTAAGCAACTTGAACTCTGGGGGTAACGCTCAAGAACATGAGAGCCTGGTGGATCAGTTCAGTGGCTCATCTGGGACTTCCTTTTAGGTATTCTGAGTCTTCCAACAGAAATTAGTTAGAAGTAAAAATCATTTAAGGTGCATCGTTGCCAGAAAATAGGCATTGATGTTTGCTACTTCTTTCAAGCTTGGACACAGAAAATGGCGTCTGGTATGTAGTGGAAACCAATTATGACCGCTGGAAGTCTCCACCCTTTCTGGATGACCGGAGAAGCCCTGCAAAGAGCTGTTTGAACCAAACAAAGCAAGCGGTAGGTCTAAACAGTGGTGTCCAAACTTTTTTCAAAGAGGGCCAGATTTGATGAAGTAAAGGGCCAATTATACCCAAGGAAATAAACTGTCTCATGGGCCAGGCTAAACCGACCTGATTAGATTAGGCCCCCAAAACGGATTTTGGACATGCCTGGTCTAAGACATGCAAAATTAATTAAAACAATGTTGTAACCCAAAGTCCTGTTACAGGTGATGAAACCTGACCATACTAAATGTTTGACATCTTACTATTTTTTATATTTTGCTGGAAGCCACCCAGAGTGGTTGGGGAAACGCAGCCAGATGGGATGGGTATGAATAATAAAATTGTTATTAATATATTTTAATTAAATTGACACTCCATTCGTGCAGCTGGACTCCATTATGTCAGTCCAGCACCATTGTTTCAAAATGAAACGGATAGGACCACAACATGGTGCAGGCATGCCCCACATCTGCCCATGCCCCCTTTTTTAGAGGAAAATGTACCACAGCGCTCGCAAAGAGAAGCTTTGCACCTCTCCTCCATTTAGAACAGTGTGTCCACTCCTGACCTCCGTTCGTGGGCACGTTTAAAGGAACTTGTTCCACATAGGAGAGGCTGAGCAGGAGCAAACATACTCATGCACTCTAGATTTTCAATGAGATGTTTACTGAGACCTTTCACAGACACCTAGGAAGCAGTGGTGGGAACCCTGGTGCCCACAAGCATCAACTTGACAACTCCGGGTATGTTGTACTAAAGAAGAAGAAGAAGAATAACAATAACAACAATAAAAAATCCATTCCCTATTCAAGGATAACTCAGTGGAGCTTGAATCTGAGCAGAACTGCACAAGATTGGAAATACTAACTGGAGGCAAAATTTGAAGCTAGTTACGCAGTGGAACCTCGGTTTTTGAACATAATCCGTTCTGGAAGTCCGTTCGACTTCCAAAAATCATTTGAAAACCAAAAATTAAAGGGCTGTCGGCAAAGTGAATGGTGAAAATAGAAAAACGTGCCACAGAAGCTGTTTGACTTCCAAAAATTGTTCAAAAACTGAAGCATTCACTTCCGGTTGTTGGCGTTCGGGTTCCAAATTGTTCAGCTTCTGAAGCATTTGACAACCAAGGTTCCATTGTAATCCAGATTTTTTTTTCTGTCTGCACCCTCTGCTGGTACATGACCCCACCCCCAGCAGCAGATGGCCTCCAGGGTGCAACGCTTCAGAAAAATGGTTCCCTGCTCTATAGAGGGAGTCAACTTTTGGCTTCACTGCTGCTTAGCAGAGGTCAGATGTTGAAATTTGGTAAAGAAACTGCTTAGGTTGAAGCTTTGTTTTGGCTCAAGTCTGCAGGTAATTTAATTCTTTGTTCTCTCTATTTTTCACCCACGCAGAACATCTCATTGCCAGCTCTGTACAACATTCTCTCCACAAAGCCCATTCTCAATAAGGTAACTCGTCCTCACTCTTCCTTGTCTAGCATGTTGTTGCCTTATTCAGGTCTTGGTAGGCGAAAGGGGAGAAGACTCTTTATTGCTGCTCTTAAGACAGATGGTTCCCACAGCAGATTATTTCTGCCTAGAATATTCTTTGTACTCCTTAGATCCCAGAGTTGGGGATGAAAACCAAGCCACAAGACAATCTAAGCCATACACATGTGTGGAAACAAACACGAGAGAGTGCATTTAATATTATTTATTTATTATTATTTATTGAATTTATATACCGCCTTATGCCCAGAGGTCTCAGGGCAGTTCACAGAATAAAAGCAAAATAGGTAAAGGTAAAGGTACCCCTGCCCGCATGGGCCAGTCGTGTCCGACTCTGGGGTTGCGTGCTCATCTCGCTCTAGAGGCCGTGAGCCGGTGCCGTCCGAAGACACTTCCGGGTCACGTGGCCAGCATGACGAAGCTGCAGCTGGCGAACCAGCACCAGCGCAACACACGGAAACGCCATTTACTTTCCCGCTATAAAGCGGTCCCTATTTATCTACTTGCACTTAAGAGTGCTTTCGAACTTCTAGGTGGGCAGGAGCTGGGACCGAACGACGGGAGTTCACCCCGCCGCGGGGATTCAAACCGCCGACCATACGATCGGCAAGTCCTAGGCACTGAGGTTTTACCCACAGCGCCACCCGCGTCTCTTTAAAAGCAAAATATAAAACCACAAAAGACATAATCAAAATAAAAACAATAACCCAATAACCCTCCACCCCAAAAACCCACATTTTAAAAGGGCACGCTGGCAATTTTTGGGGTAGTTAGTCTGTTAATTCTCTTAGATTTCCAGATATTGGCAGCACTGATTCCGCTTGGTGTGGAGTGTCCCCCATCCCCCCCCCCCCTGCATCTGTAAATCAAAGCATTGTTGCATTGCATGTGAGGCTTTTATATTTGGTCTAACTAAGACATAGCTTTCCACCCTTGTCGATATAAAACACTTTCTTTAGAAAAGCAATCTGCTTCATGGTACAGTCATACCTTGGAAGTTGAACAGAATCCGTTCTGGAAATCCATTCGACTTCCAAAATGTTCAGAAACCAAACCGTGGCTTCTGATTGGCTGCAGGAATTGGAATTGGAAGCCGCAGAAGCCATGTTGGACATTCAGCTTCCAATAATAGTTCACAAACCGGAACAGTCGCCTCCAGGTTTGCGGCGTTCAGGAGCCAAAACGTTCAAGAACTAAGCTGTTCGAAAACCAAGGTATGACTGTATTGACTTATTCTCTTGTTTTTGGTTCAGACTCACTAAAGCCGTGAAAACTTTGCTTTCCCCCCCATTTAGCTGACTGTGTGTACAACGCTGCTCGAGGTTTCTGAAGGCCATATGGAGACTTACCTGAGGGAGTGTCCGGACCCCTGTAGCCCCTGGTGAGGACTCGGGTGGCTTATGAAATGGATGCTCACCAGGCAGGAAAAGACAGAGGCTGTACTTCATCCAAGACTCCCCTTCACTTGCAGCGTGTCTTATGAGATGATGATTTTCTAAACCTGGCAGTTATGCAATGGTTTGCCAGTGTAAACCGTACCCCTTGCATTTAACATACTGTTAAGGTGCACTTCCTATGAATTGAAACTTAAACAGTGGGCTTTTTGGATCCCTATTTCCTTACACGCTGCTTCAGCCCGTCAATGTTTAGGAAATGTCTTGCAGTGCAATCCCTGGGCATGATTTCCTCCGAAGTTTAGTCTCTCAGACTTGGTCCCGGAGATCTGTTGTAGGCTTAGAAAAGACACTGTACAAACTCCCTTCAGGTAGAGGGTTGCTGTCAGTCTTTTAAAAGAAAGCCCAGTGTTTGGCCTTGCGATCGGACTGCCAGCTGCCTCTGCGCCACAGTGCATTTTCCCAGTTCTGAAGAAACGTTGTGGGGCTCTTGGCCTCCCCAGTTCCATCTCTTCCAAACTGGGAGCAGGGGTCATTTCCAACAGCATGGCAATCTCCAGCCTTGGAGGGCTATCTTGGCTCCTCCCGGTGGGGATTTCTCCCCCCCCCCCCACTTCTTTTCTTTTTAAAGAGCTGGGAGGGAGAGCAGCGCTAACCTTACAACACTCTTTCCTTAAGTTAACAAACAGATGGCCAGGCTGCCTCTTCTGTGCTCTTAAAGAGAGGTTGTAGCATTAGCGACAGGTTTAAGCATGGGAGACTTCTTAGCTGGGCTAATACGAATTGTGCTGCTTTCAGTGCAAGCAGGCAGGTTTTAAATTGCTGCTTTTTAATGAGCATAATTGGCTAACCTGGGGAATGAGCAGTGGTTTGGGGCAGGGCTTTTTTTTTTTTTTTTTTCCCCCCGGAACTCTGTTCTGGCACCTCTCAGGTGGGCGCCATCGCCATTCTGGGAGAACAAGGGAGGTGTTCATGGTGAGTTCCGGCACCCCTTTTTTATAGAAAAATGGCACTGGTTTTGGGTATTCCTGGCTATGGCAAAATGGGTCCATCCATCCCTGCCCACCTCTTCCTTTGCCCTGTTCCACTCCCTGCTCCCAGTTCAGTAGATTAGAGGTGGTTGCTTTCTAAAAGGTTTAGGCACTGGAATAAAAATTATTCCGCTTTCCTACTAACCTAACGTGGCTACGAATGTTTCCGTACTGCTAGACAGTACAAAGAATGTACTTTTAATATATTATGGATCGCTTTACAATTAAAGAAATTGTGGGAGAAATGGTCCACATTGCTTTGTCTGACTTCTTTGGGAAAGCAAAGCGAGGAATGAGCTTCACTGTATTGCAGCTTCTGCAAAGCCGCTCCCATTTCTCTCAGGGCTTGACGACATTCTGCAGAGGTGGCTAATCCTACACCCACAAACTGGCCATGCCTTTTGTCTGTTGATTCAAAAGTCCTTCTGGTGATTTGATAGGCATCTCGAGGGCTGTGTTACACCTAAGCACAAATTTCCCTGAGGGAGGAATGCTAGTTTGGAAAGGGTGGTTCTGAATGCCTGGTTAACATGCTCTGAGTAGGAGAGGCAAGTTCCAAAGAAGAAAGTGGCCCAGCGCCTACATCTGAATATTACGTTGGTGTGTTAATGCATTAATGCAGATCTGCCCCTCCCTCTCCGACCAGCTGTCCGTCCCCCACACAGTTGGAGTTCCCAGCCGAAAAAGACACAAGTTTATAAGGAATGCCTTGCCGGTTTTTACACAGTATGTGACTTCTAAATGAAAATATTGTTAAACGTATCTGTGCAGTCTGGAAGATCTCAGCTGAACTTATTTATGCTTGCCAACTATATAAAAATAAAGATCTTTGTGCTTGCCAACTATCTTTATATAGAACTAAGTCCAGCTGAGATCTTCCAGACTGCATAGATATATATATACAGTGGTACCTCAGGTTGCAGATGCTTCAGGTTACATACGCTTCAGGTTACAGACTCTACTAACCCAGAAATAGTACCTCTGGTTAAGAACTTTGCTTCAGGATGAGAACAGAAATCGCGTGGCGTGGCGGCAACGGGAGGCCCCCATTAGCTAAAGTGGTACCTCAGGTTAAGAAAGAGTTTCAGGTTAAGAACGGACCTCCAGAACGAATTAAGTTCTTAACCCAAGGTACCACTGTATAGCGCTTTTAAGCATTAAAACATTGGTGCCGTTGCAAGATTTTGATACACAGGGAAACTGGAAAGATGAGTTGACAGTAAAATCAGGAGTATAGAAACTGAATGTTTCCCAGCTGAATCAACCAAATCCTTTAATCGTCACAAAATCAACATTTCGGCTACAAAGGTTATGGTGGTGGCCAAGGTATAGGACTTCTGTCTCTCCTCTTTTCCTGCCCCAATCCTCCACACTGATGCCTGTTTCTTAAAACAAAAACCCATGGCTATAACTTACTGCTGTTGCAAGATGGACTGCGTGTTATGCTCATCACGTAAAAAGCTAGGCTGGGATTCCCAAGACTTCCCTCCTGGAAGAAAATGGGAGACGCTTGGCTAGCAGGAGTAAGACTGATGTTCTTCCTTTGGTTTTACATTGCTCACTCTCCCTGTTTGAGGAGGCAGCGGAGTAATTCTTTGCTACCTTCGCTGCTGCTTCACTATGTGACTTTAAGCCTTCAATAAGTACTGGAGTGAGATCCCCTGTCAGCTTTACTCAGGAACAATTGTGTCAATAATGATCCTCATCTCCCCATTGCACTGCAAGGCCATGGCTTCCATAGGATTGCCGACTTTCTGCCACTTTCAGTTCTGAGCGAAAGCAAAGACTTGGTGCAAAATCGGCTGTTTTCACACCAAGGAAGCCTGAGTTAACACTTGGATGATGATGCACTTGTAAGTGGGACTTTTCTTGCACCTCACCTGGAAACTGCGGTTAGTTCAGAATGCTGCAGCAGGGTTTCTGACAGGAGCGAGACCCTGTTAGCATATCGAACCTCTGCTCCCAGATCTGTCCTCATCATTCTTGTTACCAGGCGACGTTCAAGGTTATATATTGGTATATAAAGCCCATATGTGCCCACTTGGATCTGCAGAATGGGCACCATTACAGGTTGCCACCCAGTAACTGCTCCGCAGTTGTAAGAAATTTATTGTTTAGTGTGGCAGCAACTTTGGAACTCCCTGCCAATTGACATCAGGCAGGTGCCTTTACCATACTTTCTTGGGTACCTGCTTAAAACATTTTTGTTTAGGCAAGCCCATTCAGATATGTAAATGTTGACAAGCTTTAATCTTTTTTTAAAAAAAAAATCTGTAAAAGTTTTTAATGGTTAACTTTTTAATAATGTTAATATTTCATGTAAACGACTTAAGAGGTTTTACTACTATCAAGCATTATGTAAACTTTGTGGGTGCTATTTATTTAATTTATTTAGCAATCTTGTACCTCCCACCACCTCCTTGAAGACTGGAGGCCTAGCTTCAACCAGGCTTCTCCAGTTTTCAAGTTCCATGTTGCCAGAGCCAGCTCAACTAGTTCCACTTGCTGAAACTAGAATGTCTTGCAGCTGCACCTCTATTAACAATGGGGTGCAAAACTAAGACTCGTTCTATGACCTAGTTTTTTACTAAAGTGGCTTGTTAAATCCTGCAAGTCTAAACAAGGCAATTCATAACACCAATTTTAAGGAGAAAATATTACAGTGGATCAATAACAGATTGGATTGTAATCTGACATAAATGCTGCTATGGGTGTGTGTTTGGGGTAGAGTTCCACATTGCTTAATATGGGTTTATGCTCAAGTAAGCATGCATACACAGGTTTGCAGCTCTGGTCACCACTAGATAACAATAGGATTTAGAAACAATCTGGTGTATTGTGTGTCAATTAGCAAGTAGATCTGTGCAATAAATTGTACAGCTCATCATTAGGTTATGCTTTGGCAAGACGGATTGTTTCTAGAACTTTTTATGTCTTGGCCACTTTACAGCAGGGCATTAATCATGCTCGAGCCCATTGATTTCAACAGATGTGGCCGCTGTTCACTCCTGCAACGCAAATCTCTTCCACGCAGCTAACGGGCCATAGCCGAATGCTTTCCCCTTTAACCAAGGAAACCTTGAAACTTGTTAGATGAAGGCACAGCAAATACCAGGGAAGTTTTTCCCAGTATAGAGAGGGCGTGGTGGGGAAATGGCTAATAAATGCCGGTGATGTGAAGCTGCAAGAACCGTAGGCGGTTTAAGGTATTTTGCCCTGATGAGCCAATTGGTGTGGTTATTCCACGCTTGAAATTTCCATCATTTATTGCACAGCTGCACAGCAGTGACTAAATTGCCTGGAGCATCTTCCTCAAAAGTATAACATCGTATAAAAAAAGGTAAAGGACCCCTGGATGGTTAAGTCCAGTCAAAGGCGACTATGGGGTTGCAGCACTCATCTCACTTCCAGGCCAAGGAAGCTGGCGTTTGTCCACAGCTTTCCGGGTTGTGGCCAGCATGGCTAAAGTGCTTCTGGCCTAATGGGACACCGTGATGGGAACCAGAGTGCACGGAAACGCCGTTTACCTTCCTGCTGCAACGGTACCTATTTATCTAGAAGCGGAGCTAGCTGCTCCAGCACCCGGAGCAGCCCGTGGAGGCAGGGCTAGCCGCTCAGTGTGCCAACGGCAGGGAATGTCCCAGGGGGGCCACCGCCCACGACGATGTCACACACCCCGCCTCAGGGATGACACCCGGGCAGACCACACTCACTTTCTCCGCCTCTATTTATCTACTTGCACTGGCGTGCTTTCAAACTGCTAGGTTGGCAGGAGCTGGGACAGAGGAACAGGAGTTCACCCCATTGGGGGGATTCGAACCACTGACCTTATGATCAGCAAGCTCAAGAGGCTCAGTGGTTTAGACCACAACAGTCGTTAAAGACTTACATTTGCTCCCAGTACATTTCCAAGCACAATTCAAAGTGTTGGTGCTGACCCTTAAAGCCCTAATTGGCCTCAGCCTAGTATACCTGAAGGAGCATCTCCACCTTCATCATTCTGCCCGGACACTGAGGTCCAGCGCTGACGGCCTTCTGGCGGTTCCCTCACTGTGAGAAGTGAAGTTACAGGGAACCAGGCAGAGGGCCTTATTGGTGGCAGCATTGTGAAAGACTTTGAATTGCTCTTATTATCCACAACTGTGAGAAAGAAAGTTCAGCTCTTCACTTGCAAGAAAGAAGCTACGTTTTGCTGGAGGTGATAACAAGCAAGTCAACAAGATGATCCTTAACATATTTACTTTACAAGATTGCAAAGAAAAGCAAATCCAGTGCCCCCCCCCCAAAAAATGGAGAACATGGAAGCTATTATCCCCAAAAAAGGATATGAAAGGAGTTTAATATTGAGATAAAAGCTTTACCAGTTTTAATGGGAAATTAAGAAATGGTAAATAAAAGTTTGTAGTCTGTACCGCCCTGTAAAATGTTAGGGGGTTGGCCAGTTAGAAGTGATCTCAATTCATACTACAGAGGATATTCCTGTTTCACTGTACATCATGTCTCAGTGCCACAACAAAATCTAGAGTCCAGGATGAGTGAACAGCAACACAATTCCAAAGCAATTCCAGGTATGATATCATGTGCTTTCCTTGGGCAGAGAGACTGCAGCCAAGGGGAAATGTTTCCAAATTGCAACCAAATAAACCTCTTTCCACCGGGATCTAACATCGCATAGACTATTTTGGGGGACTCAAAATTAAGAAAATGGGAGGGGAGATTCCCCAGAGGAGTTGAGCTTTTGGGGGGGGGTTGCAGAAAAATTGCTCACCCACCAGACTGGCAATGCTGCTCACACACGTTGCAAAATCAATCTATCCTCTATTTCCTCCCCGACAAAAGCAGCAAATTGCCCACCCGATGCCACAACAAAAGCTTCTCAACACCAGTCCTTGCTACAGCCACCAATCACAATCTCCGGCTCCACACGTCCCCACAATGCACTACCCATGTATAAGACGACCCAGAATTTTTAAACATGATTTCTGGAGGGGAAAAACCCACCTAGTCTTATGCTACAATTTACCATACTTTTCTGTGTATATCTTATAATGAACAGGTACTGGTTTTGATTTTGTCTTGCTTTTGCTTACTATAAAAAAAAACATGGAAGATGTAATAATTAGCAGGCTTTCTTTTCCTTTTATCATTTGGATTAAGTTGTATGTCTCCGGAATGTGAAGGTCTGCAGACGACCAATAAGGTGAAGACAGCACTGCATAAAGTGCCCAAGGGAACATGCTTCAGAAGTGGTGAAGTCTCTGCTTTAAATGGCACCACCTTTATTTGTCAGCGAGACAGACTTCTGGGTCCCAGATGGAGAACAGAGTAGTGCATGGAAATGCAGAGCATCGCTGATCTCAGGGGATGGCATTATTCAACACCGTCTTTTAAAAGTCCACATTCCCTCCCTCCCCACTTTAGAAAGGAATCGCCGAGTGGCGAAAGGCAAGGCAACGATGCACATCCGAGTCAAGCAGCCCGGGCGACTGTTAAGTCATAGTCTGCACTGGTTGAGCAAGCTCTTGCGATATTGCTTTAATCGCATTGCAAAAGCTGGCGGAACCAAATTTCTCAGCTCCTCTCAGCCTCCACCTGGCCGGCTCTACTTGTGTGTGCTTCTTGAGCAATCATGTCTTCATCACCTGCAGGTGAGCAGGGCTGCAACAGAGATTTCTTAACAGCTGTCAAGCAGCCCCACTCCTCTGAATTCCTATCACGTGCTTAGAATTTAAGAGTGCTGGCTAAGGAACTCCAGAAGGAGAGGGAAGTAGGAGAGGTGGCTGGGAGGAGCCCTGGAAAAGCATCTTGAGACCTAGGCAATCTTGAAGTTCCTGCTGCCGCCACAAAGGGAGGTAATTAGCATTTAGGGCCGCTAGGATACAAGAACTGTTTCTTCAGTCTTGCCCTGAGGCTGTATTAGTTGCTTGTTGGGTGCCAAGTCTTAATGGCAAACCCGTTTTTCACTTATTAGCTGTGGAAGTAGATTGTTATCATGGGAATGTTATGAACTCGCTGCTCTGAACTCGCTTCCAACTTGCCATGGATAATTAATGTTTCTATCCATTGCAACAGGAGTTTTGGGGAGGAACGCATTGAAACCAACCTCATCAGACCAGCTTTGTGCAAGGTAGAATGGTTGCCTCACAGTTTGTGACTTGCAAAGGCAGATTTTTCAATGCGCTCCCCATGCTGGTCAGATGAGGGATTGGACCCAAAGTCTGTGTGGCTTTGTGTTTTGTTTCAAACGGTAGCATTTCAAACAATGCCTCCAGTATGGCGATGGAGGGCCTGTGACTACAAATCTCATCTTCCTTGACCGTTGGCTGTGCTGGTTGAGGCTGATGGCAGATAGAGAGACGGCCGCCATCTGCAGAACTCGACTTTCCCATGTCTGCTGCAGAAGCACACAAGCAGGGCACAAGAGGTCTCCTTCTGTTGTTGTCACCAGTTTGGATACGGCATTCAGAATTAGGCTGCTTCTGCAAATGTGGGTTCTATCTTACTCAGGGTTGGCAAACCGATGGCCTTCAAATCTTTTTGGATTTGGCTCCCAAGAGCTCCAGCCAACATGGCTAAAGGGAGGTGGTAGCCAACATCTGGAGGCTCACCGATGGGGAAGGCCCTACGCTTGGTTACTTAGTAGTAGCTGCTGATGGGCCTAAAAATAATCAATTAAATTTAATCCATTAGTTTATCTCCTCCCATATTTAACAGGCCATCAGCCCATCCCATGACAGTTAAGTCCATAAATTAATTGTAAGCGCTGTGAATAATGACTTTCTTTGGTCTGCCGTAATCCTCCTGCAATATTTGCCTTTGGCAGGTGACCCCAAGTTGTGGTATTATGGCTTGCCCCAGATGGTCCAGCTTCTCCCCTGTTCAGGTACACATTGCACCAGTTACGTAGCTGACATGCAGGTTGCCCAAGGAGTGCTATTTCTATTCTAGACTCTTTGTGCCCCCCAAATGTTGTTGTTTAACTTCTATCTGCCCCAGCCAGCATGCCCAATGGTCAGGGAAATATTTGTGCGATCACAGACTTACTTAGCAGAGGTCGCACTAGACATCCCTTTGGAATGAATAGGAGTTATAGAGGATGGCTGGTGCCAAAGTTTCCTGTTGCCCCTTCAGTTTTTCCTCATGGCAGACAGAGCACAGCAATCACATCTTGTCTTGGGGTTTGAAAGCACTTGAAGTCCTACTTGATGAGAAGGGAAGTTACTGACGTAGGACCTAGGTAGGGTTATTGCCACTGCACATCTCTCGCTACCGCAGAGATTTTTAAGTGTTTGGCAAGACCTTGAGGTTAATTTTAATTTAGTGGAATCCCGATTTGCAACACCAGGCCCTCTACTAGGATTTCTGTGGCTTTTTGGCAACTGCTAAATGGCGGTCAGAATATGCACCTTTTCAGTAGCATCTCCGTTGTCCTTTGATGGGACTTCCCCCTGAAGAATGCGGATGGAACTCTGAGTGCCCTGTTGAACTTAATCCCTAAGGCAGGAACCGCAACACTTCAGGATGATGCTGATGGGCTTCAGCGCCCTTCATCTGGAGCCAGCATGGCCAATGGTCAGGGATGGTGGGAATTGTAGTTCAACCTTTGGAGACACACAGGTACCTCATCCATGCCTGAAAAACTTTTAAGAGGAATTATGGGCCATGGGGAAAATGCAAGTGAGGGGTTCTATCTCCACATTTCTTCTATGAGGTGCTAACGCCTGATTAAATACCCTTGAGGGAAGCGGGTGGCACTGTGGCCTAAACCACTGAGCCTCTTGGGCTTGCTGATCGGAAGGTTGGTGGTTCAAATACGCACAACAGAGTGAGCTCCTGTTGCTCTGTCCCAGCACCTGCCAATCTAGCAGTTCGAAAGCACGCCAGTGCAAGTAAATAATTAGGTACAGCTGCTGTGGGAAGGTAAATGGTGTTTCTGTGTGCTCTGGTTTCTGTCATGGTGTCCCATTGCACCACAAGCGGTTTAGTCCTGCTGACCACATGACCCGGAAAGCTGTCTGTAGACAAACACTGGCTCCCTCAGCCTGAAAGCGAGATGAGCGCCACAACCCCATAGCTGCCTTTGACTGGACTTGACCGTCCAGGGGTCCTTTACCTTTTTTTTTTTTTTTAACCAAACATCCTTCATCTCCTCGAGAAGGACACCTCCTTGTCCTGATGCCCCTTTTCCCTTCCCCCATGGAGAGCTCTGGGTTTAAACTATGGATCTTGAAGCCATTGGTATAAACTCTTCAGTAAGCATACTCAGAAACTGCGACAGATTTTATCTTCTTTTCCTTTGTGTTGATTCCGCCTTGGCTCCTGATTATAATGTAGGTACCAATGGGAGGCCAAGATGTTATTACCGAAATCCCCACAGCCCTGAAACGTTTGGCCAAGTACATGGTGCGTGGCTTCTATGGAGCCGAACATGCGCTGGCCCTCGATGTTTTGATCCGCTACGCATGCGTGAAGGAGGACGATTTGCTGCTGCTCCTCAGGTATGAGCGCAAGCAGCTGCGGACCGTCCTGAACACCCTCAAGGCCGATAAACTTGTGAAGCTGCGCATGCGCGTGGAGACAGGCCGCAACGGGAAGAACGCGAGGCACAATTACTACTACATTAACTACAAGGTGTTGGTGCATGTGGCGAAGTACAAGCTGGATCACATGCGCCGGAAGATTGAGGCAGACGAGCAGCGTTCCACCACCCGATCGTCCTTCAAGTGTCCCGCCTGCTCAAATGCGTACACCGACCTGGAAGTGAATCAATTGTTTGATGCTTTCACAGGTAAACTGCTGCATCTGTGTCGTTTGCCTCTTATCGTTTAGAAAATACGCCGAAACATAAAAATGCACCTCAATTGTAATTGTTTGTGCAGGGAAAGGCCTTAGCTCAGTGGGTATAGAGCAGTTTCTTTCCATGCAGAAGTTCCCAATTTCAGTTTCCATCATCTCCAGGGAGGTCTAGGAGAGATTTCTGCCTTCAACCCTGGATAACCATTGCTAGTTAGTGAGAGCCATATTGAGATAGGATCTTATCAAATCATAGTCAGAAGGGACCCTGCAGATCACCTAGTCCAAGCCCAAGTCCAAGCAATGCAGGAATACTGCCGCTGTCCCTTACGGGGGATCGAACCTGCAACCTTGCCATTGTCAGCACCATGCTCTAACTAACAGAGCCATCCCCCATTATGGGTGGGGCAATGGTTTGACTCGGCATAAGGCAGCTTCTGGCAACCCCATGTTGCAGATCTTTTAAAAGGAGATCTGAAGAGCGAGGGTAGTTTTTGGGTTATTTTCCCCCCATCTTTTTAATTGAATTTATATACCGCCCTATACCCAGGGGTCTCAGGGCAGTTCACAGAATAAAATCAAGACATAAAACCACAAAATATATACAGTGGTACCTCGGGTTACATACGCTTCAGGTTACATACGCTTCAGGTTGCAGACTCTGCTAACCCAGAAATAGTACCTCTGGTTAAGAACTTTGCTTCAGGATGAGAACAGAAATCGTGCTCCGGCGGCACAGCGGCAGCGGGAGGCCCCATTAGCTAAAGTGGTGCTTCAGGTTAAGAACAGTTTCAGGTTAAGAACAGACCTCCGGAACGAATTAAGTACTTAACCTGAGGTACCACTGTAATAAGAAAAGAAAAAAGAAAAAATAATAGCACCCCGCCCCAACCACCACCACCACCACCACCACCACCACCACCACCACATTTTAAAAGGGCATAGGAAGTAAATCAGATCAGCCAAAGGCCTGGTTAAAAAGGAACGTTTTTGCCTGGTGCCTAAAGGTGTGTAATGAAGGCACCAGGCGAACTTCCCTGGGGAGGGCATTCCACAGATGGGGAGTCACTGCAAAAAAGGCCCATTTTCATGTTGCACCCTCTGGACCTCTTGAGGAGGCTGTGACAGGCACGTCTCACGCTGTTGGGCCCGCTCTCACTTAGATAAATTGCTCCCACCTCACTGAATAACCCTTTAATTGAAGGTTTATTTTTCTTTTCCTCTTAAAATTCTAGCCCAGAGTATCTTGCGGGGGACCTTTGTGAGGGGATAACTAATAAGTTGGAGTCTCAGTCAGGTTTTCTTTAAATAAACAATAAAGGTTTATTTAAAGCAAGATAGTGTATAACACAAATGGATTAAACTTAGGTTACTTCAAGAATATAGTGTGATTTCACTTTAATTCGTTCTTAGTTGTTTTTGTGTTATAGGTTTGGTTCCTTTATATGGTGATACTATCTTTCAGTTATCCACCCCCTTTAACACTCCTGCTCCTGAGGTGCTTTAAGTAATAGACCAAAGGGCTCTCCACACCCCTTTCCTTTACTGGGTTTTGGAGTTTCTTCTTTTCCTTAGAAGAATCTCTCCCTTCCAGACTAGATTTGAGTCCCAAGTAGGCTGTTCCTTTCCAGCTCCTACTTGTCCTGGCTCAACCTCTGCCTCCCAGTAAAATTCCAGTCTATTCTTCCTACAGAACATCACACTCTGTCTTTCACAATACTCTCAGAGCGGAAATTGTTTTTACAGAGCCAACTCTTTCTCCCGTTCACTCTTTATACCCTAACCTGTCTCCTTACCTATCTCCCAACCTCTCCAACCCACTTCAACCAACCCTCTCCACTAACTCTCTACAAATCCTCTCCTTTTAATCTCTCCCTCCTGGAACCACGGCCAATCAGAGGCTGCCATTCAGTAACCATTTGCTGGCAGGGAAAGAAAGAAAGAAAGAAAAAAGAAACACTTGTTGATCCAACCGGTCCAGCAAAACCAACCTTTTCATCACAGAGGCACATGAAGAAAGGCCTCAGAAGATGATCTCAGGGTCTGGGTAGAGGTGGTCCTTGAGGTATTGTGGTCCTGAGCTGTTTATGTGCTGGACTTTAGATTTCTGCAGCAATCTGCTGAGGGCCTGTGGGCCCCTCTAGAAGTTGTTGGACTTCCATTTACCTGAGCCAATGTGGTCCATGACTGGGGAGGGTGAGAGCTAGAAATGAACAACATTTGGAGGGGCCACAGGTTTCCCCCTCCCATCGCCTCGCCTCTGTTTATGTGTCAGGGACATTTCGTTGCACCTACTGCAATACTGAAGTTGAGGAAGATGTGTCTGCGCTGCCCAGACGGGATGCCCAAACTCTGCTGGCCAAATTCAACCAACAGACGGAGCCCATCTTTGAGTTGCTCCGTGAAACGGAAGACATCGTTTTGCCATGTGACCTCCTTGAGCCCCAGCCTACAGAAATACCGGAACTAGCAAGAAGGTAACACGTCGTTAAATTTATCGAGCTCCAAGCGAAATACTGGCACGAAGCAGAGGTTGATGAGTTGAACAGTTTTGGGGTGGGTGTGGAGAACTGTCATGGTTGCCCCAACTAATTTTGTACCTCAGGCTTGCCTTTCTAACTGGAATAGGCAGCAGCTCTTCTTTCGTAGCATCATGTCACGAGACTTGGTGACAACACATATGGGTGATTATATATGTGAGTGGACTAGGATGGGTGGAACAGTCCGACCCCACTTCTGCAAAGTGGAATGAAATCTGTGTATTTCACCCCAACTCTGCTGTGATTGTGAAAACCAGAATGGCTTCTACATGGGAAAGCTCTCTACATATTTCCTTTAGGAAATGAGGCACAGAAGAGACTGTGGTGTCTTTATGATATGTGGTTTATTTACATACATTTGCACCCTGAGCCTACAATGGAGGAGTTCACAGCATCAACACCCCAAGGGTCTTGTTTCTCCCATGGCCACAGCCTTGGATTCAAGCCAAAATCAGCCATGACTTCTTATCTGCCTTTCCAGCTTGAAGCTTCCCCCATTCTAGCTTCTAGGTCACATGACAGTCAACTCTCGCTTTTGTCCTTCTCTCTGTCTAATAGCTGGAGAAGGAGACCATGCATAGGAGCCAACTCCTAGGGACCGAGGTCCCTTTGCCCCACCCCACCCATAAAATATTTGAAGGGGCCGAGCCTCCCTCCAAGTTGATGGGCATTGCCATTCAAATGGTGTGGGGCAGGGATTTCCTCCCCCCACCCCCAATATTTTATTCAAGTTGGCACCATGGCCCCACCCATTTGCTGTCTGGTACAGAGCTGCCTTTCCTTTATTCTCTCTTAATTGCCTGTCCCATGCCACCCTACCCGGAGGCATTAACCTCGTGAGGAAGCCATCCTGAATGATATTTTAACACTTGCTAGGATTATAGAGATTAGAAGTCTGGCACCCACTAGCTCATAACAGTACTCCTTGCCTTTCTTGTACCTTAGGCCACTGTTTAGTACTTGTTGTCATGGTACCAAGCAGAAAATAGTGCCCAGCCCATAATTGCTTCTGTCCCCACAATAAGGAAGAGATGCTGCTAGCCCTGATTCCAGTTGAAGGCAGAACTCTGCCCCATCCCTAGATTAGGGTAGCACCTTTCTGAGCAGAGGAATACTAGGCATGTCTGCTCCCCGGTTAAGTGTGTATAGCAATTGTAGCTACGAAAGGCACAATAATAATTCCTAACGGTGTAGTTTTGAGATGAGGTTGTTCAATTGTGTGGGCAATAGCCTTTTAATTTAGGAATACAGTGGTGCCCCGCAAGACGAATGCCTCGCAAGACGGAAAAACCGCTAGACGAAAGGGTTTTCCATTTTTTAGTTGCTTCGCAGGACGAATTCCCCTATGGGCTTGCTTCGCAAGACGAAAATGTCTTGCGAGTCTAGAGATTTTTTTTCCGCTTTTCCCCCCCTTTATCTAATCTGCTAAGCCTTTAATAGCCTTTAATAGCCTTTTAGCAGCTAATCCCCTAAGCCTTTAAGCCTTTAATAGCCGCTAAACCGCTAATAGCGCTAATAGCGCTAATCCGTCAATGGGCTTGCTTCGCAAGACGAAAAAACCGCTAGACGAAGACTCTCGCGGAACGGATTAATTTCGTCTTGCGAGGCACCACTGTATAAAAGAGATTCACAAAAGACTGTTCTGGCCTCCATTTCTGAGATTCTCGTACGTGAACTTTTATAGCTTTAATCACAAATAAAGCACTTCTTAGATGAAAAAGGCCTTTCAACCTATATCTGGTTTGTCCCTTACAACAGCCCTGCAAAACAGGGTTGCTACGAAGCAGGGCTTTTTTTCAGCCGGAACTCACTGGAACTTGGTTCTGGCACCTTTTAGGTTGGTGCCATTGCCATCATAAGAGAACAAGGTGAGTTCATGGTAAGTTCCAGCACCTCTTTTTCTAGAAAAATAGCACTGCTACTAAGCCATACTAGAGTTCTTAACAAGGAGTAGTAAATAAATTGTCTTCCTTTATAATTTGCTGGCTACCTTGAACGAATAAGCTAAAACAATATTCAGGGGGGCAGAAAAGGAGGATCTTGTTCCAATTTAGACCCACCGAAGCCAATGGGACTTAGAATATAATTGTGACATAACCCTATTAAATTGTGGTGTGGGAAAAGTATAACTTAGTCTGAATCAGAGCCGTACACTTAAAATATTAATGTCTATTAAGCAATACGAGAATGTCAGTGACAAGACTAACGTGTACATTTTTAGCTTGGATAAGAATCCATGTTCAAAAACTGAGCTGCCTCGTTGCCCTAAGAAATGGGCTGCCAGGAGTTGTGCCAGGAACATGTATGTCCAGAACGTTGTTATTGACATCCAAAAGTCTGGACTTAAGAAGAAAGCAATGGTCAAGGCAGTCAAAGGACAACCAGTATGGATGACCCAAAGTACCACAAAGGGGACCTATTCAGCTGTGGCTTCTACTAGTGTCGGTGAGTCCATCTTCCAAGAATATTATTAACACCTGCTGTTAAAAAGTGCTCCATTTCCATGTTGTTTGCGCTTCCCCTTTGGAGGTAGCTGAACTATTGCTGTTCCTCTGTCAGTCGATCCCCCTTTCCCTTGCATTTTGGAACAGGGAAGCTGTAGGGCACCACATTTGCTAAGCTAAGAAGTCCCAGATGTTGTTGGTACTGAGAAGGACACTTTGCCCTGGCCAGACTCTGCTCCCCAGTGTTCAAACCAGTTTTCATACCCAACCTCTAAAGCAGCAGTACCTCTCAAGCAGCATTTGGTTAGGTGCAGATACGCGAGAGCAAACAGGAGTCAATGTAGCGGCAAGGTAGACATCACCAAAGCAGTCGTTTGCCATCGGAATGGTGGGCTAGTTGCGTTGTTGTTTTTTAATGCATACAGCCAGTGGCCACCGCACTATAAATCCTAAAACAAAATAGATGTACAGTGGTACCTCGGGTTACATACGCTTCAGGTTACATATGCTTCAGTTTACAGACTCCGCTAACCCAGAAATAGTACCTTGGGTTAAGAACTTTGCTTCAGGATGAGAACAGAAATTGCGTGGCGGCGGCGCAGCAGCAGCAGCAGCGGGAGGCCCCATTAGCTAAAGTGGTGCTTCAGGTTAAGAACAGTTTCAGGTTAAGAACGGACCTCCGGAACGAATTAAGTATGTAACCAGAGGTACCACTGTAAATGATGCAGTTGACACAGGAGGAAGTTGCAAATGGTCCACAACTAAAAACGATAAGGTTGACTTAACCAGTAGCAGTAGGTGGTCCTGCATAGGTCTTGCTCACCTGCCTTCCCAAGCTGTGTTACAGCCAGTTTTGGAGAGGGACAAGGTGCTGAGTGTGTTGTGGCAAAGGAGGATTGGGTTGGCTCCATTGCACTGACACAGATTTGAGCTCCTTGTGCTTTGCCCTGCTTTCTCTTGGCAAGCAGCAGCAATGAAAAGGCTGGTGAGCACCCTGCCTGTGCCAGTTGCAATTGGCTGCAACTGCTGCTGTTGCAAGAGGAAAGTGTGAAGACACTTCATGCCTTTGCTTCAAGCATCCCATTCCTGGAAAACACCAATAAATTAGTGTCAAGCTACGGTTGCTCAATTGTGAAAGGAGCACACCCAATATGATCATCATTCATCTGAGGAAACTTTAGGGTTCATAGCCAACTGTGGCAAAGTAATTGGCTGGTATTTGTTTTCTTTTCTTGACCACCTTCTCATAAAATACATGGGCGGTGAATATAGATACATATTAGTCCAATTCCAGAGAAATTGAGTTGCTACGGGTTTTGCCACTGCTAAGGTCTCATTTATAGGAATGATGGTTCACTGAGGCTTGACTTAGGTAAAGGGACCCCTGACCATTAGGTCCAGTCGTGACCGACTCTGGGGTTGCGGTGCTCATCTCGCTTTATTGGCCGAGGGAGCCGGCGTACAGCTTCTGGGTCATGTGGCCAGCATGACTAAGCCGCTTCTGGCAAACCAGAGCAGCACACGGAAATGCCGTTTATCTTCCTGCTGGAGCGCTACCTATTTATCTACTTGCACTTTGACGTGCTTTCAAACTGCTAGGTTGGCAGGAGCAGAGACTGAGCAACGGGAGCTCACCCCGTCACGGGGATTTGAACCGCCAACCTTCTGATCGGCAAGTTCTAGGCTCTGTGGTTTAACCCACAGCACCTACTCAACGCTAAATTACTTTTATTAACTAACAAACCGTTCTGATAATAAACCCTGCTTTTACATGTTTCACAGTACTCAAGGGGGGTTGCAGAAAAAGAGATCCCAATATCTTGGGCTTCTTCCCTTTGAAGGAACAACACACAGTTTCAATAAGGGCATTCACTAGCTACGAGATTGGACTTCCATCTGTACCTCTGGGTAGCAGAGCTCTGACCTGCTTCAGAGGCACTCTGTGTCTGCACAATTCGACTTGTCACTGGGGACCTAATTAGATAAGTGAAAAACAAAGCACTGCCCGATTCCTTACCCTGTGGAATCTAGAAATGGCTATTACGAACTCTTTCCCCTCCTCTCTGTAGCCATTGCAGTCTCTCCAAAGGGGACTAAGTCACCTCCCTGAGTGTAACCTGACCCTATTAGATCTAGTGCCTTCTGGAACAAGTTTTGCTCTCAATTTGGATGGTAGGTTAAACATGGTGAAGAGCTCCCTTAACTGTATTTCTCCCCCCCACCCCACTAGACATGCCTAAGGATGTGGCAGACTCTCCCAAGAGACCTTCCATTAACAATGAAGTACTAAGGACTCTACTCATCCACGAGTCAATCCCTTTCTCTGTGTCGGGAAAGACCCCTTGTTTTGACAAAAACGGACCTCAGCAGTCAGAAAGCGACACCAGTGAGTCCAAGGAAGGGGCCAAACCAACTGCAGTCAACGTCACCGGCAGTGATCTAGAAAATGATCAGGAGCCAATAGCGCTAAATCCGACCGTAATTGTGGCTGGACGGCCACACTTATACAGTGAAGTGAGTGAAAACCCAGAGCTGGTTTCATTTATGACAGATGAAGAGCGAGATGCCTACATTAAAGTTGGGCAGGAGGTTTTCCAATCTGTCTTTGAGTAAGCACATGGATCAGGTTGATGGCTTGCACAAACCTCTTTGTGCAAATGGATTGTAATACAGGTGAAAAGGATAAAACCTACTGTGCTTTTTGTTTAAGAATGGCATTTGAGATGTCAATTATAACAGTCAATTTGTTTTCCGTTGGAAGATTAACTGACAGTCTAAAAGTCAAGCGAGGTTGAGTCTATTATTTTGAAACGAGGAATGTTTACTTTTGCATTTTTGTTTAAAAAAGAGTCATAAATCCAAACTGTATGAATTGTAAGAGGATATATATAATGTGCCTTGCAAGCTTAAGGTTGACATCATTTTTATTCTCAAGGAAACCTACTAAGCAAAAATAGAGTTATGTCCACAAAACCTCCAACATGGCGATTGTCCAGTTAGCAAGTTAGTTTTTTGGGGTTTTTTAAAGCACATCAAAGTTGCCTTCTCTCTGCAGTGAAGAAAGCAAGACTCTCTTTGAGTTGTAGTCATTAGATGCTGAGATGCTGTGCTTGGCTATGGCTTAGCGGATTGGGAGAGAGAGGAAAAAATGCTGATGGAAAGTGGCCTTTATGGAGTCCTGTGATAGCTACTAGCTGTGCTTCCAAGGAAATTCACTGTCTCCTAAATGGCTGTCTCCTAAATGAGCAAGAGATTCTGCCATTTGCTCTAATAACTAAAAACAGGTCAGACATCAACTGCCCTGCAAGAAGGGAGACAGGCACACAGGCTAAGATAATATCAGGGCCTACCCAATTGAACTGAGTGCCACTGTCCCCCTGCCCAGCCCAGTGACCAGTTTATGTTTTACATCATCTACTTGATTTGATATTTAGAAATTGTAAGCTGTCCTGGGGGCCTTGACAGAAAGGTAGTTATAAATGCTCTGTATGCAAGCATGTCTGTCTAGGTCTGTATGTATTTGAATAAGCAGAAATAAAAGGATATACTATAGAATAAACTCTACAACCCACATTAATTGGCAAGTTTTTTGTTTTTTTTTAAGCAACCCTCCAGTAATACCTTTGAGGATTTTGTGAAACATGTAGTGCTGGCTTAACATCTTGCACTGAAGTATCAAATTACATCTTCACAAGCTTACATACTATATATATATATATATATATATATATATATATATATATATATATATAGTATTTTCTTGATTTACAAAAGTACATGCCTTGTCTTTTTCAGGTTGTACGGTCTTTCTTACAAATCAGCTATGTTTGTTGTGAGACCTTAGTGCTGAGTACAGTATAAGGTTGGGGAAGGGGGAATGATGAGACTTATACTTTTTTGCATCGTGTACGTGTGGGGCTTCGTGTAAGCGTCAACTGGGTAGGTTCTCTTTCTCTTTATTACATTTCCTTGGCAGTAAGAAGTATTGGGGGGCAGGGTGTGGTGGCTGTCTGCAGTGGGGTTTGTTTACATATGGGGGAGATTGTTAGGTCAGGTCAGCCATATTGATTCATATGCTGTGGGTGGATTCTTGTCTTGTTGGGCTGTGTTATGTGATAAAGGAGTGCCATACAGGGGTGAAGACGTCCTATATGTCGCCATGTTGGTTTATTGGTTAGCTTTTCTTGTAAGGCCGCTTCCCGTAGAATTTGATGCCATTGGTCCACGTTTACTCCTGACAGGTCTCTCCAGTGCTCCAGTGTCTGGCTATGAGGCTTCTGAGAGTATGTGGGTTATAAGCTCTGTATGAGTGGAGCTATTATGATTTTGGAAGATGTTCAGCAGGGCCAGTCCTGGGGTGACTTCTAATACCTGTTGAGTTATTTCGCTATCTCTTGTAGGACTGCTGTCCAGAAAGGTTGGATTTTAAGGAATTTCCACCACATGTGGAGGTATGTAACTGTGCAGGTACAGCCTCTCCAACATCTTGGTGAGGTTCCTGGGCATATTAGTTCTAGTTTCTGTGGTGTTATGAACCATCTGTGAGTTTCAGAGTGAATTCTTTTCTTTTCGCCGTTATGGATTTAAAGTGAGGTTTAGACCACATTCTAGTCCATTTGCTAGGTTTAATTTCATAGCCTATGTCGTGCTCCCATTGTTCTTTACGTCAAAGTGGTTTGTGGTATTTTGGAGTAGTATTTTGTGGATATCATCCCTTTGCTGTGTCCCTCAGCTGTCAGGAGGTGGTTTTTGAAGGTGACAAAGGGTCTAGTGGCTGACAAGCTTACATACTTAAGACCAATACCGTAAAAGGTTTTGCTACACCAACTGAGCATCAGTTCCTATTTATATTTTTCTAAATCTATCTCCAGCTGGCGTCATATTCTTATATCGTAGGCTAATCCCTGGAAAATGTATAATTAATGCTGGATTACTGGTGATATATTATTGTATATTATTATGAGAGTGTACTGGGAACACGCCTACTGGATTAATTAAAGAGACAGCAGTCATCCCCTAAGGCTGGAAGCTCTTTTGGGGACTTTGATCCTCCACATTTCTCACACTTGGTAAGGTATAAGTCTACTCTTGAAAAATATCCACAGCAGGGGTTGCTGATGTGGCATCTTCAGGGATATATGATCCCGCAGGGGCCCTTCCCAATGCTGGAATTAGGCTTGACAGCAGCATTCGGATGTAGTACAATACTGTGGTAGGTGTGTAGCATCCATGAGTCTATTGCTTTTCCTACTAACTAACCTGCCCACACTGTATTTGTTAAGGTGACTAGTTCACTATTTAGAAAACCAGGTTTTCCCATACCCCCGTGTCGCTGCCTTGATATTTTCTCCCTCTGAAGTGCTACTGCGTTATCAGTGGAAGATGAAGCCAGGGTTAATGTTGCATTGGTGCAGAAAAGCAAACTCTAAATTGTTAAGTCTGTTTCCTAAGAGTGGCTAACACTAAAATGGCACCTTTTTTTGTTTGCAAATAGGGCTTCCGTATAGAACAAATGGCGGCTTAAGGTAAATTTCGACCAACAGAACTTTTCCATCATAGCCTTACAAGATGAAAGCCGTATGTGCTAGAATTCACGCTTCTTTTAACAGTGCTGAGATTCTTCCCTATATTTAATGTGCACAATAATACAGTGGAACCTCGGTTCTTGAACCACTCCGTTCCTGAACATTTCAGCTCCCGAACATTGAAAACCTGGAAGTGTTCCAGTTTTTGAACATTCCTCAGAACCCAAACATCCGACACGGCTTCCAATCTGCAAAAAGCCTAGCTGTCAGCCAATCAGAAGCCACGCCTCGGAATTCAAACATTTCAGAAGACGAAAGTCCTTCCGGAACAGATTACATTCAACGTCTGAGGTCCCACTGTAGTGAAAAACCTACATACTGGGTTTCAAATAACAGCGGCAATTAACTTGTCTCTATGTGCCCTCCATGACTACTTTTACCTAGTTGAAAGGTGTCCTTGAACTGTAACAATTCCTCTTGCTTGGATGGAGAGGTATAGAAACGTCTCAACTTTTGTTTGGCTGAAACAGTCACATCTACTGCTCCACTTTGGGCTCCCGGTCTTGCCCATCATGAACATGCAGCCCATGAGGCAACATGGCCCCTGGACTGGAAAAAAGCTGACGACACCACCCCCACCACCACTAAATCCTCCTGTTTTTCTTATCTGACCACTTGAAAGGCTTCTTCCCACTGTAATTAATTTCATGAATATCTCGCATTGCATAGGCCCTCAGGGCATAGCAGTATTGCTCTTAAGACTTTTGGCTAAGGGTTTCTCCCATCTATCCTTTAATTCCCAAGTGACTCATTATTCTGCTTGAGTAATATATTATCCACCCAAAATCCTTTAGGATACATGGCAGAAGAGGGGCAAACCCATCTACAACTTGCTTTCCTAAGGCAAACTGGCAGGATCAACAGCAAGCAGCTGGTCTGCATAGGTGGTTCATATAATCTGCATAGCTAAAAATAGGGCTGACCCTAGACCCTTGATCATCAGCCATGCTGCCTGAGGCTCATTGTAGCTGAAGTCAACATGTAGGTCCATGCTTTACAGTATCAAATCTGATGTTTACAGAATTTTGAAGCTGAATGCTGTCAGGTTCCAGACAGACAAAATGAATAAACTGGGAATTTGCGATCATTAGATGCAGAGATGGTCGAGATTCTGGATGGCTTTTAAAGGGGTTTAGACAAATTCATGGATGATAAGGCTATGCACTAGTCTCCAATGAGGTAGGTAGAATGCCTCTGAATAGCGGTTATAGGGAATCATAGGTTGGGAGAGCAGCCTTGCCCACCGTGAGAACAGGACATTGAACGTCAGAGTCCTGCCTGATCGGACCAAACAGTGTTTTAGGGTTACCATCTTTCAAAAGAGTAAAACCAACCCCAAAGCTGTCAAGCTTTTTTTTCTTTTTTAGACGAAACCCACAGTTGTCAATCTTCTTTTTACAAAAAAAAAAGGACTTTCGGATGATGGACACGCCCATTCCATCCAGATGCGTGGCTGCCCTGATACTGCACCTGTTGAATTCCCACTGCCCTACCTACTGCATTTTAGGGTTGCCATCTTTCAAAAAAGTAAAACCAACCCCAAAGTTGTCAAAAGTCCTTTTTTTGTAAAGAGAAAAAAAGATTGACAGCTTTGGGGTTGGTTTTGTCCTGGACCCTTGACAAGCCCATCGAAAAATCCAGTTTTGTTGAGGCAGGGGGTTCATCACACATCCATCCCCACTCAATCAATCTGATAGGTGAGGGTGTGTGTAATTTTCATCCCCATCATGGATTTGGCATGGACAGAAAAGTTTAAACTGGCACACTGAATTGAATTGGGATTGAAGATTCCTGGCCCCTGCTCTAACTCAAGAGTTATTCCATGACTGGAAGATCATTTCTGTATGCAGGATGACACTTCTGCATCCAACCCACTACTTTGGTCATGTGGAAAAAAGGAAGTTTTACACTTAATAAACTGCAGCAATGAAGTAAAAGAAATGATTCAATACCGCTTATCTCCTTAAATCTTTTAACACCTGTCTGTTCACAGAGCGTCATATCCACACCTACGTACAAGTCAAACTTTATTTAAAACTACATTTTAAAATTGCTAAAATCACAATAAAATTTCTTTTAAAAAAGACAAGACAGAAACGAACTGTGCAGCCAGACTGAAAACTCAGTTTTAGCTGTTTAGACTTTATGGGGGGCGGGGGGCGGAGTTAGCATGCCTATTCTAAAAGGCAATGTGTGAAAAACTAATTTACATTTTTTGTACAGATTAGACCACATGAAGTTTAGTAGCAATTTTCTAGATGCAACTGCAGATGAAATAGGCCAAGAAAGAGCCCTGGATGTCATTTTCATGCACTTTGGGCTCCTGTAGTCTCTGTAAAAAGAGAAAACACTGATCATTGTTCAGAAACAATAAAATAATACATTTTTTAAAAATAAATGTTTGGTCAGGGCTTCCCTCAGCACTTTGCAGACTATAGTCAGCACAGATATATGACCAATTCAGTGAGTGTCCCAGATGCACTTTATAATATGCTTCTGCTCACCCTTTCCCATTCATCTGAGAAGACCTCTATTTAACCACATTTAGCCTGCTGAAATTAGTGGGGCAGCACCTGTAGCATTCGGGACCCCACAATAAAATTGCAGGACAGAAGAAAGGGACCAGAGAGGCTGCTGTCCAACTCTCACCTATACAGGATCAGAGCAAGCTAAATTAGCATAATGGATATAAATATCTCCCCATGCCTCAACTAATAGTCAAAATGTCACAAGTTTGAACATAAAGTGAACTGCCGAATCTTGATCCCTCCTTTTCCAAGCCTACTTGAATCCACTTGAACCTACTACTTGAACTCACATCAAGTTTTATGCAACAGCACTTGAGTGAATTACGACTAGCAAGCTTAAGATAAATAAAAGGAGTTGAGCCATGCAAGGATAGACAAGCATGTGGAAGGAAGCTGAAGATTCTCACCAGGTTCCTTCAGCATTTGAGGATCTCCTACTAATTCTTCACCATGACTTTCTGCACCAGAGAGTATTTCTTCAGTGATACTGTTGGACTGAGCCTCTGCCACCATTTTTTTCATTAACTCTTCCTGGAAACAGATTAACGCGTTAATTTTCAAAAATTACTGTACATTGCTCACTTCCTGTGAGTGATACATTAAATAAAATCTTTGTTTTGTACACCTCTCAATAAGATGAATTTCAAGCAACGTACCTCTGAGTAGACTGCAAGTTTAAGGGGCAAGTTTTCAACTTTTACAAAGTCATCTTCATCTGATTTCTGACTGACGTTTCCAGAGCCAGTTTCCTGTTGGCAGAATATTTTAAACTGTCTTGTAATTTGGATTTCCATGAAAATTTTAAAACCACTCCAATCAAGGTCATAGTTTTTGGTTTTTTAAAGGTGGGAAATCCTGCTCTTTTGAGTGCAGGAACTGGTCTGAGCCATAGCTGTCAACGTTTCCCTTTTTTAACAGGAAATTCCCTTATTCCGAATAGGATTCCTCGCAAGAAAAGGGGAAAGTTGACAGCTATGGTCTGAGCAAAAGGGCTTAGGTGGGCACTATGGAGCCAACCTCTATTTCCCTATGGGAATGGGGGGGGGATTATGTGGACCCTCCTTCTTGCCTCCATGTTCTGAGCAGCAAGAACAGATGCTAAAAATAAAATGGCAGGGTGGAAAAGGTTTCAGCTTTTACAATGCTTTTTAGGCAAAACTGCATTCCAAAGCAATTTAGAGCCATGCACAAATGCATCTGTAAAATCTATTACAGCTTTTAAACTATCCAGTCTTGCCTACTAAGCAACACACCTTTGTGAAGCTCCAAAGACTGAGCACTCTCTGATCCACTTTGTTACACAAGTTAAATAAGATTATATTGTAAAGAAATGACAAAACGGCACCTGATGTTGAGTAATACATACATATTCATTCACTAATACGGGAGACTCTGTATCGGGACTGCCAACCACAGAGCTTTCAGGAGTTCCTGATGAAGATTTGGTTTCCCCATGTAGTGTGTCCAACGCCTGGCTTTCATTGACTGCTAATGAAGAGTCTGGCTCTTCAGATGTTAATGCAGCACTGGCATTAAGATCTTCGGCACCTCTTGCAGCTGAAGGTTGCTGATCTTCTAATACATTCAGATACTGAGGCACAGCAGCAGGTAAATCCTGGTCACCTAAAAAGCAAACACACACACAACGTTTTACTGCATCTTCTCTTCTCCCTCCCCTTCCAATTTAGTGATTCAACCCCTCTTGTTGTTTTAAAGGAGCTGAACCTAGCTTAGATCATGTGAACATTACTCAAGTTTCTCCCAAGGCAGGAATGCTACATCTTACAAGCACTGAGACTCCAGACATCTGCCCAGAATATGTAATCACCTTTGCTGTCTGTTATCCTTTATCTTCATCAGCACAAACTATTCATTAAGTTAGAACTTCTGAACAGAAGCAGGTTTTATATCTGTTGCAACAGCACTTGAGTGAAATATTATTAGTCAGCTTAAGAAAGAGCATTCCTTTTAATTATTTCACCTGTGAACTTCAGGCTCATCCTATCTTGGCAACGGCGGAATAGATCTTACAACATAGTATAGTTATGAACACGGCCACAGTAGTTTGAAATGTTCTCATTCCCCACATTGCTTTCTTCAAAAATTGCAGATAAATCAGTTTCTCTTAAAAATCATTTTACCGTTATCAGTTCCAGATTTGTCCTCAGTAGGCAACATCTGGCAACCATTTGGACTCTCCGGTTTGGGTTGCAAAACCTGTGAGGAAATGATGTTTAAGCTGATCAAGACGGTAAAAGTGTGAGGGTTTAAATATTTATAAGCACATAAAGCTCCAGGGTTTTCTGCAATGACTTGTGTTGGCAAGTTAAATTATCCAGTCAATAGGAATACCATTTCTTGCACTTTTAAATCTAGAATTTTTTGAAATTAAATTGTTTCCCACTACATCCTGCTGAGTAAACACTGAAATATTTATTCATTAACATCCTCAACACATTCTATTTTGATTTTTTATATACGGCTTTGATTAATTAATAAAGCCACCACCTTCTTCCCCATCTTTAGCTGATTTGGATCTCCAAGTCTCCCACCTTTAGACAAATGTACAAGTTTTGTGAATTTTTATCCAGTTAAGCAGGTTAATAAATCTTTCCATTGTACAATAGACTGTTCAAATGGATTTTAACAACTATGTCATGAGCCAAGTTTTCCAAATGATATTCAGCAAATATAGGTCACTGAGGATATCAGAATGATGATACTGAAAGTAAGGAAAACTGATCAATCCCAACTTAGCTCTTTATAAAACAAAACACCCCACAAGTTGGTATTTTGAAGAAAGACATCATTGAAATTCACTGTGCTTCGTCAATCACAATACCTGCTCTTGTTCATTTTCAGCTGTAGTTTCATTGTTTGCTTGGAGGGAAGTCTGGACATCCACAGGTCCTTCTTCAAATTCATCTATTTCTTCATCTTCGTTTTCATCTTCCCCACTTCCATAATTAGTTAAAGCCTGGGTTTCTGCTTTAGACAAGCCTAAAGTTAAGTGAAATTAAGTTTTGAAACATATAGCAAAATGCAGTATGTGGGCATGCCTAGTGATATTTTGGAGGATTTCTCTTTTGAATAAAAAGCGCTCCATGCGCTCCAAACTTGGGCCGGTGTCTTCAGCGCTGATCATGTGGCAGGCTGGAGGGCGCATGCCCATACGCTATTTCCGGCGCACTTCTGGGTTGGAGGAGCACTGGAAATAGCTTGTGCGCATGTGCACGGGCCTCCTCCGACCTGGATGTGCACCGGAAATAATGCTTGCGCACAAGCTATTTCCAGTGCTCCTCCGACCCAGAAGTGGGCAGCCGTGCAGCACAGCACCGGTAAGAGTGGGCGCGGGGGTTGCTGCGGGCCGGATAAACGAGTCCTTCAGGCCTTACCTGGCCTGCGAGCCTTAGTTTGGGGACCCCTGGTCTGGCTAGTTTCAAAATAACTTTAGTGCACAGAACCAGTTCTGTGGGTGTCTTTGGATTCTGGTCATCTTTTCTGCACCTCTTACCGTTAGAGACCACACTGACCTAAAACAACACAAAATCAGTCATGCTGAAGTCTACTGATTTCAATGGACTTAAGCAAGCTTAGCTCTGTGTTGGATTTAGGCTGCTGTGATAATTATAATAGAAAATACTTTTAGATGTGAAAAACTGAGAATGTGAGGCATGTTGTGCACTGTAGATGGGACATTTAACAGCAGTCCAATGCGTGTTTCCTCTGAAATAAATCCTACTATATTCAGTGCGGCTTACTCCTAACGTAAGCATCCACAGGAACCAAGCCAGTCATCCAAATGCCATCGAGGACCACAAAAGAAAAGGGAACCCACCTGAGGCTCTTTCTATTTAGTCCAAGCTGCTTTTAAAACTGATGAGCACCTTGCTTTTCTTTCCATAGGGAGATACAGGAGTAAAAGGCTGCTGTGGACATCATTCCTTGTAATCCTTTTATTCTGGCCTGCAACAGCCCCTCTTCCTTCTTTTCTCTCTCCCATCCACCTCTGCCTACAGCAACAACAGTGCGTAACTCCTGTTCTGCTCTCTTTCCTGACACACTCCAAAACGGGTCAAGGGAGAGAAATTCTTCTTCAGAGAGATGCATTCTGGGTGAGGTGGCCGAGAGGCTGTCTATACTACCACCATGCCACTTCTTTGTCTTGGGGTTGGGAGTTTTGCAACTTAATATTTTGGGTTCTGCTGCATTGGAGCAAAAACAGCACAGATGGTCTTCTAGCCACCTCCTGTAAATGCACTGCTGGGAGGAAAAACTCCCCTTCAGCTTTCTTAGAGCAAGGCAAAGCGGTGGCAGTGCAGAGCGCTCAGAAGTCTTGCGTCAGCAGGACGCTGCCGCCCATGTGAAGCTGCTACATGCCTTGGCCTGCAGAAATACCAGACAGCAGGGGACCCTGGGAGGCGGAGATCCAATTTTCCAGAAACACACAGCCTTACCTGCCTCATGAGGCTACTGTCTCAGTTTGACTCACGAATAGGCCAGTCCAATAAGGAAATTTTTTATCTGAAGACATGTTGCATTGGAAGACATACATCTGGTGATTTTGCCAACCTGGTACTTTTCAAATGTTTGGGATTACAACTCTCATCAGTCCCATGCAGCTCAGATGGGAGTTTTCCCCAAACATCTGGAGGGTGATGGGTTGGTAATGGCTGATATAAAGCTACAACACTGTTGTGTGAAGCTGCTTATCAAAGCAATGAATACTGCTTACTTATGGATACTGGACAATTTTCACTCTCTTCTTCTTCCTGGTCAGAAGCATCTGATCTTGTACTTCTTGGGACTTCCCTGTTGTTGAATATTGCAGGTTCATGAGCTTGCTTAATAGTTTCAGTTTCATCTTTGTCCTAGACATAAAAAAAGTGAATCTTATCTGGAATGTCAAAGTTACAGCTTTCATATTTAATTTACAGTAGACATAAATGTGTGCACATCTCATATTGTTTACTGGACAGAGTAATGCTACAACAGAATTTTATAAGTCAAAAACACCACTAAGACTAAGGAGAAGAAACCTGGACAAATAGATGTTTTGTGAACTCAAACACCTAAACTGTTTTCTTTTGGAAGAGGTTGTGCAGCAACCTCATGCCCTGTTTGTGAGATTCCAAGGAGGCACTATGTGGGCTGTTAATGTTTAGAACCAATTTTCTTGCTGCTCCATGCCATTGAAAAGGAAAATAAACAGAGACCCAAATGTCATTTTCTGTTCATTGTGTATTATACACTGAGTGGGCCAATGCCTTAGGGGACACTATCAGTGATAGACAGTAAGTTAGACTGACAGAACGCTGCCAATTCACCACTGACTCTACATCCTCCAGACCCCACAAATCTGCTACAAACCTTCTGCTACAGCACAAGAGGTGGTGTTGGGGGGCAGCAGGGGAGGGGGGAGTAGAAAAAATTATAGCTACACCCCTTCCACCAGTGTAGACCCTCTGCTGGATCAATCCAATCCAAAGGACACTCCCAACTTTTAAAAGGTAGAGGGAGATATTTAATTTCCCTCTGCAGTCCCCAGTGGCATGCTTCCATGCATCCATAGTGTTTCCCAACGTTCTTGAGCAGATTTTTGGAGGGGACCACCACAGGGAAAAAGGAATTAGCGAAAAGTCAAACATCCCCTTTCCCACCAGCTGGAATATCCTTTGAGTGGAATTCTGCTCACGGAAAGTTAGGAGCATAATTTTTGCTGAATAATTCCTCCAACGATCTTGCTTCTCACTATTTGAGTGAAATGAAGGTGGCTAGAAAAATGATTTTTCAACAAATGATTAATATTGTATTTAGAAGGAGATTTGAAGGCAGGCCTTTCCCTTCCCAATTGTTTTAAAGAACGTCTTACTTTGTCTTCATCTATATCTTCATTGGATGAACAAGCTCCTCCTTCCAGTGCTCTTTTTGCCTAGACAGCAAAGAATGGAAAGTTTATTATTTTCTGTTCAAAATCAAACAAAACAAGCAACCAGCTAGTCAAGAAAGAGATTAAATTAAGTCTAAGGAAACCAGTTTGGTTACTAGCAATGAAAGTGGCTGTTGCTTCTTTGTCCCAGTATACTTCGATGTAGGGCTTCCTGAACTTAGGTCTCCAATTGTTTTTGGACTACAATTCTCATAATCCCTGACCAATGGTCCTGCTAGCTAGGGATTATGGAAGTTGTAGTTCAACAACAGCTGGAGACCCAAGTTTGGGAAACTCTGCTAGATGCATCCGACCAGCTTTTGCACTTGGAATGAATTAACCTAATCTGCAAAGGCTATTCCAAATAAAAGATTACAACATACAGCAGATAGGTCTTCTCCTATGCAGTCTACCAAGAAAGGCTTTCTCTTTCTTACGCCCCACTTTTGGGCTTGATTTAACTTCTGAGTCCAAGCACAAGGATTCGCTGAACTCACAGATCCAGGATTTTCAGTAGGTTCTAAATAAAGTGTTATGATTGTTCCTATTTGGGTTTTAGCAATGCTGTGACATTGCAAACAATTAAAATTGTGCAGCTCTATCAAAGTGGATAATTTAAATATGAGTTTTTAATCAGAATGGAAGAGAATTGAAGTTCTTTATGGGTTTGTACTTGCACTAAGTAAATATAATCCTGGTAATTTATTGTGTAGTTATGCAAATTAAAGTTACGCTGACGATTCTTTTAACTTCTAATGTGAGGTTCAATTCACATTTTGATGTGAATAATTTGCAGGGCTTTTGGTAGCTAGGCCTTCAAACAATAAGCTCAGTCACCCTGCTTGGCACCAGACACTTCCCAGCTCCAAGGAGAGACAATGTTCCTTTGTGTTATGCCCAACACAAGTAGTCTTATAAATCACAACCAAGTTTGAAGATAAAGGGATCAAACAAGAAATGTTCTTCCCCAATATCCATGAGCAGCAAGTTTCCAGAGTACTTTCGACAGTTAAAAGATATGGCGAGTGACAGTCTAATTTAAAGGCTGAGTTACTACTCAACTATACATAAACTCCTAAGGAAAACTCAGTCATATTTGTACTGATACAAAAAGGCATGGCGTACAATAAACTTTTCAACAATTTAAACATCACCTCTAAGTAGCTATAGGTACAAATCAAACAAATTCTACTGCGGTAGGAAGCAGCACAGCTGACCCTATTTAGAAATTAAAAAAGAAATCTTATATTGCACCGTTTCCTGGGGGGAAATCACTCAAATTTAAAATATGATAAAAACCTCTTTAGCATAGGACTGCATCATTCCATCTGCTTCCATTTTCCTTTTGCCTCTTTGCTTTACTGTCAGGCTGTTGTTGTCCAAGTCTTGCATGAGCTTAAAGAAGGCTAATTCATTGAACAAGACTTCAGAAATCTCCACAAGAAGATCCTCCCCACAATCCTTCAATTTTTTACCAGCAAATTTTGCCAGTGAATCCTGCCAAAAAAGAAAACATTTTAGTACGTTTACAGGTCACTCATCATCCCCCTAAAAAATAATAATCAGGGAGGCATATACAGGGTTATTCAACTTTAACCTCACAACCACTATATATTGTACACCAATATATGTGTACTAGATTCCACGGTTTCCAGGGTTACCCAGGGTGGAATGAGGAACAGCAGAGAATGTGGTGTCCTTATGATATATGGTTTAGTTACACATATATACAACCTGAGCCTACAGTGGAGGGTCTCACAGCAGTAACACCCCCAGGAGGTCTTGCTTCTCCCATGGATCCCAGCAGAAATAAAGCATGACTCTTTTCTCATCTCCCTAGCCTGCTTCCTTTTAGCTTCTGCTTCTCAGACAAAACTATGGCCTTTGTCTTTCTAACGGACAGTTGACTTGCAACACTATTAAGGGTAAGTGAGCTGAATCGCATTCCAACATTATAACAAGAAATCGGAAAGGAGGGAAGTGCTATGTTAATCTTGTTTTGTGAACTGCCCTGAGACCTCCGGGTATAGGGTGGTATATACATTTAATAAATAATAATAATAATTAATAATAATAATAATAATAATAATAATAATAAAATGTATAGTTAGATAATGGTTTCAGTGATTGTTTTTGAAACTTGGCAATGTTGGAGAGGAAGGTGATCCATGCCACACTGATTCGCTTGAACTAACTTAGTCTTCTCCTACACTGCCAAGATTCAAAATCAATCAGAGGAGCAGAGGAGGCTTCCTGCTTCTGGCAGTGAGAAATGGCTGACTCCCACACGATCGGACCTCAGCTGTGCCGGTAATTCAGGGTTGATATGGGGGTAATTAGCCCTGGCAGACTCCCCAGGGTAGGGGAGGACTGTCTCGTAGACCCACAGATCGTCCAAGATTGTCAGCTGGCATAAAGGTGCAAGCAGCAGGATGCTGGGTCCCAGAGCACGGCACGGCTGGCACTCTCGGAAGTCAGTCTCACAAGCTGGAAATATCGGTTTGATAAAATACAGTGGTACCTCAGGTTAAGTAGTTAATTCGTTCCAGAGGTCTGTTCTTAACCCGAAACTGTTCTTAACCTGAAGCACCACATTAGCTAATGGGGCCTCCTCCAGCTGCTGCGCCGCCGGAGCACGATTTCTGTTCTCATCCTGAAGCAAAGGTACTATTTCTGGGTTAGCGGAGTCTGTAACTTGAAGCGTATGTAACCTGAAGCGTATGTAACCCGAGGTACCACTGTAATTAGATTTGGACAACAAACAGACATAGTCTGGACCGAAGAAGACTGAGAAAAAATCTGCAGAATTCCACAGTCCCTGGTGTTTAAGCTTGGACTTAAAATATGAGAACAACAAGAAGGCAGATATGAAAATATTGGAGATATACTTCAGAGGTCCAGACTATGGGAAGCCTGGAAAAAATTAATACTTAATAATTTGGATTGTAATTTGGATGTTTTTTATTTTATTTTATTATTTTTAATTGGATGTTTTTATTGGAAAACTAATAAAAATGATTTTTTAAAAAAAGATTCAAAATTAATCAGTGGAATCATTTTCTAACTATACACATCTAACTGAGCTACACACACATTTCTTGTTATAACAGCAGTATGTGATTCACCCACCTTACCCTTAACATAGGGCTCTGTAATACTGTAAATGTGTTAGTGTGCCAGCTTTTGGAAATCCAGTGAAGGGGGTACTATTGAACGAATTCTCCTGCATAAGCTTTACTGAAACAAGGGGCTGCAAGATAGCATGATGCTTCCTTTGTCAGTTCCCTATTTGAAGCAACATAAAAATAACCCCCCACAAAAGAGTTTTTAAAACGCAACTGCCATATATTAAAAGCAAAGACATACTTGAAATGTTCCAGGAATAAACTGCTACATTTTAACTCTTGCCATTTATTCAGTTAGGTATCTGCTACAGGTTGTATTTTCCAGAATTTAGAACTGAGTTGCTCAAGAATTTAAGGTGCAGCAACTCTTATATTACTTTTCAAAAATCTGTAGCTCAAGCTCTGTGCAGCCAACTGACCCAGTGGCAAAACCGTATTATAGAAGAATATTCACACCAAAATGGTAAGCCAAACTAAACACATCATAGCTTTCTCATAATTATAGTGATTGTGGAAATGAAGCTTAAAGGTGGTTAATTAAAGGAAAACACATATACGAACCTGCAAAATGCTACGAAGTTGCTTATGAAAGATCTTCACAAATTCTTTGCTTTCATCGTTTTGTTGAGTAAGGGTTAAGACCATACGCCTTACTGAGGTCAAGAGCTGAGAAGAACATACTTCATCCATGTGTTCCTGGCAAGAGTTGAAAAGCAGATCATTCTTAATGAAAACATATACAAAGACAAATATCCTTCTTTGAGAGGTCTTATTTTTCTTCACAGAAAAGGTGAGTGACATGAATGGCAAGTATGCCAACTGATTTCCCAGAACAGCAATGCAGAAATTTGCTTACAGCTAAGGGACCGTAAGGCAGCTTATCAGTACATGCATGATAAAGAGTTCAGAGCATGTAAATAAAATATTAACTGCTCTATCACCAAACTCTGCACAAAGGCAGGACTACAGCTATTCAAAACTCTGCACTCCTTGGAAGAAAACTTTTATTGTTGGAGAAGAGAACAAGGTAAAGGCCTCTGATTCTACCGATCAAGTCAAAAGGAAAAACCTATAGCTTTCTGTAAAGATGGCTTCAGAGAGAGCTCTGTTTACTGATATAATTTTGATTACCCTCAGAAATGGGATAACCTCTTTCATAATAGCTTTGATTTGCCGGTCAAGCTGCTGGGTATCTATTCGAGGACAAGGAACAGCAGGCGCTTCAGTAGACTGTGCTGCACAATGGCTTTCAGCTGTATCTGAACCTTTAAAGTGAGAAAAATATATATTCAAATCAATGTTCTTTTCATAAAGCTGCTGTTTCAATACAGGTCACAAACTCTGGCACTTTGATTATATAAAGACTACAAATTTATGCCAAATAAGCTGAACACTGACATTCTACAGGGACTGCTCCCTGCTAAGGATGGACAGGATTGCAGCCAGAATCACAGAGTCTTAAAAGTGCCATGAATTTCCAGACCTATGGGAAAAGATTATTCCCTTCCCACAGCTTATTCACTTCTACATCTTTTATTCCAGGATGTGAACTACAGTGGAAGGATATTAAGTGGACCAGGAATTGGGAGACAAAGGTTTAAATCAGTGTTACCTTGGGTCACATACTGTCTCTCAGACTAAGCTACATCACAGGGTTGATGTAAGGATACCATGAGGAATAGGAGACTTTATGAAAGCCACCATGAGCAACTTGGGGGAAAGGTGGACTGGATAAAAATATAATAAAAATTAAGCCTCCCTTCAGCCTGTCTCTGATTTTAAATGGGGGGGGGGGTTGAAATCATGAAAACACCTCAATGTTTAAGAAAAAATGAATCCACAGACCACACTACAATTTGAGCCAAACAACAAAAAGCACCAGCTCCTTAAAGACTAATACATCTTTATGGCATAATCGTTGGGGGATAAAGTTCACTTCATCAGATGCATCATTCTTAATCCACAAAGGCTTACGGACGAATACAACTGCAAGCATCAACGTGGTACTTGACTATTGTTTCATTTCTGCTGTGAGCCATGGCTAGTTGGCAACCCCTCTGATTGAAAACAAGGATGCTGAGACTGCCCATCAAGGAAACCCTACTAGGCCAATACTGAGATTTAATAACAACAGATTGGAATAGGAACCTCCCATGTAGGGCTGCCTAGAAGGGAGATCCGATCAGTCACATGGTTTTTCTGTTTAGAGAAACACACTAGGGACCTCTGTGCCACAGCTATACTTTTGGATTAGGATGTACTGCAGGGGCCTGCTGGCAGAAACGTTTGCAGAACTCCTCTGAGTTTAAGTAGCAATATGTATGCGGAACAAGAAAGAGTGTGTGTGCTTTGAGATTTGGAAAGGGTGTGTGTGTTAAAAATTGCTTGACGTTCTCTTCGCAAGGGATGTGCCCCAGTAGCCTTGGCGGACCAGCCTCTAGGGAGCTTGAGCATATTATCATACTACACAAAATGCTTATAAACCACTGTCAAACATTTATATGCCCAGCGAACAGTGTTAAGCTACTTGACGCAGCTCCATTTCTCTGCACGGAGACTGCCTGGTAGGATTGTGTTTGTTCTTTCAAAAAAGTGCAGGACAAAACTATGATAAATGAATAAACAAATGCAAAAACGTACCTTCCAATTTAGAAGCAGAAGCATTATGGGGATTACTACAGCATCCATCCTCAGAGTCAACGTTACTTTCAACTGCCATTTTCTTTCGTCCATATTCTCTCATCCGAGCCAGTGCCTGATCTAAATGAATCACAGTGTTGCCTGTATTTTGGCAACAAAACCTTTTACAATATGTATTTAAGTTTTTGGAAATCAAACATTATTATGTGTAGATTAAATATAAGAACTGCAAGAAGAAAGCATCGTTATTTTTATGTGTAAGAAGTGCATCAGTGAAGGACTGATTCACAGAAAACAGTTGTGGCAATTTAACAAGGTACTTGAGTTACTGCTGTATATTGTTCAACTGCTAGGTTTATACTTACCCAGCTCATCAGTAGCAAAGGGTTCAAAATTTGAAGAAGTAGACATAGTGCTGCCATTGTCTGCATCGTGTTGTTCACATTCTCTACAGGCTCCTTCATCAAAGTTCTTCTCAAATGTCTCCTTCAAAATATGGAAACAACAAGTTGGCAATTGTTCTTCTATAAATAACTAACCACTCTCAAATGCTCATGTTTTCATAAATTGTCACCCAGGATCTTAAATTAAGAATTCAGATCACCTTGAAGTGTTTGCATCAGGGGCTAATTCTTGGGCTAAAAAATTCATGTACATGGTTTAAAGCTTAATTAGAAAAAAAGGGGGGGGGGGTTAATTGATAAATTCTTCTATGTTCCCCAAATAAAGGGCTCATCCTTCCAAGCTAGAAAACATGTTGCAGGTGTTACCTGTTGTCAATTTCTATAAGTAGTTCCTTAGACAGTAATCGTTTACACTTAAAAAACGACCCTCAACTGACAAAAAGGTGAATTTGAAATATGCAACTGCAAACCTAACTTAAGTCCTCTTAAAGCGGATCGGTATAAAGATCTTCAGCTAGTTGAACCTCCAAAGAACAGTCATTTTAAAAAATAAAAAACCCCACCACTTGACAGTTTGAGAACAACAACTTGTTCTTAACACAACAGAGATAACATTTTTGTGAATTATGTTGAATGAGGAGTAATAGGAAACAAAAGGAGAAGAAGAGAAAGCTGAGGAATATTTGCTTTTATTTTAAAGGAAAACTCAGGGGAAAATAAATGGAGTAAAAAGTGAGTAAAAGCAGTCATGAGAAAGGATAAAAGCTGGAAGAAATCAACTGTCCATGGGGCAAGGTAGGGGAAAAACTGAAGATGGGAGTCATGGAAGTTAATGACTAGTATGGTACAGTTGGTCCTGCCTGCGCTAGGTAGAGATAGACTGTTAATCTGTTGTTGCCTTGCCCACCTGGGGAAAGGCCAAGCCCAGGCCACATCCCTTGAAAGTAATTCCCACTGTTCAATGTGGCATATTCCCTAAAATGCATGTTTAGGATTGCAGCCTTAGCAAAGTACACAGAGCTCAGAATTAAGAGATCATACAAAAGGACTATGATAAGGTTGAAAAATGCTATGTGGAAAGACATTGAACTGGCCAGAGATCACCTCTCCTCCAGGAAAGACCAACTGTCAACAAAAAAAAATTAGGGGACATAATCACTTTACACAATTGCTTAAAAGAAACAAGCTTTACCTCTGCATTTCTCTCTTACTTTTGCACAATTCCCATCTGAAGTTGTATCATAATAAATATTTTCACATCAAAGTCTAATGGCTCAAATCCATACATATTTTATTATCAAATGTATTTATGCCGAAATCTAAAACCCATTTTAAAAAGGTTGGATTTTATATTAAAATACCCAGACAAAGTTTTCAAAACCCTTACGTCATCAGTCGTTGCAAGGCTTTCACTGGGAGTAAGTTCTGAATTTGATCCTGCCCAACCTGCAGAGTTCAGTGGTTTGGGACACTCTCCTTTTGCATTTTCTTCAGATGCATGTCTGGTCACTATATCCTATACAATGCAACAGTTTCGTTAATGATTGCATTAAGAAAATGTTTGCTTAACAAAGCAAGTCCAAAAATCATGGTTTTATTAAGGTACCTGTAAAGCATACAACGCTCTTTGTCTCAAATAGTCTGAATTGAGCATCTGGAGCTCATGAAAAAGCTCAATCAGAAAATGAGGGCGAGATTCATTTTGAGATATCAAAGTGGCTACTTCAGAGTAAATGGTGTCTCGCAAAGCTTCGAACATAGAAAGATCACTGCCTGTTTCTGTAGAAAGAAAAAGAATGAATTAAGTACCATTATTATTCTTCATTGACATTTCTCTCCTGTTACAGCATGCAAGTTTTGAGAAGGACGTGCCTTATGGATGGGATGCAACTCCTCCATGAGTGGATGGAAAGTGGTTTTGCTCATGAAAGGAGTGGTATTTTCTTCTAGCAGCAGATCCTTGTGCCTTAACTGCTTTTAAAGAGCCTCCCGTTATTGGAAGGGGCTGCTGCTATAAACAGGCAGCGGAAAAGACCCTGGGCACAAGGGAGTACTGCACACAATAGTTACAGTCCTTGTCATTGTGTACTTCTTTTACAGGTGCAAATGAACTGCTGCATATTGTATTTTATAGAGCTAAACAAGTATCTACTGAATGTTTGCCCTGCGAAAGGGAACTAAATACAACAAAACGTAATTGACATAATAATTAATACAATGCATTGCAACAATGAATTCACTTGAAACCCCACACAATTACTGTCACACTGCTACAAAGCTATATTTGGTGACAATGTGTTCACTGAGGTTCGGTTTTAGATCTATTTTGTTTTCAAATGCATCCTAAGCATAGTTGATGTAGTACATCTTGCTGTTGGGTCATTAGTTAAGTGTAAGTCAAGGATGACTTTTCAAAACATCAGCTGTGTTAGTGTAACACTCATGGTCACAGGATACTTTAAAAGTATGGCTGGGATCCAAAACAACTCTTGGACCTCATGCAGCTAGTTGTGAGGTTCTTTGGATTCTGGCCTAACAAATCTATCTTGTTTCGCTGTCCACTTCATGCACCTAATGAAGCTATTGTAGCTCATGCCAAAATACACTTGGTATCAGATGACCCTTGTATTTGCTGCTTAAGTAGTTGAACACATTTAAGTATAGTAAAATCCAATTTTGAGTTTCAGCAACCACAATGTACTATTTACTTTTCGGCAAAAGTAAACATATAGAACTTAGGGAGCTGAATATACCAAGTCAAATCATTAGTCCTTCCAGCTCAGTATTTTCCAGCCCTAACTGGAACGCCAAGGATTGAACCTGGGACCTTTAAGATGCAAAGCACATGCTCTACCACTGAGCTATAGATCTTTTTGCTTAGGGTTAAGGGTGAGAAATAAATATCAGTCTTTTATCTAAAAGGACAGGTGGCATTTCACACCCCTTTTCTACTTCTTCCCAACTAGCAAATTCTCTTATTTGAGACCAATGGGCACTGCCAGCTCTGATTTGCCAGCAGGGCACACCTTTGAAATGTTCACCTCAGCATAAATGGTGAGACAGCTGGATTTTCAAGACCTCACCTACTCACATGAGAGATTAAGCGTCTACAGTAGACATAGCAATACTTTCATTTTCCTAGAAGAAACCAAGTGATGCTACCTGTCCATGCTTTATGGTCCAACAGCAGCTCAAAAAGCAGATTGTAGAAATATTTTCATGTACTGTACCTCAACTATCTCAAAACATGAACAGGTACTTCTGGATCCACTGGTGGTGCAGAGAGCCCCTTCCTGAAGAGGGATAGCTAACTTCTGCTGTCTATACTCTTAAGATGGTGGGAAGAGGTGGCCTTCATTATATATCTTTAGGCTCCAGGCAAAATTGTGTCTTTTCAACCAGGCCTTTAGCTGATTAATATGTTCTTTTAAATGTGGGGGTTATTGGTTTGTTTTTATTCTTGTTTTTGCTTTATGTATTCCTGTGTTTTGTATTTATGTTGTGAACCACCCTGGGATCTTCGGATGAAGGGTGGTATACAAATAATTAATAAATAAATAAATAAATAAATAAATAAATAAATAAGATTTAGGAATACACTCTGCTTAGTTTCAACCATAAGAGATACCAGGGCAAAACTTTGCCCGAAAGTCGTATCCTCTGACACAGAAGTCCTTAATTCCAGGATAGCCAATATGGTGTCCTCCAACTCCCATCAGCCCCTTCTAGCATGACCAGAAATGATGCCAACTGTATTCCCAAACATTTGGAGGGCACCATGCTGAATATCTCTGCCTTAACTGGTTGTTCAGGGTTGGCTATGACTCTCAGTAATAATAAAGTACCTAATCAGGAAAGCAAGTAGATAAAAAAATAAAAAATGTATCATTTGGATTAGTGCACCTTTTGCTAATTCAATAAGCAAGCTACTTGTTAGTTAGGACAAGAGACCAGAAAATCAAGGTAAGGTAAGTTTGGAAGCTAAGCAGCAAGTGCATTACCTGGTGCTTCTATGCATGCATTTCTGTTAGACTGCTGCAGTATTCTCCTAGCATGTGCTGCAGGAAAGGGGTGGGTGGGAAGGACAGACAGTGATAAACACAAAAATGTGTATCGGAAATAAAAGCAAGGTCTAATGAAATAATGGGAGAAAGGCTATTTAGTGATCCAAATGAACAAAACAAAACAAATCTTCAGAGAACCCATGTCTCTTGGGGGGGGGAGTGATTTGAGAAAAGCATATTACCACAAAAAAATTCCAAAGGGGGAAAAGATCCCAAAAAGAATTTTTCAAGTATGCGCACTGGATTTCTCGCTCACTCTATGTCCACGTACAGGCGCCTCTCCACTTACGCGGGGGTTACTTTCCCGGGTATCACATGTATATGTGAAATCATGAAAGTGGGGAACACTTTTATCTAAGCCTCCCTGCAAGCCTCACAGTTGGGTGCAAAGGCTTCTGGGATTGCTAGCTGTTTTCCCACTCTTTTTGCGACATTTTAGCACTTTTCCAGTTTAATTCTTTTTATTTATTTCCGGGCGTCACACTTATATGCCGTCTGCCTCGTGTACGTGGGGACATGCCTGTACACAGCTTCAATGAGATCATAATTGAAACTCGTTTACTAATAAAAACAACATGAAAATATGACCATTCAAAAATATGACCCTTCTTGTTTCAAGTCTCAAGAGCACATTGGTCTCCCACGATTTCAAAGAACCCCAAAAGGGGGAGACAGAGAAAAAAAAGAAACCCATATGCACACACCACGTTGTTAAAAAGGGACACTGGAGGCATTCAGTTGCAATGCTAAAACATGGTTCAGTGCTACAAGAGCAGGCCAGCCTCCCCATGCAATCATGTGCTTCCTCCACTGGCACAACTATGAGGAAGAGACTGGATTCTCCTCCTCCAGCTTTAGATTAATGACAGCTTATAGCATGTCATCTGAGCTCTAAATTGTGGTTAACCAGAACTAGGATTACTGAAAGGAAAGCAGCCTTCATAAACTACAGCTTGTTTCCACTAACCGTAAGATTAACCCAGCTTGTCTGGGTTTGGACTACATGGCAAGCTGTGCTTAATCAGAAATGAAGAAGAGAAAGCTTCTGAATGCCTCCTGGTAGCGGCACAGGACTAGGGGAGGGAAGTGGGAGGCGAGGCTCATTCTTGCAATGCTAAACTATGGCTTCGTGTTATTTCCAAATCAGCCCACAGGCAAATCATTAATTGTGCTTAACAAATATGTTTAACATTTGAATAGAGATGTGTGGGCCTTCTGTTTATGCTCTCTAATATCCAAAACTGGATTTCAAATATTACCTGCAATCAGCAGTGATCAAATATATACCTGAATGTGTCCCTTTAAAAGTGAAGAAACAACAACACTGAGAGCAGGAGTTTTAGACCTGTTGTTGCTATTTATTTTTACCCAAGCCTCTCTTATTAAGAAGAAAGCAACGGAATCAACGCTTCATTAAAATATTTTAAAAAAACTAAAGACTAATATAATGGGCTGAATCTAGAGTCTCTTTTCCACAAACCAAAGAGACCATTCAATTCACTGAAGGAGCTGAGATGCTCCTGCTTTGGGGGAAGAGAAAATACATTTTTGTCCTATTCCGCCTCCTCTCTGCAATTCCTCCACCCTATCCCCCAACACTATTCTACAGGGTCAACCCAACCCTCTGAAGCAGGCTTTCAGGATGTACAATCCATTAAAATATTGCAGGGGAAAATTAACATTAAAGGCTCAGTTCTGTGCATGGTCACTAGAAACTAGATGCCATTATACATAGTGTAGATGGAAACTATTGTATGCTGAAGATCGTGCATGGAATTTTTGTCTGCAATCCTAAATATATTTAAATATAATGGCATCTAGTTTCTAGTGACCATGCATAGTGTATACATAGTGTAGTTTAAAAAACAACAACTAGCAAGTAACAATTATGTCAACGTAATATTTGGGTTACCTGAAAATTTCCATCCCAGTAAGATTCCCAATTCTTCTTCAAGCATGCAAGTAACCACTGAATTGGTACACTTTAAAATAAAAACTGTTAACTGTTTTTAAGTACCTGAGGACATTTCTGATGATCTACTGTATTTAATTATTTTTTCTAGCTGCTCTCGATTCTTTTTACTGAACACCTTTGCTTGGACAACTTCTTCCTTCCGAGTTGAGTGCCTGCTTCTGTTGCTCTTGTAAGGCTCGCATGTACTGGAAACACTGGCACTTTCAAAACCTTAAAATAACAAAGATCCAATTTGTACAGCTTGCCCTTTCCATAGCCACCCTGCCCCAAGATTATTGAAAGCAAGATAAATAACCCCGAATTATGGGTGTTTCATATGAACCTACCATTAGATCTCGACCGGTTTTTAAATTGAGAAGCATTCCTCCTCTTATTCTTGGACTTTGGCGTTTTGTCTTTGGAAGCTAGACTGGCCTGTGCAGACGCTTTCCGAGGTTTAAAGGTTTTAGTCACGGTGGTTGGATCCACTGGATCTGGCATACTACTAAAGCTCTCCAGAGATTCTTCATCAAATTCTCTCCTCCTGCTCATGCCAGTTTGATTTTTGTGATTACCACATCCTGCGTTTTGTACCGGTATTGCAAATCCAGACTTGAGGAACAAATGTTTTTCTTTTCCTCCTTCTTGGTGCCCATTTGACCTAGTTGATCTATTCTCTGTTTCTTCTTCAGGTTGCAACTGACCTCTTAAATAGAGGGGGGAGGGGAATCAGAATCATGGGGTAAGAGGCAAAGTCAGAAGTTTTCCAAGGTAAGAAGTGTATTTCCAGACAACCATTATTTGAAATCTATAACCCATGCTGTTCCAAAGGTGTCCCAACTAATATTTTCTCAGTAGGCATGGGAAAGTCTGATCTGGTCTTTGGATACAGGCAAATCATTTCTATTTTTCCTTCTGGAAATGAAATAAGCTGAACTGGTTCAAGAAATATATTGGATCTTTACGAGCTTGAACCAGCAACTAATCAGAGCTTCAATAATAGATTGTTTCTCTAAGCAAAGACAACTGGTTGCTTATGCCCCAAAATCTCATCCAAAATCACGATATTTGATAGGCTGATCTATAAAGAAAAAGTGCTTTCAGAGAGATCAGCACAACAAAAAATACAATTTCATAACTAAATCACTCTCATAAGAACAGGTTCTAATTTGAGCCCGAATAAAAAGTGTGGCTCACAAACAAAAGTTCAATTTAAGCTTCAAGTACCTTGGTTTTTCTACTCCACCAGTAGAATTACTTTCAAAAGGTTTTGGAAATGCCATATAGTCCATTTTCCCAGTGGTGTTAGGCTCTATGGGTTGCTGCTGATGTTCACTGTTCTGAGCTGTACAGTTGTGTGGAAAATCCCCCAAACCAGATGGAAACATCGGGCCAAAGTTTATACCTGTGAAAAGAAATCACATCAGAAACATTACTCCTTCTACAATTCAAAAGTTTATATTATAAAATACAAAGAAAGATGTATGATAGAGCATAAAAATGCTATCAAGTTGTATCCAATCTTTTCCCATAATTTAAGTTTTTAAAAAAACGATTTCAACAAAATAACAAAGGGTGTGCACTGACTAGGGAAGACACCTTAACAACTTCTATACTATATTTACTGAAAACTATTCCTGATTTGAGTCACTTATTATGGCAGAGGCAACAAAACCACTGTATATATTAAGTAAAAGTATTCATTGTTCTAAATAAACATTGCCTTTCACCAAAAGCATTACTTTATAGATGTGTTTAAGATCTATGGTAACGGTTGCCATATCTAGATGAGGACTAGCAAATTATAACTGGTTTATATTTAATCCTTGGGTGTTTTAATCCTTGTATTTACCTACAACTATCAGAGAGTAATGGCTTCACATTATTATTTAGGAAATAGAGTAACTCAAATGAACTCAATTTTATTATATACAGATGACGTCTAAAATATACAATGAAATAAATGCATATTATTATGATACATCCATGTATGTTATTGCTTATCTAGCCTACTGTGAAAGAAGGACTTTAAAACTTTTTTCCTTCTGAGACTCCATAGTTTTGAGGAAAGCATGTTAGGAAGATGGACTGAAGAGAGAGCACAACATTTAAGTCATGCTGTGAATAAATGAGCTACAATGAAATTAGTGAGGAAAAATTCATGGAGACTTGGGAGGGTTTGCTTTCAAGGTAAAACAACGTGAAGGCAAGAAATGCTGCTTTGAAGCTCTTATCTTGGGAACAAAGAAGGAAAACACATGGAGATCTGCTGCTAGTAATTTTGTGCAGTTCTGGAAATGCCTACCTGGTGGGAAAGAGGAGAAATTTGTGAACCCAGGCATGCTGAACAGGTTCATTGTTTGGGAAGGAAAACCAAAGGGACAAAACATAGTTGGTGATGGAGGCGGTGGAGCCCTGCTGTCTTTCTCCTTTGTAGTTGTTCTTGTCTGCTGTTGCTCTTGCTGGCGCATTAGATCATTTAACATTTGCTTCAATCTGTGAAATAATGGTATCTGAATTTCAAATACACAGACTAATAAACACTCAAGGACAAATCAGTCTTTGAAGCTAACACTAGTAAGCAGAAATGCATCTGTTTCCAAATTTCAGTCCCTAAGCAATTTCAACAAAGGTTAAAATATGACAGAGCTCTAACATGATCACAGAATTATCAAGACGGACCATTACAGTCTCATTTCTATTGTGCTCATAAAAATAGCACGTAATTTATCTTTGAAATATTGCATAACATGTTACTACATTGTGTTTCTTGCACTGAGCTTCTGGAGTACTCTTTAATGCGGGAGCGCACACGTAACAGTCTAATATGACAAGAATTTTCTTAAATACAATAAATATAAGACACCATTTTTGTGCATCATTCCAGCCTGTCTTCTCTCAAATGTATGGAACAGACATCTATAAAGTTGAAATGAATACCTTTGAACATTATTTTGTTGCCAAGTCAGTTGAGTATAGCACTGATTTAACTGATGCATTATAAGGTGTACTTGTGGTGAAGCAACGTTACTGGGCAACACACTGTAAGGGCCAGTAAGCAATGTCTGCAACAGGCAGGAGAGAGTCTGCAGAGAAAAATATGTGAAAATATAGATCCATTAAAATTAATTCTTTTTATTAGATTTCTACCCTGCCCTTCCTTCCCCAAAGGAGGTGAGTGGGTATAGAATATTAACTTTTCATTAAGTTTCTTTGTCCCATCTTTCCACAATCTTGAGCCAGGATAAAATAACAAACATTCATGCCTTTAAAACGATATACAATAAAACAAAATGCTAATGTTAGTCATTAAAATATTCTACTGCCCAGACCCTAACCAAAAGTCTTGCAGAACAAGAAGGATTTTATTTCTAAAATCTAGAAGGAAAACACATCTTTTTGGGGATCATTCCATAAACTTGCGACTATGCAATGAACCTAATATAACCTTGAAGTTCACTTCAATGGGTCTAAATATTCAATTCTGGAAGCCAGAAGCAGCAGGATCAAGAAAGGATGATATATCTGGAGTTGTTCTGACACATATTCAGAAGAAATGATAAGCTGGAAACCACCATGTAAATACTGAAAAATGAATCCTTTAAAATTAATGGCAATCTCCCCCTCTCCAAAGTATAATCCCCTTCAGCGGTGGGCTCAATTCTGCCTCCTCAACAAGACAGGAAGGACAGAAATGTAGGAAACATCCAGCCTGTTGGATGGGAAAATGCAGAAGAGAAAATTAAAGAAGTCTTTCACATTCTACCTGTTGATCCTGCATTAAAGTCTGACAAATATTGACACTGAATTCAAGCTGTTTCTTTAGCTGGTTAATCTGCTCTTGCCATTGTTCTTTCTCTTCTACATGAGAAAGCTCAGACATCCAGCGATGGTTTTCTTGCCGCCGCATGCTGATATTCTGTTGCTGCCTTGCTTTAGCCAGAGGACGATAGTTTCCATCTGCTGAAAGAGGACGAGGATTCTTCCAGCTGAGAACAATGAGTGTTTCGACAAGGGATTACACATTTCTAAATTGTGCTCTTGGTACAAAGCATTTCATTAAGTAAAAAGCCAGTTATGAGGCCAATGAGAAACAGGCAATTCAGTTCTGAAGGAACACAAGCCTAGTCCAGAGCAAACATGCTTCTTTCCCTTCACATCATGCAGGTAACATAACGTAGTCACCTAATTTGTACAGTGTCCCTTCATCCTCCTTTTGATGAGCAGGAATTTCTTTTAACTGGCTTTGAGATAGAACACAATGCACAATGCCAGGGCTCTGTGTGCCAGAACAGAGGCATGTCTCTCCTCTACAACATGAAGCCTCTCACCATTCCAAAAAATGTTTGGAATGGGGCTTAGAAGCTAAACATCAGTAATACTGCACAAATGAACTGTAGGCTGACCAATGAAATCACAGAAAATACTGCACTAGATATCCACACGTTCATAGTTTCAGGTTATATAAAACCTTTCAGAGTAAACTTCACAGTATATAAGAAAGAACTGGCATCATAATGCACAGCTTAATAAGCAGCAAAGGGAAAACATTTTCTTGGAGGGAGCAGTTTACAACTTAACTATCGGTAATGAACATGCAAAACTAACCTCTCCTTATCTTCCTTTGCACAATATGTACTTTGATCTGTGTTATTGGGACACACAGAGTACTCATTGGAACTAGATTCTTGCTCCTCTTCCTCTTCCTCTTCCACTTGACCAAGCCCGTCAGAAAGATATGCATCTTCATCACCACCATCTTCATCTTCATCAAATGCACACTGAGTAGACCCTCCCCATGTCGCCATGGTTCTAGCATCAGGTATTAAAAAACAGTCATTCTGCTGCTAAAGTGTAAGGTAAAATTAGATCACTAAAAACTAAGTTGCATGCTGAATAAAAATAGCTAACATGCACGTCTCAAATTAATCTCCTGTTCTAGAAACACAATTTGCTTTGATTTATCTCTATGCCTTTTAGGAATTCTGCACGATTCAAATTAAATTTATGACTTTTGATTTATGTCATTTTTAGATTAATTCCCCACCTTTCAGAATATAAATTTTGTTCCTACTTGCTCCTGCATTTTTAAATTCACAGCTATGTATTTCCAATATAAGGATTTAGATATTTATTTGTTTTTGGCAAGGCCAAATTGTTTATAACCAGACAGTGCCTGCTCAAGTCTCCCAGACTAAAAGTAGCAAGCGTGGCTATTTAACCTGCTTAATCTGGCTAGTCATAACAGTGATTCAAAATCCACTGTGGGAATGAAGTCTTAAGAGGATTTTTTTAAAAAGTGTGAGTGGAGGAGAGGAGTATATAATTCAGTTCCAAAAATAAACATCCTCAAGAACAGGGCAATTTTTTAGATTGGTACAACAGCTTGCATGCTGCTGGCGAAAAGGTGCACAGACGTGAGGAAGCAGTATTATCATACCAGTGATCAAGTGTAAGTCTACTGGGGTTGGGGAGGAAGAGATAAGAGGGGATTTCTTCCCTTCCTTAAATTGGTTAGCAGAAAGCAATGCTCAGATTCAGTATAGGCTAATTATGCCACATTTAAAAGTAACACATCTAAATACAATTTTGAAAAGTGATTTATCTTTGCAGTGAATACAACTTAAATATACACCAGATGAGAAAGCAGGGTATTTTACTTTTTCTCTTACTTTTCTGTTCTGCTTTGTTGGGGAGTGCACTGGGTCTCTGATCCATCACTTTTAGTAGATCCAGCACAAGCAGATGTGGTATCTGCTAGGTCCCTTCTCCGCTGGTGCTCAGCCATTAAGGCTTCAAGCTGCTTTCTTCTCTGTCGCAATTCTTCTCTCAAAATCTCATGTCTGCGCATCTCAGACCAAAGCTGTTTAAAATAAAGTATTAAGAGAAAATATTTCAGTGCAATGCAATTCAAAATATGCTATTGCAGTTTTATACACAAGAATATGAAGCACCTCAGTATCGATTGTGGCTGTTTCTTCTGGTTGAACCACAATCTTGTTGGTTGCGCTCATTTCATTCGCAGCTGGCGCTGAAGTATTCCCAGGGCAATTATCCACACCAGATGACAACTAAGAATAAAGTGTTAAAATTACATTATTAGTATTTGAATAAGAACCTTTATCAAGTTAATGAAATCTGCGGCATCACTGGCTCTAGTGATCCAGTCAATTTCATTTTTCAACAAGCCTGCAAGCCAACACAAGACTGATGTCTACAAACTAATGTTCCAAGCTTTTGAACTACTCATCCAGCTATTTACAGACCCATCATCTTTCAGGCACACATCTTTTTCTCACTATTTCTGACCTTTCAGTATATTGGCAATCCTATGCTCAAAACTCATATTTATAACCACAAGGGCTAACACACCCTTCATTTAAATGAATAAAAGCTAGGGTTAATAATCTTGCAGTTGAGATGCCAAGCAGGGTTGCCCTTGGGATTTTATATTTCCCTCTCTCGTGTTAAATCATCATTCTACCTACTTGAAGATCTGGACAAGCCTTCTGCAACACCTGGATCTTTTCTTGGATCTTTATCAGTTTCTTCCTTTCTTCTTGGAGATGTTTCAATTCTCTCTGTTGCTGCTGAAGCTTGGCTTCATAAAATTTCTCTCTACAACAATAAAGCATTCTCATGTTATCATTATCTGCAAAGGAATAAAACTGAAGTGGTTACAGACATCTAACTGGGCAATTCCCTACTCCTAACTAATTTGTCAAAAGCAAAAACAGATTAATCTGGAGAACATGCACTGCCCTAAAATGTCTTTTTCTTCTTCTTGGACAATTCTGTATTGGGCAAGGCCTTCCAGTTTCACAGCACTCCCAAGTTGAGTGTTATATACCACAAACCAATGGCAAGGACATATGGCCAAGACAGTCCCACCTAAATCAGAAAGGGTATATGAGGCCTTAGCTGAGGAGTTGAGTACCTGTGGCCCTCCAGATGTTACCGGACTCCAACTCCCATCATCCCTTGTTGAGGGTTGGACTCCCAAGAACAGATGGAGGGCCACACACTCCAAATTCCTTAATCTCATTCAAAAATGATGTATGGGTAACCAGCCATCATGGGAGGTACAGTGGAACCTCAGTTGTCGAATGCATCGGAAGCCAAACAATTTGGAACCGAACGCCGAAAACCTGGAAGTGAATGCTTCCATTTTCGAACGTTTTTCGGAAGCCGAATGGCTTCCGAGGCACGTTTTTCATTTTTTTCCATTGACTTTGCAGCCAGCCCTTTCAAATGCTGAACAGTCTTCCGGAATGGATTACGTTTGAAAGCCAAGGTTCCACTGCACACTATCCTGCTACCCTGCCTGCTCACTGGGTTAAAATTCACTTATCCACATGTAAAGAATTGTGCCAAATCCTCACTATAACCACCACAGATTCAGAGACCCGAACACCAGGAGTTTGCACGCTTCCTTATTTCCTTGCTTGTTTCTGCTTTGATGGTCAGCAGAAGTCATTTTCAGGAAGACCAGGCAGGGAAAACTCTCACATTATATATAATCCCCTCAAATTCAGTCAGTAAATCTGCCCCATCATTAACTTTAATGCAAGTGAAAGAGACTGTACCTTGCTTTTTCATTCAGAACTACACCTTTCTGGGACTTGTTTGCACTGGTTCGAATATTGTTTGGTTGCTGCTGCGCTTTTTCCTCTTCAGCCACAAAGAACTGATCCATGTTACCCTGTCCTGAAGCCTCTGGTTCCACTTCATCATCCTAAAATAGAAACAGTGTCTTCAGCTATGACCTCACTGAGCCTTCCACCTTTCCTGTCTCTCTCTCTCTCTCTCTCTCTCTTTTGCGCCATCCAAAGCAGTTTTGTTGTCAGGTGCACCGGAGTCAAAATCCCATTGATTAAGCATGTTTTCAACACTTTCCTGCTGAAATCAATACAACTGAAAATGCTTTAATTTGACTGGAAGATGTCCCAAATAAACCTTCAGAATTGCTTGCTATTGGGTTCCCTCTTTTTCATGATACTAAAAATATGTCAACTTTTGAGACCATCTGTAATCGAGAGCTGGAAATATAATTTTTATTTAATACCTTCAGATACTGAAAAAGAAGTTTTCAGGTTTCCGCAGCTTAAAAGCATTTCATCATTTACTGATGAAGCCGGATTACAGTACAAAAAACAACAACAATGAACAATCACACACAATATTGGGCCAGATTAAACTACGCAGTTGATGGCAGAAGCCAGCTCAAGGATTCCCATTAGCACAGCGGGGCTTCCCCCATCCCCCCAAACCCACTCTTGCAGGTTGGGAGAACCCCTCAAAACAGCACATGGGGAGAAGGAAGGGGAAAGTGTTCCATCACTCAAGCAGAAATGCTAGGGCTGATGGAGCAAGCTCCTTAGCCTTACTTTTAATTCTACCCATTGCTTTAATTTAAGTTAGCACACTGTGGCAAGGAACTTATTAAATGAAAACAGACCTGTACCATAGCAACAAGGTTTTGCAGTTGTCGAAGTTTCTGTTTTGCTGCTATAAGCCTGTTGATCTTTTGCTCAAATTCCGCATCAGCAGGAGCCTCCTCAGCTATGCTGGTTCTGCGGCTGGATAGGGAAGCTTCACTGGCTCGATCAACTTCAGCATCGACTTCATCTTCACCTTGTGGAATATCAGCACCACCACCTTCTCTATTATAATGGCAATCTGAAAGAACACACTAGGAACTGAAATCACTTATAATCTGGACAACCGATTTTTTTAAAATATGCCCAACCTTTTTTTTTTTTAAAGGACTTACAAAATTTACAGATGGAAAGCACTGCCTTAAGTGAGTGGCTCTCCATTCTTACACATATCTTCTAAAAACAGTGTATGTGTTCCGCTTCAGAAATAATCTTTACCCATACACAAATCTAGAGAGTAAATTGATTAATCCCCATGTGATTAATAAATTAAGAAGACTTGAATACTGCCACACATTACATTCTCTGCAAAATATATTATTTTGAAACGTACCTAAAGTTGAGGGCATATTCAGCATCCTTATATTAGCAGATCGGTTGTTTATTTCACAAGATGTATTAAGATGCCTTCCATTTCTGTTATTAGTTCCACACTGCAAATTGCTATTACTATTGCAATTCATTTCTCCCCAGTTAGTGGTGCCCTGTGGATTTCTAGAGAAGGAAACCAAATTAAGCATCATTTAAATTTTAAGCACCCTTAGGATTTTTACAAGCTCCAAGACAGAATCGATAGATGGTGCTAGAAAACAATTATGATCCTCTAAAATCTTTATTTTACCAGTCTTTCTTTGCCCTTCACCTTTGATTTGGTACTTATGAAACCCATTCTGTTCCTAGTACTAGATTTTACCACAGCAAAAATAAGTAACTGACCTAACTAAAACTCTGTTCTTAAAAATATCATATCAAAAATTAACTGAACATACCAATTGCAGCAATACAATCATTCAACAACAATGGATAAAAATCCTTAAAATTTTTGTGCCGGCATTAAATTTCAAAAAACAAAAGTCTATATTTTTAGCCATCTATATTTTATCTGTAAGCTGCCTTGAGTCCCAGTCTGGGGAAATGATGGAATACAAATAAATATTGTGCTAATACTGTAACAATAGTGGGTTCTTTGTCTTGTTTTTGAAATAATTTATCTAATGGAAAAAGTGCATCACCTTAACAAGCTCAGTTTCCCAAATCCCAAGCATACAAAAGTTGGGAGAATTGAGTTATGGGAGCAGGGAGAGGGGGAAAAAACCAGAAGAGAGAAGAAAGAAGAAAAATAACATGTGTACACCCTCCATTTCACTGCAGGAGAAAAAGCAGGAGAAAATTAAGTTTGCACTGCTGCTTTCCCCATTTCTCATAAATACCAGGTCAGACTTTATGTATTTCGGACAAGATCAATAATTATAGCAAACTTATGTTTAAGATTCTTTCTTATCATTATAGCAGCAGCACTTCAGGAGGCAACAGCCACAGCAACCAACCTACCTAATATTGGTAACTGGCTGTGGATTCTCATGTTCTGAATCACACTCTGAATCTTCCGTTTCCTCTTCCTCTTTAGTGTTTTCATTTACAGCATCTGTCATCATATCAGATGTCTGCTCATAGTAGTGGACTAATTCACGCAATTCATTTAGTCTCTTTCGAACTTCATTCAACTTCCTACAAAGGAAAGAGGTCCAACTGTCAGCTTGCTTTGAACAGTGGTATGGGGCGAACTTGAGATTCATATTTATTATTTTCTTACATCAAGGAAAGTGCAACCCTGGGATGACTGAAGTTGGCAGTTACCTGCGGAAAATCTAGTTCTGGACAAAGCAGGAGGTTTCTCTTGATATGAACTGGGAAAATTGTGTGTGCATGTGTATAGCCACAAAAATAATATTATAAATTAGGAAGATGGGAGAAAGAGAGAAGATGGGAACTTCTGATTACTTTGACTAGGTATAAGCTAGCTAGTTGACAAGACTAGGAGTTTTATGACACAAGAGTAGCTAAACGACACCATGCCAGACATCTGAGTAGTTACTTTGAAATCTGGCCATCAAGCAGCATTCATTTAGGTGTTCAAATCACTTCACATACATTATATTGTTTTAATTCTGACAACACTATAAAAAGGTAGGTCAGTATTTTCTATAAACTGTAGATGGGGTACTGTGGCTGAGAGAGCAGCACACTCAAGGCCATCCATTGAGATCTTGGAACAGCTGAGATCTGAACCATACTTCCTGATTTGTAACTCCCCTACCATCTCTCATACTGTTGTCAATACTTTGCTTTTCAGAGCCTAGTTTAACATATGATTTTGACCATCCTGAAAAGAGCACATTACAGATAATAATGCATGGGCAAGTTATTGCTTGAATTGTGTGTATCCACAAGGTATAGAAGCTAAGTTTATTTCGTCAAAAAATTAAACCAGAATGTACACAGACAATTGAATGTTCAGTACCCAAGTACCTAAGTAACATCAAGCACCAAAGTTGGCTTTTATCTGCAATCGGTTTGAACACCCAACTAAATTGTTATCTATTGCAGAGCAGTCTCTCTCAAAACAAGTATTAGGAAGAACTTGTGTCTTAAAAGCCCCTCCTTATATGGTAAATATGCTCACAAATATCTACCATGGGTAACTGCTTCATAAACCAAATAAAACAAACTGTTTATCCAAAAATTTAGAATATATTACTGTAGCTTTTCTGTTGGATTTAAGTTGTCGTCCTCTTCGCTGTCATTCTGTGAGGTGACAGAATCTGGATGATAGGCAGCAGATGATGCTAAGCTGTTAGATTCTTCATTGACAGCAGCTGCTATTCCTACAGGTGCAGAAGCTACTGAAGCTGTACTTCTTTGATCAACACTTCTCTGAGGAGACCCTGAAGCCGGCAAGACTGCAAATTAGATGACACTAGATTTCATCTTGTTTTATGCAAAAACCTCTGAAGGACTATTTCTATCATAATTAAATGTTGCAGCCCTAGTATATTAATACACTATATTAATAAATTAAAATTATGACTCAGATTAAATCAAGCAGATTTAAAAATAAAAGAATACAAGTGTTTATAAAAACTTCAGATGGCTTCCTCCCATTTCACTTCTAAGGTAACACGTTTTAAAAAAAGGACATTTCTGCTTAAGAACTATTTTTACCCATATCCAAATTCAAATGATTGACCAATCACTGATAAAATCTTTTACGATGGGGATGTAGCCCATGGGGTCTGAAGCCTGACTAGGAAAGGACCACAGACAGTGCAGAGGCTTGTCATAGCAGTGTACTGGACATGAATTCTAATGTACCGTATTTTTCGCTCTATAAGACGCACCAGACCACAAGACGCACCTAGTTTTTGGAGGAGGAAACAAGAAAAAGAATATTCTGAATCTCAGAAGCCAGAACAGCAAGAGGGATCGCTGTGCAGTGAAAGCAGCAATCCCTCTTGGTGTTCTGGCTTCTGGGATAGCTGTGCAGCCTGCATTCGCTCCATAAGACGCACACACATTTCCCCTTACTTTTTAGGAGGGAAAAAGTGAGTCTTATAGAGCAAAAAATACGGTAAGTCTGCTTACATTAGCCAGAATGTAATGTAAGTCAGAAGCCCAATAACTCCTTAATGCCTATTTTCCCCCTGTAGTCCACTTTCTTCCTCCAGCTCTATATTCCAATAGATTTTTCTATCTCCTGTTGGGCAGAATGGCGTTGACCAATTCGGCTGGGTACCCAAACTTGTGCCGTGATCATTGGTAAGCTTCCAAGTTGCAAGATGCAGCTATACTAGGTCCGAGTGTCTGATAGAGCCTTGAAAAAATATGGCTGGCCTTGACCACAGAGAATCAGACGGGCATGGTTGCTAAGTGAAGGAAGACGGAAAACCACAGGTGGCATGGTTGGTAGGGTGCCACTAAGGTGACTGAGACCTGTTCCCTTGCACCTGGACTATCATATCAGTGGTGTTAGGGGGAAGTATAAATTACATTTCATGGATGAGGGGCTGGAAGAGCATCTATTGCATGGGTAGGCAAACTAAGGCCCAATCACCTCCTCAATCCAGCCCGTGGACGGTCCGGGAATCAGTGTGTTTTTACATGAGTAGAATGTGTCCTTTTATTTAAAATGCATCTCTGGGTTATTTGTGCGGCATAGGAATTCGTTCATATTTTTTGTTCAAAATACAGTCTAGCCCCCCACAAGGTCTGAGGGACAGTGAACCGGCACCCTGATGAAAAAGTTTGCTGACCCCTGATCTAGTGCCTCCGCTCACTCCATGGAGAAGTGCGTTTGTTTGTGGTTGACAGGGGTGAAGAAATGATTAGGTCTGCTGCTGGACAGCTGAAACATTTTTTAGATAATGGTTGCATCAAGGCTTCATTCTCTGGGCTTGAATGAAGTGTTACAGAGCCCACCTGCCACTGTGTTCCACTCTCATTTGATAAGCTGTGCTGTGCTAGACATTAGGATGGTTTTAGCTCCCTCTGGAGGGAGCAGCTACCAGTTGGAGACTTGGTTCTGCTTGATCTTGTGAGCTTTGATAGTAATATTTTTGGTGGGCTTTCAAGCTTGAATGCACAGACAAGATGCCCAGGGCAGAACTCCTGCCAGTTGATACTGTCACAAGTATCTGCTGACAATCAGGAGCCTTATGTCAAGGTTTGCATCTATTCATTACACTTATTCTTGTCAGATCTCACTGGGCACCTTGGTATTATGAGTGGTATCACGGGTGGCAGTTTCCCCATCTTAGCTATGGCTGGAACTCATGGAGTGTGGAACGGAGTATGAGTGACTTTTGTAATTTTGTCTTGAAATGGAGAAAAGAGGCGGAATCTGGATACCCCCCCCAACTATCTAAAGGCTCAGACTAGTGGCATGCATCAAGCAGCCTTATTCTTTTTTTACATTATTATTACTAATAAAATACATAAGAGAACCATAAAACAAATATAAATCAAAAACATCAGAAACATAAGCAATTTTTATAGCAACAGTAAAAAATACAAAAAGCAGTTGATATAAAATCAGTTAAAATCCTGGGCATTTATTTTTTTGGAAAATGTCTAAAACATGGCTCTCCGGGCAACTAGGTCAGGTGGTGGCATATAAATAATAGTAATTATTATAAAGAAAGCCAACAGAGGGGCAGGGATATTTAGAGACGGACCTCTTGTGTCAGACTTAACAGGTAGGTTCCTTTTTTTAAAAAGAAAAGAAAGCTAAGATTTTCAATGAATATATCCCCTCCAAAGGCACCTCTGTGATGATGATGATGATGATGATGATGGCATTAAAATACAGTGGTACCTCGGGTTACATACGCTTCAGGTTACATACTATTCCGGTTACAGACTCCGCTAACTCAGAAATAGTGCTTCAGGTTAAGAACTTTGCTTCAGGACGAGAACAGAAACAGTGCTCCGGCTGCACGGCAGCAGCGGGAGGCCCCAATAGCTAAAGTGGTGCTTCAGGTTAAGAACAGTTTCAGGTTAAGTATGGACCTCCGGAACGAATTAAGTACTTAACCCGAGGTACCACTGTACCCTGTTCTTCTTCAGTAAAAGAGAAAATGGGAGACCAGATTGTATCAAATGTATCTTTTTAGGAGATAGCAGCCTTAATCATGTGTACACTGAAACATGAACTTCTAGCAGTTTCTCCCTTACCAACTTCTTTATGACATAACAGGGAAAGCCATGTCTAAAGAAGACCTAACCTAGGAAAATTAGGCTGAGCAGAGGTTTGAATGTTCAACATCCAAACACAACATGTATTTGTTTGGGGGGGGGGGGGGGAAGAGAACGGAACTGAAAAGACTTCCACCAATTCATATAAGTAACAAACAAAATACTGTAAATAACACCACTAGATTGCATGCTACTTACGGGATGAATTGTTTAGATGCTGGTCCCGAAGTGTGTGCAATTCTCCTAACAATTTGTCCATTTTTTGCTTTTTACCCTGCAATGCTATCATCTTACTGAAGAGTTGGGCCTTTTCTTCAGACAAATGCTCAGACACAGAAGAAATCCTGCTCTGGGAAACCTCCCTGGTTAGAGAAAGACTCTCTGCTTGCCTTCTATTATCTGGAACAGGTTGAACCTAAAAGTAGACATATTTTATTTAAGTTAATTTCAGAACACTTAACACTACAATCCTATTACCACCTTTGGGAGAGTAAGCCTTCTATTCACAGAAGGGATTGAGATCCAGCAGAGGTTCCTGCAATTGGAAAGAGAGCTGGACAACACAAGCAATTTCCCTGTTCTCTAGCAGCCCCTCAAATTACCTTCCACACTGTTTCAAGGGTTCCCCAAACCTACCACAGCAGCTTTTCAGGGCTGCAGGGAGAAGGGTGAATTGGCAAAAAATGTCTCCTTCCCCTTCCACTTGTGGAAACATCTGATGTGCAGAGTTCTGTTGAAGGGAATGCTGGATTCAACGGAATGGGACTTCCTTCAGACATGTTTGGAATTGTGCTGTAATTTTTTTTTTTAAAATGGCTGTTTTCAATGACAGCATTTCATGTAACAAAATTCCAAACAGTTGTCACAGTTTGCATCAGTCCACCCACCTTTTTCCTTTCAAAGCAGTCAAACAAATCAAGAGAAAATTTTTTAATGGAAGTAAATTTGTTGAAGTGTTTTCTTTTTGTTTTGTTTTTCTTAAAGATGACTAAATTTCTGCATTGCAAGCAGTTGGATTAGACAACCCTCGAGACCCCTTCCAATTCTATGGTTCTATGAAAAAAAATTCAATCCACATTACTTTCAACAGAAGACATTTCAAGAAAAAAACACTTCAGCAATGCAAACACATTAGCACTATTCATCAGGCTGTAGGAGAGGAAAATATGTGATGCAGAGTTACTTTGCTGACAGAACAGTTTTGCTGAGAGCCACCTTCCATTCTAGCTGTTAAAGCTTTAAAACTTATATGCAGTTTTGCTTTTTTCAGCTTCCCCTTTTCTGTCATATATTTTGGATTTCTAAGCCAACAGACCGTCTTGTTTCTATTGATGTTATATGTTGCCCTGACAGCCTTTTTGACAAAAGGGCAGGATAAACTTAACTTAAATTTAAAAATGAAAATTCCATGGAAAGTGCTAATAAAGGAATTGATAGCAACTGGCAACAATCAATACTATAATGCTCACTTCTGAAATGGAATTCTCCGTAGCAGAAAGCAAGCCATTTTAGACTGACTTGATTAGCAATATAATCATGTACATACTCAATATAAAAAGGGTACCTGAGAATCATGAAGCTGGTTGTGAAAGCGCTGAATTAAGTCATTTAATTCTTCATTCAGCTCTGATGTTAGACTCACTCCTGAAATGCTACCAGTCGTTTCTGTTACAACTACAGGTGGGAGAAGAAAATGGAAATTTTTATTGAAGTGCTTAAGTAAATTTGGAACTTATTAAACAGAGGCTTTTTAATCATACGAAATAGGGCATACAGAAAAGGCATTCATGTAACAAACTGTGGAATCCGAAAGACTTTTAAAGATGTGGAAATTACTGGGTTTTTTTCCACTGGGAGACTGCAACTCCACTTCATTTTCTACTGATTACTAGAAACATGAATCATAATAAAGAATTCAGCATGCCCCACACTAACTACCTGCCACTTTCCAAATGTTTCTCAGATTCTCCTACCACTGTTACTTATTTAGGCTATTCATATGATGTAAAGCACTCTTATGCGTTCTGTTTTCAGCTCATAGGTAGGCTAAAACCCAGAGGGTGATACCCAACAGTCACAATTCAGGCCCAGTGAAATAGAGTAATTTATGTCTTATGAATTCAACGAATCTACTCTGAATATGTGGGTATTAACCAGAATGCACATTCTCAACCTATTTCATTTAACATGCTCTGGAGTAATTTCTTAGGTTCTTATTTAAGAAACACCACCATTAAAGTGAATAATTTAATTACTGGGAATGCAATAAAAGGTACAACATCTGAGACCTTCAAGTTAGCTCAGTTGGTTAGAGTGTGGTGCTGATAATGCCAAGGTTGCAGGTTTGAACCCCATATGAGACAGCTACATATTCCTGCATTGCAGGGGGGTTGGACTAGATGAGCTTCACGGTTCCTTCCAACTCTGATTCTATTATATCAAATCAATAATCTAATTGCAAAGAGGTCTTTTGTTCAGGTATCTAAACCTCAGCATACCAGAATCATCCATGACAGCAATGGCTTGTTCTGCTTTATGCTGTAGTGCAAGCAGAGCAGCTTGTCTCCCTTGAAGAGCTTTCAGTTGTTCCTGTTGTTGTAGCATCCTCTTCAATAAATCATGTTGCTTCTTCAAATTTGCAAGCTCTTCTGTAGCCTCCTGCTGAGGATCTCTAGCCTGAAAAATATAAAGGGATAAAAATAAAATAAATGGGATCAATATTCAGCTGCCCATTAGCAGGGAACTTAAATTTTTAGATGGTGTGGAGAAAACAAACCTGAACCTGTAAATATGTATGGCGTTTTCTTTTCAGAAAAAAAGAATCCACATTATTATCTTAAAATGTAGTGAAAGCAAAATTCAGTTTTCTGATATATTTGCTTCCTCCCACCCCATAATGTATTAATTGGAGTTATATTCAATCCTTTTAACACCATACTGAAATTTGGTATGCCATTTAAAGCTCTGAACCCTTACAACAAAATCCTATACTTACAAAGAAGTACCACTCTTTTTATCAGGCCTTATTGCCATAGGTAAATAGGATAGTACTAATATATTTGGATATGATCCTGCCTTTTCTATTTAAAAAAAGGCTTGCATAATAGCTTCCATGCAATGACAAATAAGAGTTATCCAACAAGAGCACTGTCATTCTATTTATTTCAATGGGAGATAGTCAAACATACAACTTCCACTGAAATAAAAACTAATCAAATTGGTATGCAGTGCAACACTGATTATGTAAAATCCTGTATTACAGTGAAAACTGAGGAGAAAAAGAAAGCCACCAAGAGAAGCAAAGACCAAATCAAAATTCTTATCACACAGCTTAAATATCTTCCCAAAAATGCAAGCACAAAATAAATTTCCTCATCTTTAATTCCTCATTTAAATGTTTTAAGATAAATAATTGGACTGGGGAAGAGAAATAGAGATAAAAAAGGAAATGTTAAAAAAGCAAACCCAAACAACCCCAGTATTAAAGGGTAAGAACTTATTATCATGCCAATGGTCCAGAGTCCACATTCTGTTACCATTTTAGAAATAAGCAACCTTTTTTTGGGGGGGGGGGGATAATAAAATGTTTACTATAAGAACAGCATACATGCCCCATTAACACTACAGTGGTGCCTCGCAAGACGAAATTAATCCGTTCCGCGAGAGTCTTCGTCTAGCGGTTTTTTCGTCTTGCGAAGCAACCCTATTAGCGGCTTAACGGATTAGCGCTATTAGCGGTTTAGCGGCTATTAAAGGCTTAAAGGCTTAGCGGATTAGCTGCTAAAAGGCTATTAAAGGCTATTAAAGGCTTAGCAGATTAGATAAAGGGGGCGAAAAGCGAAAAAATCTCAAGACTTGCAAGACATTTTCGTCTTGCGAAGCAAGCCCATAGGGAAATTCGTCCTGCGAAGCAACTCAAAAACGGAAAACCCTTTCGTCTAGCGGGTTTTCCGTCTTGCGAGGCATTCGTCTTGCGGGGCACCACTGTATTTTCTTATGGAGCAAGAACAATGCGTGACAGAGACAGGAAGATATCTGAGCCGAGATAAATATTGTTGCCACATTATTCTTTAACTTATTGGTTCGAACAGGCCTTTAAAAAAATAAATGCAAATGCAGCAAAGCAGACAGAAGAATAACTTCACAGATAAATAGTGCATAAAGTCAAGTATTTAAAAGAACAAAAGCAATCATTGAATGCACATCAAACTGCTGTTACAGAGTATTTATTATAAAGAAAAACTAGGAATGCAGATTGAGCTCCTATATTGACGTCCAAGGCAATATTTGGTAGTGTACCTTTGAGAGTAATCCAGGTTCTTGGCTATTAATCCTACTAGACCAGATTTCCCTGCCATTCAGAGCAGCTCTGTCATTTTTCACATTTGGACTTGCTGTAACGGCCATGTCTGAAACCTGTCCTTGAGAAGCTGAATTCCCTAGTTTGTCCTCAATGCAGGGCCGAGCTCTCAGACTAAAAGATACCTCCTTTATCAAATAGTTTAGTAAGTTAGACTGTGAACATATATTTCTGCTAAGCATAGTTTAAGTTTATAATACCGCTGGTCTACTCCAGTTGTAATTTGTCAACATACCATATTACCCAGGATCCGCTTTTAACCCAAACAAGCATCTGGGGAACCATTTCTTAATCTTTTACAAGATATTTGCATGGTGGTAGTGCTCCTGTTCGGACCCACCTTGGATCAGAGCACAACCCACTAAAGGGTCCCAAAACCACCAACTAAGCCCCCAAACCCACTGAAGACCAGTGACTTAAAATATATTAAGCATGGGCACGGTTCAACAGATTTCTTTTTACAAAATGTTAAAGATGTCAAATGTTACGTTTCAGAGGACACATGCATCATGAGCAGATCTCTGAATCTCCTTGTATATGGCTCCTTCCACCAAACTTCTTCTTAACTGCTTTTTAAACTCTCAGAAGCTGAAAGAAGCTGTTTGAGGATTTGGCAGAAGGGCTCCCAACTTCTTCCAAAGTGTCATGCGGCAGGTAGGGAAACTCCAATATCAAATGATTTGCAAACATGAATAAATTGCATGGTGGCACATGTAATTTCTTTTGACTGTGACAAAAATATTATGACTGCAGGTATACAAGTTGCTATGAGGATAAACTGCCAACTAAGAAGCTATGGCTATTGTCCGAAGCACCTCACCAGGACTGCACTGTAAAAGCTTATACATACTTTGAGGTCATTCTTTTAGTAACAATGAGGTACAAATAAGCAAGGAATGAGATTGCAAACAGGTTTTAACACATCATTCTGATGAGAATCCTAAATATAGTTTAGGCAATGAGGAATGTGCAGTAACATGGCTTCAACTTCAAACCTGCCTTGTGCTTAATTCCTGGTGGAAAGCCTTTGTCTACAGGCCATACATACTGAATAAAGGGTGAATAGAATCCCAAAACATTAAGTTTTGCGTTGCTATTCATGTTGGGGAAAGGGGGACTACATGGAGGAGATATTGAAGTTGGGGATAGGAAGCTGGCTACAGTAGGAAGCAGGGAAAGAGGAAAACCCAGTTTTCTGTTTCACTGTAGTTAGAATCCAGGCCATTATGACTTAAAATTGTTACATTTATTTTAATGCTTCCAGAATTTGTAGCTTATAAAAAGTTTTCCTGGACTAAAATTAGATTCAGAACATAAGTTATCTGGAGAGAGAAATGCATCTTCATCTCTAGCAACTTAATTACTAAAAAGAAGCTTACCGTTGTATCTGAAACTTCAGACTGCACATCTATGTTTAGCGATGTGCTCTCAGCTACAGAACCAGATCCCACAGCTGAATCTATAGTCCGACCATCCTCCTCCTCATTTTCTCTAGCCTGGAATATTTTAGTGGCATAAACAAAAAACTACATAAATGGGGTAAATGGAACATTAAGGGGAAAATATGCTACGTTTTAGATTCATCCCCCGTACTATTTTCTCACACCATTTGAAAAAGGCATTTAAGCTTTCCAACTTACAAGCATCTTCTGCAAAAATTTTAGGTATGATTTCTCCTGTTCTTTTAGATGATCTATGAGATGTGACAAGCGTTCCACGTTAGCAGATCTCTCATTTTTCTCAACTAGATCATCTCGCATGGAACTGGCTTTTGCAATATAGTCACGAATTTGAATTAGTCTGCTCACAATCTGAAAGTCAAAAAAACAGTAGAGTCGATACAATAATGCTTTAAACTGATAAAATAGATGGCAATCCTGCATTTTAATTTAAAAATGTTTACGGTATTTAAAATGCTACATAAATAAATTGAACCAGTCCAATTGCTTAACATCCATTTTTTACTAGCAAGACTTGCTTAAATGAGTGTCCAGGCCTCTAGATGAAAACCATGTTTCAACTGAATACATTCTTAAAAAAAGAAAAGTGTAATACATCCATGGCGTGCAAGCTCTCTCTCTCGAGTTTCTCAGCGTACATTTGCCTTATGTTCATAATAAACCTTCAAGAAAAAAATACTATTTTAAGGAGCACTCATTAAATATTTCATTAAAAGATCTTTTTCAATATGAATTTAACCACTAATATCACCTGACTACTGTCCACTGCTGGTTCACCTCTTCCATCTTCTTCAATAGAGACAGGACAATTCTGTAACAAATCCTTACTCAAGGCAGCTGTAAATAAGTCTTTATATTGCGATGATCCCCCAGTTTCTTGTGTCTGAGAACTTGTTGCAGCATCTTTGCCTTTGTTAGTATTAATCTGCAGTGACAGGAAGTTGAATGGCTTTCTGCTTTCATTAAGCTGGCGTTTGTTGTTAGCAGCTGTTGCTCTGCCCTGAGAATCACTTCCAATGCTTCTCTACATAAGAGTGAAAGACCACAAAATGACTTACAGCTTTCTTTCAAACACTGCTCCAGTTAAGAAATTCTGTGGGGTTCTTCTGGATAAAAAAAAATGAATGACCATTTTTCCTCCCAGAGAAATGAATTGAATTGCATTGAGTTGAGATTAAAGAATTCATTATTATGGCAAAACAACATTGTAGAGAATAGTCATATATCCTCCAAGTTCTCCCAGCTTAAGCTTTGTCCCCATCCTCCTATTCCTATTTTCTTCATTCCCTTCCTGCTAATATGAAAGGAGTGGGGACAGAGTTGAGTTCAATCACTACCCAGGCCCCATATCTTCTGACTTGCAGCCAATGTAACACCTTGCAGTGAGATCCAGAATTGGGAGAACCCCCCCCCCCGTGTTTGTGTATTTGTGTGTGTACATAAAATACTCGAACCCAAGATCATCCAATGAGGCGGAATGGTGGGAGACTCAGAACAGATTTATTCATGCAGCCCATGGTTACTAAACACATAATTAGTTATTACAAACTGTAGTGATGGCTGCCATCTTGATTGGTTTTAAAAAGGGGATTGGATAAATTCATGAAGGCTAAGGCTACCATACTGATGACTTCACCTCCAGTATCAAAAGCAATATGCTTCTGAATGCCAGTTACAGAAGAACGTAAGTGGGAGACAGTTTTTGCTCCCATGTCCTGCTTGTGAGCTTCCTATTGGCATCTGGTTGGTCAGTGTGAGACTAGATCAACAATTTTTATGCTGTTAACTGTAGGTTTCCTCTATCTGCAGTAGAGAACACAACAAGGTACTTGAACAGAGGAGCAGCAGAGGATCCAGTTGGCTCATTTCCTACCTACACATGAAGTCTAAGAGTTATGAAGATAGTGTCTATAGCCATAACTGGAAAATATGGAGAGAGGCAAGCAATGCTGTCACGCTTGCTCAGAAGCTAACAGCTGCCCAAGTGCCTGACAGTGGACTTTGCAGCTGACCTTTTCTCTGCTCTTGTCAGACAGGATTAAAATTTAGCGGCAAAGCGCACAGCAGGGCGCTTGGGCTCATGCTAGCTTCTGCACCTCCTTCCTGCCTCTCTACACAAGTGAGACAGTGGCTAGACACCTGAGTTTCCTAACTTGGAAACCAGGGAGGCCACCCAGATCACTTTAGTAAAAACAAAGTACATACCTGATCTAAATCACTGAAGTTTATTCTTTGTTTAAGTTTTTCAAGTTCTGCCTGCTCTGGAACAGACATTTGGGTAATGTATCTTGTATGAGGGAAAGTATGAGGTGTCTTGGACTTTTTCCGTCCAATTCCTGGTGTTGATTCTGGTGAGATGTCATTAGTAAGTCTTGTTTCACTTTCACCGGTAACCTTTTTCCTGTTTTTTTCTGAAGATCTGTTGGGTCTCTTTGGCTGACCACCCCAGCCCTTAAAAATCAAACAAAGAAACAAAACCACGTACATCATCGTTAAAGAAAAACGATTACTTAAAATTCATGATTCTTCCCAATACCACACAAATTGCCTATTTATTTTTTTAAACTTACTTCCATTTTAAAGCAAGTGTTCAGCATGCTGCAATCTGCTAGCATTTTTCAACAACACTGTGAAACTGATTTCAAACATACACTTTAATATTTATATAGTTTTGGTAGAAGCATCATATATCCTTAAAACTGCCTGTGGAACCCACTTGTCAATACAGGCAATCCTTGTTTTGCGCAGGGGTTATGTTCCGAATCCCCGCATGCGTCGGCAAAGCACACAAAAGTCCACTCTGCCCCTTCTCTGTTCTGCCCCTTTCTGTGATGTCTTTATAACGTATTGGGCCCACTTCCAGGTCCAGCGCCATCCGCTATAGCGCACCATTCGGATGTGCATAAATCAGTCATTGCCTGTATCTAGAAGAGCTTAATATTCATTTTTTGTTCTTGTTTTTATTTCGTATTTTTCTCTTGTGAACCATGATGAGATATACAGATGAAGGGTGGTATACAAATTAATAATAAGTATTAACAGAAATTAGTGCTATACCGTGTTGTTTAATCGATCATCAAGGCTCTCATTGCTCCAGCCAGGTAAGTCACGATCATCCATTCCTTCTTCAAAAGGGCTGCCTCCTGCTGCCATGTTATGTTATTCACCACTAAAAAAACAGATACCATTATAAGACAAATCCACTTTAAAAGGGCCACATTTCCAGTCTGTACTAAATGCTGGACACTGGGTAAGTCAGATATAACAGGAAACAATTGTCTCTTCCTTTGTGATTGAGTGTGCACATGTCCTGGGATCACACAGGCTAGTTCATGTCGCCTTCACATGGTTCATTATTTCTGAACCAGACCTGGTCTCTAATGTTTGGTTCTGCACACTAAACTTGATACAGTATTTGTTTGTTTCCATACTAAGCTTATTTCACATACAAGAATGAGTTGATTCAGTGGATGCAGCATTTTTAACAAATGCAGATTTATATAGAAATAAATTCCAATCCACCATCTTTAATGGCACTTACTCCCAAAGTAAGTGAATATAGGGTCATTCCACGTCAGTTCAACGCGGTCATGCCACCCACCGCCTCGGATTTTGATGAAACCTGGTGTACAACCTTCCCTTATGGTTGAAAGAAACCCCCTTAAATTTTTCCCCTCTATCTCAAACGGTTTAAATTTTATAGCACTTCAAAGTTTTGTGAAATCTGTGTTTCTGTTCCTCTTGAGATCCTCGACCTTGTGTGCATTTTATATTTTTTCTCCATAACCAATGATCAGATCTCTTTGAAATTTTACACAGAGTTCAGTAACATGATGAGGATTTCAGGAAAAAACACACCAGCACTAAAATGATTTTATAAATGCCTAAAAAAATGTATAAATGTAGATTTTTGGTGGAAAAATGAGGTTTAGAAAACTTACATTTTCAGCGTGAGGGGACTATGGTATCCAATGTTTTTGATGGTGAAAATTATTGCAAAGATGTTTTTTACTTGCTTTTCCAGCTAGCCCATTCTTGTTCACCTTCCAAGTGGCTATTTCCAGATGAATCCTCTTATAAAAGCTTTGTTGCCCTGACATGCTCTTAATTTCCAGAAAGACTAAGAGATTGCACATAGGCTGGCACTAATATCCTGTACAAGTCTGTGATTCCTCACTAAACAGTCAAGCAAAAGCTATGCTAAGTGGAAATTAATAAAGGGCCATATAACAAATTTACAGTACTTTCAATCGTTACCAAACTCACAGAATGCACTCTGAATTTCCATCTTCCAGTTTGTTTTGACAGAGGAAAACTGACTAAATCCCAGAGCCCTGATCCTAAAACACTTGCAGTACAATCCTAAACATGTTTACTCAAAAGTAATTCCTGCTGGGTTCAATGGGACTTACTCCCATGTAAGCATACATAAGAATGCAGCCTTAAAACCCTATTAAAATTAAAGCTTAATGCACGTAACAGTGCAATGCCAGGATCCAGCAGGGAAAGCTGGAAAGTTTAAGGTGCTGTAGAGCATACTATTTAAAATATTTTAAATGGGTACAAAAAAACCCCATGTCCAAAGTGTTCGTTCAACAACAGATATCACAAAGCCAAAACAAGTATGGTGAATTTTCCTGTAAGATTTCCATCCATATTTGAAATGTAACACAGATACAGCACAATTCAATACCCCAAACTGCAGTCATCAAATATGGACAGCAATGTAAGATCAAATTATGCAAAGTAAGAGTCCTGTAAGCAGTTGGCAACTTCTAAGGTCAGCCTCAAGAACTCTTTTGTCCACCAATGTCACACACACAAAGGTGCATAACCAAAATGTCAGCAGAGAAAAGCTATCCTGATAACCTTTGGCTGAAATCATATGCATACTTTCAAGAGATTTGGGGTTGGACAGGAGAGGATTAATGGATCCAGGAGACTGCCTTAACAGTCGGAGGTGGAGGTAGGTGCTCAGGGAGCGTCCCAGGGGGGTGCTGCCCACGGCGAGCATCCCAGGGCGGTGGCACAGTAATGTCACCCCCCTCAGGGATGACACCTGGGGTGGGCCGCACCCAACACCCCCCCATTTCTCCCCATTGTTAACAGTCCTCGCAATGTTGCCAAGTATCTCCTTTGCTAGGGAACTAACAGGTAAATGGCCCACAACAGACTGTTCTGGAAGCTTGAAAGCCATCTCTATCAAGTCCCTAGCCTGGGCGATGGGGCAAGATGTCTGTAAAGGAGAATGATAGGTTGCCATTTGAGTCAGGCTGAGAAGAAAAGAGAGCTGAGCTCTAAACTCTGTAAACTAACAGCCTCTGGGGTGCCTGCTGTCTCCTAGAGATCTAATGTGAGAGAAGTGGACTTCAGGTTGAGTGCTCCTGATGTATCTTTGTTCAACCTGCATTTTTGTAAATAGATGCAAATATTGCAAAATACAGTGATCTCCTTCCAAACGAGGCTAAATACAGGACAGCACTGCACCCCTCAAACTTACTAGGAAATGAACACAACTGAACTCAAGGATCAGGCTGTCAATGACCCCAAATTCTTGCTCCCTTTTGAATCCGTCTGCCCCCTTACATTAGAAATTATCTTCCACATATGATATGTCCTATGGTTATCACAGGAATGAAAAGACAGTGAGGCACTGTTGTTCTTGCCTGATCAATAACACAAGTATCATTTGCAACTGGCAAAAAAACACTGTTCTATACTCTAAAGCAACTAATAGCCTTTCCCAGTTGGCCTGACTTGCTAGATATTTTGCATTCACTTTATATCAGCCCAATTTACAGCCACCCTCAGCTCTCAAAAGAAAAACAATTCAAAGACGCACATGCATTTAAAACTGTTTTCATTAATTTTGAAACAAGAACTTCTTAGATCTTGCTAAGATTTTTTAATTTTTACTGTTACAGTATTTTCCATAATTGTAGAGCAGATTCAAGCAACAAGATCTGTTGTACGTTACTGTGACGACATACAGAGGGTTATTATTATTATTATTATTTAAATGTGTATACCGCCCTTCATCCTAAGATGGCAAGGTGGTTGCCTAGCAAACTCTGTAAACAACCTCAGGACAAAGAAGGCAGCAGCCAAGTTGCAATCTTGTAACTGGCTTGTTCTATGTATAAAGTAGGAAAGGTAACAAAAGGTATGCAGCTTTAAACTTGAAGTACTGGTTTGCACTTCTGATAGAAAAGTCTACACAGACCAGGCACTGCTGCATAACTTGTACTCATGTGAACCAACCTGTGATCTTTGGATGAAGGGTAGCATACAATTTAATAAATAATAATTGAATTGCAGAGTTGTAAGGGACCCCTGAGGATCATCAAGCCCAACCCCCTGCAATGCAGGAATATGCACCTGTCCCATTCAGGGATTGAACCTGCAACGTTGGCATTATTAGCACCATGCTCTAACTAAATAAACTCTCCAGGTTATAGTAATAAATAATTAAATGTTGGCTACCATTGGGAAGCACTGAAGCTGGACTACAGCCACCCAAACAAGCCTCTTGCTATAAGAAGCTTGCACTTAAGCATATATAATGGCATATTGCTTCCTAAATTTCAGTTCTGGCAATTTTAGCAGAACCACCAATGCAAGCAGCAGCACAGAGGAGAGCTTTAAGATGCCATGGTTAACAGGAAGCACCTACCCTAACCAGTTTCAGAAACTCAGATATGAAAATTGGGAGCTAAATGGTATCTTAAACCTAGGTTATGGTAGCAACAACGGAATGTCTGGGCACTACTTTTTTTTTAATAACAAGAATACAAAGCTGAAAATGAATGAAGTGCTGCTAAAATATTATGTTCATTTCCCACATGGTCTGGTCCTTCCCCTGCCCTCCCTAGTAATATTCTTAAGAGGGTCTATTCTCCAGTCTTCAGAGAGTAGCTGGAAGTGGGGAGGCAGGAAAAGGTCCTCTTTTCCTTCCACTCTGCTGTTTTAATCTGAAATCTTAGGCCCAGAGCTCAGACTGTGAATGACATCCCCGGTCGCAAAACTCTGCCTGGAACAATGGGAGTTTCGAACGCAGACCCCGGCACAATTCTTTGGCCAGGTCAACCGCAGCTCACGACCCTCGGAGTTAATCATAAGGCCCAGCCCCTTTCCCTTATTATTACCGAGACTGGGAAACAACCTGGGATGGATTCCCCCCCCCCCCCATTACAGCGGCGGACCCAAACCCAGTTCCCTAAAAGGCAGCAATCGTAAGGAAACGATCTTAGCCGATCCATTACCCGCGGCCGGCGCTGTGCAGGCCCGGTCAGGCAGGGAACCGAGCCCCGAGCTCTTCTTCCAACCACGGCCGCCCCAGCGCGACTGCCGATTCCTCCTTACCTGCCGCTTCTCGGGGGCGGGGTCAGAAAGACGGTTGGAGGGGCGGAGCCAGGGGCTCAGAAATCCCCGCTCCTGCCTTGAGATCGGCGGCAAAGTCCCGATCGCGGCGGAGAGAGGATGGAGGAGGAGGAGGAGCAAAGCGGGGGGGCGGGACCCGAACGACCCAAGCAGCCTGGCTTCGGGCCAATTAGGAAAGAGAACACTCCGTCTCCTTGGAGACAAGGCTCCCCCTCCCAAGGAGGCGCAGGGGGCGGAGCCTACCAAGGGCGCCGCGCGGGGCTCTGGAGGTGGAGCGGGTGGACACGCCCCCCTCCGCACCAGCGCGCGCGGTTCCTGAGGCGCGCGCTCCCTCAGGCGGGCCCACAGAGGCACCCCTCCCCATCATAACGCGCGCGCGCGCTTTTTGTTTTGCCTCCCGTTATCTCCCACCTCAGGGGGCTCCTCGTTTTGAGGGGGTAAAGGGCGCAGCCGAACCTCGCTGCCTTCCGTCCTTCTCGGCCGGCAGCTCCCGTCGGCGTCCTCGTTCCATAAACGGAGCGGGAGGGTGCTTACATGACGGGGTCCCCCCTCACATCCCCGTTCCAACGGCCGTCCCCGCCGCCATCTTGGTGAAAGGAAGGCGGCGGACGGATACATACCGTTACTTAGTCGCCCCTCCGCCGGGAAAAAAGAGATGCTCTTCCGCCGTCGGCTCGCCTTCTCTTATCTCTTCCCCGCCCCTCCTCCTCCTCCCCTCCCCCGGGTCACGTGGCCCGGTCCTCCTGAGGCTACGCTTCTTCCTCGACGGGCGTTAAGGAGGCGGAGGCGGCGGAGGGGCCGCCTCGAGCGAAACCCGCGCGCTCGAACTACGTTTCCCAGAGCGCAGCGCGCGCGCGGCCCCCTCGCGAACCGCCCGCCGGCCTCCTCTCGAGTGAGTCTGGGGAGCGTAGTTCGAGCCTGTGTGGCAGAGAGCGTTGCATTGTGGGATATCGGGCTTCCGGAACGGCGGCGTTACCTCAGTGCGGAGAATCGCCCGACTCGCTGAGGAGCCTTTTCAAAGTGCAATAGGTTTTCGCATTGGCTGATAAAATTGCTGCGTTTATCTTCTGTTTCAGAAACCGCGGATTCAATAGACAGGCGCAGAATCACCGGTTACTAGCAATACAGTATACATCTTTTAACGGAGATGTTACCTTTGGGCATGGTTGAATTGTTTCCACACTTTTCTCCTGGTCCATCAGGGCTGAGCTCGCTGACTGGCAGGAAAAGGAAGAAAGGTGGAACTTTTACACTTATTTATTGAATTTATATACTGCCCTACACCCGGAGGCCACAAATGCAATTTACACACACAAATCTGTATTCAAAAAGGCAGAATAGCACCATATATGTAATCTATTTTTTAAAAAAGGTAAAGGACCTCTGGACGATTAAGTCCAGTCACAGGTGACTATGAGGTGCGGCGCTCATTTCGTTTTCTTAACTTTCTTTAAGGGCTTAGAGGCTCACTTTTAAAAAACAAAAACATGGCACACCACCTCAGTCTCTGAGCAGTGCAAGATTTCTCAGTTGCCTACCCAGGGTTCAGTTTCCTTGGAAGGAGGGACAGCGGAGACGGTGGAGTCTTTATTATACACCTTTAGGTGCCAGGCAAAAAATGTTAATTTTCAACCAGGCCTTTGGTTGATTTGATTGACATTGTATGCCCTTTTAAGCTGTGGGTGGTTTTTTTTGAGGGGGGGTGTTATTGGGTTGTTTGTTTTTATTTTCATTATGTATTTTGTGGTTTTATATTTCAGTTTTGTTCTGTGAACCGCCCTGAGACCTCCAGGTATAGAGCGGTATATAAATTCAATTAATAATAATAAGTGGTTTATTTATCTATTATTATTATTATTATTATTATCATTATTATTATTATTATCCATAGATGCCACCTGAGCCTACGGTGGAGGGTTTCATGTGCCTTCTGGCACAAAACCACTTCATTTGTTAGACTAAAGACCTTCAGCAGCATCTGTCTCACCAAGGAACTACTGCCCTGTCTGGCTTGTTGGAATCCTTCATTGGATTTTAACCCAGGCTAAGGCCCACAAAGGGATGCAAGTGGCACTGTGGTCTAAACCACTGAGCCTCTTGGGCTTGCTGATCAGAACCTTGCAGTTTGAAAGCACATCAAAAAGTGCAAGTAGATAAATAGGTACTGCTCCAGCGGGAAGGTAAATGGCGTTTCCGTGCACTGCTCTGGTTTTGGTGTTCCGTTGCGCCAGAAGCGGCTTAGTCATGCTGGCCACATGACCCGGAAAAACTGCGGACAAACGCCAGCTCCCTTGGCCTGTAAAGCAAGATGAGCGCCACAGCCCCAGAGTCGTCTGCGACTGGACTTAACTGTCAGGGGTCATTTACCTTTACCTTTAAGGCCCACAAACTCACAAACTTCTGTTAACTGCCCTAAACTCAAAAGATCAGAAACCCCCTCACAGTTCTTATGAGATGATGGTTGCATTTATGTTGCAAACCGCTTTGAGATTTTTCTTTAAAATATAAAGCTGTATAGAAATTTAAAAAATAAAAATAAATTTTAACACCTATTCTTTATCAAGCCATGTTAATTAATCTTGAGCAGATTAAATGCGATTCTGTATTGTGCCAGTATAAAAAATTCATCTGTCCAGCAGGTGGCAGAAGAACGTAAGGAAACTACATGTTTATTTACTAAAATATTATTGAGAGTTTATAGATTGTACAAAGTTATTATGTTCTTGTAAGTTTCATTTCTGATATGTTCTGTATCTTAAGACCACACATTAAATAAATTTTTGGCACCCAAAAGACAGACTGAGAACTTGGGTCCCAATCCCATGCATTGCAGTGACACTGCAGCACTTCAGAAAGCAAAGCTATTCTGTTCTTGTGGTTCCTGTAAATAAAATTTAAAAACCACAAAGGATTTTCCTAATAACCTTTCTGAAAGCTTCATCTTTTCTCAGCTTTTCCCTTGGACTGAGTATTTTTAAAATCTGTCATTGTCTGTAGGGAGATAAAGGAGGAGAAAGGGGACAAGTTAAATTTAAAATTGGTTCTTGAGCTCTTAATCTGTCTTTATCTACATGCTGGCTTGAAATATTTCTAGGGAATTTCACCTTTCAGACTAATTGGTTTCTGTGAATCTTACTGTAAAATGGTTGTTCCTAAATAAGGCAGGGAAGGGGAAGAGGGAACACACAAACCCTTTCATCAGCCTGAATACATCCTGTTCCAGAATGGACTTTATCCAAAGAAACATCCAAAGAATGCAGGCAGGAGTATGTGAGGTTTCAAACAACCGTTGTTCAGACAAAGTGAGGATGAGTTCTGTAAAATGTTTAAATCTTTTCCACACCTACACTACCAGAAAGTTACCTAATGAAGACTGTTTCTTTACTTATTTTGTATTAATACTCTTCAAGCAACATAGCCGTTTCTGACAATACCCAGTTCAATTAGACATTCTCTATTCCTTAGGTACTGTTGCAGGAAGTAAGATGAATAAGTGCCAAATTCTGAGAGCACATTGCAAAAACAAGCTTGAGGGCATGATGTGCATTAATAATTGAAAAATTAAAAGAGCATCTGATAACAATCATTCCTCTGCAGTTTGAAATGCCCCTGATACTGAACTGCTTTCTCAACACCTTATGGCTTTAATTTAATGCATGTGTCAGCAGTCAGGAATCTAGAGTACCAAGCAATGTTAGAGGCTTCAAAGACAGAATGATTTTCTGTCCATATGAGCTCTTATCTTTAATGCAAAGTGCTCTGCCTAAAATGTTAAAAGTTTGGATAATGTTCACGTCTGATCTAAAAACGTGAACTCTTTTTGCAGTTGCATTCTGAGGGAGACTTCATGCCACAAATAAAGCTGTCCAAAAAGTCACGAAGCTTCAACAGAGAATGAAGTAATAGTTTATAATACACCTTGAAGGGTCATGTCCACTTTTACTCTGTATCTTTGACTACAACAACAATCTCTGTCTGTTTTGCCTTATCATCCCCGCAGAACTGTAGATCCCCCTTCCAGACCACCTTGGGCAGGGATTTTCCCCCTCCTTTGGCAGGAAAAGGGGAGGCGAGAGGGAGGGGGTAATGTTTAGTTTGATTCCTTTCGCAATAAAAAAAATAAAAAGAAGAAAATATGTTCATCAGTAGTCAAATGCCCTACCTGAACCTTAGTCTGATGTTTTGAAAAAACACAGGAAGCAGATGGATAAGATGCATCATCCCATTCTGACCTTTCTGTATTTTTACATAACATCTCAAGGTGATTTGATGTCAGCATTCTGAGAAATGGCAGAGCTTCCAGGTGGTACTTAACGCATAGCAGTCAAGGTTTCTCAAAAATGAGCATAGTGCTAGTCTGTGGGACATTTGCAGCTAAATGACAGGTGTGTAACATTATCTTTTAAACACCGATAATCTTACCAGATTTGAAATTCAGCCAAATACAACACAAAAGCACAAATGGTAAAGCTTTAAAAACTAATGCCATAAGTAATACTTTCTTTTCTCTAGAAACAAACACGTAAAAACTGGAAATAGGTGCAGTTCTTGAGCAGCTCTTGGGTATGTCGCTATGTGGTTAAGAAGAAAAAGCAATGTACATGTCAAAAGTTTATAACGGAGAAAGAACTATTAATTAGAAAATGGTTGTTAGACATATCGTCAGACTTTACTTCTTCAGTGGTGACAGCATTTTTCAGAGATTAACAAGACAATGCTATACATGATTACTTAGAAGTAAATTGCAACTGTGTTCAGTGGAGATCTCCCTGATGCTTCCCTAAGGAAGCTGCATTGAACTGAAAGACCATTAGTCCATCTTAGTGTATTGCCTACACTGGCTGGCAGCGGCTCTTCACAGCTTCAGATGTGAGCATTCCCAGCCTTGATTCAATAGATATTGTGTGCCACATTACCTCCCACTGTTGCAGTCCCTAGCACAATTTTGGATTCTTTGGGAACATGCAAACATGCATTTATATATTCATATCCACCCGAGTGCTCATGTAGCCTTTTCAAAAGGCATTGTACCCATTACCTTTTGGCAATACCAATACTTTTTCCATCCACTTGTCTGTTGTGGTTATGATACATAGGTGCCATTTTCCTGCACATAGTGACCTCACTGCTGTTATCATACACAAGATGAATACATTATCTCCCCATGTCACTGAACCCCCTGTGAGATTCAGAAGGAAAAAGCAGGGTCCAGTGGGATCTCATGTTGTACAACTTTACTTGGTGTCAAATGAAGGAGAATGTTTGTAACTTTCTGTTTAGCAATAAACTTTTTATTCCCCCCTTATTTTTTTTCATTGCATGGTTGATCTTACTAGTATTGTATTTGTAATGTGGCAAGCTAGCAATGGTTAGGACAACTGCAACTCCTCTGAACATTCCTCCCCACTGACTCATTACAGTTTGGACGGTTCAGAAATTAACAGCAAAAAAACAACAACTATCTCATTCTGGAGAAGGCTGTGATATTCTTTGCATCAACTCCGAAGGGTCTCTCTCTCTCTCCAGCATTTAAAGGTAAATGACAAGACTGTTTCGAGGGTGGAGGTGATTTCTCTATCACCAGATATATATGCTGTACTTACATTAATTACATTGGTGTGCTCTAATGGGATTAATTGCTTAGTGAGCTGCTGGAAAAGAAAGTAAAGCAGCAATCCTCAATACCCTTACTGGAGAGTAAGTCTCATTGAGTGCAGTAAGTATGCAAAGGCTTGCATGGCATGAGTTAATCCGAGCTAATATGTTTCAGTGGGTAGTGGGTGTTTCTAGACAACAAGAACAAAAGCAATTTTTTGCAGACGCTTTACAAGAACTAGCCTGATAAAATTGGCAAGGGTTGTGCCAATGTCATTTAATTTTATCTGGAAGGTCATGGGATTCAGGACTCCCAATCCCCACAGATTTGACTCAACAAATTGCATGAAGCTGACAAAATCTGTGTCAAATTTCACCTCATTTTTGCCATGAACCATAGCAGGAACGACTGTACTATAATTGCTCTTCTAGTAAATCCATAGCAAAGGGAGATTGCAAGGGCTGTGGGGGAGATATATAACAGAAAGGCAGAGTTACATACCATCAGCAAGCATCTTCTTTGGCGATCATTCATAGCCAAGGAGGATTGTCTTCCATGAACACAGTCTTAACAGTGAGTCCGTAAGTGACTGTGGAGGCCAATTCTGGATCCACACGTTCTTCCACAGTGGGGACATAGGTTTCTGGGCAGGAGTTGATCACGGTGAGGGTTTACCAAGCGTGCCTTCCTCTTAGCACGTTTCTCCCTTTCATCCTGAGTTCGAGCGTCTTCAAAGCCCATGACACCTTTGGTAAAGGCTGTTCTCCAATTGGAGTGCTTGCAGGCCAGTGTTTCCCAGTTCTCGGTGTCTATACTACCCTTTTTTAGATTTGCCTTGAGAGAGTCTGTAAACCTTTTATTGACCACCAGCATTACGCTTTCCATTTTTAAGTTGGTAATAGAGTAGTTGCTTTGGAAGACAATCATCAGGCATCCGAACAACATGACCAGTCCAACGAAGTTCATGTTGAAGAATCACTGCTTCAACACTGGGGATCTTTGCTTCCTCCAGTACACTGGCATTAGTGCACCTGCCTTCTCAAAAGATGTGTAAAAATTTTTGGAGGCACCATTGATGGAATCTTTTGAGGAGTTGGAGATGGCGTTTATAAGTGGTCCATGTTTCACCAGTGTACAGTAAAGTTGCTAGTACAATAGTTTTGTAAGCAAGCATTTTGTTTTCCCAAAATCATCAAGCATATCATCAGGCATATCACAGGCTCTGCCCGCTGCATGTCAATATAGCACAGCACTTACCCATCTTGTGACATCATCATATATGTTTCTTTGCCACTGCTAGCAATAGCTAATTATGTGGAGTGAAGGCAGGGAAAAGCATGATGTGATGATGTCGCAACAACACAGATCATTGTTACCTGTTGCACTCAGTCATGGGGAACTCAAACATGGCAGTGTGGTTTTCTGTGCCATCCTTTCGCTGCTATGAATGTGTTTTTTGTGGCTAGAGCTCAAACCTGATCATTAGTCTTCTGTAATTAGTCAATATTTGGGAGTCCATACAATTTCTATGGGAAATCAGTGGGAACAGAACTCCCAGTTAATCTTACCTTATTTTGTATCTTGGACCCTTTAAGTTGTAGATCTTCAAGTGGTGGCAGCGTGACTTACGGTGGATTGTATCAGCAAGATTTCTACCATTTAGGTTCCAGGCAGAAAAAATATATTCATCCAGGCCCTTGAGCCTTAGTTTGCTGCTTATCTTTGGATAGAGTGGTGTGGATTTGGGTCTGCTCTTTTATGCATATTCATTGGTGAGCATTTAGGTGGTTTCTATGTTTGTTTTTAATAGGAGTGCCAGCTTAGCCCCGTGATTGTGGGTGCCCAGGGCTGTGGGTGCCATGCACCGTGCATGGCCCTGGCACCAAAATTTGTGGTTGCCTGGCCCCTTCATGGGGAATTTTGTGGGTGCTCTGGCACCCAGGACCCCAGTGAGTTGGCACCTATGGTTTTTAATGTTTGTTTCTGCAAGTCACTTCAAGTTCACCTTTCTGAAAAAAGTGGGTAATAAATAGAAACTTTTTTTTTTTAAATTAAGAACTAAGCCACATTGCATATTTGGGCTAAGGTGAGTTGCAGGTCTGTAAAGATGAGAAGACTACAATTCTGTAAGCATTTATTTGGGATGAAGTTCCACTGAACTGAGTGAAAATGCACTGGATTGTGTTGGATATCTTGCATATGATTTCAGTTTACAAAGCCAACAATTAAGGGGAATAACCCTTATTAAAACCCGTGCAACCCATTTCAGCTGTGTTTAAAATTACAATGTATTAGCTCTCTCGTACTGAAGAATCTTTTTTCTGTTGCTTCAGTTTCCACGTATGCCTAATTACAGTATTTCATTCTATTTACTTGTATTGTTTTGTTTCCCCCTATTAAAATATATATCATTAAGGGAGGGAATCAAAATAGCAGTGAAGAACCTCATTCAGGCAGCAGTGTGATTTTAAGTGTGGCCTTAATATCTTTGGACTGGAAGTTTTAACTTCCCAAAGCAGCTAGATGCCTCTTCTTTGTTTTTGTATAGTTTGCTTTTTTTTAGTATATTTTTATTAAAGATTTCTTAGTTTACAAAATTGCATGCATTGTCTCTTTTTTCAAGTTGTGTTTTCTACAGATCAGTTTCATTTGTTGTGAGACATTAGTGTTGCATACTGTGTTAGGTAAGGAAGAAAAGCGGGGGCATGGTAAATGGGGGGGGGTGTCGGGTGGCAATGCTTCTGTTCTTCTACTTAGAGTATGTGTGGGGTTTTGTGTCAGCGTCACTTGTGTGGGTTCTCCTCCTATTCGCTTTTTGTATTTCCTTGGTGGTGAGAGAGGTTGGGGTGGCCTAGGGTGTGGTTAGTTGTCTTTGGTTGGCTATTAGATTTGTTTTTGTTTTTGTATGTGAGTGGGGTGTGGATCAGGTTAGCCCAGGCTTCCTCAACCTTGGCCCTCCAGATGTTTTGAGACTACAATTCCCATCATCCCTGACCACTGGTCCTGCTAGCTAGGGATCATGGGAGTTGCAGGCCAAAAACATCTGGAGGCCCAAGGTTGAAGAAGCCTGGGTTAGCCAGATTGATTCATATGCTGTCGGTGGATTCTTCTTGTTGTCTTGTTGGGCCATGTATAAAAGGAAACCATACCAGGTGAAGGTGTCTTCTTCTATGCCTCTCTTTTGTTCAAGTTGAAAATGTTGCTGGAATGCAACTGAGAGGCTTGGAACACAAGGGCAGAACCACTCCGGCAAGAAGAGAAGAAAAAGAAAAAGAACAGTTTGGATTTGATATCCCGCTTTATCACTACCTGAAGGAGTCTCAAAGCGGCTAACATTCTCCTGATAATGGTGATTGCTGAATGTCATCATTGGCTAAATTGACCTCCAGATGTGCTGAGAAAATAAACTTGGCAATGATTCCACAGCTGCAGACACGGCATACATTTAGAACAAATTACTTCTCCCTAGGAATGCTGGGAACTGGGATCCAGCACCTTAACAACTTGCAGTTCCCAGAATACTGTGTGGAAGTTATGCTTTAAATGTATGGATGGTTGCAGCAACAGATGGATGGCTGAAGTAACTTTCTAACTTGACTGTAAGTGTTTCCAGACAGGAACTTAACACCGCAAACGGGTAGTTTAGATCCACCCCCGCAATGTGTGCGTGACTAGCATCTGAGCATCCACATGTTGCCATAGATACAGGGCCGGATTTAGATTCGATGAGGCCCTAAGCTACTGAAGGTAATGGGGCCCTTTATATGTCTAGCTCTCCTTTGTCAACAACAAATTCTTGCTTTTTTGTGTTGAATATATGCTATATGGTAATTTATAGACCTAATAGGTATCTAAAGCCATTTCCGCAAGCAGAATGTAGGCACCCTATATATAGAAATGAGCAAACCAGTGATATTTTAGGGAGCAGGCTAGCAGGCGGGGCCCATTACTTACATCATAGGAGCCTACACAACACAAAACACTGTTGCTGTATGTAGGTTTTATTTTATTGGTTGTTTATCTTATATTTTGGAAATGTACATCGTGGTTTTTTTTACTTTAATTTTTTTTTTTTTGCCCCCAAGAGAGTGCAGTCCTAAGCTATAGCTTGTTTAGCTTATACATTCCTGCTCTTGTCGCTGGTCAGAGAGAGAGTGGAGAACCAGAAATGCTATATGCTCCTTCCACCTCAGGAGAGGAGGGGAAATGACATCACATAGAGCCCTCTCTACCAATTACATTTCTATGGTATGAGTCTCTGCCTGTCAGCAATACAACTCTGTAGCCTTAACCCCTCCTCATGCTAAGCAGCAAGAACATGCGCTGTTAGATTTGGCTGCTAATCTTCCACAATTTGATTCTCTCCAAGCAAAGCAGAGAGGAAGACAAGAGCACATCTAGGCTTCCTCTTGTTTCTCTGTGTTTTTTGAAAACAGGAACATGCCACAAGCACTTGTTTGCATGTTAATACTCAGCCAGCACTCTGGTTTCTTTCCTACTTGGAGAAGGGAGAAACAAAGTGGGTGCGATTTGAGCAATATGCATCGTCATGTTTGCTTGTTCACAGTAAACCATAGTTTGGTATACTATGTCGGGTGAACCAGCCCATAGGGTTGAGGAGCACTTATTCTTCTTTTTTAAAGCTGTATGCTGCATTAAAATATTTTAGTTCAGATGAACTTGATTTCTAGCAATGCACTTCTTGCCTCAGCTATGCAAATGAGGGAGCAAACAGCAGGTCCTTGATTTTTTCTGCAAATACTGTGCTGAGTCATCAGCAGCTATGCTTGTACTTCCTGCTGACACAAGATGTTGTTTTCTTTTGCAGGCTCATCAAAATGAAAAATTGGAGTTTATTTCATTTGTTTCTCCAGACTGTATTGATAGTAGGCACAGCTGGCTTGGTAAGTTTTACACAATACAAGGAGGATTTGTAGTTTCTTCTCACTGTATAATAGAAAAAAAATGAGCTTATTCATACTTGGATCCTGTTGAGTTCAGAGGTGACATTTGGCTTAAGCTGATAGTAGAATCATAAAATGCTATAGTTGGAAGGGACCACAAGGGTCATCGTCCTACCCCTCAACAGTTTATAATTGCTACTTTTATGCATTAAAAACGTCAGATCAGAACTATTCCCTCAGAGTTCCTGTTTTAATTCAAGATGGTTGGTTAGAGGGCTTGCTCTCCAGATAAGGACAGCTTCTTACACAGAGGTTTTTTTTTAGTTGAACATGAAAATATGAGTCTAAAGATATATTAAAAGAGAATATGTAGACCAGAGATGAGCTGCATATGGTAGATTTCTGGAAGTAGCTCTTACTGAAGTCCTCAGATGTTCAAATATTCTTGTTATTATATTTTCACTGGTGGTACTTGCAACAAAACGTTGCAGATTGCAGCCTTATCCTCCATGAATTTGTCCAATCCTCTTTAAAATCCACCTAACCCCAAAGAGAACTAAAATTTAAGAAATCTGGACACAACCCTTGAGTTACAAAGAAAAAATGCTTCTTTAATTGTTCTTAGTGGGTTCTTCAAATGTTCTTAACTCGATACTGAGTATAATGGGTATGGGGTTGCTCGTGCGTAAGTTGCCGCCTCTCCTGGCTATGTTGCCTTGTTAAACCTTTCTGTCTGGACAGCCCTTCAATTTGTGGCTGCCTCAGTCGCTAGCAGAATCCATCAGTGGGCGTTTCTTAAACCTCTTCCAACATAAAAGTTGTTTGACGCCCAGTCTCCTCCTACTCTCCCTGCGTGGAAGTCTTCTGCGCAGGGAGGGCGTGGGTAGCGGAGGACCCGTGCTCTCCCCGCTGGTGTCCAGTGAAGAGTCCTGGAGCCCTCTCGCCGATTCCCCATCTGCCCCCCTTTATCCCTGGTGTAACGTTGATTTGCTTCCCCCTCTGCTGAACTGCCTCTCTCCCTGCTTGGTCCTTCTCCAGCATCATTTGAGAGCCTTCCCTCTGCCTCAGGCTCCGATGTCAGTTCCCTGACACTGAGTATCTTAAGTTCCAAAGTACTAAGAATACACAACATTTTATCTTCATGATGTTCATGGAAAGGAGGAACAAGGGTGCCTTCATGGTTGGCTCTTTTAACCTGACATAAACCTTCCTTGAGAGAACGTATCGGATGGATGTTAGCTTTTAATCGGCCATGCACAGCTGTAAAATAAAAAGTTTCTGAATGCATTAATGGCAGCAGCTGGAATAAATGTGATTGCATGTCCAGACCGCAGGATTTGACAGCAGCTGTTTAATATCTGGCTTGGAGTTTAGAAAAAAACCCAAAGTCAATAAAGTGGGCAGAGTCCGTTACACGCAATCTGTTTCCAATTAATGACATAGCTATGATCTAAATAGCATTCCCCCTGATGATTATGTTATGTTTTTCACTGTTCCTTTCAAGGGGCTTTAAAAGGCAAAGGAAAACAATACCTGACCACTCCAAACCTGTGTACTTCTGAAGTCCTTTTTTCTAGTTCTGTAACGTTCCAGTTTAGCAGTTTAAAGTCCAGTTACCTGTGAGGCATTTTTACACAGTGGTGAACTGAAATGAGCAAGCCTCAAGAGCATAGGACCTTGCAGCTGTGCTGCTTTCTGGTAATGTTTAGAGAACTGCCCTTGTGACTTTTCCCCAGAGGGAGCAACTCTGGCATTCTAAACATGAGAAACTCGCCATTGCCCTTAAATGACTTGTTGGAAAATCAGTGGGAGGCAAGGAAGCTGCTTATTATCTCTGATCTTATGTATTGACATTAATTGTTTGGAACCACCCGCCTTCCAAGCGCTTGGAGACTTCTGAGAGATGGTAAATCTGCAGAACAATAGCCAGGGCCAGCCCGGAAATTTTGGTGCTTGAAGCAAAGGAAAAAATGGACCCAAGCCAACTTGACTGTTAGCTGAATCTTCCTTCGACACTGGTGATGGGACGACATCTTTCATTGCATTTGAAGGCAACAGGCTACTTTAGGGGTTGCGTGGGGCATGATATCTGTTGCACAAACCTCACTTATGCTACCCAACCCTCAGATGCTGCTGCTTGTGGGAGACTGCTGTTTATACCCATGGAATTTGTGTGGAGGGCCCTTTGGGGTGTCTATTCCATATCACATTCTATTTTGCCTCTATATGGAGCCACTGGAGCTATCACCTAGGGATCTGGAGCACTATATCACATATACACTGATAACACTCATCTTGGTCTCCATTCTGTCTGAATTGGGAGAGGCTGGGCAGGTGTTGGACTAGTGTCCAGAGGCGGGGGGGGGGGCCTGGATGGGGGGTGGCGGCAAATAGACTGAATCCTGACAAGACAGAGGTGTTGCAGTTAGGTGGTTTTCATGTCTGGGAATTGGGGAGACTACCTGTTCTGGGTGAAGTTGCACTCCCCCTTGATGGTACATAATTTGGGGGTGCTCCTTGATTCCAAAATTGAGGCGCAGGTGCCTTCAGTGCATGCCTAAAACATAAATCCCTTTCCTTAAAAGGGGGAGGCAGCGAAGAATCCTGTAGCACCCTAAAAGGCTAATGTTTAATATGGCATGTCATAAGCTGTAAGCTTAGGCCAATCACATTCATATGCCTTTAAAGTGCTGCTGGATTATGAGTTGTTTTTTATTCAGCAAATGTAACACAGGTACCTTACTGGAACTTCTTGCTTATAAGTGGATGACTGTTCTGCTTTATCACACGTCCATGCTATTATGAGACACATACACAAAATAGCCATCTCAAGTATGCCTAAAATACGCTTTGTTTTTGAAATATGAATTTGAATCTAGACAAGAGCAGCCTTGTTCTGTTCCCTACTAAACAGCTAGGAGGTGTTCAGACTCGGCCAGCAGCCTGCTTCTCGAAAGGACTGCCCTAGTGGTGTATTTATGAGGGCTGCACTCGTTCACAAATGTATTGCGCTCATTCACGAATGATCCCTGTACACTGACATAGACCGGGGTGGGGAACCTCTGGTCTGTGGGCCAGGGGGGTCCAATTTAGCCTGGGATATCTTTTTCCCATCACCATGACCATCTGTCAATCAGCTGGCATCACTGGGCAGTAGCGGAATCCAGTTCTGCTGGGTACTGCTTTGCCAACAAGTTACCCCACAGGCCAACTTTGATAGGTTGCTGGGATTGCCTGACAACATCAAAACTTCAGAAGATGGGTGGGTGGGTGGTCTTGCATACCTATCAGAAAGTTGCCCAGTGTGGAGAAAAGGCTCTGCTGTACTGGGCGAAAAGGGTTCTCCACCCTTGATATAGACCCTAGTATCTAGTGCTGCAAAACTGGTCAGTCGGTAGAGCATGTGACTATTAATTTTAGGGTTGTGGTTTCAGTCCTCACAAAGATTCCAACATTGCAGGGTGTTGGATTGGATGATCCTTATGGTCCCTTTCCAACTCCTGAATTCTAGAATTCTTTGCTTGGGTGTGTTGCAGTTGCAAAGCCAGAAGAGGGAGCATGTGTGTTGCAGCACAGATTTCTAAATTCTCCTGAGCAAAGCTTAAGAGAAGAGGCTATGTAAGTAACTGCATATTGACCGAAGCCTATCCCATCAAATAGATCTAATATTTGACATGGGGGACTTCTCCTTCATGCTTGATTACTACACCAGAACTCTGGCCAGTGAACAGTATGAAGAATACACATTTTGTATCGTTACGCATTATTTGTGTGCAGCTTTCAATGCTCGAGGAAGCCATTGAAATGAACACTGCACAAAACAGTAGTGATGGTCATTTCCCCCTTTTAAATGCATTCAAACAGAGACCAAGCCTTTCCTAACATCTGTCTACATATATGGTACTCTAAAGTGAAAAGCCATTGCTTTACTTTGTGCATCTCTGCTCCCTTTCATAAATGCCATTAGCAAATAAAACACCCCCCCCCACAAAAATAACAACAAAACCCCCTAATTTGGAATTGTAGTCAGTTATGTGTTCTGCAGACACTAAATGCAGAAGGTTCCATGTTCAATTTCTGGCATATCCATGTACTGTAGGCTTGGGAGACCTGCTGCCAGTTTAAACTAGGAATGGGGAACCTTCTCCAGACCAATTGTCACCTTACCTTCTATCTGATCTTAAAGAGACCACATGTCAGTGGTGGGTGGGGCCTGAGGCAAAAGTGGGCGGAGCAACAAATGTGCATTTCACCTCTATGTGCTCTTGCTCATCCTTTTCAGTCTTCCAAACAAGAGGCATTATCAGAGTTCAATGGTGCATGCCCGCCAAGCAAAAACATTCAAGCAGAGTACAAAGATGCAAAACAGAGCCAGGGGAGATGTGGTTAGCGAGGGTGCAAGGAAGAGATTCAAGGGTCAGACAGAAAGACTAGGAGGGCCACATTCAGTGCCAAGGCCTGAGGTACCCCATCTCTGGTGTAGACAATAATAATCTAGATGGACCAATAACTTGACTCCCCATACAGCAGCTTCCTATGGATTCTGCATCCATCCAGCTGTGTAAGATGCTAATTTCCTCCACATATCAATCCTGCCTGTATAAAATGGGGATAATGCATTTGTCTTTATCCTAAGGTATGCAATACGCCCTTTTAAAATGTAAGTTTTTTTGGGGGGGTTATTGGGTGGTTGTTTTTATTTTGATTATATATTTTGTGGTTTTATATTTTGATTTTTTCCTGTGAACTGCACTGAGACCTCCGGGTATAGGGTGGTATATACATCCAATAAATAATAATAAAATAATATGGGAGGCAGCTGAATCAGTATATTAGTCTATTAAGCCTTTAGTTCAGTGTTTCCCAAACCTGCGTCACCAGCTGGTTTTTTTTGGACTGCAATTCCCCTAACCCCTGACCACTGGTTCTGCTAGCTAGGGATGATGGGAGTTGTAGTGCAAAAACAGCTGGAGACCCAAGTTTGGGGAAAACCGCTTTTGTTGGTTAATAGGTAGATGATTTTAAACAGCGAGATCCCTTTTAATCTGTTGGTCTGAGACAAATTAGGAGCACAACTGCCTGTTTTGATTGGAACACCCAGTTCCGTCTGAAGTTACACTGAATCAGTTAACTACACAACAAACCAGCTAAAATGTAGATAATTAATCGGGTAAAAATCCTTTAGTCAGTTGGCAGCACTGGTGGATAATATAGCAGCTACGAATCTAGGAATGGTGCAACACCTGAGCCTGCAAGGGGCTCCACTCTTTACACTGAAGTAGCATCACAGCCAACAGGCAGGCAAGTTCCCTTCTCTTCCAGAGAGAATTGTTGGAGCATTACCGAAGCTGCTTTGGACTGGCACCGAGCCCGTCCCTCTGGAAGAGTTTCCTGACAAGCTGCCTAATCCCGCCGCATGTTTTCCAGGCTGTTCTCCACTGCCATATATTGGATTGCACTCAAGGGTAGGAATTAAATGAAAAACAAACATCTGAGATGCAACACAAATATTTAAAAGGGAAGGCATGCAATCAAGATCGCTCCAGCATCAACATGCCTCGAGCAACAAACGCTTATTTAAAGCAACCTAGGAATGAATACTGAAGGCAAGAGGGATCTAGTCTATAAATAATATTCTGTTTTGAATTTTTCCTCCATGTAGAAGTTTCAGAATCATTGCTGCTCCTTCCTCCTCCTCCTCCTCCTCCTCCTCCCTTCCAATGTAGCTCATTTCCTGCTATTAGGCAACAAAACTGAATTACGTCTTTTGTAGTGAAAAAATGAGGGGAGGGGACTCCAACGAAGTCTGGTCCTGTGCAGAAGTCTTCTGTTTCACTGCAAGCAACACTATGTAATTATGACCCAGATTGTGTATGTATTTCCTGACTGTAGTAACAAATTCCTACTTTTAAGTCAAGCCAAAATGTAATTAAATTGGAGAGGGGGGTGGGATCTCGTATGTTTTAACCAAGAAAATTCTGCTGTAGAATTGCACTGATCTAATATGTAGTGTTGTCCCATCAAAGAAAAGAGAACACTAAACAGAACGATGTGTTGATAGATTGGCACATAGATAGATAGATAGATAGACAGTCTTTTTTTTAGAACCAAATGGATAATTTCAAACCAGGAAAAAGGGCAAAAACAGCAGCACAGAATGAGCATGGATATTAAAGACAATGTGTGTGTCACTTGTTGCTATCTTCATATGGATAAGGCAAGTTTTTCTGCAATGTTTATGTAAATTCACCAGTTATTAATACTGGCTGGATCAATGGATGCATGTAGCTCCTACAAAATACCAGCTTTGATTGAATTCCCTTCTGTGGGGCACTCATGCGTCTTAGACACACAGAGTTTTCTTTGTCTGAACTCCATATTCCTTGCTCAAACAGGGTTACCTTTTTGAGCACAAAAAGAGTCTGTTCCACAAAGCTTTCCTGATGAACTGCTACCACCAATTCCACGTCAAATGATTAATCACAACTTTAGCTATGAAACCTTGCACTACTAATTAAAGAGCATATTGCATTCCTTATTTTCAAATAGGCTCATGGACCTGAATGTGATAGGCAGTGATAGGTGGGAAACCTGGGTGCAATGGGTTTGTGCATCTGGCGGTTAACCAGAAGGTTGGTGGTTCGAGTCCACCCAGGGACAGCTTTGGGCAGGATTCATGCATTGCAGCAGGTTGGGCTAGATGACCGTCGGCGTCCCTTCCAACTCTACAATTCAGTGATTATATACTGCCACTATTTTCACGTGGGCATCAATAACCTAACAGAAAATTCAGGTTGTGCAGTTAAAGTTGATTTGGAGCTCTTGGGCAGCAAATGTGCTTCCCCTTTGAAATCAGAATTTTTACGATAATGAAAGCCATTGAAAATGCACTGGCAAGGGTGCGATAAGAGTTGCTCAACACAACATTGTCTAACCTCTCTGGATGCAAATAGGAATGCATGTTCAATAAACAGGTTTGTCTGGAAGTGACCCAACAGTTCACTAATGCTTCTCCATCCTCCTTCTTCCATTAATGAACTGCTCCAGCAGACTTTAGAGAGTTGTTTCCAAGAGCAGCTGAAACTCCAGGCCCAGGTGAGACTTCTGGAACAAAGTGTGAAGCAGCAACAAGCCAAGATTGTGCAGCTCTTAATCGAGAAGGACATGCAGTACAGAGATAAAGGAAGTGAAAACAGTGTTATTGATCTGGGAGAAGAAAGAGAATATAAAGGTTTGGGCTAAATCTCCCTCCCTCTCTCTCTGCTTTTCAAATAGACTCCACCCAGTCATTGTGCCAAACCATGGCATGCAGCTACCATAGCCTGAACTTCCAAAAGTTAAACCGGCAAATCCCATTTTTTGAGCAGCTTGCTTCCTTTAATTTTTCCATCCGCTCAGCAGCATATTCAATAAATGCAGCAGCCTTTAACAACAGAGGGTGGCTCCAGATTGTCAGTATTTAAAGAGAGAGAATCAAGCACATAACCAGAATTTTAGTTTGGGGCGATGCGGATTAAAGGGAACTGTCACCCTAGCTAAGCAAATCCACTTTTTAAAAAAAAAATCCGAATTTAAGCATTTAGGAAAGTTGACGGGGAAATGTGTGGAAAACTGTGGGGTGAACAAATGACTTGATGGCATGACTTTTCCGGGAGTAAATGTCATTTATTTATTTTAATGTACACAAGACACATGCATATCCAGCTAGCCAAGAGATCTGGAGTGATCTCTGAGACCTATTGAGAAGAGTGGCATGCACTTTGTGCAGTCCTTCAGACAGAGGGTTGGAAAGCAGGACCTGTGTGGCCTGTCAGTGATGCCATGTTGCCCTGCTGTCAGGGCTGCATCAACTGCAGGTCAGCACAGAGACTTAGAGATGAGCAGTAAAGGGGATTCTTTATTCCAGGAAACAGAATGCAAACAGAGGAACCTTTGGGCAAGACTGGCTCCCAGCAAAGCAGTTGCCATAGTATTGGCGATATGGATGGGGCTTGTATACACCAGGGGTCAGCAAACTTTTTCCACAGGGGGCCGGTCCACTGTCCCTCAGACCTTGTGGGGGGCTGGACTATATTTTTGGGGGGGAATCCCCCCCACGACTCTCCCCTCCCTTCTCCACAGCACCGGATGTGCCCCGGGGACTGCTTACCTGTGCCTTGCGAGCGGCAGGGGCTGGCGGTGGCGGAGGGACGATGAGCTGTGCAAAAGGGCTGGCTGTGGAGAGGAGCTGCTCTGCTTTAAATGGCGCTCAGCCAACCATAGCTCCTGTGCCTTGCGAGCAGCAGGGGTTGGTGGCAGCGGAGACAACGATGACGAGCGGTGTGAAAGGGCTGGCTCTGGAGAGGGGCTGCTTAAAATGGTGCTCAGCCAACCATGGCTCAACAAAGCCCAGCCCCCTTCCTCCTCTAGGCAGGGCAGGGAGAAGCCAGGAGGAGGGATGGAGGAGGCCCCTTCACGGTGTGTGTGAGGGACAGGGGGGGAATGGTGCAGCCCGAACGATCAGAATCCCCATGCCAATCCACGTGGCGATTCCTGGACTGTCCGCGGGCCAGATCCAGAAGGCAATTGGGCCGGGTCCGGCCCCCGGGCCTTAGTTTGCTGAGCCATGGTATACACCATACCTTTAAAGCACATCCCCGCCAACGATCCTGGCAGCTGCAATTTACCCCCCGCAGAGCTATAATTCCCAGCAAATGGCAGTGAGAAAGATGCTTTGGTGGGGTGTTTTGAAGGTATATTGTATATGCAGCCACCACTATTCCCACACTGAGAAATAAATAGTTAATTTTTACCATTGCAAGACACAAAAATGGAGGCTAGAAGGTAAGCTGGGCTTCCAGATATGCATGGTCAATCTGAGCTGGGAGGCTGCAAATAAAGAGAGAAAGGCTTTTTTGGGTTTTGTACAAATAATATGCTTTCAATAAACCTTAGTCTTCAATAAAGACCAAGTCAGCAGTAACAGTGGAAAAGGATTTGTGGGCTAAACATATATAATTAGGAATTTGTTAACTCCAATTTCCAACTGTTTCCCTTGTATTTATTTAACCAACAAATGACTTGAAATCTTCCGGGGGTTTAGCCTGAAACAGTTCAACCGAGATCATGGAACAAGACCATTTGAAATGGCAAATGTTAGCTTAGCTTTCTAGGCATATCATGTATCTCTGGGTGAGGCAATCCTGCACCCACTTAATTGGGAGAAAGCCCTGTTGAACTCAATGGGACTAACATTTGAGTAGATGTATAAAATGTCAGAATCCAATACAGACCCCCTTCCAAGTGTCTCTCTGCGTATATTATAGTGGTAATGAGAACAAGACCAATTTTCATTATTTGGAATGACTGTTGTTTTGGGGCAATGCAGATTGTGCGGAGATCTATAACGCTGGACACAAACAGAGTGGATATTACAAGATGAAACCTCTTGAGAGCCCCAGTGGATTCTCTGCCTACTGTGACATGTCACAAGGAGGAGGGTGGACGGTCTTTCAGAGACGGTCAGACGGGAGTCAAAATTTTGATAGGTAAGTGGTGGGCTTAAAATCAGAACTAAGTCATAGGCACATGGAAGGAGGTTAATGCTAAACCTTCTATCCCTGTACTAACTCCTGAAAGTGAAAGATGCAATGTAATATCCAGTGCTTCTCTTTGATGATCCTGGAGAAGCTACGTCCATACACACTCATGACTCTTGCGTCATTTTCATGTCTGACTTCAGTTCGCTTTCTTCTATCTAAACCTTTCCTAATCCAAATATAAAAACTGGGCTGGTGTCACAGGAGCTTTCCAGTCAGTATCTGACAGTTCAAAGTTGGAGTTAACACTTTTTTAAAGCAAAAACACAATATCCACAGACTTGGTTGAGTGTCAGGCCCAATGAGCACGGCGGCGCATTCCCGGTAGATCTGGCCCCTTGTATCAGTTGCAGAGACAAAGTCCCCGCCTCCCCACAGTCATCTAAGTCGTCACCTCTCCAGGGCTTTTTCCAAGCAGTTGGAGACTTTACCAGTGTGCAGCCAACCTCTTCTCTGCCCTTTTCATGCCTCTTCTGGTTCTGGATGACAAGAGGGTAGGGGACCTTGTCGCAGCAGGAAGAGGAGACACCTGTGACTCTTCACCAGCCTGACTCATCTCTGCCTCTTGGCCTCCCTGCTTTCACTCTCTTACTTCAGCTTCTGCCTCTGATTTTGGACTTCTCTCTGCCACAGGCTCTCCCAGCTCACTAAGCCCTGCTACCGCTTCAGCTTCCATCACTTCCTCTTCTCCCTATGACCACCCATCGTTGTCCCACCACCACTCCCCAGGCTCTGAGCCTTCTTCTCTTTGTGGTTTCCCAGCTAGTTCCAAACACCATTCCTCTGTGTCCAACTAGACCCATGAGAAGTTGGCTAAGATAAGCATTCAGTTTACCACCACCGAAAATTGTATTTATTTAACAGCTGAGACAGGGTCCTTTTTCTAATTTTTCTCATGCACCTCAAAGAGTTCTGTGTGTGGAGTTAAGACTGCTTTAGTTCCCTGGGGACTATGACAAGGTTAGTAAAAGCCTATGCAGGACTTTCTTTCAGACACTGAATGGTAGGAGTCTGACTCCTGATACCCAGCGCTGAGTAAGTACGACCTCACTCAGAATCTCTAAGTGTCCCTATTTTTCAGGGACGTCCCTGATTTAGAGAAGCTGTCCTGGTTTCTGATTTGCTCCCAGAATGTCCCACTTTTCCTTAGGATGTCCCTATTTTCATCGGAGAAATGTTGGAGGGTATGGAGTTATCTGACCCCTGAGCCGTCTGAAGTCAATTCTGTATAGGGAAGTTTTTTTAATGTTTAATTTTCTATAAACTGGTGAGAGTGGCTGGAGCCACCCAGTAAGATGTGTGGGGTATAAATAGTAAAATTATCATTATGGAATGGGACTTCCCTATTTTCATCGGAGAAATGTTGGGGGGTATGCCGCACTCCCACTGAAGTTGGGGCACATGACCTATTAGGGCCCAAGATGCCAAAGGCATTCCTAGCAGGCAAATCTCCATGCATGGCATCTTCACAAAACAGTAGCAGCAATTTTTTCACCCAGTCAAATAGAAACTAATATTCCTATTTCTGAGGGAGTGAAGCTATTGGAAACAACAGAGGTTGCTGTGAAATATACCCAGAAGCATGTCCCTAAATATACTGATATAATACTGGGGATTTGCTTTCATTAGGAGACTGTGCAACTCAAAGGGGTCTTTCATTAAAGAGCGTCTGAAAATCCTCTTGGTTGTAATAAATATATATTTTTTAATAAAGACCAGTTAATAATCCTCTTGGAGTGACCCAAATCAGAAGTTTACATTTTGTTTTCAGAGACTGGGCTGAGTATGAACAAGGTTTTGGTGATTTTGCTTCACCAGATGGTGAATACTGGCTTGGAAATAAAAATCTCCACTATCTGACCTCTCAGGGTAAGAAGGCCTGCTTAGTAAATGTTCATTAAGGTAAAGTAAACCAATGATGACAGAAACATTGCTGATTGTGTAACGCTAGAAACAAAGGCTGGAATCAACCATTTAATTTCCCCAACGTGGTTGTAGCTGATTTGCTTTCTCTCCCCCCTGTGGGCTTAATTAGGCCTGCCAGGCCTCCCCACTTGAATCCCAGTATGGTTTGGCCTAAACCATGCCCATCGTGTGGGGCAGGGAGGGATGGGGAAGAATTTGATTCCATTTGCATTTATGGACAAATGATCAAATTCACACTTTCCAGGGGTGGGGGGAAGAACCAAAACAAAAGCATCTTTCAAAATTTGCAGTTATCCAAATCTTGAGATGCAGTTCTCCAATGAAACAAAATGGTGTTTGTTAAGAGAAATTTGCACTAAAATGCTGGTCAATTTTCTGGAGGATTTAAATAAATAATTTGCAAATTGCTGCAGAAATGTGGACAACTGATTTTAAGATTGGAGAGATGAGAAACTGAGAGAACCAAAACTGACGGATCCTTCCATCCCTAGGGACAAGTAAACCTAGGTTAAAATTAGGGTTAAAATTAAGCAGGAAGAATCAGAAGCAGATTTTTGGTGTGCTCCTGATATTTCCTTCTTAGCTGCTGGTCGAATTTAACACTTCTTGAATCTGACACCTTATAAGGCACCAAGTCAATTGAATGGAAGCTCTCTCGGCTCCAATGGATAATTTATCCTCAACACTGTCGTTGTTGTTTTTCAGGGAATTATACCTTGAAAATTGATATGTCTGATTTTATGGATGAACAGCGTTTTGCACAGTATGAAAATTTCAGAGTTGGAGACGAACAGGTAATAAAATGCACTTCGTTAACTGACACCTTGGCACTTCTAATAGAAATTAGGATTATAAATACAGTGGTACCTCGGGTTAAGTACTTAATTCGTTCCAGAGGTCCGTTCTTAACTTGAAACTGTTCTTAACCTGAAGCACCACTTTAGCTAATGGGGCCTCCTGCTGCTGCCGCGCTGCCGGAGCACAATTTCTGTTCTCATCCTGAAGCAAAGTTCTTAACCTGAGGTACTATTTCTGGGTTAGCGGAGTCTGTAACCTGAAGCGTATGTAACCTGAAGCATATGTAACCCAAGGTACCACTGTACATATGGGGGGGCAAATGTTGCATCTTAGAAATATGAAACACTTTCTAATCTATCTTAACTTTTTCTCCTTCACCTTAAACACCTGCTTGCCTTTTATATTACCCCCACAGCATGTTAAGTGAAACTGTATGAGATATTTCTGCTTGTAATAATTACGACTGGGTTGCGCGCATGTTTTTCTGACAAAGTTCTTTGGATGCCGAGGTTGCACCTTACTGCTTCAGATTATTTTTTCTTCCCTCCCTCTATCAACCAGAGCTCTTACAAGATGAACTGTGGGCAATACTCTGGAACAGCAGGAGATTCCCTCACTGGGGGGTTTCACCCTGAAGTTAAATGGTGGGCAAACCACCAAGGAATGAAATTCAGTACAAAGGACAGAGATAATGACAACTACGAAAAGAACTGCGCTGAAGAAGATAAAGCTGGCTGGTGGTTTAACAGGTTAGTTAACTCCCTCTCGGCCCCTCATTCTGCTTGCACTTGAAGTATTTTATTATCATTTCTATTCTACATGCATTTATTCTAGGGATGGGGAATAAATTTGGTTCAGTTCTCACACAATGTCAACCTGCCTGATTTGCACTGCCCAAATAATCTGCAAGCCAAAAAAGCAGCTACTCTTCACAATCCGTACTTCTCCGAGTTTTACTATGTGGCTATCTAACCAAACAATGTCTCCAAAATTGTAATGTATTTATTTGGGGGTGGGCAGGAGTGTGTTAAAATGCGCATGTAACACAAATAAGTGTTATATTAGGGGGAAATACCATGACCGTTCTGGGCTACCTTGCATGAAATACACCTTTTGCTACTCAGGCCTATGACCGCATAACAAAGAATTTGTATCACTGCTTTGTATTTCCCCAACCTGCCTTCTCCTAATTCTGGGGAAAGGCCATGTGTCAGAATGTAGGTGATGCTATAAAACAAGCATGTCCAAGGTGTCAACCGCGATTGACCAGTCGATCCTGGAATGAATTCTGGTCGATCGCCATGCCCCTCCACTGGAGATGTACCTGAGCAGCCACAAGCTGGTCCTGAACTCCTCTTACAGGAGGGGCTGTTTTGATGCATGTGTGCCTCCTTGCACCCACCCCTGCCATAGCAGGGGGAAGTAGCTGGTGTTGGGAACAGCAGGCAGTGCCTGCCCCACCCATCTCTGCTGCCCACCCTGCAACCATTCCTGCCCCCTCAGGAGAAGCAGCCAGCGCCCGCTCACCCTGCACCCATCCCTGGGTGATAGATCACTGCCAGTTTTTATACTGGATCGTAGATCACAGCCTACTTCAGGTTGGACATACTTGCTATAAAGCAAGAAGGGGAAATTTCAAGTGAGGTATGGGTATACTAGATATCTCATTTGGACTACTGCAGTGTGCTCTTGGAAAAGTCAAATGATGGAAACTTCAGCTGGTTTACAGCGCTGCAGCCAGGCTGTTGACTGAGGCCAATTATAGGAAGCACGTGATTCAGGTTACACCAGCTATGCTGGCTCTGGTTTGAGTCTGGACACAATTCCGAGTCCTGGTCCCAAGCTCAAAATGGCCAGCTCCCCCCCCCCCACTGGATGGGCATTGTCATTCAAATGGTGTGTGTGCACCACAACATGTGATCAATTATGTGGGGCGGGGCTTACCTGTGTCTCTCCCCCCCCCCCATATTTTATTCAAGTTGGCACACTTCCTGGTTGCCATAAAAAAAAAAATAATGTGCACTTACCCAGTTTTTAGAAGGCGTTATTGTTAAACATTCCAATATTGCTTACTACAATATTGCTTTACGTTAACTTCTTTCAACACTTGATTTTATCAGTAACACAATGTATATTTTACATAAATCGTTTAGAGGTCCTGATGATTAAGCTGTGTGTGTGTTATATTAGCAATCTTGTCCATTTTTATGGAAAGCTGGGTGCAGCTATAAGGAAAAATAGTAATTACCATAATAAACAAAAGCTTCCCCTGCTTCTATCCACTGCCGCCACCTGCACCCTAAAAAAAACCAAAAAACCAGCCTGGGGGGAAATATAGCGTTGCACTAAGACAATTAATTGTTCCATCAGTGCAATCATTTCTGTTTGCTAGACGGAATGATCACCCCTCTGCTGCCATAGTGCCCTGTTTTTGGGGTTCTCCCAACCCTCCCAAGTGGATTTGGGGAGGGTGCAGGGTTAGTACAGGAGGAGGAGAAGGGGAAAAGTCCTGTTTCATTAGTAGGGCTCAAGCTGATTTCCGCTAGTACAACAACTCCGTTAAATCTGGCCCATTGCTTTTTGGGGAAAAGGCTGCTGTGAAAAAGTCGTTGAGGGTGCAAAACAAATGGGGGGACTCAGCCCTCCTTTCCCGCATTCCCTTGCTGCCCTTTAAGTTGCCCAATGCCCGATTTCATATTAAATGTGCCACAATCCGATTCTGACACACACGGACAGGTCTGCCACTGCCACGTCTCATCTGGCCCCTTGCCAGATCAGATGTGGCATTGGTTTGGAAATGTAGGGCAGGTTAGCGCTGGAAATGAGTTAATAAATGTTAACGGGGTTATTTTTTAATCCCTTTGTCCAGAGAGACTTCGCACGTTTTTAGCAACGTCACGGAGACCTGCACAAAATCAGTCAGGCGAGGAAGACTCCTGGATTAGTAGCGGCATACATAAGAAAACTTTAATGGCAGCTGCTGAAAGAAAAGTCATTAGATTTAAAAATAGTAAGCTAATATAGTTATGCAACAACTACAGAATAAATGTGCTTGTTCCTTTGGAAATGAGTTGCCTTTTACCATTTTAGAGCAATCTAAATTCGCTTGGCAAGGGTTGTCCATCAAAATTAGCTACAATGTTTGTCTATGTCACCCTTTATTTGCTCTGCGTTTTTGTGGGGAAATTGCCCAGACCTGTCCCTTACCTAATAACTCACAGGCCATGTCACCAGTGACTGCAAGTGTCATCCAAGCAGTCCTAAGTGGGGCTGATCCAAATCTAAATCTTTTTACTCTCGTCAATGCTAAAATAATAAAAGGGAGGAAATGAACCTGTGTGTAAATCCTGTTTGCAGCGAACTCAAATCTTCCACTGACTTCAGAAGGAAATTTGTCTGCATTTTACTGAGCTCTTTGGAGAGTCACGTTTGTTTCTGGTGAATCACTGCTGAATATACCCAACTGAGTCACATCTTTTGGAGTCACAGAATAATGACCATAAATAGATTATTCCAGCTCTCGCTGTTTACTTTTTATTGCTAGTTTCAAACCCAATGGAGGCTTGGATCCTGGCCTTTTCTTTCCATGAATGCAAGAAGTTAACATTCATGGAACATGAATTTTCCACCTCCTGCTTCTCTGCAGGGTCTGAAAATCTGCCCTTGGCTTGGGCGGGGCAGTCATTGGAAGTGGTGCTGGGGGGGTGGGCTGCAAATGAAGAGAGAGGAATTGGCAAAAGTCACCCCCACGTGCCAAATTAAGTATGCAATCAATTCCAGTGCATTTCCCTGCAATGAAAATGTCAAAAATGATACAGAAAGTGATGTAACTACATAATATTACAAACCACCCTGTGCTGTTTGGATGAAGGATGGTATATAAATTTAATAAATTGTAAAATAATAATAATATGTGTGTACTAAAAAGAAGCAGAAGCAAATTTCTATTCATATTACTTGGGTGATTTCTATTCCTGACCTCCGATGAACATGTAAATTGTGGCAAATTCTGCTCCGGTTTCCAACATTCCTTGTAGTGGCACAGGAAGGCCCCGCTCTTTCTGAATTGGAAGACATCAAAAAAACTAAGATCATGGCCACTGGTCCCATCACCTCCTGGCAAATAGAAGGGGAAGAAATGGAGGCAGTGAGAGATTTTACCTTCTTGGGCGCCATGATCACTGCAGATGGTGACAGCAGTCACAAAATTAAAAGATGCCTGCTTCTTGGGAGAAAAGCAATGACAAACCTAGACAGCATCTTAAAAAGCAGAGACAAAGGTCCGTATAGTTAAATCTATGGTTTTCCCAGTAGTGATGTATGAAAGTGAGAGCTGGACCATAAAGAAGGCTGATCGCCAAAGAATTGATGCTTTTGAATTATGGTGCTGGAGGAGACTCTTGAGAGTCCCATGGACTGCAAGAAGATCAAACCTATCCATTCTTAAGGAAATCAGCCCTGAGTGCTCACTGGAAGGACAGATCCTGAAGCTGAGACTCCAGTACTTTGCCACCTCATGAGAAGAGAAGACTCCCTGGAAAAGACCCTGATGTTGGGAAAGATGGAGGGCACAAGGAGAAGGGGACGACAGAGGATGAGATGGTTGGACAGTGTTCTCAAAGCTACCAGCATGAGTTTGACCAAACTGCGGGAGGCAGTGGAAGACAGGAGTGCCTGGTGTGCTCTGGTCCATGGGGTCACGAAGAGTCGGACATGACTAAACGACAACAACATTTAAACAACACACAGGATAAAATATAAAGAGAGCTTGTTATTCCCTCATCTCTTGGCAAAGTACTGGCATGGCTACAGCAAGGGCACCTGTTCTGCCCATCTCAAAGGCAAGGAGAAGCTTTGCAGCCTTGTCTGGTGCAGAGCCGCAAGTTCACTCTATTTCAGTATAGAGGCTCATAGAATCAGGCTCATCTGCAAAACACTCTAACAAATCAGTCCGATTCAGAGTCAATGTGATGGTATCAACTGCTAGGGCAGAAGAATAACGGTAAGCACATAGGGGAGAGGGGAATATCTGTCCTGCTTGAGCACGACAGGCACCCAGCAAAATTTTTTGCAGTGTTAGATTTGTCAGCAACAGAGCCTAATGTATGCTGTTACTTGGTGGCCTATAAATCGAAGAGGTTTTCTACTGGAGCTGAAGGGAGTTGGTGTCTCTTTAAAAACTGATGGTATTGGTGTGCGATGGTGACTTTGTTGTGCAGTGCTGATGCACTCCGAAAAGGACAGTGCCCATCTCCATTCCAACGCTGCCCGCCTGCTGTTTTTTAAAGCCATGTTCTTTTGTGGTGAACAATGGAGCATTCAATAGAGCAGGATGCCTGCAAGAACAGAAGCGGCAACCAGCAGGGAGAGGACAGCACTGACATTATAGCACTGACAGGACACCCTGGTCACGTACGAACAACAAAAGGCGACGCAGATCTCTGGGCTGGTTTGCAGAAGGTGGCCCACCTGGGCGGGGAAAATACTCCTTTACTTGGAGGTGGAGGGGTGAGTGGAGGTTTTTCCCTTTTTGTACCTTTAGCAATATACCGGTAATTTGAGTCAGTGCAAATATTAACCATCTCCTGATTCTTAGGAGAGTTGTTTGGAAAATTCACCAGATGTAGTCAGTTCTTCACCTGTTAATGGTGGCAACGAGCAGCTTCGCCCTCCTCTGTTTGAAGGTGGGCCACCTCCAGCGCCCTTCGTTGGCAGATGGCAGTCCCGTCAGCAGGCGGAGTGTGTCGCCTACAGGCCTCACCCGCTCACGCTCTTTTGCCGGGACTTCAGCACCACCTCTCTGGATTGCCCGGGAGAACAGGAAGCAGGCAGCGGAAGAAGCGCCAGGCATTTTTAGGAAATTTCTGGATCCCCTCCTTTGGCTTTGCAACATTGAGCAGGGATACAATGTACGGTACTTCCTGCACTTTCCTCTCCTGGCCAATAGAGAGGGATCCTGCAAGGGGGTAGTGGAGTGGGCAAATGTGCATTGCACCCCCTTACAGCTCCTTGCAAGAAGCAAGCTCTTTCTCCATGCAAAACCCCACCCATCTAATGACAGGCATTTTGCTTGTGGCAAGATTGTGCTGCTCAAAATGAGAAATCCTGTCCTGCTCTGGAGCAGGCTGTCTGATGAGATATTCTTTTCCCTCTCCCAGCCTCTGAGCGGCTGAATACTACTGACAAAGCATTTACTATTGTTACGTTCACATTCAGAAGCTGTAGACTGGCTGACTCACGGCAATGTGCCGCAGAAGGCCCTGTTCCGACCTCCTGCTGGATGTTTGGGGGTGGGGAGATGGATCAGAGCTGTTTTATTTCTTACGAAGACAAATAAAGCCCTGTAGCATCATGGAGAGTTTTGAAGACAGTTTGCAGAGAGGGCTTCCGAGGGTTAGGGCTGGAGAGGGAGGATTTCTGCATAGCCAATTAAAAGGTAGCTTGGAGAACCTAAGCTGTTGGCCGATGGCCAGTCTGCCTATATTTAACTTGCACTGAGATTTCCTAGCAAATAGACATCAGTTGCCTAATAGCCAGGCTATGGGTAATTACTTTTGTTCTATCATGTAAACCCCAAGTGCTGGCAGGAAATGCATTCACAAAATTACTCCAAAGCCACTAATGAAGGGAAGGCGCATAACTGCACTCCTTTCATGTGGTTGTTCCCATGTGCAATCATCACAGGTTCGGAAGCATTCTCAGATGGTGGCGATTAGCAGGCAAAGTGGCAGGAACAAGGAACAAAAAAGACTTTTGTTTAAGGCATCTGTTCTCAAACCCTATCTCAGAAAACTTTAGAGTAGCAAACAAGAGCGGGTGATAGAGATCATATATCCTTCATGATGGACAATTACTACATTTTTGTAAGATACACACACCTAGTAACTGATCCCACACCATGTGACAAGGCAACAACACCCAGATTGGAACTGTGGGAATTTTAATGCAGCCAGGTAGAAGGACTACAGCTGCATACAAGCAGGAAGGAAGGAAAGGCACCAGTGCAATAAGCACAGATAGAAGAGATTTCAGTAGCAAACTGAAAATAATTTGTTGGTCCAGTGCATTTCAAGTCTTGCAACTCCTCTTCAAGGGCAACTGATTTAATCCTTTCAAAGGATAATTAAAGAGTGTTGGACACTATCTCAGAGTGACAGTTATCCTTCAGATGAATTTAAAACCAGTTGCCCTTGAAGAGCCACAAAGCCTACAATTTATTTGGCTAATAAATCATTTTCATGGCACCTTTGAGGTCTCCTCCTGATTCTTTTTTCAGTAATGCACACCCACACCCCGTACTGAATTGCTGTCTGATGTGTACTTATCTCATGGAGACATTGGGATACTGCTGTATATATAATTATAGTATTTTACCATGGTGGTTAATCCGAACCTGGCTACTGCAGGATATTAAGGATGATACTGGAGAGGGGGACTGAAGGAACTAACAGAGCAATAAGTCATGGCTTAGGGTCACAATAATATTGCCAGGTTAAATCATGGTGCACACAAAGTACAGTAATGAACAGTTGCAGCTTCAAAACATTCCCTACAGTGGCTGTAACAGTGAGAAGTGGTAATCTGTGACCTCTGCCCTTATGGTAGGCAATGTCTTAAGCAATGTCTTAAGCACACTATTACACGTACACATAGGCTGGGTATACATTTCCATTTATTCTGGCTCCAGGGTGCTCTCACCCCTGCTGTCCAAAGCTATGTACGCAAGATGTTAGCTGCAATCCAAAGAAATACTGTGTCTTGATGTTATTTCCCCTCAGACCAGCTTCTATCCGATCTGAAAACGTAAGCAACATTTGCTTTGCATGTTGTGTGTACATTTGAGACAGTTGTTGTGCATGCATTTGCTACGTGAAAGCACCGCAGGGCATAGATGGTTCTGTGTGAATCTAAAGGATATCCTTTATTTCTCTCTTTTTCTGCCAGATGTCACTCTGCCAACCTGAACGGCCTGTACTACGATGGACCCTACTCAGCAGCAACAGACAATGGAATTGTGTGGTACACGTGGCACGGTTGGTGGTATTCTTTGAAATCGGTTGTCATGAAAGTCCGGCCGTCAGACTTCAGCCCTAATGAGGTTTAAGTTTCATGATGTCGGCACTCATCCTTTTTGTGCAAGCCGGTCTGGATCGTATGGGGACTTTCTTCATCCATCTCTGTGCAAATCATGGAAGACTCTACCATGGACAGGAGCTGAATTTCCAGCCTAGAGCAAAGTGTTTCTGGGCTTAGCTGTACCTAGCCCTTTGTCAAGGCAAATAGGTTTCACACAAGGCAAATCATAACCCTGCCCAGCATTTACAGTGTGGCTATATGAACTATTTAAATACCACTGGGCTTCATGATAAAGGCCACAATTATGTATTTTATTCCAGCAGATACAAACTGGACAATTTACATGGTAACTTCATTGTCTGTTTTGTTTTTTGTCTTTATGGTATCATACAACTCTGTTGATTTTGTTCAACAGGCTAACATACTATCCCAAGTGACAATGCTACCTTAATTCTTCCTATATATATATATAGTCTTACAGTCTGGATATACCTATTCAAAAACCACATCTTTCAGATGCTTTAAACTAGTGACCTATATATTTCAGCTTCATCGCGCAGTGTCTGTAGTTTCTGTAACCCTATATTCAGGTTGTCATGTTACATTTATGTATGGTTTAAGACTGGGGGAGGTGAATTTCATAAGGGACACAGGCTGCATAGATAGCATACATCTAAAGCACATTACCTCCCCCCCACAACGCACAAAAAGAATCCGGGGTGGGTGGGAATTCGGAATTATAGGGACAGAGCTACCTAAACTGTATAGAAACTTATTCATGTATGCGACTACAGTGGCAAGAATGTTACTCGCCCCAAAATGGAAAGAAGCAGAAGTCCCAGCAAAGGAAGAATGGATACAAAAACCTATGGAATATGCAGAAATGGCTAAACTTACTGGAAGAATAAGAAACCAAGATAACAAACTTTTTATAAAAGAATGGAAATGGTTTATTGAATATTTACAGATAAATTGTAAACAGATAAAAACATTGGCAGGATTATTGTAATAACCTGCAGCTTCATAAGAGTATATATTTAAAGAAGATGAATAAATAAATAAGCAAATTAAGTTAATTTGGATATGCAGAAGATATTAAAAATAAATTCAAGGAACTGCAGAAAGAGGAGGAAGTAAGTCAAGTTTTGAAATGTCAAAATGATTGTAAAATCAGTGAAATGTATAAACCTGAAAAGTATATATAAATAAAAAAGAATTCTGGGGAATGTAGTTTATACCCCAGTGGTATAATTTCCAACTACATTTCCAACATTTCTTTGAAGGGTGCTTTAAATGTATGGGATGTGTGCCAGAACAGAACAGAATTATTTGCTAGTTCTCATGACATGGTTGGGGACAAAATTATACTCCCTTCAACCCTTGTAGCTGCTCCATTTTTGAGAAACCAAACTGCTGCAAAGATATTGGTGGCAAACTTTAGAAAGTGCAGGCCGCTTAGAATGGGGTTGTTTGTATGGTTCTAATACCGGGATTTCCCAATGGGGATTTCTTTAGTCAGCTGACTGGCGCTGTCAGTGAGCCCCATTTGCAAAGGAACAACTGGGAGTGTACCTTAAACTCCTAATTGTGCCTTTGTAGGCGTGGTCTTACCTGTCCAACACCTGGTGTAACATACGATGTCAGGTGTGGAGCTGGTGGACATGGTTTGTGGGAAATGGCTGCCCTCCTACTGCAGTAAGTGTGTTGTCCACAGCTGGCCCTAGCATTCAGCAAAGTGAGGTGACTGAGGGGTTGCTGAGAGGTGGCAGCGGCAGCAGCAACCTCCTGGCTGTTCCTCCTAAGCCCCTAGCAATTCCAGTCTATTAAGGACAGAGCTGTATCTCTTCCACAGCCTGCACTCCGCACCCCTGAACTAGCCTGGTGCTTCACATGCAGTGGATAATGCTGTCATGTCATAAGTGCGGAAGTCAGATTCAGCTGCCAGCTGAGTTGGAAGGAGAGGCACTGTCTTGTTCATGGCCTCAGGCAGCAGAATGTATTGGGCCAGCCCTGGTTTATCCTATTAACACGCTCACAGTTAATTGCTGTCAGATTTACTCTGCACACAGCCGAAGATAGATTTCATTCATTTATCTCTTTGTTTTTAGTGCAGTAAAAGCACTACAGGAAACACTGGGTCTTTTATAGTGCCACATTATAAATGAAATGGGAAACGTAGAGAGGGTGTAAATGTGAGCCAAAAAAACCCCCAAACTTTGAATATAATGTCATGTGCTCCTTATCATTTTTTGCTGCACGGCTCACTGTTTGGTTTAAATGGTATCACCGCTCAACACTTCCTATTCTTTGTTTACACTGTGATATTGAAAAGCAATCCGGTTCCTGTGGAGCTTTAGCCAGGGATGGAGAACTTCAAGACCTGGGTCAAAAGGTGCCCCTCTGAGCCACTTTCTCTGGCTCTTGTTTGGCTGGAATGATCCCTGGACCCCAATAATGACTTGCTTGCCCAGATGGAGGATTGAGAGGGGTGTAGAAGAAAGTAAAATTTGCATTTGCTGCTCTGCATAGTTTTCCTCTAGCTTAGGGCGGTCCAACACATGGCCTGAGGGCTGCATGCAGCCCTTTAAGCCTTTTTTGAAGGCCCTCAGCAACATTACACACACACACACACACACACACACACACACACACACCTGCAGCCCTTGTACAGCCTTCCCAAAGCTGGGTAAGGAGGCTCTGGATGTTGGGACGCAGCTGAGGGTTCTGACTCCTCAAGTCTTCCCTCCTCCTTTCCAAAGTCTAGTTAGCACTTTCCCAGCTTTCGGAAGGAGATGGGAAGGCTCTGGGACCCTGTCAGAGCCTTGCGCCTCATTCCAAAAACCTGGCACCTCGCTTAGCCAACTTTGGGAAGGCAGCCCAAGGGCAGCAGGTAGGGGCATCAAATTTGGCCTGGCCCCTCGCTTCCCCAAGTGACAAGGCTGCTCCGAACTTCTGGAACGAGGGTGGGAGCTACAGATGCAATGCATTGATGCACTTGAATCCCCACTTTACAAGCAAGCATGCTTATAAAGGATGGAAGCCTACCCTTTGACACTCGTAACTGAGAATATGAGAGTAGCTAAAGCATATTAAAGGATAACTTCTCCACATTTAGTGGTTGTAGTCCTCTTTTTTTGGGGGGGGGGGGTGCAGCAGCTTCACAATCAGACCAAATTCAGATCTGTCTAATTCAGATCTGAATGTGTTATATCCACCAAGCTCAAGTATATACCACTCTTTGTACATGAGTGCGGGAAGAGAATGTTTTGGTGTTGCTTCCTGGTTTCTTTCCTATTCCTTCTGCAGGGTAAGGTGCTATTTATACAGCACACCATTGTGCTTTAGGAAATAAAGGCGAGTGGTTTTGTGATTAAAGAGCTGGCGCAGGAAATCTGGATTCCGGACTCTCCAATATAGATTTGCCATTCAAGGCTTTGTATCTTTACTTCAGTTTGAATAAAATGAGACACAATGCTTCTTTTACATGGAATTGATTAAAATTTGGTTTGGTAATGGTTGCAAGAAGCTGTTTCAGATGTTAGCTTATGGTATGCATATGAACATATACAGTGCTCCCCCCCCCCCGAAAAATAGGTGCCAGTACTCACCATGAAGTTGCTACAGTAAGTGTCACACTTTTTAACAACAAGAAAAGAGGTACTGGTACTGCGTACCTTTGAGTACCCCCTGGGGGAAAAACATTGAACCTATAAATACTGAACGTTCAAGATTCATCTGAAAATTCTTCTGTTCATGAGTTCTTGCCCCAAAGATACAAACTCTACAGCAAAGGAATTTGTGGCTCCTTCAAATATAAGTTCCTTACAATGTACCACAGAAGAGTGCAGTAGGAAGAATGGAAGGAAAACAACGTTGTTGTGATTATATAGCACCCTTCAATAGGTATTTTGGTTCACGACCAACAATAAAACACACATAAAAGTGTAATAAAACAATAACGATCAATATAGTGAAATAAAAGCAGCAATAAAAAAAATACTGAAATCTGGGCAGATGTTTAAAGGCGTGGGGAAAGAAAAAAGGTCTCTGCCTGTCGCTGAAAAGATAGCATCACAAGTGTCAGGTAAGCCTCCCCCATGGGAGCAAATTCCATAGGTGGAGTGTGATCATCTAAAGGCCCTCTCTCGAGTCATCACCTGCTTCACCTGAGCTGGTGCTGCACCTGAAGACCCATGTAATACACCAGCTGGTTGATATTAAGAAAGACCCAAGCCATATTGAGGTTTAAAGCTGAGCACCAGCCCTTTGAATTGTGCTCTGAAGTTGGGCAGCCAGCCAGTGCTGCTCTTCAAGAATCAGTGAGATGTGCTCCCTTCACCTGATCCCAGTGTGTTTTGCAATAGCTGATGTTTCCAAACACTTTCTCGTCAAACTTGCAGCTTAACAGAGCATGGATAACTGTGACCAGGAGAGTTCACAGCTTGCGTAAAGCTGCTTTAGCTAGCGAAACACACGCACTTGCAGCCAAGGTCACTTAAGTCTCCGGTGGTAAAATTTGGCTCTAGGAGCACCCCAGGCAATGAACCAGATCACAGCAAGAACAGGGGAGATTGCTTGATATTGAGGCAGATCCTCGCATAAGTTCTCCAGGATTTCAGGCAGGAATGCTTCAACAAATGTCAGAGAGTCTGAATCTGAGCATGTGCTACCTCCTGAGAGCTAGAAATTTGTCTCTCAAGTGTCCATTGCGCTTTCTTTCCCTGGCGGGGAGGGTTCTATGGCTGCTCAGTGATGGTAATGCTCCAGTGACTTATAATGTGGCCCTCTTTGAGCTGGCGGCAAGAAAGATCAGGAAGAAGAACCTGGACAAAAATGGCAGTAAACTGTAAACTGTAAAGGAGATTCCGAGGTCTGAATAGGAAAATATTGTGCGCTGTATGGAGTCCCCAATCTGCACATGATCTTGATGGTTCAGGCAGTGGCCCTGCTTTTTATATGCAGTTATATAGTTAGATGGATGTTTCTTTTCCTGACGGTGTATGGCTGTATCATGGCCTTTGGCTAGTATAATAAAGCTTGTTTTGATTTGATTTGAAGTGTCCATTGCTTTATACCATTTTACTGCATGAGATACTGCACTTCATGAGCATGTGTCTTAAAAAAAAAAAATCAAGTATCTGAAGTACAACCACATGGTTGCATTCATATAGCACTTTTGCAGTCTTCCAAGTGCTTTGCCTTGGCAATTCTTAAAATATCTGCCTAAAGTATGGTAGGTAAGTTTTCTTCCTACTGCCGATCAAATAACACCACTGAGAATAGTCAGTCACTTGCCTAAGGCCTTGTACAGTGGTACCTCAGGTCAAGTACGTAATTCATTCCGGAGGTCCGTACTTAACCTGAAACTGTTCTTAACCTGAAGCACCATTTTAGCTAATGGGGCCTCCTGCTGCCGCCGTGCCGCCAGAGCACAATTTCTGTTCTCATCCTGAAGCAAAGTTCTTAACCTGAAGCACTATTTCTGGGTTAGCGGAGTCTGTAACCTGAAGCATATGTAACCTGAAGCGTATGTAACCTGAGGTACCACTGTAGTGAGATTCGATTCAGAGGCTTGCCAGCCCAGCCACTTTCACATTTAGGGTACAATCCAAACCCCAACCTGCTGTGATGGCAGAGGTGGGGATCAAATGGGGCAGAAGTTTCACTCTCACCTGCCCATAACAGCCCCACTGGACTTTACCTGTGGAGTGACACGACCTCATCCTTCCACCCACAAAACATGCAAGTAGGTAGAACCAGAAACGAGGCGTTCTAGGAGGGAAAAGGACTGAATTGAGCCAGGTTTACTGCTGCCATTTGGCAGAGCAAGCTTTGGCCTCCCCTCCCACTGAAATCTTCCTTGGCTGGCATGAGTAACGGTTAGTGACAGGGAAGAATCATAAAACTGTAGAGTGGGAAGGGACGAAGAAATTCGATTCAGTTTTCATTTAAAGCCGAATCTATTAAATCTGCTCTATCCGAAACGATACTGAGAACCAAAACAGAACT